TTCGGGCCCCCCCCCCCCCCCCCCCACCACTCGCAGGGCGTCTCGTTCTCGACCCTGTTCTCCAAGATCTCGGGCCTCTTCTCGCGCCAGACCGAGGTCCGGATACTCATGCTCGGCCTCGACTCGGCGTGCGTCCGCGACTCTCTTACCGTGGCCCCCTCGAGGCCTCCCTACTGACACCTAGCCTACGCGCACACACGCACACAGCGGCAAGACGACGATCCTGTACCGGCTGCAGATTGGCGAGGTCGTGACGACCATCCCGACCATCGGGTTCAACGTCGAGACGGTCCAGTACAAGAACATCAAGTTCCAGGTGTGGGACCTCGGCGGCCAGACGTCGATCCGACCCTACTGGCGGTGCTACTACGCCGACACGAAAGCCGTCGTCTACGTCGTCGACTCGGCAGACCGCGACCGCCTCGCCATCAACAAGGCCGAGCTCCTCGCCATGCTCAACGAGGAGGAGCTCCACGACGCAAAGCTCCTCGTCTTTGCCAACAAGCAGGTGCGTCCCGCCTCGTCCCTCGTCGTTGTCGGCGGCGGACGAGCGACGACTGACCCTCTCTCTCTCGCGCCCGCAGGACCAACCCGACGCCATGTCGGCAGCAGAAGTGAGCGAGGGTCTCGGGCTCGACACGCTCAAGAACCGGCAGTGGAGCATCTTCAAGAGTTGCGCGATCAAGGGCGAGGGCTTGGAAGAAGGGCTCGACTGGTGCGTCCCTCTCGCCCTCTCTTTTTCTCGCTTTTTGCGCAGGACGAGCATTGACATCCCGTACCCGGCGCGCAGGCTCGCAACGGCGTTGCAGAACAAGTAGACGGGCGTGGACCTCGAGAGCCGGCTCTCCCTCTTCGCCCCGTCCACCTCTCTCTCTTCCTCTCGCCTCTCGCCTGCATCCCCGCACACCTCGTCCGCTCGCGCCACTCGCGATACGTCGCACCCCTTCGCTGTATCCCTGCATCCTCCCTCTCTCCTGCCCCCCTTGTCGTGCTCGCCAAGGACCGTCGAGCGCGAGCGACCGTTCCTCCTCGAGTTCACCCACACACACCCCGTCTTTCGTACATTCTCTTGATACCCGCGCTCGCCTTTCGACTCGATTGTTGCATGAGAGCTACGAGAGAAGCATGAACGAGAATGAGGGAAGCGGGAGAGGTTGGCGTCTGCGCGTCTGCGCAGCTTGCGCGGCGGGCGACGGGCTCGCTCCCTCCCTCGTCCCACCTCTGCCTCGCCAGAATCGCCTTGCTAGCCAGCACCAGCTCGCACTAGAGCAACCGCCACCTGCCCCGAGTCGCGCAACCGCAACCGCCTGCGCCGCTCGCCGCCGACCGCACCTCCGCTTGCCGTCATCACCGCCGCGTCCAACTCGCCCACAGCGCCCATCGAGGCGTCGCCTACAGCCTAAACCGCTCCGTCAACAGCCGCCATGGAGGACCTCGGCATCCAGATCGACCGCGAGGTGCGTCCCACTCTCTCACTCCCTCGCCTCCTCCCACCCCGGGCTCCCTCTCGTCGAGACCCACTCGCTCACGCGCTGGCCCTGCAGGACCCGACCTTCACCTCGACGGTGCAGGAAAAGGCGTCGCTCCTGTCGACGCTCCCGACCAACGAGGACCTGTTCCTCAAGCTCGCCAAACTCGAGGCCCACCTCGAGCTGCTCGCGCTCCAGGAGGACTACATCAAGGACGAGTCGCGCAACCTCAAGCGCGAGCTCTTGCGCGCCCAGGAGGAGGTCAAGCGCATCCAGTCGGTCCCGCTCGTCATTGGCCAGTTCCTCGAGCCGATCGACACCAACACGGCCATTGTCGGCTCGACGACGGGCAGCAACTATGTCGTGCGCATCCTGAGCACCATCGACCGCGAGCTCCTCAAGCCGAGCTCGAGCGTCGCCTTGCACCGCCACTCGAACGCGCTCGTCGACGTCCTCCCGCCCGAGGCCGACTCGAGCATCAGCATGCTGGGCGCCGACGAGCGGCCAGACGTGTGCGTCCCCTCGTCTCTCTCCCTGTGTCCCCTCGACTGACTCGTTGCCCTCGACGCCTTGCAGCAAGTACTCGGACATTGGCGGCATGGACATCCAGAAGCAGGAGATCCGCGAGGCCGTCGAGCTCCCCCTCACCCAGTTTGACCTGTACCGCCAGATCGGCATCGACCCGCCTCGTGGCGTCCTCCTCTACGGCCCGCCAGGTGCGCCCCCTCCTGCTCCCCTCTCTCTCGTTCGTGCACGACCTCGAGACTGACCCCGCTCGGAGCCACGCGCAGGCACGGGCAAGACGATGCTCGTCAAGGCGGTCGCGCACCACACGACGGCGTCGTTCATCCGCGTCAACGGGTCCGAGTTTGTCCAGAAGTACCTCGGCGAGGGCCCGCGCATGGTGCGCGACGTGTTCCGCATGGCGAGGGAGAATGCCCCCGCCATCATCTTTATTGACGAGGTGCGTCCTCTTTCTCTCTCTCTCTGGCTGTCGTGAGGGGTCCACGTACTGACTGTCGCTCTGTCGACGACGACGCGCGCCCCTGCAGGTCGACGCGATCGCGACCAAGCGCTTTGACGCCCAGACGGGCGCCGACCGCGAGGTGCAGCGCATCCTGATCGAGCTCCTGACCCAGATGGACGGCTTCGACCAGGGCTCGAACGTCAAGGTCATCATGGCGACCAACCGCGCCGACACGCTCGACCCGGCCCTGCTCCGTCCCGGTCGCCTCGACCGCAAGATCGAGTTCCCGAACCCGAGCAGGCGCGAGAAGCGGCTCATCTTCCAGACCATCACGGGCAAGATGAGCATCGGCGCAGACGTCGACCTCGAGGACTGTGCGTCCTGCTCCCTCTCTCTCACCTCGGTTGCCTCTCGCCGTCGTTGTCGAGCGTTGCCTGACTCTCTCCTCTCTCACCTTCCTCGCCACCCGCAGACGTCCAGCGTCCGGAGAAGATCTCGTCGGCCGAGATCTCGGCCATCTGCCAAGCTGCCGGCCTCCAGGCCGTGCGCAAGAACCGGTGCGTCCCCATCTTGCCCTCCTCCCCTTCTCTCTCGCGACAGTGTCCTGACCTCTCGCTCTATCTCTCTCCCTCTTTCGTGCTCGCTCTCGCCTGCAGGTACGTCGTCCTCCCCGCCGACTTTGAGGAGGCGTGGAAGCAGGTCGTCAAGCGGTCCGACGACCGGCCCGAGTTCTGTGCGTCGCCCGCTCCCCCTCTCTCTCTCTCTCCCTCTTCTTCCTCTCTATCTCTCGTCCACTCGACGTGCACGATCACTGACTCTCTCGCCTCGCCTCGCCTCGCCGACTCGCAGACCGGTAGTGCGTCCGAAGAGGGAGGAACGAGCCCGAGCAGGACGAGAATTGCAAAGCAGTGCTTTCCTGCGCCCCACCTGCGTCTCGACATCGAGCTCGAGAGATGTGCTTCGAGAGGGAGAGAGAGCTGGGCCCGCACGAGAGCTGGGCAGATGCAGGGCGGGCCGAGGAGCTTGAGCGCTTTGACCTCGCGGCGCGACCGGTCGCTCTCGCTCACTCGCTCTCTCTCGCTCTCGACCGGACTCGCCTCGGGCAGAGAGACGGTCACAAGCAAGCGTTGATGTCACAAATGCAGCGAGGGAGAACGAGAGGAACAAGCTCGTGCCTGGAAAGCCGAGCGAGGGAGGAAGAGGGGGGGTCACAGACGAGGGGAAAGGCAGGGGGCGTGGACTATCTGTACAGGGAGGGGGAGCCTACTCACACACACGGCGAAATATGGCTATCGAGTCGCGAGAAAGAGGTCGAGAGCTCAGATGGTCTGGCCCGGGCGCGCCTCGGCCGTCGTCGCGCCCGTCGCGGCGCTCTGCGAGACGTCGATGTGGCCGGGCGTCACCTTGCCGTTGGCCTGGGTCGCCTTCTTGCGGTAGTCCTTGATGGCAGCTTTGATGGCGTCCTCGCTGCGAGAGGGAGAGAGAGAGGGTCAGGGAAAGGTCCGCCGGCGGGTCGGCGACGAGGCTGAGAGGACTGCGGCGACGACGTACGCGAGCATGGAGCAGTGCAGCTTGACGGGTGGAAGGGCAAGCTCGTGTGCGATCTCGGTGTTCTTAATTGCGCCAGCCTCGTCGAGCGTGAGGCCGCGGACGCGCTCAGTCATGTAGGACGACGAGGCGATGGCCGAGCCGCAGCCGAACGTCTTGAACTTGACGTCCGAGATGACGCCCATGTCGTCGACCTTGATCATGAGCTTCATGACTGTCGTGCGAACGAGGGAGGGAGTGAGGGGAGGAAGGGGAGGGAGGAGGGAGGAGAGGGTCAGGGCGGGTTCTGGCGACAAGAGGAGGCGAGGCAAGGGGACGGACCATCGCCGCAGGCCGGGGCACCGACGAGGCCGCTGCCGACGTTGATGTCGTTCTTGTCGAGCGAGCCGACCTGTGAGGAGGGGGAGATGTCGCAGGGGAGGGGAGGGAGGGGAGACGAAGAGTCAGCGCGTCATGCTCGTGCAAGGGGGACTTGGTGGTGCGTGCGGGCAGTGCGGTGCTGCACGAGAGCAAGGCGAGGCAGACAAAGGACCGGCGAGAGGTGCGCGAGAGGGCGAGAGATGGCTTCGCCACCTCGGAGCTCGATGACCGACTTGGGTCGGCAACTTGCCCGTGTGGTGACGGTCGAGGGAGGAGAGGGTTGCTCACGTTGCGAGGACGCTCGTAGTGGTCGATGACCTGCCGGGAGAGGTGGAGAGTGAGCGCTGCGAGGGTTCGGGGAGGGGAGGGGAGGGGAGGGAGGGGCGCACCTTCTCGTGGTAGAGGCGGGCCTGGGGGACGGCGGCGCGGACGGCGAGGGTCGGGCGGGTGGCAGCAGTGCGGAGCATCGGGGTGCGGAGAGCGGCAAACATGGCGGGCAGTGGTGCGTGTGGTTGCGGGAGGGGGAGGTGTGCGACGCTGCCTCGCCGCGAGTCGGACTTGACGAAATCGGGTCCGGCTCCCTCTCTCCCTCGCTCCCCCTCTCGCTCACTCTCGTTGGCACTGGCTGCCACCACACCCTACTGCGACCGCCTCACCACACACTCGGCCTCGCCCACCGCGCCGCTCCCCACCCGCCCCTCCTCCTCTCCCACCTCACTCGCCTCGTCGCCGTCGTCTCGCAACTTTTTCAAGCCCACGCCGCACCAGATCCGCCTCGAGCGTGCGCCTAGCTGCACTGCGACCTGCACTCGACATGCAGCGCGTGCGACCGCGCGGCACTACAACCTGCTGGCCTCTGCTTCTCGGCACCTCGACCTCGTCCTCTCGACGCGTCAGTCGCACGGCCTTGATCCACGACGAGCAGCGCCATCTCGCCGACGACGACCACGACGACGCAGGAACGCCCTCGCGCGCAACGGCCCTGTCCCCTCTCCCTCCCCTTTCCTCCGCACCTCTCCCCGCCCAGCGGCCGGCCCCTCCCTCCTCCAAACCTCTCACGAGCGGAGCGGTGACCCGTGCCAGGCCCCCGGTCCTGCGCGCCTCTTTGTCTCGTCCTCGGACGGGGCGAGGCGTGTAGGGCACGAGGGCTCAAGTGAATCAGGGCAAGAGCGATGGTCTCCCACTCAGCGGGCGTGAAGCTCTCCCTCTCTCGAGGGGGCGCGAGGCAGCAGTCCGTTCCAAGGTGGAGCCGGCATTCCTTCTCTCTCTTCTCTCTCTCTCTTTCTTTCCTGCTGGCGCTCGGCTGCCGTCGAGGGTGCTCGTCTCGAGGCTTGAGCGAGGTCGACTTTGTGTAGCTCTGCGCCGGCCTCGTCCTCGTTCCTGCGACACATTCCTGCCCTGCCCTTCCCTCTCGCAAGCCTTTCGAGCTGTCGAGCGTGCGAGGAGAGCCTCACAGCGAGAACTGCGAGCGCGAGCACATCGTGCCGAATCCCCTCACAGGGAGCGCCGGCCGAGCCCTCGTACAGCTTGACTGCGCTCGAGCTGTGTCCTCCCTCGGCCTCCTCCCAACTTCTCTCGAGTGCTTCAGTCGCTCCCTGTGACCTACAGCGCGCTGTGCAGCAGCGCGAGCGCAGAATCGCCTCTTCGTTAAGTTGAGAAGGTCGCCGAGTTGGCGACGTGCGCGGTCCGAGCGAGCGCCAGCCGGCAGCGAGAGCCGCACGAGAGCGACAGCAGGCCGGTGTAGCGTGACGGAGGAGGAGAGCGAGCGGGCGGGCGCAGACGAGAGCCGAAAGCTGAGCCTCTCAAGAAGGTCAAAGCGCTGCACGCGCGCAGTAGTGCTCGTTCGACGGCGTGAGCGACGTCTCGGCCGTTCGTCGAGCTGTCGAGCGCGAGCCTTTCGCACGAGAGAGCGCCTGCAGCTTACCGGTGCGAACGAGCGCTCGACTCCTTCGACCCTCGCAACCGAAGAACGTCAAGTCTGCGCACCCGGTTTCCTCTCGCTCGCTCAGCTGCGCTCTCGTCGAGTCGGACAGATCGAGAGGCATCCTCGTTGCGTCTCTAGGGCAAGAGCTACGGCCAGCCCGCCCTCGTCCCGCCGTCCGCCTCCTCCTTCCTCCTCGAGCCCGCTCAGAACCTCGACGACGCCGACGCAGCGAGGCGGCGGCCCTCGTGGCGGCCCCGCGAGCGCACAGAGCCGAGCGAGTGGTCGGACAGGCCGCGACGAGGCTGCGGGCGAGGTGGGCGGGGGTGTCAGTGCTTGAGAGAGGCGAGGAGTGGTCCGAGCGAGAGAAAGGAGGACGCACGACCTGGTCGAGCTCGTTGTCGAACGCCTGCGGGGAGAGGACCGCTCGAGCGTCAGTACTGCGACGACGACGACGACGACGACGACGACGAAAAGGAAGAGGACTGAAGGACGCACCGGGAACTTGAGGCTGGTCCAGGCGAGCGCAGCGTGGACGTCTTGCACGAGCTCGGCGCGCTTGCGGGGCGTGTGACCCTCCGGCAGGCCCCGCACGAGGACGGCGAGGGCGTGTTGGACGGTCGGCGAGGTCGGCAGGAGCTCGTGGGAGACGAAGTTTTGCACTTCGTCGTACGTCGTTCCCAAAATGTCGCTCAACGCCGCGCGAAAGTCGCCGTCGATGATGCGCGCGTCGAGGTGCGCGTTGGGGCGCTTGGTGTAAAAGTGGTACATGAGGACGAGCGCGAGCACGTTGTGCGCGTTCTGCTCGTCGTAGCCGTCGGGCAGGCCCGGGTGCGCCTGCCCGAGCCGCGCGTACCCGTCGCGCTGGTGCTTGTAGTGCATCATGAGCGCCCTGACGCAGTCGATGATGACGCAGTGCGGCACGTGGATCGACACGCCGCGCGCGAACGAGTGCGAGCCGAGGCTCCACTCGCTGCTCTCGCTCGTCGTGTCGGACGGGCGCCGCAGCGTGATCGGGCCGAGCCGAACGGCGAACTTGTGGCTCCTGCGGGCGAGGAAGGGGTCAAGGCTCTGTGGGAGAGAGCTGGGGCATCGAGACGCACGGGTTGCTCGCGCTCGCGCAGTTGAACCAAAAGTCATCGGTAGCGCCGGGAACCGCCGTGATGTCGAGCACTGGTCCTTGCGCGCGCACGATCGTGTGAGCCCGATGAAGATGAAAAGGCGGACATGCTCGAGCTCACCTCACTGACGAGACGGTTCTTGGCGATGTTGACCGTGCCCGGACGACCTGGCCCAGAGCGCTGAGAAGGTAGGTTTCGTCCCGAGTGGCCCAGTGCGGAGGGACGACCGCCTGAATTGGAGCACTGCGGAAAGCCGAGAATCAGAAGCATGTCTGGAAGAGACAAGGGAACGTCGCGCACTTGACGGGCTTGGTCGGCAGGACGATGTGCTGGGCGAGCTCGTAAGCCCGCTCGAGCTGGTCCGAATCGGACTCGACGAGCCACGCCACGGCAGCGGAAAGACCTGTAGACTCGATGAATGAGCCCGCTTTGCCGAGGCGGCGCGAGAGAAAGAGAGATGCGACGCACGGACGAGGCTAAAGACGAAAGTCGGGCAGGGCGGGAAGCCGGCCGCGGTGTAGTCCGACGTGTCGGCCTGATTCGCCTCGCGCAGCAGCTTGATGAAGCGCACAGTCGCGAGCGCATAGTCGCTGGCGGTACAGGCCTGAACCTCCATGCTGGGCGAGATGGCGAGGAAGAACGAGGGAGGAAGAGGGAAGCAGGAGCCCGCTCAGGCGCAAGCCGAGCGCGAGCAGACCGATCGAGGAGGTACGCTCTCGGCGGCAGTGCCTCGGATATGCCGACGGACAGGAGCTGCCGCTCGAGGACAGGGGACGAGGTTTGAGCGGGGCGGACACAGGCTCGCCTCGTCGCTCGGCACCGAGAGGAGCTGGCCGAGCGGTGCGAGGGACGCCAACGTCGGAAGCTCCGAGGAGCGTGCAACGAGCAGGCCCGGCGAACAGCCAGTTTCAGAGGGGGAGCGGCGCCGCCGCTGCTTCGAGGATGGAGCGGCCGGGATGCCATGCCGTGAGAGCCGGCACCAGCGAGCGTGCGAGCGCGCAGAAGTGAGAGCTCGCAAGGGCGTTTGCAATCGCTCGAAGCAGTTGCCGCGGCGAGAACTGAGAGGCAGGAGGAGGGGAGGAGGGGGACGAGGAGAAAGGGAGAGGTCAGCTCGGGTTCAACGAGGCTCGGGGGCTTGCAGATAGGCTGTGGCGCGAGCTATGGCCTGCGGGAGTGCTGGAGAGGAAGCTGGGCGCACCCGGGAGCGTTGACGAGGAGAGAGACCCGGTTGCTGTCAACTCGAGGTGATGAGGCGGGGCGAGGCCGCGGCGACGGCGGCGGCGCGAGGGGCGGTCGACGGGGCGGAGCAGCGGCTCTTAGAAGGTTCTGGCAGCCTGTACAGGGGCGGAGCTCGTCGCAGCAAGGCGAGGGCGACTGTGGTCGTGCCGCACCACCAGTCGGCTGTCCAATGCGCGACACCAAGAGCGCTCCTCACGGAAGCACCGGTGTGCTGCGACCGTCACTCGCATTCTCCTTGGTCGAGCACGTCGTGCGACGGGCGAGGCGTACGAGAGGAGGCAAGGGGAATTGCAGCTTCAATTTCACTTCGAGGTGTATTTACAGCGCGCCGTGCTTCTCCTCAAGCATCGAGAGGGCCGCCACGGCCGATCTCCTCCTGGCCCATCTTTCCGCCCTTGACACCGGCGTCGTGCGCGAGCTCCTTGTCGCCGCCGAAGCCTGCGAGGTGTCGAAGAGGTTAGCGGTCGGGCTCGCCTGCGCGATCGGCGAGACGAGAGAGGACGACCAGGACGTACCATACTCCGAGTTCATGCGCTTGTCGGGCTGTCCGTCCTTGCGAAGGCCGTCTGTTCAGGGTTGCCGAGTGAGCATCCGCTCGAGAGAGGAAAGAGAAAGGGAGAGGACGACGCACCGTGCTCGCTCGGCTTGTAAACGGCCTCGGCGTTCTCGGCGTGCTCCGTCATCTTGTTCGAGGCCTGGCTCATGGCGTAGTCAGACTGCAGTCGACGGGCGATACGGGCCGAGGGCGAGGAGGACGGGTGCGAAGAGAAGAGTCGGTGCGCAGGCGAAAGGCGACAATCGCGACGGGGGAAGGTGCGTGACGGTTGCAGAACGTCGAGTCGAGACGGTGAGCGCAATCGAGGGACGCCAAATGAGCGGGAGACGAGAGGCAAGTCGAAGAGAGCGGGGCGAAGTGGGGAAGGGAGAGAGGACAAGGTCAGTGTCGGTTCCTGCTCGACGACACTCGACAGCGGGACGCACCATGGTGTGCAGAATGTGTGTCGAGTGATGTGGGCGAGGCGAGTGGTACAGGGAGAAGAGGAAGCGGCTGCGATTCGAGAGCCAAGCCGACGAGCGAGTGACGTTGAAGACCGACGACGACGACACTTTGCGCGGCCGAGAAGTGGGCCCGGGTCCGTCGGGGGTTCGTCCCGCAGCAGCTTCGAATCGACCGCAGCTGTCGAGAGGCAGAGCGTCGAACGAGGCCGGTCGCGAGCCGCAGTCTGTACGGACTGAGCGGCAGCGGACCGAGCGACTTGAGAAGGTCGATCGAGGTTGGGTCGGAATTCGTATTCGGCAATATCAAGTTGCGCGGGATCTTGTCGGTGTGCACTGTGCAGTGAGATTCCAGACCGTAAAGCAAAGGGAGCGCGAGACGCAGAGGAAAAGGTGCGACACGCGGGGCAGCCGCGATCTTCCTCGTCTCGTTCGCGCTCCTTCACCACCCGCTCAGCCTCGACTGCACCAGAGCCACGCGCGAGCCTCTGCGGCACTCGCCTCAGCAAGCGCACACAACCACCCGCATGGCCGCCCGCACCACGCGCGGCTCTGCGCCGCCGTCGCCGTTCCTCGCAGAAGACGAGATCGCGCTGCTCCCCTCGCCCAACGTCGGCAGCGCAGAGCACCGCGGCTCCGACGCGAGCTACCAGGGTGCCTACGCGAGCCACGCCGCAGCGCGCAAGGCCGCGTCGCGCCCCCGCGCCCGAGCGTGCGCCCTCCTCCCGCCTCCTCGCCTCCTCCTCCCGCTCCTCTTCGCCCTCGCCCTCGCCGCTTCGTTCCTTCTCTTGACCGAGTCGACACGCCATAAGCTCTCCCAGTACCTCGCCTTCACGCCCGAGCAGTCGCACCGCATCCGGGACGCCCTCTTCGACGAGCCGTCGTGGCCTCTCGCGCCGAGCGGGTTCGGCATCCTCGACGCCGACGGCGAGCACACGGTGACGGCCATCGTCGTGCACGGGCTCGGCGACAAGGGCGACGGCAAGCCCTGGACCGACGTCCTCGCCGACGAGTTTCCCTTTGTGCGCTGGTGCGTCCCGGCTTCTCTCTTTCTCGCGCCAGCTCGTACCGAACGCTAACTGCTTCTTCTCGCACAGGGTCGCACCGACTGCCGACTACCTCAACATCACGGTCCGAGACGGCGCGACGACACGAGCCTGGTTCGACATCGTGTGCGTCTCGCTCCCTCCTCCTCCTCGCCTTCCCTTGTCCGCTCGTTCTCGCTGACCTCGGTTGCCCACCCATGCCCGCAGCGACTTTGACGACATCTGGGGCGACGAGGACGTCGTCGGCTACATGCACAGCCAGCAGCAGCTCAACCAGCTCATCGACGACGAGCGGCAGAAGATGCTCGACTCCGGAAAGGTCCCCCGCATCGTCCTCCTCGGCTTCTCGCAAGGTGCGCCCTCTTCTCTCCAAGCCCGTCTATTTCAGCTTCACGAGCTCACCTCGACATCCGTGCCCGCAGGCGGCGTCATGACCCTTCTCGCGACCCTCACCGCCCCGACTCGCGACCGCATCGAGGCCGCCGCCGTCATGAGCACCTACCTGCCCATGCTCGACTCGTTCGACGAGATCTTCAACCCTGCCGCGAGGGACACGCCTTTGCTGTGGGTGCACGGCCGGGCCGACCCTTACCTCACGTGCGTTCCGCGCTCTCTCCCGGTCTTCCCTCGACCGTCAAGACGGGCCCTGACCCTCTCGCTCCTCGCGCAGGTACACCAATGCCGAGCTGTCACTCGCGCGCCTCACGACCGCCCCGATCTCGCTCTCGAACGTCGTCTTTAGCGGGTACGACGGCGTGCAGCACTCGTGGAACGGCGACATGCTCGACGACGTCGTCGGCTGGTTCGACGCGCACGTGCCGCGGCATCGAGCCGAGGGAGCTGGACCGAGCACGGGCGCAGTTGGAGACGGACGAGGCGGCAGAGCTCAGCAGGAGAAGGTCGAGGGCGCGGCGGGCGGCGCGGTCGAGCGGGTCGAGGCGGGCGCGGGGGCAGCCGGCGCGCAGCGGCAGCAGACGGGGGCCGCGTCGAAGGGGGATCCCTTCGATGCTCCTGCAGAGGACGCGTCGAGGGCGGCCGAGGAGGAGGGTCGGGCCGACGAGCTCGACGGGCTCGAGGCGCTCGAGGCGGCGGACGACCTCGTGCCGGCTCGCCGGCTGCGGCGACGACGACCAGAGCGCACCGTTGTCGACTTGTCGTCGCCTGTATCCTGACCTTCTGTAGCTCCCTGTTCGCGCGCTCCTTGGTGTTGTACGATCATCCTCGTTCTCTCTCTCTCTCTTTTCCGTTCTCCTCTCGAGAGCGTTCTCGCAAGTCGGGTGAGAACGAGAGAGGCAGAACGAGGGGTATAATGCACAACGCCGCGGCGCACGACTACTGTACAAGCAAGGATGGAAAGGAACCAAAAGGTCGCATGAAGAGGGGTGCGCGAGGAGGTCGACTCGAGGGCGACGACGACGGCGCCAGGGACAGGGGCAAGTCGAGAGGTCGACGAGGGGGATACCAAGAGGATGTAGGTGAGGAAGAGAGTCGTCTTGATGCGTGTGATGGAAAACTGCTGCGCCGCCCTCGTCCTCGCGCTCGAACCTCCTCCTCGTCTCGATCGCCCTCTGCTCGCCTCCTCCTGCACCGTCCGCCGCACATGTCGCTCAGAGGTCGGTAAAGGAGCGGTCGTGGCGAACAACGACAGGGTCGAACGTCATGTTGGGCTGCGGGCGCGCAAGGCGAGTGAGCGGGCGCGAGGTCGAACCGGCGCAAGTTCGAGATACAGGCTCGACGTACCATCTTCTCCCACACAGGCTCGACGTCGGGGCCCTCGAGGTCTCCTGCGCCGTCCCAGCCCCAGCACCACACTGCGAGTCGAGAGAGGAAGAGAGGAAGGTGAGCTCGTCGGCCGACGACGAATCGGCTCGACGACGAGAGAACGGGTTCGACGCACCGTATGGTGGCGGCTGCCGGAAGTTGATCGCCTCGCTCTCTTCTTGGCGGAACAGGCGGTCGTGCGGGCCGTACCAGCTGCGGTCCTGCGGGTCCGAGTGCGGGTCGTCCGGGTTGCCGCCGAGCCGAGTGTAGCCGCGAATGTAGGTGAGGTTGCGGCGCTCGGGGTGGACGATGTCCCACACTTGCTGTAGCAGGAGAGGCGAGGGGGAGAGGGCGGGAAGAGTCAGTAATCGCTCGAGAGGGAGGGGGAAGAGAGAGAGGAAGAGAGAGACCTTGTCGTACGCGAGCTTGACGCGCGGGATCATGATGATCCGCCCGTAGCCCGCGTTCCAATAGTCGTTGCAGATAAGACTACACTCGGACGCCGAGCACTCGCCGGCGCTGAGCTTGGCCATGCGGAACTTGACGTGAGGGTGGGCGTAGAACGGGGCCGGGTCGAGGACCGAGATGCCGTTCCAGCACGACTGGACCTGGACGGGCAGGTGACGCTGGAACCGGTGCGACGACTCCATGTCGCGGAAGACGGCCTCGAACGGCGCGTTCTCGAGGGCGGTCCCGTTCATGTCGCGGGCGACCCAGCTGCGCGAGGGGGGGAGGGAGAAGCGCTTGGTCAGGTCACGCTCACGACGGCGACGGCGACGACGATGACGTTGACGAGGGAGAGAGAGAGGGGGGGGGGAGAGGACGCACTTGTCGTAGAAGACGGGCTGGCCGACCTCCTCGTGGAAGATGTAGTCGGACCCGCACGTGATGCCGGCGTTCTGGCGACGGCTCTGCCACACGAGCTCGAGGAGGTCGTCGACACAGGGCAGGACGTCGTTCATGAAGATGATCGAGTCGAACACCTCACCCTCGGTCTCGCGCAGCTCCCACAGGGGCGCGAGCGCGGCGTTGCGCACCTCGGCGAGGTACTCGATGCGGTGGTTGAACGCGCCACGGGTGCGGAGCGAGGTGCGGATGACGACCCGGAGCCCGACAGCGCGCCCGAGGGCGTCAAACAGGCGCAGGAGCGCCTTGGTCTGGTCCTTGGAGCCGTTCTCGTACACGGAGACGAAGACGTTCTGGAAGCCGAGGATGGCCGACACCTTGAACATGTTGGAGAAGAGGTCGGGGATGACGTCAAACGAGTTGTACAGGTTGATGGCGAAGAAGTACTTGTGGCCGTCGTAGCTCGTCGCGAGCGACGACTTGCCGTCGGCGCCGTGGCGCGAGTGCGAGAAGATCTGCTCGACCTCGGTGCGCTCGTCCGAGCTGTCGGCAAAGATGCCGCGACGGGCGACCTTGGGCACGATGCGCTGCAGGTGGCCGCGCAGGCCCTTGCGCTTGTGGTGCTGCTCGAACCCGACGAGCGGCTCGTACCGCTCGTACACCTGGCGGCGGTACGACTTTTGGGCGTTGCGCAGGCAGTACCGCGTGTGGTAGCCCGTGAGGGTCGACAGGGTGCGGAACACGCGCTCGCGCTGCTCAATCGTCGGGAGCGAGATGGTGCTGCGGTGCGTCCCTTGACGCTGCGTCCACGTCTCGACGACGGCCGAGCCCTTCCAGGGTGCGGCCGCAGGCTGTTTCGAGGGGGTCGTTGTCAGCTCGTGGGCGAGCGAGAGAGCGAGGAGAGCTCCAAGTGCCAGCTTCCTGGGGAGGGAGGACGAGGAGAGAGGGGGGAAGAGAACGGCGACGACGCACCTGACTGCCGCTGATCAAGCTCGCGAGGAAGAGGCCGACGAGGATGCCGACGCCCAGGGAGAAGAAGGAGCCGGCCTTGCGGCGCAGGAAGGTGAGGAGGGTCGAGGTGCCCTGGACCGGATCCTCGACGAAGAGGGCGATCGAGGAGCGCTGGCGGCGTTGTCGCTGTCGCAGTCGGGGTGCGCCAGCAGGGTTGCTGTACGGGCTGGTGTACTGCATGGCCGCAGGGGGAGCGCTGGCGAGGTCGGCGGGGCCGGCGAGCGCACTCAGAGCTGATCTCGCAACGACCGTCCGCCGGCGCAGACGCGACCAAAATGCAGAGACTCTCGCTGCTCGACTCGCTCGGGCAGGGCCAGCTAGAGGGTAGCACAAGGAGCAGTAGCTTTGTGATCCCTGCATCCATGCGAGAGAGGCTGCAGGTGCCGCCGCCGCCGCCAAGTCGGAGCTCGGCGCGAGGAGCAGCTCGAACGACCTCGCCCTCTCTCGTCGCCGCCAGAGCCACGTCGACTACAGCCGCACCGCCACCGCGAGCTCGAAACAGCCCCGATCGCTCCACCGCCACGCCGCCTGCCGCCCTCGCCGCCGCGCTCAGCTCCCGCTCGGAACGTCACCCATGAGCTCGCCCTCGTCCGGCGACGCCCTGCCTGAGCACGCCTACTACTGCTTCGATGTCGTCCAGGCCGCTCTCGATGGCACTGCCCAACCCGCACCGCAATTCGACCGCGACGAGGCCTTGTGCGTCCCCGCTCTCCTCCTGCGCCCCACCTCTCGCCTCTCGACACGAGCTGACCCTCGTTGTCGGCACATGTGCGCAGCCCGCTCTTCGTCACGTGGAACGTGCGCTCTCGCTCTGGCGGTGAGCCCAGGTTGCGCGGCTGCATCGGCAACTTTGGCGCCCTGCGCCTCGGCGACGGACTCGCCGAGTACGCTCACACGAGGTGCGCCGGCTCTCTCTCTGCGCCCACTCGAGTCTCACTGACCCTCGTTCACGCCTACAGCGCGTTCGAGGACAGCCGTTTCGACCCGATCACGGCCAAGGACCTCCCTCGACTCGAATGCGGGTGCGTGCGAAGCTTCGGCGCTCCACCCTCTCTCGTCGCCCGCGCTCACCCCTTTCCTGCCCGCCTGCAGCGTTTCGCTCCTCACCGACTTTGAAGTGTGCGACGACTACCTCGACTGGGAGCTCGGCACGCACGGCATCTACGTCGAGTTTGTCAACCCGGCCCTCAACCTCCCACCTTCCTCGTCGTCTTCGCCCGCCTCGACCGCCACCACCCCTTCGACCGGCAGCGGCACCGCGACGCCTGCGCCCAAGCCGACCTACCGCTCGCTGTCGGCCCTCCCCAAGCTCGACGTCGCCGTCTCGCGCGCGCAGAACCCGCGCAACCTGCGCCCGGTCCTCCACGCCACGTTCCTCCCCGAGGTGGCGCCCGCGCAAGGGTGGACCAAGGTCGACGCGGTCGACGCGGCGATGCGCAAGGGCGGGTTCAAGGGCGTCGTGACGGACGAGATGCGGCGCGGCGCGAGGGTGAGCCGGTATCAGAGCCGCAAGGTCAAGGTGACGTGGGACGAGTGGCAGCGGTGGCGGTCGTCGTCGTCGTCGCAGTGACCGTCTTGAGGGTCGTCGTCTAGCTCGCCCCGTCTGTGCTGTATCTGTAGAGCCTCGTTTCGTCGCCAGCGTCCGACCGCGAGAAGCTGCCTCGACCGCGGTTGGAGCGCATTACGTTTGCGAGGCTAATCTCGATTAGCAGATGCCGCCGCTTGGCGTTTCCGATCTGGCCGGCCCCCACTTGCGCGGCAGGCCCGGCGAATGTCGTGCTCGCCGACGGTCGCCTCGTCCACCTCGCCCTTGCTCCCTCACCTCCACCTCGTCCTCTCGAGACTCGCTCCAGCTCCCACCACCCTCACACACTCTCCTCAACGTGAGTCCACGCGCTCCCCGCTCCCTCCCCCGCGATCTCGCCGTCGCCCCACAACGTGGCTCGACGAGAGCTGACTTCTCCTGCGCCCAGTACCACCATGACGGACAAGGTCGGCCTCCGCCTCGGCTACAAGGCCCCCAACTTTGACGCCGAGACGACCCAGGTGCGCCCACCACGCTCGCCGCCTCGACTCGGGCTCCCTCGTCAACCGCGAGCTGACCCCTCCCTCCCTCTCCTCCCTCGCGCGCACACAGGGCAAGATCAACTTCTACGACTACATCGGCGACTCCTGGGTCATCCTGTTCTCGCACGTGAGTCGCACTCTTGCATCTGGACGAGGCGGACGAGCGAGGGCGGTGCGGTCGTCTGTCGAGGCGGCGACGACCGCAGCACAGCCTGCTTCGTTACACGGTCGCCGCATTTCTACAAAGCAGTACTGACTCTAGCCCCTGTTGCGCCCGCAGCCTGCGTGAGCCTCCCCCGTCGGCGCCCTCGCGACCTCGCCTCGTCGACCTTCCTAACCTTCACCCTCTCCCGTCCCCTCTGCAGCGACTTTACCCCGGTGTGCACTACCGAGCTCGCCGAGGCTGCTCGCCTCGCCCCCGAGTTCAAGAAGCGCAACGTCAAGCAGATCGGTGCGTCGCGTCGTTTCCTCCCTCTCGCCGTCCAGCACGCGCGGTACTGCGCTCCCTCTCGGACCCCTCACTGACAGCTCTTCACCGCACCACGCAGGCCTCTCGTGCAACGAGCTCGGCTCGCACGAGAAGTGGGTCGCCGACATCAACACGTTCGGCAAGGTCGACCTCGCGTTCCCCATCATTGCCGACCCGTCGCGCAAGATTGCCCAGCTCTACGACATGCTCGACGAGTGCGTCGCCCTCTGTGACCTTTTCTTCGAGTACGAGCGCCGAGACTGACCGTCGCCGGTCTTGTGCGCGCAGGCAGGACCTGACCAACCTCGACGACAAGGGCATCCCCTTCACGGTCCGCACCGTCTTCGTCATCGACCCGGCCAAGCGTGTCCGCCTCTCGCTCCAGTACCCTGTGCGTCACACTCTCGCCTCTCTCTGTCGACGAGCCTCGAGCAGGCGCACGCGACCGTCGTCGCAGAGTAGAACTTGCCGAGACTGACTCTCGCTCCTTCCTCCCCTCGCGCAGGCTTCCACCGGCCGCCAGTTCAGCGAGATCCTGCGCTGCATCGACTCGCTGCAGCTCACCGACCGCGAGAAGGTGGCGACGCCCCAGGGCTGGCAGCCGGGCGACAAGCTCATCGTGCACAACAGCCTCAAGACGGAGGACGCCAAGAAGCACTTTGAGGGCAAGGAGGTCGAGGAGGTCTTCGTGCGTCCCACTCTCTCTCTCTCTCTCTGCGCCGATGTTGGGGTCGTGGAGGAGCGCGCCGCCGTCGAACAAGACGAGGGAGGACGTTCTCGAGGAAGCGGTCGAGGGCCCGTGCGCTCTCGACGGCTCCCTCGCGACGTCTCTCTGCGCCTCGCACGTCTTCTTCAGCACTCACTGACTCTCTCGCATCCTCTCTCGCAGCCGTACCTCCGCTTTGTCAGCGTCTAAAGGCGGTCGGAGCGTCTTTTACGTGCGGCCGCTTCTCGTCGTAGCTTTGAGCAGTACCCAAAATCGCAGTGTCGCTTTCGCCTGGTTCCCTCTGGAGAGCTGCGTCGTAGTCGGAGAGGAAGCAGGCCGCGTGCGACCCAAGGAAAGCGGCCGAGCGTGGAGGAGAGAGGACGTCAATTTGAGGGCGCGAGTGGACACTTAACTGTGCGGGTGCGGGGCAGGAGCCGGCTGCCGATCTGGAGCGTGAGCGTGTTCGCCGCGGCGGAAGCTCTCGCAGGTAAGACGTCGCCACCTTCTCAGCTCGTCTCGCTCCTCCTCCCCTCTCCCCCTCCCCCACCACATCACCCTCCAGCTCCCCATGTCTCTGCAGCTGCTCGCACCACTCGCACTCGCGCTCTGCGCAACTCCTGTCCGCGCCCAGTACTGTGCGTCCTCGCCCTCGCCCTCCCCTCTCGCGCTCCCACTCTGCCTCCGCGCTCGTCATCGTTCGAGCCGGCACAGCCACTGACCCTCGTCGCCCGGCCCTGTGCTCCTGCCGTTACAGACTATGGCGACCGCGACAACGGCACGAGCTACGGCACCCGCATCGGCGTCGGCGTCGGCAGTGCGTCGACCTCTCTCTCCTCCGCCTTGGCCTTGGCGCTCCCCCCTCCTCTCGCACTCGCTGACTCATCCTCCTCCACACAGTCGCCGTCGCCGTCGTCCTCGTCATCTTTGTCGTCGGCGCCATCATGAGGCGTCGTCGCGCCCGGGCGTTCAAGACGGCCTATCCGCTCCAGCAGGTCCAGGGCCAGGGCCACCACAACCAGGCCGAGCAGGGCGCAGCCGGCTACTACGGCCAGCAGTGGAACCCGCAACAGCAGGGTGCGGCGAGTCAGCCCCACTACGGCCAGCAGTACGTGCCCACTCAGGACGGTGCGGCAGCCACCGAGGCGCCTCCTCAGTGTGCGTCCCTCCTCTCTCCCCTCCCTCTCGGTCGAGACACGTCCTCGCGCCGCAGGACTGACAGTCCCTCCTGCCCCCACAGACTCGAACTACCGCCAGGACTCGGGCTCGCACTACGCCCCGCCGTCCGGCCCTCCCCCGATGGCGTCGCAGCACGGCAGCTTTGCCCCGCCCTCGTCGCCTCCCCCTGCGGCCAACACGTCGACGTACGCCCCGCCGAGTGGGCCGCCGCCGACGCATGGCGAGGACGGCAAGGCGTTGACGGGCGAGGAGCGCGAGGCGTGGCAGGCGGCGCAGGAGGCGCGCGAGCGCGACTTCAGCAGCGGCGGCGGCGGCGGCACCAGCGGCGCCAAGTGAGGGCGTCGCTCGCTAGATGTCGGGCATGTGCATACAGCGGAGGAGGAGGAGGACGGTGGCAGCGGTCGGCACGAGGCTGCTCTGTAGCACTAGCTTTACCACGATCTCAGTAATTTCGCCTCGCATCCCGCGCTCCTTGTCCCTCTCTCTTTGCCTGCCTTGCAGTCCCTCGTGCTCTCCTCGCTTTGTATGAGAGCCAGGCGCTGCACTATCCTCGCTCACGAGCTGTCGGCCCACGAGCATGCGTTCGAGCCTGCGAGCCCCGCTTTCTCTCCCGTCCTCGCCGAGTCCCGGCGGCGACGGCCTGAACGAGCCCTCGCTCCGTTAAAGCTGGTGCACGCTGTCAGGCTCGACTCGGCGGAAATACACAGCTCACCTGCTGTGCACCGCCGACGCAGAGTCGCTCGCGTCGACGGCCTTCTCAAACTCGCTCGTGCTCGAGTGCGCGCAGCCCGGCTCTCTCTCGCTCAAGACGACTCGCATAATGGACAAAGTCAAGCGAAACGAACAAGCTGCAAGCGAGTCGGACGTCGAGAGCATCGCCTCGAGTGCGCTACGGCCTCGTCCCTCCCCTCGTCAAGCGCCGCCCGTCCTCCCTCCTGCTCCTCCTCAAGCGCCTCCCTGCCGCAGCCCGCCTCGCTCTTCTGAGTCGCACGGCCGCCCTCGTCTCACGACACAGGGCACCCCTCGGTCGCCTCGGGCTTGACCTCGACCTTGTCCTGCGGCTCGCGCTTGTCCTGTGGCTCGGCGCCCTTCTCCTCGCCCGCGGGACGCGCCTCGACCGCCACGGCCGCCAGGTGCTCCTCGGCCGTCTCGGCAGCCAGGCGCTGCTCGTTCAACTCGAGCTTGATCTCGACCCGGCGCTGCGCCTCGGCGCCGACGGGCGCGAGGCTGAACGCCTGGCCGCCGCCGACGCTCGCGGCGCGCTCAGCGGCCGTCGGCGGGCCCGCCGTCGCCGTCGACGTCGCCTCGAGCGCCGTGCGCACGAGGACCGGCGAGACGAGCGGCTCGTGCGGCATGGTCGACGGCGGCGGGCGGTGGTCGGCCGGCGCGGCGGATGGCGCGAGCGGGGCGGCGCTCGTCGTGTCGCTCGTCGACAGGCTCGAGGCGGTGAGCTGGTGCGTCGGGTAGAGCGACGTGCCGCCGAGCGCAGTCGTCGAGGCCGACTTGAGGCCCTGCTCGTCGGCCGTCGAGAGCTTGGTCGCGACGAGCGGCTGAGGCGCCGCGGACGACTGCGGCGTCGAGTCGGGGCGGATGGCGAACGACGAGGGCGAGTCGGTGGCCCACACGGGGGTGGGAACGTGCGCGATAGGAGCCGACGAGGCCGAGACGGCGTCTGCGGCGCGCTCGGGCCCCGACCTCGACGACGACGACGCGCCCGACGACGACTTGGCGCCGACCGGCTCGACCTCGACCGGCACGCTCGACATCGTGGTCGACGACGACATGCGCGAGTGCGAGCCGGCGCCGTCGACGCGCACCGAGCCCGTCGAGCTGCCCGCGTCGGGCGACGGCTTCTCGAGCGGCGCGGCCGGCTCGACGCACGCCGCCTCGAGGCCCGAAGGCCCGTCGCCGAGCTCTTTGCGCTTGTTGGGGCGGTGCTCGCGCTCGGCGCGCAGGCGCGCGTTGGCGGCCTCGGCCTTGGCGAGCTGCGCCTGGTGCATGGCGACGAGGTCGTTCGAGGCCGTGCCGGGCGCAGTCGAGGACGAGGTGCTCGCCGACGGGAAGTGGACCTTCTTGGTGGCGGACGCGGAGCTGGTCGACGAGCGACGGCGGGCGAGCAGGTACGAGTCGCCGTCGCTGCCGCTGTCGTCGTCGCCCATCGGGTCGAGGAGCGCCTCCTCGCCGCCGAGGTCGCCCGAGTCGAGTGGCGAGTCGGCGTGCGTCGATGTCGGCGACGGCGAGCGCGAGAGCGGGCGCACGACGCGCTTGCCCTTGTCCTGCGGCGCCTTCTCGACGCGAGGGCGCTTTGCCGCACGCTCCTCCTCCTCCTCGATCTCCTTCTCCGTCATGCCGATGTACAGCGTGTCGCCAACCTCGACAGGCGGCGTCACCGAGCGCTCGACCTCCTCGGGCTCTGTGGCGAGAGGGGGCAGGAAAGTCAGTCGGGTCGCTCAGGCAGGGAGGGAAGCGGACGTCGAGCGCACCCTCGTCGGCGAGGCGGGCACGGATCCAGGCTGTGACGGCGTGGCAGAAAGTCAGGATCGGACGCGCTGTGGCTGAAAGGGCGTGGAACCAAGGGACGCACGGTCCGAGCGGATGTAGAAGACGAACACGAGGTCGGGCTCGTCCTCGTTGAGGTAGTCGTAGGTCCACGTCGTGGTCTTGCGAGGGTTCTTGCTCTTCTTGGGGTCCTTCTTGACCGTCTTGAGCTCGCCGAACCTGTGAGGCGAGAGGAGCTCGTGAGAAAAGGTCACGAGGGATGGGGACAGAAGTGCAAGGAGGCGACGCACGTCGCTGAGACGCCGAATTGGCCCTTCTCCTGCTGCTCGTGCACGGCGCGCTTGTCCTTGCTCTGCTTGGCGAGCGGGTCGTTGGCCATGCTCGCGGACGACTGCTCGCCCTTCTTCTTCTTGGGCGCCGGAGGCGGGTACACGACCTTGGACTTGACGTTCTTGATCTTGCGGTACGTGATCTTGATGGCGGACACGCCGTCGAGGAAGTCGGCGTCGCGAGAGGCCTTGTCGCGATCGCCCGTAGTCGGGACGGGCCCAAACTTGAACGCGCGCGTGTGCTCCTGAGCTCGGGAACAGGGCGAGGGTCAGTGTGTGCGCCTGGGAGGCCTCGACATGCGGCCCGAGGAAGAGCTCACGTCGCCGACCTGCACGTGTGACCAAGTCGTGAAGCGGTCCTCGTCATCGGGCGGGCCTTGGTGCTCAATCCCGCCCGCTTGCTCCCACCACCTGCCGACTCTGTTGAGGGGACGGGAGGATGTCAGTGTGGACTCCTCAAGCCGCAGAACCAAGGCGAGGAGGAGACGCACCGCTGATCGCCGAAGTAGAGCGTGCGCTCGACGCCCCTCGTCGCCTTCTTCTCGCGGCCGTCCCACAGGCGGACCTCGAACTCCGAGTCGTACGCGCCGCTGATGTAGCCCGTCACCTTGTTGCCCGTCTCGCGCATGTCGAACACGAGCCGAGGCCTGCCGTCGACGACGACGTGGGCGCGCAGCTCGGGGATCTTGGACGGGTAGCTGCGCGAAGGTGGGAGGAGGGAGGGGGGCGAGAGCGGGTCAGCTATCGCGCCAAGAGGGGTCCGGCGAGGCTCGAGGGGACGCACAGTGAACGACTGGGCTCAGGGACGAGCATGGCGGCGGTCGACGGGGTGGTGACGAGACGAGGTGTGGGGAGCGAGGCGCGTGCATTGATGAGGATGAATGGCGGCGCGAGGCGGGCCTGGGGCGACTGGTCGTGGGCGTGCAGGCGTGCCGAGAGCTGCTGGGAGGCTCTGGTGCGGCGGAGGCGAGTCCCTGCGGCGAGAGTGCCGGGGGGAAGGTGGTGTGGTGGAGGACGAGGAGCGGAGGAGGAGGACGCGAGGAGCGAGTCGTTCGCCGTCCTCCTGTGCGTTCACTGGCGACGGCAGATGCACAATGACACCTTCGTAAGCTCGTCTGCGAGCGCACCGCAGCACTCGAGGCGTCTCCGACAGCTTCTGCGACCGCACGTCTCCCGCCGACTCGCTCACGCTGACTCTCCTCCTCCGACTCGCAAAGTCTCTCGCTGTGCATCGCCTGCAGCTCGAGGGTAACTCTTAAGCCGAGGCAGAGCAGCAAGGAAAGAGGAGAGAGGCCTCCCTCGAGCTGTCGCGAGCAGACGACGGCGGGGCGTCGGCCGCGCGAGGAGCGAGAGCGAGAGCGAGGGACGGTCTGTCCGGTACACCAAGGCTCAAGATGTCGTCGAGCTGCACGGACGAGAGATCGGCGAGGGTGAGTGAGCTGGGCGCGTCAAGAGAAGGCGCGAGGACGGGGAAAGGTGGCGCACCGTGCGAACAGGCTCACCGAGGCGTACGAGCCGCAGCCTCGGATCGTTGCGCTCGGCCGACGTTGTACGACGATGGCGACGCAGATGTCCGGCGGACCCTGCAGGCGCTTTGGGCGACGATGCGTCTCGAGGACGAGCCGGCGAGCGTACAGCAAAGCGGACGGCAGAGACGCGAGGAGCGGACTCTCGCGGTAGCGAGGTCCCGCGCAGCTTGATGAGTGTGGCCGAAACGAGCTTGCGCAAGAGGCACGAGCGCGAGCTAGAGGTTGTCGGGCGAGGAGGAGCATCTCGCCGCGAGCTCGCGACAGGGTCGCGGCGGCTCTGCAGCAGCGAGAGGCGGCGAGCGAGGTAGGTGTGGGGCGAGTGACTCCGTGACCAGGTCCTTGTAAAGGAAGGGCTCAGCCGGGCGGACGAGGTGGTCGAGCGAGGGGGGAGAGGCGGGAGGAGGTTGGCGAGAGCAGGAGAGGAGCGGGGAGCGAGGATGGAAGGTCGTCGAGGGGGGAGAGGACGGGAGGGTGTGGCCCTTGTGAAGGCTTTCAGGTGTGTGGCAGGGTGGGGCCACAAGCTGGTAGAGCTGTCGCTGTCGAGAGGGGGCAGCCGACGCAGAGAGTGAGCTCGCTCGAGCGCGACCACCTCCTCGTCTTTCGCTCGCACCCTCGCCGCGTCTTCACGCCCACTTCTTAACGCAGCCATGGGCAAGTCTACTGTCCCTCCACCTCGCCACTGTCCCACCCGCCTTGTCCTCGCTTCGCCACCTGCCGCCGTCGCCGTCCTCAACCGTCCTCGCCCGAGCCCGCCGCCCAAAATTCGCTCCCCCGCCTCGCCTCGAGCCGCCCTCGCCACCCTGCCGCACCAGCCCACCAGTCGAGCCCACCACTCGCACCTTTGCGCCCGTCGACGAGCGCGCGCGAGACTTGCGACGGCCGCCGCTCGAGCTCCAGCCCCGGCCGCACGCGACCTCGCGCCAGAGCCGACCCTCGCCCCGGCTCACTCGTCGCATGCGGCCACGTCGAGAGTGCAGCATGGCGGGTTCTGGCGGCGTTCCCGCAGCGTGTCAGGGTAGATTTTGGCGGCCGGCGGGCAGGCGAGGGCGGTGGCAGCAGCACGGCGTTCCGGACCCGTCGACCAGGACCGTCGAACTAACCTCGCCCTCTCCTCCCCTCGTGCAGCCGTCGGTAAGAACAAGCGTCTTTCGAAGGGAAAGAAGGGCATCAAGAAGCGGGTTGTCGACCCCTTCACCCGCAAGGGTGCGTCATCTCTTCCCTCTCCCCTCTCCTCTCCCTGCCCTTGGTCGCGACCCGTCTCGAGTGCCCGACACTGACCTCGCCCTGCCCCGCACAGACTGGTACGACCTCAAGGCGCCGTCCATGTTCGACACCCGCAACGTTGGCAAGACCCTCGTCAACCGTTCGTCGGGTCTCAAGAACGCCAACGACTCGCTCAAGGGCCGCATCTTTGAGCTGTCGCTCGGCGACCTCAACAAGGACGACGAGCAGACGTTCCGCAAGATCCAGCTCCGCGTCGATGACATCCAGGGCAAGAACTGCCTCACCAACTTCCACGGCATGGACTTCACCTCGGACAAGCTCCGCTCGCTCGTCCGCAAGTGGCAGACCCTGATCGAGGCCCAGGTCGACGTCAAGACGACCGACGGCTACCTCGTCCGCATCTTCACCATCGGCTTCACCAAGCGTCGCCCGAACCAGGTAAAGAAGACGACGTACGCCCAGTCGGCCCAGGTCCGCGAGATCCGGAGGAAGATGTTCGAGGTCGTCCAGCGCGAGTCGACCAGCTGCGACCTCAAGCAGCTCGTCCAGAAGCTCATCCCCGAGGTCATGGGCCGCGAGATCGAGAAGGCGTCGCAGGGCATCTACCCCCTCCAGAACGTCTTTGTCCGCAAGGTGCGCCCTCCTCCCTCCTCTCCTCTCACTCTCTCGAGCCGGGCACTGATTCTCTGCGTCCCTTTCTCTTCTTCCTCTCCCACCCTTGCGACTATCCCTGTCGCCTCCCGCATCGCCCTCGTCATCGTCGCCGACCTCGACTCGCCCACGACCTCGACCTCTGTCCTCGCCATCCTCTCCGTCGCCTCGTCGCGCCACCTCCCCCTCCTCCTCGACACTCATCCTGCACTACCTCGACGCCTCGCCCCGCCCTCGCCTGTCGCTGTCGTCGCCGCCTCGCCCTCGTCGCCTCGACCTCGCCCGGGACGACCCACTCGCCGCAGGTCAAGCTCCTCAAGCAGCCCAAGTTCGACGTCTCGAAGCTCATGGAGCTGCACTCTGCCTCGACCGAGGCCGAGGTCGGCGCCAAGGTCCAGCGCACCGAGTTCGTCGAGCCGGCCGTCCTCGAGTCGGTCTAAGGTCCAAGACCTGGCTCGAACGAGGGGTGGGTGGACGTTGTGTAGCAGTCCCTTTCTTTTTTGCGAGGGCATGATGCTGGCGCACGCGAGACGCACGACGAGCAGCAGCAGCAGCAGGCGCGGGCGCGCAATGCAGGCCGTCCTACGGGGCGAGCCCTGTTTCCTCTCTCTCTTTTCGTTTCTCCCGGCGCGGCTCTCGCTCTTTGCTCTCTCCCTGTCTGTGTCGAGAGCATCTTTGTGCCCTCTGTGACGGCTGCCACGAGAGAGGGAGCCAGAGCGAGCCCGCTTGCCTCAGTTCGAGTCGTCGGCCGAGGCTCGAGCGCTCTCTGCAGCTGCCCTCTCTCGTGCCTTCTCGTCTCGAACCGTGTGTAGCAGTGCTGCGAGAAGTGCGAGGCGAGCTGGCGGGTGCGCTCTGCGTTGGCTCTCGCGAGAAAAGCGCGCTCGGCTCAAGCGAACGGGAAGAGAGACGAGGGAATGCGCTATTGTACATGCTGCAGGGCACCGTCGCCCTGAGGCATCGCGATCTACACACACGACACGGGGAAGGAGAGGGTGACAGAACAACGAGGTCGAGAAGAAGGGCGCGAGGCGAGGGCGCAAGGCGAGGGTCGAGCGAGTCGAAGTGGACCGAGAGGGGGCGTGACGAAGAGAGAAGTCGAGACGACGAGAAAGGGGCAGAGGGGGGAAGGGGAGAGACGTCTAGCGGCGGCGCATCGGCTTGCAGCCCATGCGCTTCTCTGCGAGACGATGAGGACGCGAGTCAGTCCGGGTGCTCGACGACGGCGACGAGGGACACGAGGAGAGAGCCGAGGGACGCACTCTCGCCCATGGCCGGGAAGTGGGTGCGCGGCGTCTGCTTGACGGTCATGCCCTTGCTCGCGCGGTACTCCTCGCGGCGCGACATGCGCGGGCCCGAGGTCGAGATCTTGGGCTTGGGAGCCGGCTCGGCAGACGTAGACGCCTCGCCCTCGACCTCCATGTCTGCGTAGAGGACCGATAGAGTCGTCAGTACCTGCTGTACGCGACGAGAGAGGTCTGGGCGAGAGTGCGACGAGCATGCGCCGGTGCTCTCGCCCTGGAACGACGTCGACGAGGAAGAGCGAGAGTGGGACGCACCGCCCTCCTTCTTGTCGGCGGCACCCTCCTTGGCCGTCTCGTCGTCGTCGTCGACCGTCTCGTAGCCGGCCTGCTCGCGCTCCCACTCCTCCTTGTCGGTCAACGCGCGGGGCTTGAGGGCGCTGGCCTTGAGCTTCTCGTTGAGCTTCTGGATGCGCAGGTCGTGCTTGAGCTTGTAGTCGGAGCTGGGAGGGTGGCAGGGATGTCAGTGCAGGCCCTGTCGAGCGCGCGGGAGAAGGAGGCCGGGTGGGGAGGGAGATGGCAAGAGGGAGAAGAGGGCGCACTTGGGGTCCTCGCGCTTGATGGCTCGGTGTGCGCGCTTCTTGGAGCTCCTTAGTCCCTTGGCCATGGTGGCGTGCTGGTTGGTGAGCTGGCTCGGAGGAGCGGTTGGTGGAGAGAGGCGGACAAGCTGTCGAGCTCGCCTCTCGAAGCTCCGGCTCAGGGTGGCTGTGTCGCTCTCTCGCGAGGGGGTTTTCGAGGGAGGTGGTTGGTCCAGCTGTGTAGTGATGGATGCAATGCACCCAGCGTACACCCCTCTGAGCGAGTTGCGAGGGCGAGACGTTGGCTCCGAGCTTGGTCGCGCGGCGGTGCTCTCGCCGCGGAGACGGAACCTCGCTACTCTCGTCGCACACGCTAGCCACCACCGCTGCCATGCCCAAGAACCGCACTCAGCAACAGCCCGCAAAGCCCAAGGGCAAGGGCAAGGCCCGCCCCGCCGCTCCCGCCCCGGCACCGGCCCCCGCCGCCGCCTCGTCGTCGACCAAGCCCTCGCCCAAGACCCGCCTCTCAAAGGCAAAGGCCACCCCGCTCCCGCAAGACAGCGACGACGACCTTGACGCCGCCGCAGAACTCGCCGGCATGAGCGACGACGACGACGAGCAGCTCGACGCGCTCCTTCAGGGCGACGACCTCGAGGTGGACGATGGCGTCGAGATGAGCGGCGAGTCGGACGACGACGACGACGAGGAGGACAGCGACGACGAGGAGGACGATGTTACCGAGGAGGCCCTCGAGCGCATGATGAAGGTGCGTCGTCTCACTCTCCCTCCCACTCGCCGTCGTCCCGAACTGACCTCGGTTGCCCGCACCTTTCGCAGCTCCTCGGCCCGGTCGACGCCGCCGAGCTTGGTCTTCTTGACGGCGAGGACGAGGACGAGGGTTCGGAGGACGACGACGAGGAGGACTCGGACGCTGAGGAGGAGGACGAGGAGGACGAGGAGCTCAAGCCGTACGAGGAGCTCGACGAGGTCGACCCGGACGTCGCACCCGTCGAGAAGAACGTCACTAACGACAAGGTGCGCCGCGACAGTCCTCCCTTTCTCGCCACGATGCCGCCGAGCGAGACTGACCTCGAGTTGCTCACCCGCAGGCGGCCCTCGAGCGCGTCCTCGCGTCGTTCAAGACCGACGCCGGCTTCTTCGACACGCTCACCCTCACCAACCCCAAGCCGCTTAACGTTCCCGACGCCGACAACGACCTGGAGCGCGAGCTCGAGTTGTGCGTCGCGCCTCTCTCCCCCTCGATCGTTGCGCTCGAGCCCCGTACTGACCCACCCCCCCTCCCGCAGCTACAAGCAGTCGCTGTGGGCCGCCATGCACGCCGAGACGCTCTTCAACCGCGCCGACCTGCCGTTCCACCGCCCGACCGACTACTTTGCCGAGATGGTCAAGACGGACGCCCACATGGCCAAGATCCGCCAGGGCCTCCTCGACGAGCAGGCCGGCATGAAGGCGAGCGAGGAGGCGCGCAAGCTGCGCGACGCCAAGAAGTTTGGCAAGAAGGTGCAGCACGAGCGCCTGCGCGAGCGCGAGCGCGACAAGAAGGCCGTCGGCGACAAGCTCGAGAGCCTCAAGAAGCGTGCGTCCCCTTGTCTCTCTCTCTCTCTCTCCCTCTCGCGCAAGTCTCTTGACGAGCTCAATCATACTGACCCTCTCGGCCCGCCATCGCAGGTCGCAAGGGCGACGCCTCGTTCGGCGGCGACGACTTTGACGTCGCGCTCGAGGACGCGCTCGCGTCGGCCGGTCCCGCCTCGAAGAAGCGCAAGACGAACGAGTCGGAGCGTCCCGGTCGGGCACGCGCCGGCATCTCGCGCGCCGGGCGCGACAAGAAGTACGGCTTTGGCGGCGGCGGCAGGAGGAGCAAGGAGAACAACATGAAGGAGGACGACCGGAGCGGCGGCGGCGGTGGACGGAGCGGCGGTGGCAAGGGTCGTGGTGGCGGGCAGGGCGGTGGGAGTCGGGGCGGCGGAAAGGCGGGCATGTCGAGGAAGCGCCCGGGCAAGAGCCGGAGGCAGGCCGTTTGAGAAGGTCGAGCTTTGTCCTCTCGCCGTCGCTTGCAGTGCCACCTCCTTCTTTCTCTCTCTTTGCAGCCGTCTCTCTCTTTGCAGCCGTCTCGAGAGTGGATCTGCACACAGCGTTGCACCCGTCTAGCAAGCGACGTCGACTCGTCCCCCGCGTCCCTCGCCTCCTTACGAGCTCGCCGTTTGCCCCCTCTCGGCCCAGTCGATCCGCCCGAGCCCGATCGCCGTCCCCGTCGCGCACAGCGGCGCGAGCGTGAGCGTAGGGTGCCACGCCGCCGCCGTGACGGCCTGCTCGGGCGGCCACGCGGCCGTCGAGCGCTCGAGCGGGACCGACGACGACGTCTTGGAGAACGGGTTGTACGGGTCGAGCGCGCCGCGGAACTGCGAGACATAGTCGTCGACGTGTGTCAGGTCCTGTTGGGCGGCGACGCAGGCAGGGAGGGGATACGAGAGAGCCGGCTCGACGCACCTCGACATCGAGATTGTCCCACATCCGGACGGCGCCCGACGTGCGCTCGACCTCGAGGCGGTACAGCCTCGTCAAGTAGTGACCGCGCAGACGGCGCTTGCGCAGGGCGCGCACGCCCGAGGCGAGCATGGCCGTGCCGTCGAGCGACGCCGAGAGGGTCGTGGCGTGGTGAGGCGAGGCGGCGACGGACTGTGAGGGCGAGAGTGGCTCGGCGAGCAGGTCAGTCTGCGGCTCTCGAGGTCGAGAGTGAGAAAAGAGAGTAGGACGCGCCCAGACGGGCCCGCGGTGGATGGTGACACGGCCCTCGTTGCCCTGCATGCTCGGCTTGAGCCCGAGCCCCTTGACGCGGTCGTCGGCGTCGGTCGTGTAGGCCATGCCCGTGTGCGCCGAAAAGGCGACCGTGTAGAGCGCCGCTGTTGCACGTAAAGCGGATCAGTCGCCGTGCAGGAAAGGGGAGAAGAGGAGAGAGAAAGAGACGGACTGCGCTCGTGCGTGAGGACGCTCGTTGCGCCTCCCGGCTCGCGCAGGTCGCTCAGCAGGGCTGAACCGTCGTACCCGACCGAGACGATGCCGGTCGGCGCGCCGTCGAGGTCGTGCTCGGCGCGATTGTCGAGCTTTGGCGGCGGCGTCGAGATGAAGACGAGCTGGCGGATGACGGCCGTGTGCGCCGAGAAGTAGTGCGTCGGGCGCAGAGGACGATCTGCGTGACATGAGAGAGGGTTAGAGCGCGCGCGAGACGGTGAAGATAAAGAGAGAGCGGTGGGCGGACCTGGCTGTTTGCCGCTGAGGAGGATGTCGCCGACGCGCCAAACGGCGATGTAGCCTGTCGAGGGCAAGGGTCAGTCTCAGACCTCGTCATGAGAAGAGAAAGGGGCGCAAGGGACGCACCGTTAAGACACCCTGCAGCGAGGACCTCGTGCCCGCCCCATGCGAGAGCGTAGATGCTCGTGTCGGGGAGCTGCAGCCGCAGCAACGGCGACGCCTTGACTGCGGTCGTCCACATAGACCATCAGTATTGTGTCCAGAAGAGAAGAGAGCCAAAAGAGAGCGCGGCGACGCACCGAACGCGACCTCGTCCTCCTCGACCCTGAGCTTCTCCCTCGCCCTCTCTGGGTCCGGCACCGCCAGCACCGCCACCGTCCCATCGCCGAACACGCCCGCGACGAGCCCAACGTTTCCCTTGTCCTCACCCGCAGCTCCCTCTGCTTCTCCCGCCTCGTCGTCGACGTCCATCGCGTCCTCGCGCCCTTTGCCCTTGCCCTCGCCGTCCTTGCTCCCCGCCGCCGCAGCGCGCGCCGCCCGCCCGCCGCGAGGGCACCACGCCGCCTCCTTGCACTCGCCGAGGCCGTTGACGCACAGCGCGAGCTCGAGGCGCATGCGCGCCGAGTCGTCGTCGGCCGTTTCGGGCGCGAGGGACGTGCCCGAGGGCACCGACCACAGCTGGAGGAGGGCGCTCGGGCTCGTGGTCGAAGAAGATGTCGAGGAAGAGGCGGTGCCGGTGGCGGAAGAGGAAGAGGAGGACGAGAGCGGGTGGCGAAGGAGGGCGTCGGGCGAAGAAGTGGTCGTGACGAGGAGGTACTCTGCGAAGGGGGTCCAGGCGTCGTCAGTAAGGGCGCTTCGTCCGAGACGCATGCACAGAGAGGAGGAGAAGAGATCCTGCTCACCTTTGTCGGAAGGCCCGTCTGCTCGAGGCGCAAAGGCGAGGCTGCCGATCGGGGCGCCGGCGTTGAACAGGTGGCCTGGCTTCTTGCTGACGATCTCGTCTGGGCGGTGGACAGGGCGCTAGAGATAAGTATCCGGCTCATCGTGGAGGGGGGTCGCGAGAACGCGCAGGGAGGGACGCACCGAGCCTCCTCGTCTCGAACCTCTCGAGCTCGACCGCCTGCTCCTCGATCCCGCTCGCGACGATCCCGCCGCACAGGAGCCGGATGCGCCCGTCCAACTCACTTGACGTGTCCTGCTGAGACGCCGTAGAGGGTCCTCGTGACGTGCTCGGCGCGGTGGACGTCTGCAGCTCGACCGGCGGGATGGGGAGGTCGAGGGAAGGATCGGGTGCGGGCGAGTCGGCGGCGGCCGCTGCGGCGGCATCTGCGGCTTCTTTGCTGCCGGGCAGAGGGACGGACGGGGTAAAGATGGTCGACGGTCGGTCGGTCGGGTAGACCTGGCGAGGAAGGAAATGCGAGACGTGGCTGCGGTGGCTTCGAGTGTCAGAGGCGCGCACGACGGGAGACGCAGGGGAAAGGGTGGACGCACTGCGAAGATACGCCGACAATGTCCTCGTCCTTGACCTCGAGCTCGTCGTACCACCCTCCCCACTTCTCGCGCTCGCGGACCTTGCCCTCGCCGGCCACGCCGACGTCGTACCGGCCCGGCACGTAGTCCATGTCGCGCGCCCACGCCTTGTCGACGCCGAACGGGTTGCCCGAGTGCATCTCGAGGAGCTCGTGGACCTGCTCGTCGCGGAGGACGCCCGGCTCGCCGGCGCGCCCGGCGGCGAACCGCCTCGGCGCACCGCGCTTGCCCTCGCCCTCGAGCGGGACCGACGGCGCGAGTGCCGCGAGCGGACCGATCCACGGGTGCTGGAGGCCGAGGGCCGTTGCAGGGTGACGGTCCGACGGCTTGGCGCGAGGAGGAGCGACGCCGCCGGCTGCGGACCCGGTGCGCTGCGCGACGGCGGAAGCCGCGACGACGACCGAGGCGCGCCCTGCTGACCTCCCTGCGCTGACGCCCGTGCGCGCGCCGCGGCCCCTGCCCCTGCCCCTGCCTCGGCCGCCTGCGCCTCGCCGCGCGCCGCCAGGAGGAGGCGACCCGCCGACGATTGACCCGCTCAATCCGCTCGCGCCCGAGATGGACGCGCCGTCGTCGAGGTCGTCCAAGTCGAGGGCAGAGCCGGCTGCGCTGTCGTCGTCGTCGTCGTCGTCGTCGTCGCGTGCGGTTCCAGCCCCACCTGGCGCGCCGGGGTGTTTGTCGGGGAGCTCGAACTCGGAGCCGGACGACTCGTCGGGGATGTAGACGGGCTTGCGCTTCTTCTTGGGCTTGGTGTCGGGTGCTTGCGAGGTGGCGTCGTGGCCTGGGCGGGTCTTGTTCGAGTCGAGAGCTTCGTCGGATGATGAGGACGACGACGAGCTGGTGAGGTTGAGCGGGGCGAGGAGGTGGGCGTAGCTGGTCGAGGCGGTGGACCTGCGAGGCCTGGCTGCCATGGTGGCTCGCTGGCTCGGTCTCGCGGGCTCGAGGCTGTGAGAGCAAGCGGGAGAAGAGCGAGCGTTGGCCTCGGTCGCCTCTCGACCCTCTCGCTCCATCCCTTGCTGAGACTCTGCTGCGCTCGAGACTGCTGCAGTGCGCCGGTCGTCATGCTGAGGGCGCTCGCCATCCATCCCTCGGTGCGCCCACCCTTCTCCCTCTCTCTCCTCCTCATTCCCCACTCACCGCGACCTTCGCGCAGACCACGGTCATCGGGTTCAGCCGGTACCGCGCCAAGGTCCTCCTCTTCTACCTCCTGTGGATCTACGCACCGTCGTACCCGTCGCGCAACGAGGCCATCCTCCCCTCGTCGCCGCACCTCTCGCCGACCTGCACCGCCTCCGCCTCGAACCTCTTCCCTCGATCGAGTGCGCCCCTCGCGGTCGTCCAGCCCGGCCTTCCTCTCGGCGCGACACCCTTCTCGAACGACGCCGACGCCGACGTCGCCCTGCCCTCGCCCTTGACGGCAGCCTACCTCTCGAGAGCGTCGCATGCCTCCGCGTCGGCCGCCGCCAACTCGGCGCCCTCGTTGCCCGTCGCCGCCGACCACATGCCGGCAAGGGGCTCGACGTCTCACGACTCGAGGGCGTCGAACGACTCGGGCCCGACGCCACCGCTCTCGGAGCAACCCGCCGCAGTATCGGCTTCGGCAGACGATCTCGACGCGCGACCACGACGCGCAGCGGGCCCAGGCGCAGCGCGAGACGTCCACGTCGTCCTAAGCGACGACGTCGCGCCGAGACGGCCGAGACCGCGTCGCGAGGAACCCGTCGCCGACTCGCCGATCTGCTCGACAGCGCTTCCAGCGCCAACCTCGCCTCGCCTCACCCCTCTCACCTACACCCTCCTCGCCCTGCACCTCCTCTTCCTCCTCGAGCTCGTCTTCCTCAACCTCGAGACGTCGCCCGCCATGTCCAAGCTCTCGAGCACGCGCCCCTCGCTCTCGCCTCTCTCGTCGTTGACCACCCCGCCGGTCCGTGCGTCAAAAGGCGCCACGTCCTCGTCGTCGCTCGCCAAGCGCCTGGCACGCGCTCGGTGGCGCATCTCCACGACCTGGAACGCGTGCGGGCAGGAGCTCGTCGTGTGGGCCGCCGCAGCGCTCGTCCTCGGAGCGGTCGGCGCGACGTGGCGGTCGGGCGGCGGGGAGGGGTGGAACGCGGTGCTCGGCCCGCAGGCGTGGACGGCGCATCTGCGGCTCGCTGAGGGTGACGAGGGGAGCAGCGAGGGGGCGAAAGGGTGGCGGATCATGCGGAACGTCGTCGCGCTCGAGGTCCGTTCTCCCGCATTTAAGCTCTCGCTCCTCCAGACCGTTCACTGACTCTCTCCTTGTCCCCTCCTGCAGATCGCAGTCGTCGTACTCGGTCTGGGGCAGAGCGTACTGCCGCTCCTGGTCGCGGTCGGGCTCGTCCCCTCGGCCGTGCCCGTACCCTCATACCTCGAACCGCCTCCAACCTCGCCCTCGACCCCGCTCAACAGCCTCAAGCCCTCCTCGCGCCCTCCCACCTTCACCATTCCGCTCCTCGACCTCGCTCAGCAGTACCTCCACCCCTCGCTCGCCTTCCTCGTCTCGACCCTTCAGCTCGCCCAGCTCGCCCTCGCTCGCCCACCCTCGCACAGCCTCGTCAATTGGCGCACCCTCGTCTGGCTCCACGCCGCCTGGTGCGCCTTTGACGGCGCGCGCCGCAGCAAGGCGCGCATGACGAGCCTCGTCGCGCACGTGCGCGAGCTCGCGCGGGCGTTCCCTGGGCCTGAGCGCGGGACGGGCGAGGACTGGCGGTGCTCGATCTGCTTCGAGGGCCGAGGCGAGGTGACGGCGTGCGAGGGTGCGGCGGCGTGTGTGGGAGGGGCGGCGGCCGGGCTGGCCGCGGACGAGCCGAGGCGCAGGGTGATCGGGTTCAGGACGCTGTGCACGCTCCCGTGCCGCCACAGCTGTGCGTCTCTCTTTCTCTCCTTCCCTTTCTTCTCTCGACGTCGAGCGCGCCCTGACGCTCGCCTCGGTCGCCCACAGTCCACGCCCACTGCCTCGTGCGCTGGTTCCGCCGCGTCGCCTTTTGCCCAACCTGCCACCGCGACGCTCGCACTTCCTCCGGCCCGGCCCCGACGAGCGCCCACGAGGAAGCGCTGCGAGCGCTGCGCGAGGCGAGGCTGCGCGCTCCTGCTGGTACGGCGGCGGCCTGGGCGCAAGGCGCGCCGGCGAGCGAGGACGAGTACCCGGGCGCGAGGGCAGCGGCGGCGAGGGAGGGCAGGCGCGCGCGCACGGTCGACCTCGATGGACTCGCGGCGGCTTTCGAGGCAGTGGCGATGGGCGGGGCCGACCAGGGCGAGGGCGGGGTGGTCGAGGCTCGAGCGCGCGTCCAGCCTAGCGACCTTCCCGAGGTCGCCGATTGAGCTGTCGAGCTCTGCTGTACTGTAGAAGTCTACTCTCTTTGTCTGCACATACGCGCTTTCCTAGGTGCCGCACAGAGGCTCGAGCGATGTGGCCAAGAGAGAGGAGCTCTCTCGCGCTCGAGCCGTTCATTTCTCGCGAGCAGGGAAGAGTCGGCTCTCGGCGTGGGCCTCTTTACGCTCGCGTATGTCCAAGATAAAGAGAGTTGCAGAACGACAAGCTACATGGTGAGCAAGAGAGGCCTGCGTCCCGCCTTGACGCGCGCCCTCGCCGCCGCAAGAAGACCCGGCCCTCCCTCACAGCGTCGTCCTCGGCCACTGCGCCCTCATGGCCGCCCGGTACGCGCTGTCGTCGTGCAGGGGCGCCACCCGCGGGTCGAAACGGGTCGACGAGAAGCGCTGCGGCGCGTCGAGGCTTGAGGGAGGGCGAGCGGGGGGGTCGGTCGAGAGGGATGCGGACGACGAGGGGAGGGGCGCGCCGAGGTTGTCGAACGGCGGGAACGGCTCGAGGCGAGAGTCGTGCGGCGGGTCAAAGGCGGCGGAAGGGCCGAGGTCGAGAGAGGCGGTGGGCCGACGCTCGTCGTCGAGCGCGAAGAGGGGCGAAACGTTGTCGTCGACCACCATGTCGCCGCCGGCAGGTGCGGCCCACCCCGCCACGTCTGGCACACCATCCCGGGCGTCGAGTGCGTCGCCAAAGTCGCCCGCCCCGCCGCCGTAGCTGAACTCGCTGCGGCGCTCGGCGCCGTCCGGCTCAACCCCGGCCCCGGCGCTCTCGACCTCCCTCAGGAGCCGCTCGACGTCGTCCGTCGCCGCTCCCTCGCTCGCCTCCACCTCGCCGGGCGCCTGCTCCTCGTGCGCGAGGTCGAGTGCAGCGGCGCTCGACGCCCGTCGACCCTCGTGCTGCCGCAGCTCCTCCGCCCTCGCCTCGTCCTTCCTGAGCCGCTGCACCCGCGCGAGCGACTCGGCGCTGCGCACGCCGCTGTTCGACTCGAGCGCGCCTCGAAGTTGCTGTGCAGCACTCGAGGCGGCAGGCGAGCTCGGCCGGAGCGGGAGCTCGACGTGCGAGAAGCGGCGGGTGAGCGACCGGCGCGCTTTGCTGTGCGGCGCCGAGGCCGGATCGGGTGCTGGTGCGGGGGCAGGCGAGGTCGAAGGCAGGAAAGGCGTGTCGAAGGAGGCGGGCTCGGGCGCGACGGCGGGCCACGACGAGCTCGCGCGACGCGACAGGCTCGTGCGGTTGGCGGGCTTCGAGCCGTACGTGCGTCGGCGTGGCGGCTCGACGACTGCGACGGGTGCTGAGAGGCTGTCGGACGAGGAGGATGCGCTGCTCGAGGTCGACGAGGAGGACGAGGAAGAAGCGGCGGACGAGGCCGAGCCGTGGAGGAAGGCGCGCTCGGAAAACGCGAAGTCGGGGACTGCGCGCGACGAGTACTGTCAGTGAGGGTCCTCAGGATAGTCGAAGGACTCGCGACGCACTGCCTTTGCCGCCGAGCTTCATGCGGGTCGACGCCTTGCCCTTGTTGAAGATGCCGATCTGCGGCTTGGGCTTGAGCTGCGAACGGCGAGGAGCAAGTCAGTGAGGGCTCGCGAGACGTGGAGGACGTTATGCGCGAGAGAGGGGGAGCGAGAGACGCACCGTGAGCCGACCGGACGTAACGTTCTTGGCCTTGCCCATCTCCTGCACGACCTTGCGGCTGCGGCCCTCCTTGGTCGTGCGCTTGACCTTTTTCCTCGCGACGCCCTCGTTCTCCTGGTCCTCGTCCGTCTCGCCGTCGCTCGCCGCCTGCCGCCGCCGCCTCGACGCCTTGACCTTCTCGGCGGCGGCCGTTCCGACGGCGGCGGCGGTCAGGGTGCGGTCCTTGCGGATGAGCGCTTTGGCACGGCGGCGTTCGCGACGAGCTCGCAGGCCTGTGTGCGAGAGAGCTTGGTCAGCGAGGTGAACGAGGGCAGTTCGCAAGGGCGAGGGAAAGAGGGACGCACGCTGCTCCACCTCGTCCAGCTCGTCTTCTCCCTCGGCCTCGGCGCGCAGCTTGCCGCCCTTGGGCACCTTGCCCCGCTTCTTCTCCTTCTCCTTCTCGTTCTGCTTGCCCTTGTCCTTCTTGCGCCCGTCCTTGACCTGCGCCCGCTCGGCCCGCGGCACCAAGATGCTGCTCGTCGCGCTCGCCGCCCCGCCGCGCTCCCGCTCCCGCTCGCCGTCGCCGTCTCGCGCGCGCTTGCGCTTGACCGCCGGCGCAGGCGCAGGGGCAAGCGCCGCCGAGGACGAGACGCGCCCGCGCATGGCCTGCACGAGGAGCGGCTTCTTGGTGCGCGGCGCCGCCTTGTTGTCGCCGCCCGGGTGGTGCAGGACGAGGGCCTCGTCTGCTCGCCGGGGCCGTTGGAGCCCTGCTGCGCCGCCGTGCGCGTCTGCGCCCTCGCGCAGGCGGGCGTCGCGCCAGGCCCGGAAGCGCGGCGGCGTGTTTACGCCGTCGAACTCGGCGGCGACCTTTGTCGGGGACAGGGGCGGGTCGTCGAAGGCGGCGGGTGAGGCTGGGGTGGTGGCAAGGTAGGCTTGGACTGTGCGGCGCGGTGCTGGAGGGTGGAGCGAGGTGTGGTGCGCGAGGTTGGTCGATGAGAGGCGCTCAGGTTTCGAGGACGGGGCGGGAGGGCGCGCGAGGAGGCCCTGCATGGAGGTGTGGCCCGTGTGCGGCGTTGGACAGCAGGTACAGGTGCACTCGATGGCGCTGAGCTGGGTTGCGCGAGCTGGGCGACGACACCCACGACGCGAGGAGGCGAGATGCACAGGCCGACGCGGCTGCTCTCGCTGGACGAGTCTGAAGGGGTCCGCTCTTGCTCTCATACTGTCAGAGAGTAGCCTGGTCCCCAGGTGGCACCAGAGAGGCGGCGAGACGAGCGCACCACGTTGCTGCACCGCCTCGCTCGCAGGAGAGCGCCACCGACAGCCTCTCGCGACGAGCTGCATGGCCAGGGCCGCTGTGAGGCTACAAGCTAAGATGCTGCACAGCTCAGTCCACTCGAGCAAGCTCAAGTCGAGCTGAGAGCGAGTCTCCCGGCGTCGCCCAGCTCGGCATCGCTCCCGCTCGCTCGCCTCGCTCTCACACACGCTCCGCTCCAGCTCGAGCACCATGACCAGCAAGGAGACTGTCCTTGCGCAGATCGAGGACGCAAGTCGAGGGTGCGTCTCGCCTCTCCCTCTCTCCCCTCTCCTCCTCGCCGCGCGCTGACGTCCCCCCACTCGGCAGGTCCGTACACCTTTCCCTCGCCCTTCTCCCCGTGGAGCAGAGACGTGCGCCATGGCGGCACTGGCTGGAGCGGCGGCCTCGGGCCAGGCGGATGCAGGTGGGACGAGCGTGAGAGGTCGCAGCAAGCCGAGGCTCCTCAGCTCGCGACGGGTGGGCGCAGCTCCGCTCCTGGGGGCAGCTGGCAGCGAGCGGCAGGCTCGGCATGGGCTGCAGCAAGGAGGGCGGCCCCGCAGCGCGTCAGTCACTGACCCACTCGCTCCTCGTGCCGCAGGTTCGACGCCCTCCTCGACAACCGCCTCCTCGACTGTTTCGCCATCCTGCGCAGCCAGCCCAACTCGGCACCTCATCTCGTCGGCACCGGTATCGCTTCCTTCCTCAAGGCCATCTTATCGCGAGAGGATGCCGAGCTTCGCGAGGTGCGTCGTCCATTCCCTCGGCGAGAACTTTCGCCACCATATGTCTCCCGGCACCCAGCCTGACTCTGCCTCTCCCTGAAACGCAGGCTACCGAGACGCTCGTCAAGGCCGAGGCCGTCGCGACCGCCGAGACCAAGATCAAGCGGCCAAAGGGCGACTCGACCGGCGTGTACCCGGCCGGCATCGAGTACAAGCTCTTCCAGGCCGACGCCGTCCTCGGCCAGGCGCTTGTCGCCGTCATGAGCGAGAGCTACGTCGAGTTCGCCAAGGCCATCTGGAAGCTCAACACGGCGTACAAGGTGCGCCCCTTCTCGCTCTTCCTCCCTCCCCGCACATTCCCTTTCTCGCTCGTTGCGTCATATAGCCGTCCTGACACCGTCGGTACCATGCACAGCTCCTCGCGACGGTCCAGAAGACGGTCTTCCCCGACGGCGTCGGCGAGAACGAGTCGCTCGAGTCGGTCTTTACCAAGCTCAACGAGCACTACCTCGAGGCGACGACGGCGGCGCAAGCTCCCGCCGCCGAGTCGGGCGGCGGCTTCTTCTCGTCATGGGGCCGCAAGCGCGCGCCCGCTGTCGCTGCCTCGCTGCGCCACTCGTCGTCGTCGTCGGCCATCCCGACGCTCCACGCGCCGACCCCGACTCGCTCGGGATCCGCCTCGGTGCCCGGCTCGCACGTCGCGTCCGAGAACGCGTCGGTGACGGACCTCGTCGAGGGCGTCGACAAGACGGCGCTCGTCGCGACGGCGGGCGACGGCGCCGAGGAGCACCCGGCGCCGCTGTGGGCGGGCGACCGGCTCACGACGACGGTCATCAGCGGTGCGGCTCTCGGCGCGGGCATGTTTGGCCTGATCTTCTCGAGTGCGTCCTCTGCTCTTTGTCATACTCGTCCTCCTCCTCGTCGCGCCCATTTCCTTCTCCTCCTCCTTCTTGCTCTTCGTCAAGCTCTTGTAGAGCCCGGCACTGACTCTGTCCTCGTACATGCACGCAGTGATGCCGCCGCGCATGGTCAAGCTCATCTCGTGGTTCGGGTTCGCCGGCTCGTCGCGCCAGTCGGCCCTCAAGCTCCTCGCCGTCTCGGCCGCGACCGGCGACGACGTGCACGGCTACTTCGCCAGCCTCACCCTGGTCACCTTCTACGGCTTCATCCTCCTCATGTCGGGCTGGCAGTCGTCCGAGTCGACCTACCTCGCCACCCTGTCGCGCACGCTCGGCCGCGTCACTTCTCGGTTCCCGAACGGCACACTGTGGGTCCTCAACCGCGCCAAGCTCGCCCGGTACAGCCGCGACCCGGACACGGCCATCGCCATCATCGTCGAGGCGCTCGCCAAGGAGAAGAAGGAGGGCAACTCGTTCAGGGAGGCCGACAGCTTGCTCGTGTTCGAGGTGCGTCCCTGTCTCTCCCTCTCTCTCTCTCCCATCCCCTCTCTTCCACCCTCTCTCCTCTCTCGTTTCTCAATGTCGTGTTGCGCTTGACGGTTCGTGAACTTGACGTTGTCGTCCTCGTCGCGCAGCTCGGCTGGCTCAAGCTCTCGCAGGCCAAGTGGGTCGAGACGGCCGACGCGTTCGAGCAGATGTGCGACCTCAACAGCTGGTCTCACGCTACGTGAGTCCACTCTCCTCTCCTGGAAGATCCTCGTCTCGATCCCGGGAAAAGGCGGCGTACTGACCGCCGCTCGGACCCCCTCCCTCTCGCCCGCTCGCCCGCAGCTACATCGCCATCGCCGCCGGCGCCCTCATCGACGAACTCAACACGCAGCGCCTCGCGTCGCCCTCCTCAGCACTCGACGCCGCTCTCGTCTCGCGCACCGAGTCGCTCCTCGAGCGCCTGCCCGGCCTGTGCCAGCAGAAGCGCGTCTTTGGCGAGAAGCCCGTTACTGAGACGTTCATCGTCAGGAGGGCCGAGGTGCACAGGGTCAAGAGAGAGAGGTGGGTGCAGAGGGGAAGGGTCAAGCCCGAGGCGGGAGTGTGGGAGGTCGTCCGGTTGACGAACGCGATGGGTGCGTCGGCCTCTTTCTCTCTTCGCCTCGTCCGTCTCTATGATCGACCTGCCACTCTGACACTCTCCTTGACAAGCAGAACTCGGCCTCTTTTGGGCGACTGTCGGCGGGCGCTCGCCGCCGAGCGGCATCCGCACCCAGATCGACCTCCTCAGCGCCTTCCACCCTCACCCTCGCCTCCCTGCCTCGACATCCTCCGCCGGCTCGTCCCTCTCGGCACGCCCTGCATCGCCCACACCCTCCCGCACGCCCTCGACGCTCAGCACCTCGAGCGCGACGGCCGGCAAGTGGGGCATCGACCCGCAGACGTCCGACCTCGACACGCCCGCCGAGATCCTCATCCGCGACCTCATCCTCGGCGTGCTGTACGCCGCCCTCGCCCACTACGAGCCCGCCGCAGGGCACTTCGCGACGGCGACGCACCTCCTCGACGGCGTGCTCGCCGCGTCCGACGCCGAGCTGGGCGACGAGAAGTGGGCGAGGGCCTTTGCCGGGTGGCACAGGGCGGTGGTCGAGTTGCGGATTGGCGACACGGCCGAGTGCGCGGGCGAGGGCAAGGTCGGGTGGAGCAAGAGGGCCAAGAGGGCCGACGAGTGGCTCGCGGCCGTGCTCGCCCTGCCCGAGTTCGACATGAAGACGCGCCTCGAGTCGCGCGTGCTCATGCTCCGCGACGAGATCGCGATGCGCAAGGCCAAGCTCGGCCTCGCCTGAGCTGTCCCGGCTCCACATTTTCGCCCTTTCTCTTCCTCTCGCAACCCTTCCGCACCCCCTCTTGCACTTCCACCTCGCCTCTTCTCAGGACTGGTTCCTGCTGTAGATCCTTAACGCCTAGACGGAATTGTTGGCTTGACGTTCATCTCTCTGTTTGCACGAGAGTCGAGAGCGAGAGCGCGAGAATGCGAGATTCGAGAACGAGAGACCGGCGAGAGGCAACTTGGGAAGGCCCGCTCGGACCTCTTTCGCAGAAACTCTCGCTCGCTTGCCCCACGCTTTCTCTCCATGCGAGAGAAACTTTGATCGTGATCGAGAAGCGGTTCGCGACATCAAGCTACACATTAGGCTGAGAGGAGAGGCGACGATAGAGGAGGGAAAGCTAGGGTCAGGAGCCGCCGTCGACGGCGGCGCCTCGGGAACTTGGCCGTCGTCGAGTTACAAGTACGGGGTACCGACAAAGTGAGGGTGTGCATGGCGAGGGGGGATAGAGAAGGCGAGACGACGACGTGGGGAAAAGGTGAAAGGGGAGGCGAAGCTAAAGGTGACGGCGAGGTGGTGAGGCCGACGAGGCAGAAGCGAGGTCGTGTAGAAGCGCGATCAGGTGTGGGCGTCAGGTCGAGGCTGCCGCCTTTCCCTGCCAAGAGGCAGTCGACGACGGCGGATTTCGAGAGAGGGCCCATCCTGCGTCGGCGTTCGCTCGAGCAGCGTCAGGTCCGGCTCGCCGCGAGAGAAAGAGGAGAACAGTCTGGACGGACCTTTGATTCCGAAGAGGGACGCGGTCCAGAGGAACCAGGCGCAGACGGCGGCGACCGTGAGGCACAGGAAAGCCTGAGAAGGATCGGGTCGAGGAAGGTCAGTCTCGGGATCTCTGCAGCTCGGGTGAGGATAGAGAGGCTCGAGGAACGTACCATGACGTCGTCGAAGTGGTGCCGCATGGCGGCGAACGTGACCTGCTCGGTCGAGAGGATAAAGACGACGCCGCCGCTCGTCAAACACAGGCTCGCGAGCGCCTCGGTCGGTGGTCGGCCGGGGAGGATCGACGCCGGCGGGCGCAGGTAGAGGAAGAAGTAGGTCATGAAGCGGAAGATGGCAAAGGCGGCGAGGAGGTTGCCCCAAAGCGCGTGGATCTCGACCTGAAACACGTAATTTTGGTGGTGGGCGGCCATGGCGACGCCTGCGGGACGTCCGAAGATTCAGTTCGAGGCTCTGACGCGAGTCTGTGACGAGGACGCACCGATGACGAAGATGCAGAGCGCAGGGAACGGGTTGAAGCTGAACGCGGCCGCCGCCGGCGGGGTGATGGCGCTCAGGCCTCGCCCGGACGCCTGCGCGGCCGGCGTCGACAGCCACGAGCGGACGGTGCGCGACTCGAGGAGCATGCCGAGCGCTCCTCCTGCCCAGAAGAGGACGGCGATTGAGACGTGCTGCGGGAGGAAGAGCGTCAGGACTCGCTGCATCTCCTGCTCGAGGCGAACGGACGAAACGGACCTGAACGTCCTTGACCGACCAAGCGCCCGTCTTGCCGAAGCGCTCCATCCAGACATTTGTCGAGCCGTAGAGCGTAATTACGGCGGCCTCGACGAACTCGGCCGTCCAGATGGTCGTCGTCTTGGACGGGTGGCGATTCCACGCCCAGCCGAGCGACGAGAAGGCGCCGCAGTACCGCGCGAACGTCAGGAGGCCGTACCACACAAAGATAGAGCCCTTGACGACGTGTGCGAGGCAGCTGTGAAGGAGGGAGAATCAGTCGGCGAGGACGCGCAAAAAGAACGAGGCGAGGACGACGAGACGCACCCGTTGAGGTACCGCTCGCGGCACGTGCCCGTCCACACAGCGACGCCCGAGCAGACCTCGACGTAGCCGAGCAGAACGAGCATGCGCTGCGCAAAGTCGAGCGCGAGCGCGCCGAACTTGCGCCAGCGCTTGACGGGGTCCGAGCGGGCGCCGCCGTCCTCGAGAGCGAGCGAGTTGGGGTCGACGACGTCGATGACGGTCTCCTCGTCCGAGAACGACTGACCGCGAGACGAGCTGCGACGGGGCTCGCGGCCGGGCGACGTCCAACGCGCAACATCGTCGCGCTCGTGCTCGAACGAGATCGAGGCGGGCGAGTGGACGAGACGCGTTGACTCGTCACCGTCGTCGTCGTCGTCACCAAGCTGGTAGATGGGCTCGACGTCCTCGTTGCCGCCGCTCGAGCTCGAGTAGCCGTGCAGCTTGGCGCTCAAGCGAGTCGAGCGAAGGACGAAGCGCCCGACCTCGACGACGTTGAGCGCGAGGACGAGCACCATGACCGACCAGCCGATCGACGAGTGCGACGAGTGCTCGTACAGGTCGGGCGTGACGCCGTTGTAGACCTGCGGGACGAGCGAGGGAGAGCCGTGTCAGGCTGACGCGCCGAAATTAACATCTCGCGGGAGGGAGAACGGACCTTGCCGAAGAAGAGGCCGACGACAGCCGTCGCGAGGAAGCCAGTCTGCGGAATGATCGACAGGGCAGAACGGCCGGCCTTGAGGAAGATGGCTGCGCGAGGGAAGAGAGCCGAGTCAGGTCGACGAACGACGCGAACTCGTCGAGGGAGGGACTCACCGAGCGGCAGCAGGCCGAAGAAGGCGATGCTCATGAGGACGATGTGCACGTAAAGAAGTGCAGGCTTGCCGTCGTCGGACTGGTCGTAGTCGTAGTAGGACGGCGGGTCGGGCGAGTGCGAGAGGAGGATGAGCGTCTCGTTGAGCTCGACGAGAGGCGGCGCGTGCGAGTGCTCGTGATCGTGCCGAGTGTCGGTACCGCTCACGTGCGTCGGTACCGGGTCGTACGGGATGGTCGCTGTCGCCGAGCTGAACGTGGCCGACGACTGCGCCTTGCCGCGCTGGTGCGCCTCGTCGTCGTGGTGCTCGTGGCGTCGTTGCGGGCTTGCGCGCTGGACGGGTCCACGCTCGAGGGCTCGACCGGGCTCGCCTGCGGCGTCGAAGGAGGGCAGAGCGGCGCAGGACGCCGCGAGCGAGAGGGCGAGGAGGTGGACGCTGACGGCGACGCGCATCGCGAGAGCGGGTGGTGGTCGTGGGGCTCGTGCGTCAGGCGTGGACGGTTCGAGCTGGGCTGTCGTGGAGGGAGACGAGCGAGAGGAGCGAGCTTGCTCAGCCGGCGCTCGAGATGGCGGCACGACGCCGAGCTTCGCTTTCCGTCCGAGTCGTGCCCGAGCCGCTCGGGCTGCCTCGGCTCTGCCGCCAGCGATTCGCATCTGTGCCGCCGCCTGTCCTCTGCGCGCCCGTGAGCGCTCTCTGCGCGCTCTTGCGCGAGCTCTTCTCGCTCTCGCCGCCAAAGAGGCTCGAGCGGACGCTTCGCTCTCGCAAGTACTCTCGGCCGGCCGGCCGATCGGGTGCCGCGGCTTTGGCTTCGGCACGATCGATCGCGTTCGAGACGGAGATCGCCTCGCTTAATGCTCCTCACTCTTCCTCGCCGCCTCGCTCGCGCCTCGTATGTACCGCTTCTGCTGGCCACTCTGGCTCAACAGGTAGACGTCCACGTCTCGAGCCGGTACGAGCCGTCGGGTCCGAGGGCCCGAGAGCAACGCGAGCGGGAACTGCAACGCTGCGCAGGACGAAAAGCCGCGGCCTTTTTCTGTAGCTGGCACTCGTCTACTCGAGCTCTCGGCTCCCTCTCCCGCGCTCGCAGAGAGTCGCCAGACAGAGAGGAGAACGACCGAGTAGATTAAAGGAGGTCCCGCCAGACGACGTAGACGAGGCGGGTTTTGTACGACAAGGGGAGGGGTGCACAGACGTACGACGGGGAGCGCGAGGCTCGACTCTAAGGGCGCGAGAAGAGAGGGTACAGGATAGAAAGACGAATAGACGACGGGGCGAGGAAGGCGGACCGAGAGCGCCTCAGGTCGTGAGGCTCTCGACGCTGCGCCCGGCAAGGCTCGCCGCGTCCTGGTCGGCGTTGACGATGCGCGCACCGAGGAACTGGCTCGGGACGAGGAGCGACTCGGTCGAGTCGGCGCGGCCCATCGCTGGGCGCTTGAGCCGCTCGAGCGTCGGGAGCGCGACCTTGGGCGCGAGGTCCTTGTCGTCGGCGACGACCGCGCGAGGCTTGGTCGGCGAGGCCGCAGCGTCGGCGGGAGACGCGGCGCCGCTCGGCGCGTACCCGAGGACCGGCATCGAGTATGACTGGGTGCGACCCTTGGCCGACAACGAGTCGGACCCGCTCGAGAGCGAGTCGTCGGTCCGCCCTCGCGACGGCGACGCCGACGAGGCGCCGCTGCTGCTCCCGGACCCGCTCGCGCCGTACTGCAGCTGGAGCGCACCGAGGGACGGGCGAGCGCTGTGCGGGCCGGCGTACGACGCGCTGCGCACGTGCGCAGGGATGGCGACGCCGGGGAGGGAGCGTTGGCGGGCGAGGACGCGGTGAGCCGGCGACGGGATGTAGGCCGAGGGGTCGAACTGGAGGGCGGTTTTGGAGGTAGAGCGCATGCGCTCGTACGGCGGCGAGTGCGAGTGGGGAGGAGGCGAGAGGCGGGCGGCGTGCTCGGCGTAGCCGGCCGGGAAGGCAGGAACGGGCGGCGCCAACGCGACGTGGTGGCCGTACTGCGACAGCTGCGACAGGCGGTGGTCCGGGGTCGAGACGGGCGACATGCTGACCGGCACCATCGGGCCCTCGTGCGAGTGCAAGCTGTGCGAGTGGGCCGACAGGCGGTTCGACAACGACCGCTGCGGGCCGTGCGACGACCTCGACGGATGGCGCGACGCGTAGGCGAGAGCTTGAGGCGCATAGTTGCCGAGGTCGTCGACGACAGGGGATGCCGAGCGCTCGACCATGACGCCGCCGTACGCGTCCTCGTGGTGGTCGTCGAGCTCGCTGCCGTGCCCGTGCAGGCTCTTGTACCAGCTCTGGTGCCGCTCGAGCGTCGCCGCGTCCACCCGACGAGCCTCCTCGACGACCTTCTCGTCGGCGAGCGAGGACAAGCCGCCCGCCGCCGCGCCCGCTGCGACCGCTCCTGCGCCCGAACCGCCACCGCCGTAGTAGCCGCTGTGCGGCGCCGGGTTCCACACGTCGTCCTCGATCTCCTCGTCGCCCTTGCCGAAGCAGCCGCGCTTCTTGCGCATGAGGAACAGGACGACGCCGACGAGGATGAGGGCTGCGAGGCCGCCGACCGTGCCGCCCGCGATGGCGCCGACGTTGCTGCTCGACGACGACGAGGCCGGCATGTTGAGCAGGGTCGGTACCGTCTCTGCCGAGGTGCGGGTGCGGCCGGACGCGTCGACGACGGTGACGAACGAGGTCACGTAGGACGTGATGCGGCGCGGCCCGTTGACCGACGACTCGACGGCCTCGATGGCCGAGACGGCCGACGTGGACGTGCCCTCGCTCGGGTTGCTCGCCGGCGAGCTGTCCTCGGCGGACGAGGCGTCGGCGGGAGCGGCGGCGGCGGCGGTCGAGGTCGGGCCGGCCGTGACGGTGGTCGTGGCGAACGTGACGGACGTCGATGCCGCGGCCGCGGCCGGCTCGAACGTTGAGGACGATGACGACGGGGTAGATGAAGGCGAGGAAGTCGAGGTCGGCGTCGCGCGAGAGGAGGAAGGGGCAGTCGACGAGGGGAGGACCGAGCAAGTCGTGCGGTCGGGAGCTTGGCTCGTCTGGATGATGGTCACGAGCGACTCGCTCGAGCTCGTGATGGTCGTGACGGCGCCCTGTGCGAGGGGAGCGAGGGTGAGCTTGCGGACATGCGGGCAGACGAGGAGGAGGAGGAGGTGGGACGCACCGGAACGACCGTCTGAACGGGCGCGAACGTGGTCGACGTCTGGCACAGGGCGAGGTCGCCGAGGATGGTGGGCAAGAGGCAGCTGCTCGTGACGACCGGCGTCGAGGTTGTCAAGGTCGACGCCGGGCCAGTTGACTGCGGGCGGGGGAGGAGGGGCGCGGGTCAGGTTGAGCGAGGTGGGGAGAGGGGCGATGGTGGAGGGCGCTCGACGGCGACGACGCACCACGGCGGTTGCGAACACGGTACTCGTCGACACGACCGTGTTGAGCACTGCCGACCCGGGCACGGTCTCGCACGAGGTCGACATGGCGCTGGGCGAGCGAGGGCGGTGGGAGCGGCGGTCGGCGGTGCGGGCAGGCGATGGCGCGGCGCTGCGCTGCGAGTCGACGGCCACTCGGCTGCGGGTGGCAGGCAGCAAGAGCGTGCGCGCAACCCCCCAGCAAGCAAGGGCGGGCGAGCAGGAAAGCTCGGCGGCGGCTCCAGAGCCTCAGAGTCGGACGATTCGCCTCTGCCTTCCCCGCAAGGTCTCGCGCTCGTCGAGGAAGTCCGACCAGATCGCTCGTTCCATCGCACGTCGCGTGGAGCGCTTTGGCAAATGAGCCTAAGAGTCCGGCCCGCAGCACCCTTGTTCGCGCCGAAAGTACTGAGCAGAGCGTGCGACGAGCGCTTTGACCTCGTGCGCCGACGACTCTCCTCCCGGCTTACGCTTCCACCGGCGACGCCGTTTCCCTCTCTGGCTCTCTCTGGCTCTTCCTCCGCAGCTTTTCCTCGCTCGCGTCCCGCAGCCCAGCCGGACTGGCTCACGCTCTGGCCTCGTGCGATCAACTCGCGTCGTCATCCCCACTCGAGGAGCCTGCCGCTCCGGGCGAGTGGTCGGTGCGGCCCGGGAGTCGCGAGCGGGTGCAGCTCGACGCCGAGCAAGCTGCGCTCGAAGATGCATCGCTGCGCGACGTCGGCGAGGCGAACGAGAGACCACGTTGTCCGACGCCGGGACCTCCTCCTCGTTGCTGCGGCTCGATTGCGCTGCCTCGCCGGCCTCTCTCGCATCCGCTGCAGCAGTCACCGCTACTGAGGATCGTCTGCACGAGGGAGGTGCTCGATCCGCTCGATGAGAACGCCCTGCAGGTTCGGCACCGACCTCGAACCGCTCGAGGACGAGGACGAGCTGCGCTTGAACGTGCCTCTCCCCCCGCACAACGTCCGCCATGCAGACTCTCTCGGCTACGAACAGTGTCGAGCTCGTGCGCTCTCGGCTCGAGTGGCGGCCAGATGAGCTCGCTCTCGCGCCTCGGCGAGTTTGGGAAGGCCGACTCGCGCCTGAGGCTTCGAGCGCTGCTGCTCGCGAGAAAGCGAGGGCGCAGACGTGCTCTCGAGACACGCAGACCGAGAGAAAGAGGCGACGATGCATGCAGATCTACACAGGTAGGCAAGGAAGGCGAGTGTCGGTATCGAGGACGGGGCTCGTGCGAGAGAAGAGCAGGATCATGCAAGCGATGCGAGACGGTGCGGGTGCGGGTACAGGTGGAGAGACGACGCTAAGCGCAGCCCGTCGACGACAGGCGGTTCTGGGGAAAGGGCGCGGGGAAAACAGTCAGGTTCGGGCTGCGAGGGCGGTAGAGAGACGGTCAGTACCGGGCGCCACGTCGTCGAGGAGGTAGGCAAGGTGGACGCACTTGGTGTAGACGTCGGAATGGCGGGCGATGTAGGCGGCAGTCGCTGCGGGCGCCGAGAGAAAAGTGAGAGACGCTCGGGAGGCGAGCGCGAGGAGGGCTCGAGCGCACGGTGGTCGTCCGGGTCACAGCCGATGCGGGGCGGGCCCTTCTGCCACAGGCGAACGTAGTCGATGCGGAACGTGCCCGGGAACGTGAGGTGGGCCCACTGCGGGAGAGGGGAGGACGAGGTCAGTGGGCTCGCGAGGGAGGGAGGAGGAGGCGGACGACGGCGACGCACGTCAGGTTCCTGGAACGCCTGCATGAGTAACAGTGCCCGTGTCAGTATGTGTACGAGCGGTGGGCGAGAGAGAGGGAGAGGTGAGCGCACCTTCGAGATGGCCAAGTTTATGTTGATTGCCATCGGCTCCATGCTCACAAGGCGCTGCCCAATCTCGGTCTCGTCGTTGAGGCCCATGGCGCCCGCCGTGATCTGCCAGGTCGGCGTGCGGTTGACGGCCCACGTGATGACGCCGTTCGGACCGGGCTCGTACTCGAAGCCTGCGAGCAGGCGCCGGGCGAGGAAGGGGTCAGTGCGCGCTCGCTCGAGGTGGAAAAGAGAGGCCGCCGCGACGCACCAAAGGTCGAGTAGCCACGACCCTCGTAGGACGTTGTGTCGGTGAGCGAGATGATGCTGGCGCTTTCCTGGTAGCTGCGGGCAGGGTCGAGAAGGTCAGTCCTCCTCGCTCGACTGGGCCCGCTCGCTCGCGCGAGAGGGAGAGGAGGACGCACACGGCGCCGGTGAACAGGTTCTGAACGGAGCGCGTGTCGTTGTAGATCGTGAAGTGTGGCGTCTCGTTCTTCCAGGCATAGCCGGCGTCCATCGGCGCGAACTGCGAGCTTGGGAAGAGGTGAGCGACGATGGCTCGACGGGCACGAGTAGAGCGAGATTGGGACGCACCTGGATCGACTGCGACGTCGAGCCGATCTTACGCCAGTCGACTTGCTGCTCTGCAGGCGAGAGAGAGAGAGGAAGAATCAGTGAATGTCGAGCTTGAGGGAGGGGAGGGACGACGCACCGGTGACGTCGATCTCGGGCGCACCGCGACCGACGTTGACGCTCGGGCCCTGCACGTAACGAGAGGTCGTCAGACGAGGCGAGGAGAGGTGATTGAAGGAAAAGGGGACGCACAGGGTGGTCCTCGCCCTCGCACGTGCACGCCGACATGCGCTGCCCAGGAAGCTGCGCGGACAAGGTGAGCTCCCGGTCGACCGAGAGACTCGAGAGGAGGGGACGTACGTAGGAGAGCGAGCCGCCGTAGTCCCTGAGCCCGCTGTGCCTCGCGGCGTCGGGCCCGCTTTGGTCCGGGTACGTCTGGTTGGGCAGGGTGCCGACGTCACAGGAGGTGTACCTGCGGCCCGGACTCGACGTCAAGCTCTTGACTTGACGAGGGAGGCCGACGAAAGGGGGACGCACGAGTAAGGCCAGACGCCGTCGACCGAGCCTGTGAGAGGGAGGAAGAGAGGCATCGTGAGCAGCGGCACCTCTGGAAAAGGGACAGACTCGGACGCACCGCCGTATCCAGCACGACCGAGGTTACCGAGGGTCCAGACGCCGGGCCTGCGCGAGCACGTACACGAGGGTGGTGAGCCTCGTGCGACGACTAGGGGGGAACGAGGGAGAGGAGAGAGGGCGACGCACCAGAAGCCCATCGTCTCGGCGTTGCCCGGGAACGATGCCGAGATCTCGAGGTAGCCGCCGGTGAAGCTGCGGGAGGGAGGAGGGCGACAGGGGAAGAGAAAGGGGAAGTGGGTCGATTTGAGAAGGTCAACCTCGCGCTCGAGTCGTCGAGCACGCGCTCCACCTCGCGCCACGTGCGCCACTCGGACAAGGGAGAGAGAGAGACGCACCAGAACTTGTCCCATGACTGCAGCATGCCCGACCGGAAGTTGAGCCCGTTCCACGGCTCCTGGTCGAGCGTGATGACGAGCTTGCCGTCCTTGGTCGTGACGGCATCGGGATCATCTGTGCGGGTAAGGGAGAGGTCAGTTCGGATGCGCGAGAGGAGAGAGGGGAAGAAGGGAGAAGAGGGGGAAAAATGGAGGAAGGAGAGAGGCGAGAACGTGCACCACTCGTAGTCTTGCGTAGCCCACTTGAACGGTACGAGCGTCAGTACCGAGACTCTCCGACATGAACGAGAAGCGAAAGAGGCGGCGTACGTAGCGCAGGTCGACGGCCTCCCAGTACCTGGAGGGCGAACGGCTCGTCAGCAACGGGAGGACGAGGGAGGAAGGGATAGGAGAGACGGACGGGTCGTCACCGGGCCAGAAGGTGCGGCCGTCGACGTTGAACTGTACGAGCGAGAAGAATGTCAGTGACGAACTAGAGACCGTGGGTAGGAGAGAAAGAGAGAGCCGAGCGCACCTCGTCCGAGTACACGAGGTTGTAGACCTCGCCGTCGAAGAAGCCTTGACGTGTGTACGCCTCGAGCGGCGTGTCCGTGTCGACGAGTCCGGGAAGCCCAGGGATGAGGGGCACGCTGCCCGTCGCGTTGATGCCGCCGAGGTTCCAGCCGAGGTCGGTCCTCGCGCCGCTGTGCGGGTTGCCCCACGACCCGAGGATGCCGAAGCGCAGGACGGGCCAGCCGAGGAAGACGCCGAGGAGCGCGATGACGACGAGGACGAGCGACAGGATGTCGACGATGCGCGGGACCGTGTGGCGCTTCCAGCGGCGCTTGTCGAGCGCGGCGTCGACGAGCGGCGACGGGTCGTGGAGGAAGTCGTCGACCGATGCGTTCGACTTGGTCCACAGGAGGTGCTCGAACGACGTCGAGACGGGCGGGTACAGGTGCGAGGCGGACGAGGAGCGAGGAAGGTGAGGGAGGGCGAGCGGCGCCGTCGCCGACGGGTGGTGGTCGACCGAGGCGGGCGACGAGAGGCCGCGACGCAGGGCCGGCGTGTAGGTCCCGCTCGTGAAGCTCGACGAAGACGAGGTCGCCGAGTGGCGCGACGCGTACGGCAGCTGCGGGGCGGCGAGGTCGTCGTCGTCGTCCTCGAGGTCGTGGCGCGGCATGGCCGAGTAGGACCCGCCGACACCGTCGCACGAGTACTGCGCCGTCGCCGCGTTGATGGTCGAGGTGCTGAAGGCGGTGGTCGACGGCGAGAGGACGGACGAGAAGGACGAGAGGCGGAGAGTGTCGGGGCGAGGGTACGGGCCGTACGAGCCGCCGAGGGCGCCCGAGCGGATGGCTGTGGGACGTCCGTCGCAACGAGTCAGTAGACAGACCTGTATCCGCGCCGGCACGAGCTTCAGGGAGAGAGAGGGAACGCACCCTTGGTCGTCTCGTCGAGCCCGCGAATGTCGCCCTCCTCGTGCGCCGACGTCGCAGGCCCACCGAGGCGGGAGCGCACGCCGTTGTCGGTCATCGTGATCGTTGCGAAGGTAGGGCGAGAGCTGCGAGGCGGGCCGAAGGGCTGTGTCAGGGCGCGTGGACTCGGTGAGAGGGGGAGGGGGCGAAGGAGGGACGCACCTGACGAACGATGGGAGCGCCTCGACACTGAGGCGACTCGAGAGGTGCTGCTTGAGGTCTCGACGCGTGAGAGCGAGGAGGAGGAAGAAGAGAGCTCGAGAACGAGAGCGAGCGGGCGAACGTCGGCGAGGGGAGATGTCCGTCCGCTCGCGCCTCGTGCGCGCGGACAGGGGCTCGAACGCGTTGGGGCAGCTGCGCCCTCGCGCCGGCCTCGAGGCGCAGCGCTGAGTGACACGAAAGCCTGCGCTGCTCGGGCGCTCGAGCGCAGGAGGGCAAAGAAAAGCGAGAGAACGTGGCGCGAGACGGACCTTCGCAAGCGAGCCTCTCCCTCCTCGACGCCCGCCTCTCGCGACGGCTGCAACACGGTGCTCATGGACAGGACGACGGTTGAACGAGTAGGAGAGGAAGGGTACAACATGTGCGAGGAGGGAGACGAGGGGAGGAAGCTCGCCGGCTACGTTGGGCGAGGAAAAGGCCGTCGACGTCGGCGACGCGTCCTGCACAAGCCTGCGCCATCAGGTCATCTCGTAGGCCGGCCCGCCCGATCCCTCGGGCACCATCCAGGTGATGTCCTGCGTAGGAACCTGCGGGCGCAAAGGGGAAGAAAGAGGCGTAAATGAGAGGTCGCGAGGAGGGGACGGTGCTCGTCCACGGCGCCGAGCCGCCGCTCAACCCGCCGAGCACGCTCGTAGGTGTGCTCCGAGCGCACAGGGCGCGCAAGAGGCTCCATAGCGCTCGATGTGCGGGGCGACGAGGGAGGACGGCTCGCGCGACCGTCTCGCTCGACGACATTGGCGCCGCGATTGAGCGCTTTGGGTTCGGTCACTGTCCACTGGCACGCTCGACGCATAGAGTAGGAGGAGGGAAGACAGGGGAAGGAGGGAGGCGCACCTTGATGCTGCAAGTCTGCGAGCGCGAGAAAGGGAGAGCGTCAGTACAAGAGGACGAACGACGACGACGACGACGACGGCGCTCTCGAGAAGGGGAGAGAGAGGGCGTACCTTGCAGTGGACGCAGTTCTGCGAGTTGATCTGGAGGCGGTAGCCGTCGGCGTCGGCCTCGCCGCCATTGTCGGCAACGTCGAGGTACTCGTACACGCCGGCGGGGCACACGCGACCGAGCAGGCCGGCGTACTCGCCGACGTTCTTCTTGACGTGCGCGGCACGGTCGGCGGCGGGAATGTGCAGGTGGACCGGCTGGTCCTCGGCGTGGTTGGTGCCCGTGCGCGACAGGTTGGTCAGGAGGTCGAACGAGAGGGTGCCGTCAGGTGCAGGGTAGTCGATCGGCTTGTACTCGCTGCGTGACGAGAGGGCGAGAGAGGTCAGTAACCGCGAAAGAGGCAAAGAGGGGCAGAGAGAGAGAGAGGGAAAGAGGAAAAGGGCGAGACGCACCTCGCCGGTCGGGTCGAGGCATAGTCCTCGCTCGGGTGGTGGAACGTCCAGGGCACGCGACCCTTGAGGACGAGCGAGTCGATGCCCGAGTACATCATGCCGCCGAGGTTGCCGAGCTTCGAGTGGAACGACGGGCGCAGGTTGCGGACCTCCTTGAGCTCCTTGGCGATCCACGACTCCTCGAACGCCGTCTCGTACGACGAGACGTCGAGCGGCGACGCCGGGAGGTACTCGTCGGGCGAGGCAACGTTGTGCGCCGAGATGGCCGAGAAGGCGGCCTCGGCGGCGAGCATGCCCGACTTCATCGACGTGTGCGTGCCTGCGAGACGCTCGTCCTTGTCAGTCACCTGGACCTCTCGAGGAAAAAGAGGAACGCGAGGGACCCACCCTTGATCTTGGGCACGTTGAGGAAGCCGGCCGAGTCGCCGAGCATGGCGCCGCCGGGGAAGGTCAACTTGGGGATCGACTGGTAGCCGCCCTCGTTGAGCGCACGCGCGCCGTACGCGATGCACTCGCCGCCCTCGAGGACGTCCTTGAACAGCGGGTGGTGCTTGAGGCGCTGCGGGCGAGGCGAGAGTGCGCGAGTCAGTCGGGGTCCGAGCGAGGGAAGGGGAGGAAAGGGTTTCAGGGAGGAAGGGACGCACCTGGAGCTCCTTGTACGGCGAGATGTACGGGTTCGGGTAGTCGAGGCCGACGACGATGCCGAGCGAGACCATCTCGTCCTCCATGTGGTACAGCCACGTGCCGCCGTACGTCGAGTTGTCGAGCGGCCAGCCGAGCGTGTGCTGCACCTTGCCCGGCTGATGCTTCTCGGGCTTGACCTTCCACACCTCCTTGACGCCGAGGCCGTACGTCTGCGGGTCCTTGCCGTCGCGCAGGTTGTACTTGTGCTGGACCTGCTTCGACAGCGAGCCGTGGCAGCCCTCGGCGAGGAGCGTCACCTTGGCGAGGAACTGCATGCCCGGCTCGAACGAGTCCTTGGGCTGGAAGTTCTTGTCGAGGCCGATGTCGTTGGTCTGGATGCCGCGCACGCCTTTGCCGTCGGCCGTGTACAGGATCTTGGCGCCGGCGAACCCAGGGTAGATCTCGACGCCCATCTCCTCGGCCTGCTCGGCGAGCCAGCGCGTCAAGCGCGACAGCGAGATGATGTAGTTGCCCTTGTTCGCCATCTGGGGCGGGTGCGGCATCGGGAACGACGACGTGGGCGTGAGCCACCGCATCGAGTCGGACGTCGCGGGCTGGTTGAGCGGCGCGCCCTTGTCCTTCCAGTCGGGGATGAGCTCGTCGAGCGCACGAGGCTCGATGACGGCGCCCGACAGGATGTGTGCGCCTGCAGGACGGGGGAGCAAAGTCAGCGAGACGGGTCGGGGACGACGGGCGAGGCGAGGAAGAGGGGAGACGGAGGGGGCTCACCGACTTCGGCGCCCTTTTCGAGGACGACGACGCGAATCTCCTCGCCGCGCTCCTCGGCGAGCTTCTTGAGCTGGATGGCGGCGCTCAAGCCGGCGGGCCCTGCGCCGACGATGCACACGTCGCACTCGTCCTCGACGCGCTCGACGCCCTCGACCTCGATGTCCTGGTTGAGCGGCTCGGCTTGGCGGAGTGCGGGCGACGAGTGCAGTGCGCGCGCATGGGCGGGCGTGGCGCAGGCAGAGGCGCGGGTGGCGGGGACCGGCGCAGTGGGGCGAGAGCCGGACGAGGTGGACGACGGCGACGAGGTCGAGGGGGACGGGAAGCGCGCCGCTGCCGTGGCGACGCGGGCGGTCGCAGAGCGGTGTGCGAGCGGGCTCTGCCGGGCGATTGAGCGGAGCATGGCAGGTCGCGGTTGATGTGAACGAGCAACTTGAAGCGGGTCGGCAACCTCGCGAGCGAGCCAAGTCAAGCGCGTCCCGATTGGCTGCCGCCTCGTCCGGCTCGCCTGCAGTCTCAGCGGAGCTCTGCACGTCGCTCACAGCGTCTCGAAGCGCCCCGTGCATCGCGCGCACTCGTCGTGAGCGAGAGCGAGCAAGCAGGTCGCGGCGTTTCACGTTTTTCGACGGCTCGCGCTCGCTCGTCGAGCAGCTTCTGACAGAGTTGCAATCTAGGTAGCCACTCGCACCCGAACATGATCTGCACCGCGCACCGCAGTGCTGGATCGCGAGAGAGCGAGACGCACGCGCGAGGTCGGCGGCCGACCAGCTTGCTCTCGCCCTCACCGCTCTGCGCGCTCGGCTGCGCTGCTGCTTGTAGCTTGAGCCCAACAGAGCCCCGCAACGCGTGTCGCACGCCTCGCACCCACGCCGCGAGAGCTCCAAGGTGCGTCCCCTCCTCGTCTCATCAGTCGCGAGCCGACCCTCACTCCTGTTGGCCTCGCAGGACAGCGAGCTAGCCGCACAAGCACTCGACAGCCGCACACAGGGCCAGCGCGTGCCCCATCGACTCGCCCAGGCCCGCTCCTCGCCTTCCAGCTCCCCTCGCCCTCCCCTTTCCCCACCGGCCAGCGTTCGTACGGACGCCTCGTCCCTCTCGCGCCGCCATGGCCGACCCCGAGCACGACAACCTCCCACCACTGCCGCCACCCCTTCCGCCGACGCACGCCCGCAGCTTCTCGTCCTCGTCCTCGTCGAGCGCGGGCGGCAGCTCCCGACCCGCAAACGGCGCCGGCGCACTCTCGGGCGCGCTGCCCCCGCTCAAGCGCAGCGACAGCGGGGCGAGCATCAGCTCGACCTCGACCTCGGCGTCGGCGGCGAGTGCGACGAGGCGCAGGCGCAACGCGGCGCGGTCCGGCGATGCGGGCGCCTACGGCTCGCTCAGCGCGTTCTCGCGCGGTCAGTCCCCCGCGCTCGCCCGCACCCTGTCGTCGGCGTCGTCGGCGTCAGCGTCGTCGTCAACGGGCAGCAGCCGCCCGCTGCGCGACCGCTCGGCGCTCTCGGCCGCCGCCATCTCGGCTGCCGACCTCGACTTTCCCCGCTCGTCGTCCTCGTTCAGCAGCGACAGCAAGGTCGCCTCGCCCTCGCCGACGAGTTCCTCCTTCCACCACCACCGCCATACGACCGCATCGCTCGGCCTCGGCGGCTCGCCCTCTTTCCCCGCCCCGTCCGCCTTCTTCTCGTCCCACTCGCACTCGCGCCCTCCACCTCCTCCTCCGCAACATCAGCAGCAGCTCCCGAGCCCACCTCGCACCGCGTCGGACAGCGGCACGCTCCGCCGCGCACCCGCACCGCAGCGCGTCGCCGTCCCGCAACTGCAGCCCGGCCAGCAGCTCGACGCCACGGGCCCGAGCCCGACTCGGCCCGAGCGCCCGCCGAGAGACGCGCGCCGCAGCGCCAGCACGAGTACGACGCCCAACCTGAGCTCGAGCAGCGCGTTCGACCCGATCGAGGACGCGAGCAGGCCGACGGCCGTCTCGCGCACGAGCTCGTCGGGCCCGAGCGCCGCCGCAGCGGCGTCGACGCTCGACACGGACCACGACCTCGGTCTCGGCGCGCCCGTGTCGCGCTCGCCGAGCTTGTCGCGCAGCGAGGCGGGCGAGGGCGGGTTCGCGCACAGCGCGGTGGACGGCGCCGACGAGGCGGAGCGCAGGAGGGAGCGGCGAGCGAGGAGGGCCGACGAGCTGCGCGAGAAGAACCAGCGCATCCTCGACTCGATCAACGGGCGCGCGCCAGGCCCACTTCCCGCCGCAGCGCCGTCGCCGCCGCCGACGTCGGCCAATCCGGCGGCGGCCCGCGACGTGCCAGGGCTGCGCCGCTCCGAGACGAGCTCGACTCTGCGCGACGTCGGCGGCGTCGGCGACGGCGGCGACCTCGGCTCGCTGTCGCTCCTGTCGGACGAGCCGGCGCCAACCTACGCCCGCCTCGATAGCGGCGACTCGGCGTCGTCCTGGCTCGACGACACGCGTCGCGCCGAGCGCGAGTTCGGCGTGCAGCCCCCTCGAGCAGACGTCGACGCAGGGTTCGCCCGCAGCAGGACGCTCGGCGACCTGGCGCGCACAGCCGCCGCCCCGTCGTCGTCCCCCTCGCCGTCCTCCTCCCGCTCCCCCTTCCCTTCCGCACCCGTCTCCGCCCATCAGCAGCCCCGCACGCCCTCGGCACTCGACCGCCACGCCTCGCTGCGCGAGTACGCCCCTGCGACGGCACCGCGCGCGAGCACCTCGCTCGGCTACTCGGCCTTCCACTCGTCGGGCACGGGCTCGCTCCGCTCGACGCCCCGGCGCAGCGAAGTCCTCCTCGCCAACCGCGACCGCGATCGTCCTCGCGACCGGGCGGCGCAGCGCGAGCCGCTCCGCGCAGCGACGGCGCTCGGCAGCCCCGAGGGCGGCGCGGCGCGAGATGCCGCCATCGAGCGCAGCCTGCGGGTGAGCGCGAGCCGCGACGCCCTCAGCTCGTTCGCCAGCTCGGGCTCGGGCTCGGGCGTGGGCCCGGCGCCGTGGAGCGTGCGCGAGCGCGTGAGGAGCGACCCGCGCCGGAGCGTGAGCCGGGTCGACTGGCGGCGCGATGGCACCGCCGGCGCCGAGGAGGACGACGACGAGCAGGAGCTTGGGCGCGACGTGCGGCGGCACATGCGCGCGGCGACGGCGAGCCCGACGCTCGCTGCGGCGGTGCGCCGGCCTGCGAGCAGCCTCGCCCTCGGGCGCGAGGCGCCGTCCCGCACGCACGGGCGGGACACGCTCGTCGCGACGAGGCGTGCGGGTCAGCGGCGAGGCGGTGGGAGCGACGAGGAGCTGGAGGAGCTGGAGCACGAGGAGGAGACGACGCCCAAGAGCGGGAGGAAGCGGGCGAGCAAGGAGAGCGGTGGCAGCGGTGGAGCGGGAGGGACAGACGGGCGGTACTCGCGTCTGTCGGGCGCAAGGGCAGGCGTCGGGCGTAACGGTGCGTCGCCTCTCCCTCTCGATCGCGCTCGACCTCTTTCGGGTCTGCCGCTGAACCTTCTTTCCTCCCGCCTCACAGGTTTCGCCAGCATGTCGCCGCTCTCGCCGACGAGCACAACGAGCTCGCACGTCTCGCCGCCGCCATCATCGGCTCGCTCGGACGACCGGCTCTCGAGCGTGTCGACCGAAGCTCGCCGGGAGCGGCTCAAGGGCGTCGACGTCGGCTCTGAAGCCTGGATGGCCGAGTGTGCGTCTCGCTTTCCCTCTTCTGCCAACGCCTTCCTTCGTGACGTTCACTGACTCGCTCGCGGTCTGCTCCTGCAGTCGACGACCTACGCCGCCGCACGGTCCGCTCTCGCGCTTCGGGCAGAAGCGCCGACGCCGCCTCGTCGGCGCACAACGAGCCCGACCTCGAGCGCGAGCGTACGATCCGCGCCATCAACGCGCTCCTCGCCGGGCAGGGCATCTTCGCGACCGCTGCCGCCCTTCCTCCTTCCTCGTCATCCCCCGATGAACCCTTGTCGCCAGCCTCGTCCTCGTCAACCTCGTCCCCGCACAAGCGCCAGCCGTCTGAGCGCCTGCGCCGTACCTCAATCGCCGCCTCGCCCTCGTCTCGAACCCTCAACGGCATCGCAGACCGCGCCGGCGCCGAGAGCGTCCTCGGCGGCCTCATCAACCACGGCCTCCGGGCCGCCGGGCCCACCAACGGCACGGCGGCAGGTGTCGCCGAGGCTGAGCAGCATCACCGCCTGCTCTTCTCGGCGCTCGAGCAGTTCGAGGCGCACTTCGGCGCCGCAGACGCAGGCGGCGAGCTCGTCTCGCGCATGGACGCCCTCGTCACGTCGACGACGAGGCTCAACGGCGGCCTGCGCGGTCTCGCGCACAGCGTTCGCGAGGCCCAGGTCGCCGCGCAGCTCGACGAGGACCGCCTCGGCGCCGGCGCCGACGGCGACCTCGCGCCGTTCGAGAAGAGCGTCGCGGCGCTCCTGCGGGCGAGCGACGACCAGGTCCGGTGCCTCACCGAGGACATGGTCGCCTTTGCGCGCCTCGACCGCGAGCGCGAGCGGCGGGCACGGCGCGAGGGCAGCGCCGACGCCGCAGCGGGCACGAGCCGCCCCGTCTCGAGGGCGAGCACGTACCGCAGCAGCATGGGCGGCGGCGGCGGCGGCGGTGCGCTGTACTCGCCGCCGAAGCGTGCGGCGACGGCCTCGCCGTTCGACAGCCTCAGCAGCGGCAGCGCCCTCGTCTCGCACGCCGCCGCCAGCTCGCGCAGCCCAGCACTCGGCCTCGGCAAGAAGGACGTCCTGCGCGACCCGCTCTCGCCCGCGCTGGACGGCCTGCGCTCGTCCGCCGCAACCGGCTCGGCTCGGCGGCACACGCTCGGGTTCGCGTCGGGTGGGCGAGGAGGTGCCGGCGCCGGGGCGTACTACGGCGCCGGGCAGGACTCGCCGACGCCGTCGAGCGGGAGGAGGGGCGAGGGCGTACACGGGCGCAGCCCCCTCGCAACGCAGACGAGCAGGGCGGCAGATGGCGCGTTCGACACGCCGTCGAGGTCGGCGAGCGCGGCGGGCATCCTGCGGCGGCAGAGCTTGACGAGCAGCAGCGCGACGGCGCCAGAGTCGCTCGCGGGTCTCGGGCTGCCGCTGCCCGGCACGGCCGGGTCAAGCACGAGGAGGGGAAAGACCTCGGTGCGTCGCTCCCTCTCTCGCCGATTCTCTCTCGCCTCCTCTCTGCCTGATACTGACCCTTTCCCGCCGGCCGCAGGACACGACCGTGCGCCCGTCGTCGCCGACCTCGGTCCGCTTCCCGACGCAGGACCACCTCCCGACCACCCGAGTCGACACGGCGTCGGCCAACACGCGCACGAGCCCGACCCAGGCGCCGCCGGCCGGGCCTTTCCGCGCCTACAGCGACCGGGACCAGTCGCGCGCGCTGCGGGCGCTCGAGCTCGGCGCCAACCTCGACGAGGAGCCGCAGCGCAACTCGTTTGAGCGCGACGTGCTCGGCGCCGACGACGATGACGACGACGAGGCGCTCGCGCGCGAGCTCGCGCTGCAGCTCCAGGAGGCGACCGCCGAGCGCGACCTGCCCGACCTTCCTGCGGCCTCGCCTGCGGGCTCGCCGTCCGTCCCAACCACAAGCACCGTCGCCGCCGTCGTCTCGCAGTACCCGTACGCCGGCCCGGTCGTCAACATCGCGCGCCCGAACCCGCAGCAGCAGCAGCAGCAGGAGAGCCCGACGGGCATGCGGAGCAAGAGCCGCCTGCGCCTCTCGAGCGGCGGGCTCGGCGCCGCGCTCAAGAACGCGCTCAGTCGAGCAGGCGGCGGCGGCGGTGGAGGATCGGGCGAGCGGGAGCGCAAGAGCTCGGGCGAGGGCGAGGCGGCGGGCAGCCCGGTGCGCGGTCTCGGCATGACGCCGTCGGCGTCGCGGTCGAGCATGGCGAGCTTCGACCGGCCGTCGAGCGTCGCGAGCACGACGGACGAGCGCAGGGTCGAGCGCAGGAGGGAAGTTGAGGCCGTGCTGCGGCAGGCGAGGCGGTGAGCGGGCGGGTGGGGAGCAGGACGGCGAGGCTCTCGGTGTACTCTCTCTTCCCCTTGTGCCCTCTCCCTCCTCGTCTCGCCGAACACGACCTGTAACGCTCGCCTCGGAAGTGTACACGTGCAACGGCTCGTTTCAAAAAGCGTCGTCGCGAGCGAGAGCGACTATTTCTGCGAGAGCCACTTCACGGACCCACTCGGGCCGCCGCAGCGCAAGGCTCACGTCGCCGTTGCCGCCCGTCGCCTGCTCCGTTACGGCGAGCCAGTACGTCTGCTGCTCGTGCGCCTCGCTCGAACCGGCGTCCTCGCCGACCTCGACGAGCGAGAACCGCCAGCCGTCCATCTTCCGACCCTCGAGCGTTCCCTCGCCGACCCGCCGCGCCTCGTGCCCCTCGCCGCTTTCGCCCATGCCGGCGTCAAGCTTGAGCTTGAACGAGACGCTGCGCAGGTCGCGGTGCAGGCCCTCGCCCGTCGCCTTGACGAACGCCTCCTTGAGCGTCCAGAGCGCGAGGACGTGCCGCAGCCGTCGGGCGTCGCTGCCCGGGCCGGCGCCGAAGCGCGAGAGAGCCGAGAGCTCTCGCGGAGCGAGCTGCGCGGTAGGATGGTCGAGAGGAGTCAGTTCACGGGACGAGGACGGCGAAACCAGGGTTGGAGGGAGAGAGAGGGACAATGGCGACGAACCTGTTCTGCCACGCCCGAGACGAACTCGTCGACCGAGGTACCGTCCCAGGGATTGCGAATGCGCATGACGTCGACACCGACGCGAGGCGAAGGCGCGGTCGAGCCCGGGAACGGTGAGGTTGAGGCAGGGCGAGGCTCGAGCACCGAGACGACGGCGACGAGCTCGCCGTCGTGAGAGGTGTTGTAGTCGTAGGCGTGTTCAGGCGGTTCAGATCGCTCCTGTGGGCATGATGTTCTGCGTGAGAGGGTCGTCGCAGTGCTGAGAACGCGAAAGTGGACGGACGAGGTACGGCCGCCCTCGCTCGCTTTTGCGGAAGCTCAACGCGGTCCAAGGCTGGTCGAGCCGGGTCGACGCGACGTGAAGGGCAAGTAGTCGTCCACAGATGCATCCTGTGAGGCCGACAAGGTCAGGGCTGCGCTGATAAATGCGGTGAAAGAGGACGCACGGCGAGCATCTCGCAGGAAGCGGAACTTGCGGACGTCGACGCGCGATTCGGGGTCGACCAGGTCGATGAGCGTGTCGAGGGAATGATCGTTGAGGGCGGTGTCGCTATTTGGCGCCGGGAACGCCTCGTTGACGCGCAGGAGATGGACGGCGAGGGTTGAAGTCGAGGTGGTCGTGGGCACTGCGGGAGAAAGAGCGGCATGAGCGCGTGATCGAGGGGATTGAGGACCCAGCGACGCACTGCTCTAAAGTACTGGGAGCGCTGAACAAGGCTCAAGGCGTGTGCCGCACTCGCGAGAGGCCGAGATAGATGAGAGCAGGCGATGAGGAGCAGGTCGACGGCGCAGCCTCGTGCGGGCGTGCACGTCGCTTGAAGGAGCAGGCTGATAGAGCTGGATCTGCTGCTCGTAACAGCAAGCAAGCGCAGGCTGTGTGTCGAGCTGACGGTCCAGGGAGAAGCTCGTCGATGGTGCCGACCTCGCTCAGCTCCTCCCGCACGCGTCGAACGGCTCAGATGGCCGACCAAGGAGCACCAGCTGCCTCGACAGCACCCGCAGACTCGCCCGCACCGGACTACGAGGCCCTGACCAACACGCTGCGGCCCCTCACCGACTGCTTCCTCACGGTCCGCATCATCAAGTCGTTCACGTACCGCACCACCAAGAACCTCCTCTTGCCCCACGTCGACTGCACCACCACCACCGTCGGCCAACTCAAGGACCTGTGCCGCGAGCGTGCGTCCCCTTCTCGCCCCTTCTCCCTCCCGCGCCTCCTCGTCCAGGTTCGCTGACTCTTCTCCCTCGCGTCAGAGGTCAAGACGGCCGCCGGGTTCAGGCCTTTCCGCACCGTCGAGCTCGGTGAGTTGTCAATGCTCTTTGTCGTCCATGTGTGAGCGCCGCTGACCCTGTCCTCGTTCGCGCAGACACGCTCAAGCTCTACACGACCGCGCACGGCCACAAGGTGCGCTCCCTCTGTCTTCTCTCTCGCCGCGATCGACCTGACACGCTCTCGAGCAGACGACCAACCTCATCATCAACCTCGAGTCGGACGACGACATCCTCCTCGACGACTCGGCGACGCTCGCCTCGGTCGGCATCGGTGCGTCTCTCGCCCTCTTCTTTCCTTATCCTGTCCCGCTCTCGTCCGCTCACCATTCACTGTCGACTAATGCGCACGCAGAGCACGAGGGCGAGATCAGCTTCTTCAACGGCAAGCTGTACGAGGAGTTCAAGAACGACCCGGAGCAGAAGTGGTGAGCGAGGACGGACGAGGCGGGGAACGACGACGACGCACGCACGCAGCACGCATCTTCTGGGCTCTCGAGTTTTAGTCTCTCGGTGTTGTAGCGTCTAGCTTTGCAAAGGCGGTTCAGCCGCAGCGCGCGAGATGGTCGAGAGGCTGCAGCTCTCCTCGCTTTGCCAGCTTCCACACTGCGAGGGCGACGTTCCAGCTCCTCTCTCGAGCGAGAGCCGTCCTACCTCTCTCGAGAATCCGAAAGGAACTGCGATACGACCTGCGTTCCACGCCCACGCCGCTTCTCCTGCCCCTCGCCCGTCCTCCTCCTCGACGACGCGCCCGCACGCCCGCCCGGCTCAAGCGCCGAGCACCGCCTGGACCCTCGCCGTCGGGCTCCACCACGCGTCGACGCTGCGCACCCTGCCGCCGAACGAGCCGCCGTGGAAGTCGCGCGGGCCAACGGCGCCTTCCTCGCCCGAGAGGAGGAGCGCGAGGCGGCCGGTCGGGCTCGCGGCTGCGGGTGCGGCGAGCGACGAGGACGAGAGAGGGATAGAGGATGACGAGGGCGAGGCAGGAGAGGGAGAGGGAAGGTGAGAGCGATCAGGAAAGGTTCTGCTCGAGAGGCTCGAGAGCGAGAGAAAGAGAAAGCGAGGACGCACCGCTGACGATGAACGCGTCGGCATAGAGCGACAGCGTCGTCAAGTCCCTCGCAAAGTGCCTCGCGAGGAGCACCTTGAGCCCCCTCGGCACCTCGTCGTTCCACCGCTTCTGGTCCCACTCGCTCAGGAGCCGGTCCGCCCCGCCTCCCTCGCCCGACGATGCCCCGCCATTGCCGAATACCCCGTCCCACCTCGCGAGCTCGTCGCTCGCCGGCGCCGACGTCCTGACGACGTTGAACTCGACGCTCTCGGGCCGCGCCGCGAGCTCGTCGAACGCGCTCGAGTTGGCCGTGAGCGCGACGAGCGTCGCCGTCGTGCCCGGCGGGAACAAAGTCGGGCGCACGCGCGAGTACGACGGGCTCGCGCTCGAGGCGTGCGTGAGGCGGCGCGTCGCGTCGTGCGCGGCGGCGAGGGGCGCCGAGGGGTCGCCGACGTGGAACGACGAGGCGGCGGCGGCGGCGCCGGGTGGCGGCGACAGGCCAAACAGGGACAGCGAGAGCGACGGCTTGGGGCCGCCGAGGTGCAGGCCGACGACGGGACCGCGGTCGGCCCGCTCGGCGACGCCGAGCTCCCACGCCTCGCGGTCTTGCTCCTCGTCGTCCTGCGACGTGTCGACCGGTGCGGCGCCCTTGCGGCGGTTCCCTGTGTGCACAGATGCGAGGTCAGGGTCGGACGTCGCGAGAGGCAAAGGCTGGAAGAGGGAGAAGGGCGAGGAGAAAGGGAAAGGTCGACGCACCTCCCCACGTCGGCGAGTGCTTCCTGTGCCGCAGCCCGCCTCCTCCAAGCCCGAGCTCCATCCTCTGCTTCCGCACGAGCGCCGCGAGCTCCTGGTTCGGGCGCCACACCTCCTTGAGCGCGGCGGCAAAGTCGGAAAAGACCTCCTCGAACGCCGACGGGAGCGTCTCGCCCTCGGGAAGGACGGTCGTGCCCGGGGCAAACTTGCGCGCGCGAAGGTCGTCAAGGTCGTTCGGGTCGAGCATCTCGTCGCTGCAGGGGAAAAGAAGGCGGAGAGAGCGTCAGGGCTTGCACGCGAGAATCGTCCTGCACGGACTCGGCGGAACCGAAAGAGAGACAAAGGAAAAGCGCGACGGACCGGATCCACTCGTCGACCTGCGGCTCGGTCTCGCGCCCGAGCCAGACGCGGTCTTGGCCCTGCCACCGCCTCGTGCCGACACGCGTCGCCGCCCCGGTCGAGAACCAGTCCTCGGGCGGGCGGCAGTGGACGAGGCGCGGCACGAAATAGTCGCTCAGGGCGCCGTAGTTCCACTGCGAGTGCGAGAGAGGCATGTCAGGAGGGGTTTTGTGCTGAGGGGAGAGGGCTCGTGGAGACAGGAGGACGGACCTGGGCGTCGTCGGCGAGGAGGGCGTACCCGAGCTTGTTGGCGACGACGAGCGCGCGCGCATAGTGGAGCATCTCGCTCGAGAAGCCGTGCTGGTCGCCCATGCGGAAGAGCATGACGCGCTTGCACGCGGGGAGCGTCTCGCCGTTGACGACGACGTCGCCGTCGCCGGGGCGCACGTCGCGCCACTTGCGCGGGAGGACCCACGACTCGGGCGCGCCCTGGCGGAGAGCTTTGCGCTCGCGGGCGTGGTGGGCGAGGGCCGAGGGGCTGAGGCGGGAGGTGGAGGACGACGAGGACGACGAGGACGAGGACAAGAGGGCAGGGGCATAGTGTAGGACGAGGAAGAGGGCGAGGGCGGCGGCGATGACGCGGATGGCGAGCCGGGGCGGGATGTCGGGTGTCGACGAGCGGCCTTGCGACGACGCAGGCGAGTCGGGTCCACCACTGAATGGGGCGGTCCTCGGGGTGCGCGGGCTCGCGGCGTTTGAGCGCTTCTGGGCGATCGAGCTGGTGCGCACGTGGCCTCGCGAGTCGGCTGCGGTCGAGGCCATGGCTGTCGAGGGGCGAGAGGTGGACGACGGCGCGTGCGGGGGAGCGACGGACGAGGAGGGACGACCGGGGAGGTGCTCTCGCGCGACGGGCGGCGGGCTCGTAGGCCGGGCGACGTGTCCCGAGGGTGTGCGGGTACTGTGCGCTGGTCGCAGATCGCTCTGGTGCGCGTCGAGCGGTGCGGCGACCCTCGAGCGTCGACGAGCTCCGTCATCAGGACGAAGGCAGCCACCTCGCTCTCTTCGCACCTCGCGTGGACGGTCTAGCCGGACAGATCTATGCAGTAGATCATTGCGCATCGCTGTGAGTACAAAGACGCACCCCTAGAGGCGAGCGGAATCTCATCAGTTGCAGCGAGGGCACCTCGCTTGGCACCTCGGCCCTTTAAACCTCGCACGCACTCTCGCACCAGCTGCTCGACAGAGACCTGCACTCGACTACACTCGCCCACCGCACCTGCGCACACACCATGCCCAGCCCCCGCCCCTCGACCACTCGCCGCCTCCTCGGCCTCACTCTCGCAGTTAGCGCTGCACTCGCTCTTCCCTCGGCAATCGCCTCGCCCTTCCACCAGAAGCGCGCTCCTGTCTTGGAGCCAGGCGGCTACTACAACCCGACCTCGAACGGCGGCAAGTGGCTCACGGTCCGTCGCCACCTTTCCTCCTCTCGTCCTTCACCGCCCCCCTGTCCCCTCGGCCTCGTGCCTCGGCCTGCTCCTCACTCGCCCTACTGACGCTTCCCTCTTGGCCAACAGCTTGCACGCAACGCCGACGGCAAGGGCGAGCCCTTGAACGCCGTCGTCGTCCTCGACGGCGGCGCCAACGACGACCTGTTCGACGACTGGTCCCTCTCGATCAACTTTGGCTCGTACCTCCTCGACTCGCAGGGCGTCGGCAGCTACGTCGGCGAGTGCCTCGGTCAGAGTGACGGTGCGAGGCAGGCGGCCAACCTGGGCGACGGCCAGGGCATGCGTGCGTCCGCCTTCCTCCTCGTCCTTCTTCCCCTCCTCTCCTCTCCCCTTCTCTCATCTCCGCCCCTCTCTCCGCGCCTTCCCTCCTTCTTCTTCCATCTCCTCGTCCCTCCCTCGACCTCTGCTACCATCGCGCAGGCGGCCGACAAGGACCGGACGACTCGCTGACCTCCCTCTCCTCGCACGCAGGCAACCAGACGGACATCTTGCGGGAGAACTTTGGAGACGTTACGTACGGAACGTGCCGCGAATCCGCTGAGGGAGGGGAACACTTCAGGGTCTTCCCTCAGGTAGGTCCTGAAGCAGACTCGGGCGCCTACTTCCTTGCGGCCAGTAGCGAGGAGCCGCTGTCGCAAAACCATATGATCGTTCCGAACGGGTCCGTCCCAGTCTCTCTCTCCTCTCGGGCCCTACTCGACACCCTCCCTGACTCTGTGCTCCCCGTAGCTACGACCTGGGCCGCGACGAGGTCGTTCGGCGCGCGACCGTGTCGGGCGGGACCAAGTCGCCCGTCACGAACCGCACGTTCGAGACGACGGCGACCAACGCGAGCGGGCCGGGCTACTTTGCCAACGTGTCGATCGACGAGATCAATCACGGCATCGCGACCGACGGCGTCGTCGCCGTGCTCAACGTCAAGGTGACGAGCGACCCGGTGGCTGCGTGCGTCCCCTCTCTTCTCTCCTTCTCTCTTTCTCGTGCGCGCACGCGTCGTGACTGACTCGATGCATCGTCTTGCAGGAAGAGCACCTCGGCGGGCATCCGCACCCTCGGCTCGCCCTCGCCGCTCCTCGTCGCCCAGTCGGCCTCGTTCGCCCTCTTCGCCCTCTTCGCCCTCGCCCTCCTCGCCTAGGCGACTCGCCCACTCTCGCCTCACCACTTTGTAGCTATCTCGACGCCCCCACCCGCACCCGCATGCGCACCTAGACGCTTTGACCTCCCTCACCCTCTCTTCTCCTCCCCTCGCCCCGGCTCGAAGCCGCCCTCGCCTTTGTCATTACTCTCCCATAGACGTCTCCCGCAACGACCGACTCTCTGCTCTCTGGAGGCTCGCATCGGCGCTCGAGAAAGAGAGAGAGACTCGCGTTGCACATGCTCTGCTCGTCCACCGCCTCGTCCACCTCGACGGCCGCTCGCGCAGCACCAGGCCCGCCAGCAGACCTTGCCACTCGCCCGCCTCGGACATATCTCGCACTCAAACCTCTGAGCGAGCCCGGCGCCGGGCAGGAGCGCGCCGCCCGGGGCTTGAGAGAGGTCCACGCCTGGCTGCGAGCCGTTCGAGCGGCGCCTGGACCGCCCGCGGTTCTCGACGAGGTTGTCGACCGGGACGTCGCGAGGGGACGACGAGACGAAAGTCCACGTGCATGAGTGGGTCAAGGGGGACGAGGTGGACGAGAGGGAGGAGAACTTGAAAGGTCGTGGCGGAGGAGGTCGCAGGGAGGTTGTAGCTGGAAGGACGGGGCGAGAGGGACAGGCCACTCGGTCGCAGTGACGTGCGAGAGGCAGACGTACCAACGGTGATCGTGCATCCCGCTCGTGGGTGGCCGAGCCGAGCGAGGCGAGACGAAGAGAGGCTGGCAGCGAGGAGAGGTGACGTGCGCCACGCGCTCGAGCAGAGCAGCTTGTGCTCTTGCAGGACAAGCAGTGCGGCAGCTCGTGCAGACACATGCCTCGCCAAGAGCGTGCGTGGCGAGCGACAGCGAGAAAGAGGTGGGCGAGGGGGAGGACGAGGAGATTGCGCCCTCCACGCCAGCTCCTCTTGCGCCAGGGCACCTGTGAGCGTACTAAAGCGCTCTCGAACCACCACATGGGCGACCCACCAGCACACGAACCGCTCCCGTCGCGCTCGCATGTCCTCGTCCACCCGCTCTCGTCTTCATCAGCGCGAGCGGCCCACGACCTCGTCCACGGTGCGTAGAGCCAGCTTTCTCTGCCGTGTCCGTTCTCTGACATCCTTGAACTCGGTCGCAGCTATCCGCAACCACTCGCGGCACGATGCCGCTCCTCCCCCTTCCCCACCTTCCCCTCGCCCTCGCTCGACCTCGCCGCACTACTCGCCCTGGCGCATCAGCAACAAGTACTACCGCGCCTCGGTTGCCTTTCGCGTCATGTCGCCGAGCGACGCAGATTTGGACCAGGAGGACGACCTGCGCACGAGCCTGAGCGAGGGGGACGAGCCCGCCGTGGTCGTCGTCGCGCCCGCTTCTGCAGTGCGTCCAGCTCCTCGCCCTCTTTCCCCCCTTCCTCCGCGACAGACACTGATCCCGTGCGCGTGCCCACAGTTGCCTTCGCCGACCGTCCTCGCCCTCCTCGAGCGCCTCTCCTCCCGCGACCCCGAATTCGACGTCGCCCTCCTCGTCACGCACCCTCCTTCCCCCGCGCACGGCGCCTCGGCCACGTCTACCGCTACTCAAGCCGTCGCCGACGGCCCGACTGGCCCGGGCGCCGGCGCCGGCGAGATGGACGAGGCGGCCTGGGACGACGCCGCCCTGTCGGCCGGCTTCGAGTGGGTCCACCTCGGTCCCGCACCTCGAGCGGCGAGCGGGAACGGCCAGGTCGATGCGGAGGACGAGGAGGACGGCGAGTCGCCCGTCGGCCGCGTCGTTGCCGCCCTGCACGCGCATATGTGGGACGGCATGGAGCGCGTGGAGCGGCCGGCTCGAGCTCCTCCTCGCCGCTCGTATACGCTCGCCAACGGCACAAGCGGTGCTTCGGTTGGTCATGGCGAGGACAACGAGGAGGACGAGGACGACGCCGAGGACTGGTCGGCCTTGAGCGCGCCGCCTCTTCCTGCGCCGCGGGTCCGGCCCGGCGAGGCCGCAGCTGGAGCGGCATGGGCGTTCCCCGAGCGCTTCCTTCCGTCCATCGCGCGCTCGACGACGGACGGGAGCGGCGCGGCAGGCGAGGACGACGTGTCGGCGGCGGCGGGAGCGAGGACGTCGTCGTCGTTCGAGGACGACTTTGCGCCGTTCGTCAGCGCAACGAGCTCGTCGACTTCCTTTGACGCCAACACGACCGCCGATGCTGCCGCCGGCACGTCTGCCCTGGCGCATGACGCTGGTCCACTCGGCGTTGGCGGCGCCGACGCCGCCTCGATTGCCGCCTCGCCGCCGTACCGCCACCCCTCCCTCGCCTTTCCCGACTCGACCTCCGCCTCTATCACCTCGCCGCACCCTCTCCTGACCGACGACCCTTCCCTCGACCCCGCCGACACCGACCTCGACTCGCTCGACGACCTCTTCTCGCGCCTGTCGACCGCGCGCGCCGCGACGGCTTCGATGGACCTCGACGAGCGGCGCGCGTACGCCGAGCGCGTCGTGAGGGAACTGCTCGGGGAGGATGCGCTCGCCGGGTTGAGCGGGAGCGACGGCGAGGGAGAAGAGAGCTGAGGGAGATTGGGCTGTAGTCGGCGGGCGAGCGCGACAGGTCGGTGGACAGGCGCCTTCCGACCTTGATAGACCACGTGCAATAGACCTCGTTCGCCTTTCCGAGCGGCACGAGCTTGCTGTCGCGAGCTGCGAGCTTGCGAGGAGGGTCGGCGACGGTCCGGGCGGTGGCAACGAGGCAGTGACACTCAGCTCAGGCCCTGCTCCCGGCTGTGCGTCTCTCTCAAGAGCCACAGAGCTCCCTGTAGCACAAGGTCGCCCACCGAGAGCTGCGCGAGCCGTCGCTCGTTTCATCTGTCCGCCGGCACTTCGCGACCTCTCTCGCTCTCGCTCGCACTCGCGCAGGCACATGCCGCCGCGCACACGCATCCCAGCACCCGTCCAGCTTCGCCCATCCCCCCGCGCACGGCCCACCGCCGCTCCCTCCACCCCGCCATCGTTCGACCCCACCTCGCTCCGCGCCCGCTTCCTCCCGTTCGCCCCAAGCCCCGGCATGTCGTGGAACGCCGCTCTCGAGAACTACGCACGCCTCAAGAGGCCGGACAAGGAGCTGCAGCAGGGCGTGTGGCTCGCGCACAACGACCAGACGTGCGTCCCCCTTCCCTTGCCCTCTCTCGACGCAAGGTGGGCAGCGTGCGGTCACGAGCGGTCCGGCAGAGCGAGTCGAGGCGTGTACACTGCAAGCTGGAGCTGCGGGACAGTGCGGCAGACGCGGCGACGGTCGAGCACTCGGTCGAGGGACCCTCGCCGGCTACCTTGCTCTGGGCGCGGCGGCTTCAGGGAAACCTCCAGCGACGAGCCTGCCGATGACCCGACACTGACCTTCCTGGCCCGCAGGATGACTATCTTCGATGGCTTCGAAAAGGCCAAGTACCACATGCTCGTCCTGCGTACGTCCCTCTCTCCCTCCTTTCCTGGGCCTGCAGAGCCGCCAGCCCTGATCTTTTGTCCGCCGTCACACCTGCAGCTCGCGATCCGTTCCCCCTCCCCAATCCTCCAGGAGGCACCGTCCCCCGATCGGCCCTCGTCTCGCTCTCGGCCCTGCTCGACAGCCCGCATGCGCTGTCGGTCCTCAAGGCGTTGCGATCGGCGGGAGAGGAGGTCGCTGTGCGCCTCGACCGCCTCGCACGACAAGTACGAGCGTCGACTGACACGTGATCGCCCTGCAGGAAATGATCCGCGACGAGATGGACAAGGAGGAAGGGTGGACGTGGGACGTGAGGATGGGCTTTCATGCGGTGCGTCCGGATGCTCGCGACTTTGGCAGAGCCCCTCCTTTCTGAGGATCTGAGGAGGCCTTACTGACGTGCTGGTGGTCCCGTCTCGCAGGTCGAGTCGATGCGGTGCGCCTCCCCTGGTCGCGCCTCTCGCTCTCGAGGCGACATGACCTGACGCGCTCCATTCCTCGTGCGACGCAGCCACGTCCACCTGCACGTCATCTCGAACGACATGATCTCGCCCAAGCTCAAGAACAAGAAGTGCGTCCTCGCCTCTCCCCTTGGTCCTTGTCTGGGGAACGGCGTCGACGAGCACCGAGTGACGCTCTCTCCCTCGCGCAGGCACTGGAACTCTTTTCACCCGACACTAGGCTTCTTCCTGCATCTCGACGACGTGATCAAGGGCGTCGAGAGCGAGGACGGGTACCAGCTCGTGCGTCGACTCGCTCCCTCTTCTTCAGCACTTTGCCCGAGCCGTCACTGACTTTGCGCCCACCTTCCCACCTTCCTCGCACCCGACACATCCATCTATCTCCTCCGCCTGTCGCCCTCGCCGCTCTCGACCGCCCACCCGCCGCGCAGGATGCGCCTCGAGCGTACGAGCCGCTCCTCAAGGGCCCGCTCGTCTCGCACTATCCGCCCTACGCCGAGTTCAAGAACCTGCCGCAGCTCAAGTCGCACCTCGAGGACGAGTGGGAGCGGCTCGGCAGGCGAGTGCGCGAGGAGAAGCAGGCCGAGGGGTAAGAGGCGTCAGCAGGGACGCAATGAGCGTGCTCGTCTCGCTCGCGCGGTCCCGGCCGAGAGGCTCTTCTCCTCTTCTGCTCCGCCTCTCAGTCTCTCGGCTGGCCTTGAGCTTCTTCTGCTGCTCTCTCGAGGCTGCACGGCGTCGTCGGCCGAGGGAGGCGACGATCCTGTGGAGGCGGCGGTCGATCGTCTGTGGAGGTCGTGGAGGCCTTGGCCAGCTGGTGGAGGAGGAGCTTTCGAGGCTGCAGGAGCGTCGAGCTCTCTTCCCTCTCTACAGCATCCTGAGACGATGACGACGACTAGCCCCGCAACGAGCCTCAAGGTGCGTTCCCTTTCCCCCGAGTCACTCTTCCGGCCCGACCTGACGCTCTTCCGCCGGTTCTCCCTGCAGCGCATCTTCCCTCGAGCGCCATCCCGGTCGACGTCCAAGCCCCTCTCGATCATCGACAGCGTGTGCTCCGCCTTCTTCTCGTTCGCCGCCGTCAAGCTGTACCCGGCCGTCGTCGACCAGCCCGACCCGTTCAAGCCCGCCCTCGTCGAGGCGTCCCTCGGGCACGTCCTCTCGGCCTATCCTCACTGGGCCGGCCGCCTTCGACTGGCCAAGCCGGACGACCCAGGCCGCCCGTACCAGAAGCGGTTCGGCCGCATCTTCGTCGAGTACGGCTCGCCGAGCGACCCGGGCGTCCTCCTCGCGTTCGCCGAGCGCGACACGCCTCTCGCGCCCCTCATTCCGCCTCTCGTCGAGGGCGAGACGGTCGACGCTGCGTCGCTCGAGCGCGCCGGCGTCTACCCCGAGCTGTCGAGCGTCGTCACCTTGCGCCCGAGCCCGACCGACGGGGCCGCGCTCGCGGTCCAGGTCCTGCGCTTCTCGTGCGGCGGCGTCGCTGTCGGCTTCCGAGTGTCGCACTCGCTCGCCGACGCCGGCACGCTCAACCGGTTCGTCGCCGACTGGGCCGACGTCCACCGGGTGGCGCTCGCTTCGCCCGGCTCGCTCGACGGCGTCCCCCTGCCGCACCGCCCGTTCGAGCCCGAGCTCCTCGACGAGCACGCGATGGGCGACCTCGACGCCGACGAGCTCGACGAGGCGACCGAGCGCGAGTACGCCAAACTGCCCCGCACGGCCCTCGACCTGTGGGCACCTCGACCTGGATCCGCGCCTCATCCCGAGGGCATGGCCCTCACGTCGGGTCCCGACCCGTCCATCGACGCTGTCGACGCCGCCCTCGGTCGCCCTCGAGGCTCGCCGCTGCCCTGGTCGACCTGGCACCTCGACGAGCCCGTCTCGCTCCGCTCCCTGTACCTCGCCCCGCCGACCCTCGAGCGCATCTGGGCCGCCGCAGGAGGCCGAGAAGGTGGCGTGAGCGCACACGACGCGCTCGTCGGGCACTTCTGGCGGCTGAGCGTGCGAGCTCGCGACCTCACCGCCGGGACCGAGGCCCGCATCACGCCCGCCGTGGGCCTGCGCGCCCGCCTCGACCCGCCGCTCTCGCCCGACGCCCTCGGCTCCAACTTTGTTCTCCTCGCGTCCTCGTCGACGAGCGACAAGGTCGCAGGCGCGGGCGGCGAGGCGGTCGCAGCGCGCGCCATCCGCTCGACGATCGACTCGGCGAGCCCGGCGGCGCTCGGCGCCCTCCTGTCGCACGAGGCGCACGCCCTCGACCCAGTGAGGGTGCAGCCGTACTTCTGCGGCGAGGAGCACACCTCGATGTCGTCGTGGATCGGCGCCGGCGCCTACGGCGCCGACTTTGGTTCGGGCGCGCCGACGTACGCCGAGGGCGTCCTGCCGAGCGTCGACGGCATGCTCTTGTTCGAGGACGTGCCGGGCGAGGGGAGGAAGTGGATAGAGCGTGGAGCGCGGGTCAAGCTCGCGCTGCGGAACGAGGTCATGGACAAGGTGCTCTCGGATCCCGAGCTTCTCTCTTTGTAGCACAGCAGTCGAGCCGGCGTCTTGTATAGAACGAGTTGCAGCGATTATAGTTCTGTGCATGCCGTCCACCTAGAGCGAGAGCTCGAGCGAGGCGAGTCCGAGTGGCTCAAACGAGCAACCTTCTCAAGTTGGACCGGTCCGAGCGACGTTCAGCGTCGACAACGTCGAGAACCGTCTAGCGCTGTGCAGCTTCCTGCTCTCTTTCGCGCTCTCACGCTCTCAGCCCAGGCTCGTGGCCTCAGAGTACGGCAGCAGAGAGCAAAGGCGAGTTCCAGAAGATCCACTCGTCGCGCTCGTCGCACAGTCTCATCTCGTCCTCGTCGTCCGCCGAGTGTGGACCAGCACGTCCTCATGCGTACGAGTCGCCGTCGTAGCCTCCTCGACCGCCTCCGCGACCGCCCATCAGGCCCTGCGAGTCGTCGTAGCCGTCGCCGCCGTACCCCTTGCCCGCGCCGTTGCCGCCGCCCTGCTGCGAATTGAGGCCTCCTGCGGCGTGTACCATCTTGCGGTTGTCGAAATAGTCGACGGCCTCCTGCACGACGTTCTCGTTAAGCGCGCCCGCCACGATGAGGGCGAGAAGAGCCTGCTCGGGAAGAGAGAGCGTGAGCGGCGCGACCTGAAGGGCCGGCACCGGGTACCGAGATAGAGAGGGGGACGCACGAATGCGTAGCCGAGAACGAACGACCAGTCAGGGTCGCACTCGGCCTTGCTCGTTGCAGGCGTCCAGGTGATGCTGCGGGCGAGCGCACGGACCCGGTCAGGCTCGATCGTGACAGACTCGTCGACGAACGAAGAGGGCGGAACGCACCAGTAGTCGCCCTCGCTGTCGCTCAAGACACCCCACAGCATGTAGATGTAGCTGCCCATGGCCACGGTTGCGGCCGCGCCGGTGCCCATGAGGACAAGCCGCGGCCAGTGCCCGATCGGGTGCTCCTGCTTGAGCTCATGGGCCGACGAGCCGGACTTGCGCTCGTGATAATTGTCGTACTTTTGAAGCCTGAAGGCGAGAGGCAGGTCAGGGCGCGTTCAAGGGGAAAAGGCTCGAGGAGACGCACAGGACGAAGCACGCGACGCAGGCGATGCCGTAGAGCGCGCAGCAAACGGCGCCGACGATGGCCGGGCCCATGAGGTACCGCGGCAGCACTGCGAGGCAGTATAAAGGTGAGCGTCGTCGCAGGAAAGGAGGGACAGAGAGCGCGAGCCGCACGGTCCTTGCTCTGAGCCTGGCCCCACGACGCTGCACGGGACAACGGCGTCAGTCTCGGAGCAGGGCAGGGCAAGTGAGAGAGGACGCACCGGCTCCCGCTAGCCCACCAGCAAACACGGCTGTGAAGGAGGGCAGCAGCGTCCGCTGAATGTCGCCGGAGTGTCGAGCAATGTTGGCGCTGTGGATGCCCTTGTAGGCGTCGCTCGTGAACCTGCTCGTCACGAGGTCGAGGTGCGGAAGAAAGGGTGCGAGTTGCGTCCGCAGTCGATGCAGCGGGTCGGCGAGGTGGTCGAGAAGGCGAAAAGGCGAGGGAGAAGCAGGTCAGCCACGGCTCAGGTTGGAGAGGATGTGGACATGGCGACGCACGAGAACATTGTGGTGGTCGACGAGGCAGAGTCACTGGGCGAAGCGTCGAGAGCAAAGAGGCGAAAAGCGCGAGGAGGACGAAGCGGAATGTGCGCGGACAAGCCGGCGAGGCGGACAGGAGCAAGTCCGCGCGCACGCCCCCTGGAACGTCTCCTGGCCGAGACCGAAAGAGACTCGATCGACCGCAAGCTGCGCGGCCTGTAGCCGGGAGAGACGAGCGCGTCAGGAAGAGGAGGAGGAGGAGGAGGACGAGGAAGAAGAAGAGACGCACCTCGTTCAGCGCAAACAGCAAGCTTGACCGCCCTCGACGAAGCGCTCGACGACGCACACTGTCCAAGGCGGAGCGCGAGCAGCCGAGAAGGACCTCGAGGCGGTCGAGCCTCTCGCCGAGACGACGGTCGAGAGGAAAATCGCGATGCAGGACAGAGTACTCTAGGGGCGGGGGTATACACAGCGAGATCGTCGAGAATGGATGGAAGACAAGAGGATGATGTCGAGGCAGAGGTGCGGGAGGATGCGGCGAGTCGTGTGAGGGCGTGAGGGAGATGAGGTCGAGGGAGGAAGAGGGATCGGCAAAGTGTCTCTTGAGGGTCGACAGGTGAAGGAGGTCGACGACGCGCAGTGCGCAGCACGAGGAGGGCGGGTCGACGAGGCGAAAGGGAAGAGAGCGCCGCTCAGTCGATCCAGAACTCAAAGTCGAGCGAGCCCGGCTCGTCGTCGTTGCGGTGCAGGAGGCGGGCCCACTCGAGCGAGAGGCGGACTGTGGGCGCACGATGACGAGTCAGGTGTCAGGGTACGGCGAGGAAGGAGAAAGATAGAGATAGAGAGGGACGCACACATGTACGCGGCCATGTCCTGCTTGCGCCAGTGGTCGCGCGCCCAGTGCTTGCCCGCCGTGCCGATCTTCTTTGCGAGCTCGTCGTGGGCGCCCTTGCCGTCAGGCGTACCGCGGAAGAACGTCATGATGTCGTACAGGTCCGAATAGTCGACCTTGACGGGCACGTAGCTGCGCGAGAGGGCGAGGGAGAGGGTGAGCGAGCGCTCGACGACAGGGCGAGGAAGCGCGAGAAGAGGAAAGAGCGGACGCACTGGAGCCACGGCTGGATGCGGTCGCCGTACCATTCGGGGAACAGGGTCGACTTGAGGACGCACGCCTTCATCGACATGAGGCGGTGGAACCGGCCCGACCAGCCGTTGCCGTCGACGTCCATGACGTACTTGTACTGCGCGAGGTCGACGTCGTCAGGCTCCCGAGCTCGTCGACGAGGGAGAGAGAGGGAGAGGGAGAGGGCGAGAGAGGGGGCGCACCTGGTACGCGTCGCTCAGGCCCATCGTCTCCTTGAAGTCGATCAGGTCGGCCATGACCTTGCACGTCGGCTCGTCGCACTGGACCGGCCCGCCGGCGAACGACACGTCCATGTAGGCGCGGTTGAGGCCGTTGACGAGGTAGTTGGTCTCCTGGACGGCGCCGTCGCCCTCGGCCCACAGGACGTCCTCCTTGCCGTCCTTCTCGTTGGCCTTGAAGTGGAGCCGCGCTCGCTGCGAATTCTTCCAGTCGTTGCCGACGTAGAAGTCGATGCCGGTCGTCGAGCCGCGCCACATGAGCTTGTCGTTCGACTTCTTGTCCCAGTCGGGGTCGTAGCCGATGTACGAGTCCGAGTACTGCTCGAGCGGCGTGACGAGGATGTCCGAGTGCACGTTGGTCTTGGCGAACGTGAACAGGGGCACGAGAGGACCCGGGTCGGTGCCGCTAACCGACGTAAAGCCGTGCAAGTTCATCGTCTCGGGATGCTGGCACACGTCGAGCGCCGACTGGTAGTCGGCGATGTACGACCTCGTGCCGGACTCGGCCTTGCTCGACGCCGCGTACGCCTGCTTGAAGCGCTCGATGATGGCGGGCTTGGGCACGTCGCCGTCCTCCTCGTAGACCTCGTCGAGGATCGACTGCTCGAGCTTGCGCAACGGCGACGCCGGCGGGCAGCCGATCGCCCAGTTCGACAGATTCGGGTCCGAGTCGTGCGTGTAGTCGGACGGGCCCCACGCTGTGTGCGGGAGGATCGAGTCAGTCGAGGGCGCGAGAGGGGAAGGAGGAAGGGAGGACGAGGACGCACATTCTCCAAGCTGGGCGAGCTCGACCATGCGGTCGCGATGATAATAGTCGAGCTGGCACGCCGGCTGATCGTGACGGGTAAAGGTGAGGTTGACGTCGGGGACGTAGTCGGAGAAGCGGCGGATGAGGTCGCCCAGGTCCTTGGCGCGACGAAGGAACGCCTGCTCGCCAACCTCGGCCACCTTGCCGTCGGTGACCTGGATCGTGAACGTCTCGTCGCGCTCCTGCATGACGCGAACGCGGTGCGCGAGGTCCTGCGGCTCACTGCGGGAGGAGGGAGGGTTAGCTCGAGGCCGACGAGTCGGGCTCGGGCGAGGAGGAGAGGGAGAGCGGGACGCACAGTGCCCAGAACGGCTCGAGGTCGCGGTGGATCTGGTCGTACTCGTCGACGAGGATGACGCGGTTGGCCTTGGCGTAGGCCCACCACTTGTCGAACCCGCGCGGCGGGTTGCGCTTGTACCGCCGGCGGTACTCGTGCACGGCGTCCTTGAGCGTCTTGCTCTGCTTGTGCACCTTGCGGTTCCAGTCCTGCTCGGCGCGCTTGATGAGGGTAAAGATCGGGTGCGGCTTGGGCGGCTCGGCGAACGTCGACAGGGGCGCGACGACCATGTGGCCGTTCGGGTCGAGGCGGTGCGGCGTCTCGAGGTCCTCGTCGGGGAGGCCCATGTCCTCGTCCTCGATCGGCGGTGGAGGCGGCGGCACGTAGCGCAGGTCGTTGCGGCCGTCGTCCCAGTTGATGTAGTCGAGGAACCCTTGCAGCCGCTCGGGGAGCTCGTCGGGGAGGGGCACGCCGGCCTTGCTCAGGGCGCCGTGCGTGCGCGCGCGGTTGTCGTCGGGGAGGACGAGGAGGACGACGAGCGCGGCGAACAGGAGCGTGCCAACGACTCGGGGCCGCTTCCACAGGGCGACGCCGCCGCCGCCGCCGCCGCCGCCTCCCGCGCCGCCGCCTGGTCGCCTCGGGTGTCGCCCGGTCGAGCCGATCATGGGCGTGTCGGGCTCGACATAGTGCGGGAGCGACGACGACGAAGAGGAAGAGGGGCCCATCGTGGACGTGCGCTTGCCGGGACGACGACGAGAGCTCGTGGCCAAGTCGAACGCGTCGTTCTCCTGGGACGGCGACGCCGAGTGGGCCGACGAGAACGAGGGCGAGGCGGGTCGCGAGCTGGCCGAGGCGGTCGGTGCGCCTGGTGCTGGTGCTGCTGCTGCTCCTGGCGAGGCGGACGAGGACGAGGCGAGGGCGAACGGGCTCGCTGGCTGCTGGGAAGGGTGGTGGTGCGACGACGCGGAGGTGCCCGAGGGAGGGTACAGCGGGGACGTGGGCCGCGAGTGCGCCGTGGGCAGGATCGAAGCCAGCTTGGGCAGACGCCGGGGCGGTGGGCGTGGGCGGAGGGGAGGGACGAGGAGCGGCGAGGGAAGTCCATCTCAGGCGGTCGAGACGCGCTCGACGCGCGTGCTCGAGAACTCGTCTCGCCTTTTCGCCGCGCGCTCTCTCTCTCTCGCAGTACAGGGCGAGTCACTGTTGAAGGTACAAGGCACTACGCAAGGAGATGAGGGAGACGAGGTCGCCGGCCGGCGCAGAGAGTGGGAGAGAGAGGGCACATAAACCAAGGTTGGACAGCTCGTTGAGGAGGAGGAGGAGGAGAGAGGGGTATCGCAAAGGTGCAGGGAGCAGGTCGGGCCGCGTTGAAGGCCAGGGACCGCTCGAGGTATCGAGGAAAGGGGGAGGAAGGGATGCGGGCGAGTGGTGCGAGGGATGCGGGTCAAAGTTGCGAGGTGTGCTGGCGAGAGGGCGACGCTCGGTTGACGAGCATGGCGGCTGACGAGCATCATCGCTGGTGGGAGCGGATGAGCGACATGAACTCGGCGCGTGTCTTGTCGCTGCGGCGGAACGCGCCGAGCATGGACGACGTGATCGTTGACGCGCCGGGCTTCTGCACGCCCCGCATCGTCATGCACTGGTGCCTGTGAGTGCGCAGAAGAGTCAGTCGTCGCTCGCTGTACAGGCGAGGCGGCAGGGAGCTCACGTCGCCTCGATCACGACGGCGACGCCCATGGGCCGGATCGCCTCGTCGATGGCGGTCGCGATCTGCTTCGTGAGGCGCTCCTGCACCTGCAGTCGTCGCGAGAACGTCTCGGCGATGCGCGCCAGTTTGGACAGGCCGAGGACGAACTTGTTCGGGATGTAGCCGATCGAGACCTGCACGAGGGAGGGGCGTCAGGGTCGGGTCGGGGCTCGGCGAGGGCAGGAGAGGACGACGAGGGGACGCACCTTGCCGTGGAAGGGGACCATGTGGTGCTCGCACAGGGAGAAGATGTCGATGTCGCGCACGATGACCATCTCCTCGTGGTCCTCGGCAAAGATGGCGTTGCCAATCACGTCTGCAAGAGAGTGCTCGGTGTCAGGACTGTGCGTGATTCTCGAGAGACAGAGAGGAGGGACGCACCGGGCAAGCGCTCCTCGTAGCCCTTGGTCATCCACAGGAGCGCCTTGGCGTACCGCTCGGGCGTCTTGATCAAGCCGTCGCGCTCCGGGTCCTCGCCGATGCACTCGAGGACCGTCTTGACGGCGTCGGCGAGCTTCTTCTCGCGGGCGAGCTTCTCGTCGGCGGTCGACTCGAGGCGGGCGAGCGTGCCCTTGCCTGCGCGGACAGAGTCAAAGAGGTCAGCGGCGGAGTACGGGAGGGACGAGAGGAGGGGGAAGGGACGAGAGGAGGAGAGTGGAGCGCACCTGGCCAGCCGAGACCGTGCTTGTCCGGGATTGGGCTGCCGACTCGCGAGCCGACGAACGGCTCAAAGTGGCCGCCCTGGGAGGACGACGAGAAGGAGCCGGCGGCCATGGCGCGTTGGCGCTCGAGGGCGAGCTCGCGAAAGTTGTGGAGCTCTTGTGCGTCCTCTCGGGCCTCGGTGCGCTTGGCGTCGGCGTACTGGCGCTCGTGGTGGAGCGAGTCCGGGTCCGACTCGGCGGGGAGCGATGAGGATTCGAGTTGGGCGGGCGAGAACGACACCTCGGCGGCGAGGGGCGACGGCTGGTGGATGCGAGTGGGCGCAGCAGTGCGATCGGGAGACTCGGCCATGGCTGGACTGGCTCGAGGCGGTAGCGAGAGAGGGACGAGGACGAGACCGCTTTCGCCAACTTGCCTCGTCGCCCTCTCGTCCTCCTCGCCAGCACACTGCAGGCGAGGCTGCGGCCAGGATGACAGGCCTGGAGGGAGTAGCTGCAATGCACTCGAGTCGAGCCCGCCTCGCCCCTTGATCGCGCTCACGCGTTCCACTCGCCTCTCCTCTCTCCCTTCGTCGTCCGGCCACCTCGCGTCCACCTGTTCCCGCCCAGCATGCGGCACGGCGCAGTCGCCCTCTCCAGCCTCGCAGCCGCCGGCGTGGCGGCAGCCCCGCTCGCGATCGACCTCATCTCGACCCTCGCCAACCTGTTTTCCCCTCTTCTCGCCCGCTCCTCCCTTTCTCCCTCTCTCGCGCTCTCTCTCGCCCCCCTTTGCAGCACCTGCGGCGACTGGGCGGGACCGACCGCGACCTGCGCCAACGTTGGCAGCTCGGGCTCGGCTGCCGCCGACTACCCGACTTGCGCCGACGCCGTGCGCGACCCTGCAGCGTTCGTCGAGGCGTACTTCGAGATCAACTACCTCAAGGGTGCGTCGACCTCTCTCTCTCTCTCTCTGCTCGGTCGAGCGGCCGAACGCGAGCCTGACGAGCGTCGTTTCCCGCTCGCAGTGTACTCGGTCTGACGAGGCGAGTGGGCGAGGAGGCGGTCGTAGCGCGCCTCGAGGCTTTAGCGCGTCGAGCGTGTACTGCATCGTATTGCGTTCTTGCTATCTGCAGCGTCGAGAGTGGCCGTGCTCTGTCGCGCGAGCCGGAAAAGCGAAAGTGGCTGCCGGCCTTCCGAGCCAACCGCTCGCCTCTCTGAGTCTCTGCACGCCTCGGGTAGTCCCAGCTTCCGTGAGGCTCTCTCGTATGCGAAGGCTGGAGCGCAGGGCGAGGCCGCACGCGATGAGGAAGGCCGAGCCGAGGCAGCCGCTGTACTTCTTCTCCACGAGGCGAGGGCGCTCCAGCAGTACAGGCAGAGGCCCAGTGATGGCCGCTTTGTGTACTCGAAGCGTCGCCCGAAGAGAGAGAACCTAGCACGAGAGCTCGACCGAATGCTTGACAGAAGCTGAAGAGAGGCCCGAGCGGCAGGAGAAGGAGCAGACGAGGAAGGCTCTCGAGCTCACCGAGGCGCACAGACAGAGGGGGATGATCTCGAGGTACATTGCGAGTTTTAGAGAGTGTGGGTGGGTCTAAAAGAGCGAACAGGACAAAGAGGGGAACGAGGCACAGAACTGCAGGCAAGAACAACACAAAACGACCTTCGCAACTCGGCCTCGCACCGAGTCGCCGGCGCGCACGACACCGCGCCCGTCGAGCTCAGGACAAGCTCAGACGCGGATGGCGGCCTCGACCTGGCTGTCCTCGATCTTGTCGGTCGAATCGACCTTCTCGAGGTTGTTGCCGGCGTACTCCTGCTGGAGAGCGAGGTTCTGGGCGACGGTGGCGGCCATGCGGCGAGTGTAGAAGAACATGCCGGCGCCGTACATGATGGGGACGCAGAAGCCGGCAAAGGCGATCATGTCTGCGAGGGGCAGGAAGAGAGAGAGAGGGTCAGTGCGAGAGCTCCTTGGGAAGGTCTTCGGCGAGCGACGAAAGGTCGTCGGCGAGCGGCGAGAGGGGGACGCACAAGAGATGTTGGTGTTCTTGGCGTCGGCGAGCGCGCCCTGCATCGGCGGGAACGCGGCGCCGCCGGCGACGCCCATGCAGAGGAGACCGGCTCCACGCTTCGAGAGGCGACCGAGGTTGGACGTGGCGAGCGAGAAGGTGGTCGGGTAGATGACCGACTCGCCGATGAAGATCATGAAGACGCCGGCCGTCATGGCGTGCCCCTCAGTCGAGGCGATGACGATGGCGCCGACCGAGCAGAGCGTGGCGAACGCCGACAGGACGAGGGACGGGTTGAAGAAGTGGAGGAGGGGCGTGGCGGCGAAGCGGGAGACCATGAATGCGACCTGGGCGTAGGTGAGCATCTCGGCGGCCTGCGACGAGGTCATGGCGTGGTGCTTCGACTCCTTGAAGAGGTTGACTGGAAGAGAGAAGGTCGTCAGGTTCTGCTCGCCGAGGTACTCGTCGAGAGAGCGAGAAGAGGGACTCACCGACGAAGGTGGCAGTCGTGACCTGGGCGCCAACGTAGCAGAACTGCGAGACGAAGCCGAAGATGGTGTGCTTGCGCTGCCAGAGCGGGCGAGTGTCGGCGATACCGGCGGCCTCCTGCTCGTCCTCGAGGTTCTCCTCGGTGATCTCGGGGAGCTTGGCGAACAAGAAGAGGACGGCGACGGCGGCACCGAGGCAGGCGACTGCGAGAGAGAAAGGAGAGGTGAGCGAGAGGTTCGAGCGCCGTCGAAGGGAGAAGGCGAGGACGCACCGGCGAGGTAGACATACTGGACCGAGGTGAGCGAGTCGGCCTCCTTCTCGGTCAGGAACGTCTTGGAGGCGATGAGCGGGCCGAGGAAGGCGGCAAGACCGTCTGCAGGAGGAGGAAAGTCAGTTTGAGAAGGTCGACTCGAGGGTCGGGATCCGACTGGAGGGTCGGGAGGAGGGGACGCACTGAACGACTGGGCAAAGTTGAGGCGGAAGGCGGCGCGCTCAGGAGTGCCGAGGACGGTGATGTACGAGTTGGCGACCGTCTCGAGGGTGGCGAGGCCGCACGCGATGATGAAGGCAGAACCGACAAATCCGCCATAAGCCTCGTAGTGTGCCGACGGCCAGAAGGCCAGGGCGCCGCAGCAGTACAGGCAGAGCCCAAGAATCACGGCCTTGCGATAGCCGAAGCGCGACGCGAAGAGGGAGGCCGGGCTGCGAGAGGTGGTGGGCCAAAAGTTAGCGTCCTGGTTCGTCGAGACGCAGCTCGTACTTGTCGTACGAACGGTGAGAGAGAGGACGCACATCGAGAAGACAAGGTAGGCGCCGAAGTAGGCGACCTGGAGCATGGTCGACTGGAGCTTGGTGATGCCGAAGCTCTTCTGTACCTTGGAGTTGAGGACGTCGATGAGACCGTACGAGATGCCCCACAGCTGCAGGAGAGGCGAGAGGCATGAGTGGGCGAGAAACGGGCGATAGAGAGGGAGAGAGAGAGGGACGCACGAAGAAGAGCGAGGTAATGAGGGCGAAGGCGAAGTACTCCTGCTTCTTGGACAGGGGAGGACCCGCCGCCTTGACACCAGTAGCTGCTGCTGCGCCGCCGGCCATTGTGTCGAAAGAGAGTGGTGGTGGTGGGCGGGGAAGGGAGAGAGAGCCGGTGAAGGACGAGGAGCGAGAGAGGCGGCTCGAGGGAGGGAGGACTTGGGGAAGGACCGGGGGAGAGAGTGGAGAAAGCTGGAGTGGTGGAGAGGAAGCTGAGAAGAGAGGAGCGACGAGGAGCTTTGTACTCGAGCGAGAGGGAGAGCCGCCCACCTCGAGCCCCCAACAGTCGATCTGCTGGGGCCTCGTCTGGCCCCGATTCGTCTCCAGTTTCGACGCCACCCCACCGACAAGGTTGGGCGAGTCTGCCACGCTAGCCCCACCCGAGCGCGAGAAGGGGGAGAAGCTCGCGAGGGGGAGAGATCTGGTCCCGCCTGGCCCGAAGGGTCCGCGCGCGCGCGCGCGACCGCCCACGGAGGATTGTCCCCTCCAAGCCCGATCGGCCGACGGGCGAGCGGAAACGAGGAGAAAGCGATCTCGTAGCGAAAAGCGCAAGCGAAAGATGCCGCGCGAGCGACAGAGCTGCACGCCGCACGCCGGACAGCTCGAGCTCGAGCTTCGCGTACGCACGGACGCTCGTAGCTCGAACTGCGCTCGTTGCGCACGTCGTCGTCGCTGCCGTCGCAGCATCGCTCGCCTCGGGGGCGTGGGGCGCTGCAGCTTGCTCGGTGCTCCACGCACGCGCCCCCAACCGAGCCCAGCGGTTATCTGCGGGGCGAGATGACCTCGTCCTGCGCCTTGTCGATGCGAGATGCGGCGGGCAGGGTGGGCGAAACTGTCCGCGCCCGGCGGAGGCTGATCGAAAACTTGGGGCGCGCACCGGAGCCGCGCTTGATCGGGTCGTCGTCCGGGGCGAGAAGGCTTGACATCGATGGAGCCGAGCGGATCCGGATGAACGAATGTCCAGCCAAGACGCAGCTCGAGAGCGGCGGCGGCGCGTGCGAGCGCAATCCACTCAGAGCTGCAGCCGGACGTGCGCGCCCCTTCGACGCTGCTGCACAGAGGCTCGGCCGCGACAAGTCGTCCCGATGGCACGCGCTCGTCGAACCGGCGGGTTCCTTCGCAGGAGACGGCGTGGCCCTTGGTCGGCGACTCGGTGCGAGATGCATCGCCGTTCAAGTTGTGGCTGCGTCGCCGTGCAGAATCGCGCGAGAAGAGCTCGTGGCTGCGGCCGGTCGCACTTGCGCGACGCTTCGGCCGCCACCGTCGGGCGAGAACGGCCCGCGGACAGCTCCAGCTCGTGGCTAGACTGCGCATTGACGCACCTCTGTCGGCGTCGTCGAGGGCGCAGCAAGTGCGCACGAGCTCGACAGAGAGGGAGGACAACGAGGGAGAGCAGAGTGCACCTTCGGCGTCGCCGGTACAACCTCCGCACCTGTCAGCGACGCCGGCTGAAAGCGAGCGTCGGACGTCGGGCTCCGTCAGCTTTCCGCCGAGCTGGACGGAGCTCTGCAGCGCGCCCCGCACGCTTTGTGTGGCTCTCGTTGCAGCCAGTCGCTCACAGGGCCCGCACGCTCGCGCGCACGGACCTTCGAACGTAGTCGGGAAGCCGCCGGCGGCGGTCGAGCGCGCTCTCTCGAGGGTGTCTCGCATTTCTAGCGGAGGTCGGCTGCAGCCGCTGGCGAGCATGCATTTAAAACTCGACTCGCACTAAAGTCAAGAGCAGAGTGACCGTGGCCGAGAGCCGAAGATAGCGGAGCCAGCGGGTGAGCGGGCACGTGGAGGAGGAGGAGGAGGAGGAGCCAGCTAGCACAGAGAACCGCCCACTGCGCAGTCGCACTCGCAGCTCGCTCGACTAGCCGAGTCGCCTGCGCCTGCACCCGCGCTCACCGCCGCATGGCCTCTGCAGACATGGCGGCCGCCCTCCTGCCTCGAGCTCCTCTCGCACATTCCCTCTCGCTCGGCATCGTCGGCGCAGGTATCGGTGGCCTCGTGAGCACTCCTTTCATCCTTCTCCCTGCATCTCGCGGGCGCAGCCGCACACGTCGGTGCAGCCGGTGTCGAGCTGGGGGAGGTCGGCGACCCGGACGCGAGGGAGCAGCCCTGCCGACGGCTCTCGAGCACTTGCGCGGGCATGAGGGACGAGCGCAAGGACAGCAGGGCATCTCAGTCGCCGCAGGAGCCTGTCAGGCAAGGGCGCAGGCAGCTGACTTCTCTCCCCCTCCTCCCTCTGCACCGCCTCCGCAGGCGAGCGCTGTCGGTCTCGTGTCGCGCGGTTTCCGCCATGTGACGGTCTACGAGGCGGCACCCGAGATCGGCGAGGTCGGGGCGGGCATCCAGGTGCGTCGCATTCCTCGCCTTCGCGGACTCGGACCTCGACTCGAGTCTGACCTTCTCGCTCCATCGTGTGCAGGTCGCGCCAAACTTCTGCCGGGTGCTGTCGCACTTTGGCGTCCTCGACCGCCTGACGCCGCAGGCCGTGCGACTTGGCGGCGCGAGCGTCCGGCGGTACGTCAACAACGAGGAGCTCAACTCGACCTCGTTCGCCAACCTCGAGCCCGACTACGGCTGGCCAGCGTTCGTCGTTCATCGCGGCGACTTGCACAAGGCGCTCCTCGATCGTGCTTTGGAGCTTGGTGCGCAGCTCAAGGTCGGGGTGCGTCGCGCCTTCTCCCCGTCCTCCTTGCCCCAGGAACGACTGCGCTCACCTCGCCCTCGTGCTCGCAGTCGCACATCGAGGACGTCAACTTCGAGAACGGCAAGGTCAAGGTCAAGGGGCACCCCGAGGTCCAGCACGACGTCATCATCGCCGCCGACGGCATCAAGTCGGCCATCCGGAGCAAGATGATGGCCCGGCGAGGCGAGGTGGACGAGACGATCCCGACGGGCGAGGCGGCATATCGTGCGTCCCTGTGTCCTCCTTTACCTCTCGACGTCGACTAGACGGACGAGCCCTAATGGTTTCGCATCCTCGCAGGCGTCATTCTGCAGCGGGCGCAGATGGAGAGCGACCCGGACCTCAAGCAGCTCATCGACAACCCGACGGCCATTCGCTGGGTCGGTGCGTCCTGGCTCACTCTGTCACTCTTCCCCTCCTCGCCCAGGTGAGACTGACATGGCCTCGCTTGCGCGTGCAGGTCCCGACGCGCACATCGTCGCGTACCCGATCAAGGCGCACGAGGCGTTCAACATCGTCTCGACGCACATCAGCAACACGGTCGGGCTCACCGAGGACTGGACGGCGCGAGCGTCGAAGGAGGTCATGCTCAAGCGGTTCGACGGGTGGAACGAGTCGCTCATGAAGGTCCGTCCCTCCTCCTCTTCCTCCTTCCCTTTCCCCTCATTGCGCGTGCTCTCGGCGAGGCTGACTTGACCTCGTCCCTGTCTCTGTCTCTGCAGTGCCTGCGCCTTGCGCCAGAAGGCGAGCTCGTCGAGTGGGCGCTGCGCATCCATCTGCCCTTGACGGGCTGGATCGACCACAAGGTCGTCCTCCTCGGCGACGCGGCGCACGCGACGCTCCCGCACATCGCGCAAGGCGCCGCGCAGGCCGGCGAGGACGGCGCCGTGCTCGGTACGCTCTTGGCCAAGTGCCACAGCAAGGAGGACGTGCCGCACGCGCTCAAGATGTACGAGCGCCTGCGCAAGCCTCGGGCCGACTGGGCGGTCGAGATGGCGCGCATCACGGGTCCGTCTCCCCACCTCTTCCTCTCTCTCTCTCTCTCTTCCCGTCCCGTCACTTTCGAGCGCACGCACTGACAGCTCTCCTCCCGGCAGGCGAGGCGCTGCACATCCCCGACGGTGCGGCGCAGAAGGCGCGCGACGAGGCGCTCAAGAAGGCGTCGACGGGCAGCCAGTCGCCTGACCGGTGGGGCGACAAGGCCACGCAGAGCAAGCTGTACGGCCTCGACGTCGTCAAGCAGGCCGACATGGAGTTCTCGAAGCTGTAGAGGCGGGAGGAGGAGGGAGCGCGGGATCATGTTTGTAGAGCCGGTTCAACATCGCAATAGACTCGCTGTATCGCATCGTGTGCGTCTCGCATGGCCAGAGGAAGCGCTCGTTGCCAAGAGTCGAACTTGGTCGCCGAGAGGAGGTGGCTCTCCGCTCAACCTCACTTCCGCTTGCTCTCTCGCCGCACACGCGCCCAGGCGCGCCACCAGCCGCCTGTTCGACCTCCCTTCAAGGCTGGCGAGCCCTCCACGAGGTCGCACACGCGCTTGCGGGCCGCCCCTCGTCCTTCATCAGCGAGATGAACCTCGAGCTCCTCAGTCCGTCACCCTCCCCCTGTGTGAGCTCTGTGTGCACCCGAGTCTGACCCAGGGCCCTTCCACAGACCCGTTCACCACCTCGTTCCCCGAGAACTTCGATACTTCGATCGACGCGGCCGCCGTCTGCGCGAGGTTCAACCCGAGCGGGCTCTTTGCCGGCCACTACCTCGCTGTGGGCAGGCAGGACGGGCCTGTCGTCGTGCTCGACTTTGAGACGCGCAGCATCGTGCGCTGGTTCGACGGGCACGTCAAGGCCGTCACCTCGGTCTGGTGCGTCGTGCTCCTCCTCCTCTTCCTCCACTCGCCGACTGTCCGCGCTGCCGTACACGCGGCGTAAGTTGTGGGAGAGGATCACGGAGCTGACCCTGCCTCTCCCACCCCGCAGCTGGTCGAGCGACTCGCGGTTCCTCCTCACGGCCTCGCGCGACTGGAACGCCATCATCTGGGACCTGTCGGCGTCAGCAGCCGACACAGTCGCCGGCGAGCGACGACATACCGTCCGCTTCGACGCACCCGTCACGAGCGCAGCCCTGCATCCTCGGAACAGGTGCGCCCGCTCCCTCTCATCCTCTCGTTCCCCTTCCCGACGAGTCGAGAGCTCACGACCTGCCCGTCGGCAACAGCAAGATGCTCGTCGCGACGCTACATGGCCAGACGCAGCCGCTATTCATCGACCTGCGAGAAGAGGGCGGCGGGCGCTGGGAGCTCGAGCCGCCGGCAGACGACGAGGAGGAGGACGACGAGGACGACGAGGAGGGCTCGACGATCATCCGGTCCGCCCCTTGTTCCTCTCGAGCAGACTCAGGGCCATCGATCTGACGTCTCACGCTCGCAGGGAGGTCTCGACGCTCGCGCGCTTCAACCCTCGAGGCGACCTCATCTACGTCGGGACCTCGCGCGGCAACATCCACATCTGGGACGTCGTCACCAAGCAGGTGCGTCCTCCCCTTGCTCCCCGTCGGCCTACAAAGACTCACCTCTACGCTCCCGCAGTTCCTCTGGACCGAGTACCTCGGCGCCGCCAGTCCCGTCAAGCACCTCGAGTTCAACCGCGCCGGCACGTTCGTCTCGCCTCTCCCTCGCTCCTCGTCTCTTTCCGAGCCTGACTCGCGTCGTTATCTCTCGACAGCGCCATGATCCTCAATTCGAACGACCGCTGCATCCGCTACGTCACGCTGTCGGCGTCGCCTCCTGAACCGCCCTCGGACGACGACGAGGCGGCCGTGTTCGAGCCGCCGCCCGAGCGGCACTCGCGCATCCCGTACTTCGAGGTGCAGCACAAGTTCCAGGACCTCGTGAACCGCACGCCCTGGAACGGTTGCGGCTTCTCGAGCGACGGCGAGTACATCATCGGCGGTCCGTCAACCTCTCTCTCTCTCTCTCTCGCGCGACGAGGATCCTGACGAGATCGACGTCGCAGGTGCTGGGCACAAGGGCGCGCACAACATCTACATCTGGGACCGCGTCACGGGCGCGCTCGCCAAGATCCTCGAGGGCCCGAAAGACCCGTGCGAGGACCTGACTGTGCGTCCTCCGCTCCCTCTCTCTCTCGCCCTCTCGTCGGCCCTCACGCACTCGCGCTCTTACTCCCTCGCGCAGTGGCACCCTTTCCGGCCCCTGATCGCCTCGGTGTCGACGCTCGGCCTGATCCACCTGTGGGTCACGCCCGTCGTCGAGAACTGGAGCGCGTACGCTCCCGGCTTCGAGGAGCTCGACGAGAACCGCGAGTACGAGGAGAAGGAGGACGATTTTGACTTTGTGCGCCCCGCCTCTCTCTTTATCTCTCTCGAGAAGGTCCGTGCCCTGACGACCGCCTGCCCCGCCCCGCAGGAGGACGAGTCGGCCCTGCGCCGCCGCGCCCAGGGAACGTACGACGGCGCGCTCGACCTGACGTCGCACGCGACGAGCGGGCCCCGGGTCCAGGCGAGCGAGGCGGCGCCATGGCCCGACGACGACCTCGACGCGCTCGACGCGTACGAGCACTTTGTCGCGCGCGAGCCGGACGACGACGGCGGCGAGGGTGGACATGGCGAGGCGTTCTACCCGCAGCCGGTGCTCGTCGAGGAGCAGGCGGCGAACGCGGCCGAGGAGAGCGTCGAGGCGGCGAGAGGAGCGGGAGGGGGAGGAGGAGGAAGAGGAGAAGGCGGCAGGCGCAGGTAGCTCTCGCTCTGCAACGGCTTGACCGCTCTCGCAGGCGCTCATCGTGCCTGTCCGAGAGTAGATGCAGTGCAGTGCGAGAGGGAACAAAAAGTGCGAGTCTATGCGCGCCGTCGAGTCTATCCTCCCTCGTCGTCCGCCGTCCTCGATAAAGCTACAAGGTGCCCTCGCTCGCTCCTCCTCGGCTCATGCCGCCCGCTCGAGCCCGTAGCTGGTCGGGTACGCGTTCATCCACACGGGCGGCGGCTGGAGGCACGCCATCGGGACGACGTACCGCTGCCAGGCCCAGTACCGGACGGGCGGCACCTCGCGCACGAGGCCCTGGGTGACCCTGCGTGCGAGAGAACGTCGTCAGGTCGAGGTCGATTCGCGAGGAGAGCAAGAGAGAGAGGGGCGTACCAGGCCGAGTAGAGCCACCCTCCCGCGCACGCGACAAACGCCGCCGTCCATACCGTGCCGGCCCAGCCTCGCACCCTGCGGCCCGTCGCCGCCGTAAAGGCGCCCTCGAGCACGACGCCGACGCCCTGCGACAGGAAGTAGACCGAGCCGCCCCACTTGGTGAGGAACGAGAGGGGCGACGAGGGACGAGGGAGGGTCGAGATGGCCGAGGCGAGGCCTGTGCGCTCGTAAACGAGGGTGAGCTCGGGCGGCGAGAAAGAGAGAGTGAGAGAGGGGACGCACCAAACTCGTGGAGCCATGCCGAGAGGGCAAAGACGGCGAGGACGCCGGCGGCCCGAGCGGCCGACTTGCCGAGGACGGGCGCGACGACGCGCTGGGTCGGCTTGAACGCGAGGAAGCGGAACGGCCCTGTGCGACGAACGAGTCGAGTGAGTCGAGGGACGAGGAGGGGGGAGAGAGAGAGAAAGGGCGAGCGCACGCGAAAAGAAGGAATGCCACTGGTGAGACCAGAACTTGGCGACGCTCTGAGGCCGCTCGGCGAGGTTGAACAGTGGCGGGTACTCGCGCGCGTCCCAGGGTGGCGGGCACAGGGCCTCGGGGACGAACGGGATGCGGCGCACGACGAGCGTGCCGAGGAAGGCGCCGAGGGTCGCGACGCTGAACCCGAGCGTGAGGGCGGCAAAGACGGCCGTGCCCATGGCGAGCCCGGTCAGGGCCTCGCCGACGGCGTGCACGCGCTCTTGCGGGGCGCGGTCGCCGACGAGGGCCGAGGGGAGGACGGCGAACAGGGCGGCGTCGCGGCTCGTCGGGGGCTCGAGGAGCGCGGCCGAGCACAGGACGAGGAGCGGGTGGGCCCACGCGACCTCTTTGACGACGCGCGAGAAGAAGGCGGCGTGGTCGAGCGCAAAGGGGGCCGTCGTCGTGCCGCAGAACTCGTAGCCCTGGCCGCGCATCGAGACGAGGAGGTGGGCGGTCGCGCGCAGGATGTCGATCGGCCCGTCCTCGGCGGCGCGCTTGGCCCTGAGGGCGGCGAGGTGCGCTCGACGGCGGCGACGAGCCTCGAGGCGGTCGTCGCGGGTCGTGGCGGCCTTGTCCTGGGCGTTGGCGGTGGTGCCGGTGGCCGGGTCGAAGCCGACAAAGGTGTAGGGGAGGAGATCGGCTGCGAGTCCCCACTCGAGGCCCTTCATGATGCCGTACGCGCCCATGATGCCGATGACGACTGTTGCGGTGCGTCGGGAGGAGGCGAGTCAGTGGGTCGGTCCCGAGAGCGGGAACGAGAGGGAGAGGGGACGGACAGTTTACGCCGATGGCCTGGTTTCGAGGTTCGATGGCGTAGCGGTACGGGGTTGCGAACGAGAGGGCGAGGCTGAACGGGGTGAGCAAGAGGCGCACGAGGCGAGAGAGGGTCGAGGGGAAGACGGGGTGGAGGAGGAGGGCTTGGAGCGAGAGTGGGACGAGGAAGGCCAAGCTGTGTGCGGCGGTGCAAGTGTCAGTGGGTGCGGTGGTGCAAGAGTGGGTGCGGTGATGCAAGAGAGCGAGGGAGGCGGTGCGATGACCGGGAGGAGGACGAGAGAGAGGACGAGGAGGAGAGGAAGAGCGAGACGGACAAGGCTGGTGGGGGCAAGGTCGGGCCCTCGAGTAGGAACTGTGGCATGGCTGGATGCGCTCGTCGCAGCTGCAACAGGTGGTCGACCGCGAGAGAGAGAGAGAGACGGCCCGTTCTTCATCTTGGTCGTCGTCCCTCTCCCGCTCGTCCACAACCCGCTCCCGGCTCGGCCATGCCACCACGACCTTCACCACCCTTGCACGGCACCACTGACGACGACGAGTACGACCCCGTCGCCTTCCAGGCCGACCTCGACCAGTCTGTCCTCGAAACTCGCTCCCTCGTCGCCTCGTGGATCCCGGCCAACCTCGGCGACGACTGGAACGACGGTGGCTTCTCGGCAAAGCAGGGCAACGACGGCCTCCAGTCGCTCAAGGACCGCGCCAGGCCTCCCAGGTCCGCCTCGCCTCGTCCTCTCCTCCCCTCGTCCCCGCACCCTCTCTCGCAGCGGGTGCGGCCCATGGAACGCGGACGGTGAGCTCACACTGTCCACTTCCCCCCTCTCACAGGCTCGGCCTCGGCGCCCAACCCGCCTCGCTCCACAAGCAGCTCGCCGAGGACCGCAAGATCGCCTCGCGCCTCCTCCGCGGCCGCAACCTCGCCCTCGGCGACGAGGGCTCCAACGTCGCGCCCACCACCACCTCCGCGACGGGCGCACCGGGCGGCGATGACGGCGCGAGCAGCAGCAGCGATGACGACGAGGACAGTCGCTCGCGCGCCGTCGGCAAGGGCAAGGCCCGCGCACCCCCCGCGTCGAGCAACCCGTTCGTCCTGCCCTCGACCTCGACTGCGACCTCGAACAAGCTCAAGTCGAACGGCACACCGCACAAGGCGCCCCGACCGCTCTTCAACGACCCGTCGCCCGCTAAACCCTCCCCTTCCACCTCGACCTCGACCTCGGCCGGCAGCCTCATGACCCCAATCGCCGCCTCGTCCTCCTTCTACACCCCGCCCGCGATCACCGCCTCGACCTCGGCACCGAGCGGCGCAGCCGGCCTCACCAAGAACCAGCGCAAAAAGGAGCGCGAGCGGCTCAAGCGCGACGAGGAGCGGCGCCGGCGCGAGGACGAGAGCCGCTCGGCGACACTCGCCGAGTTGAGCGGCGTCGAGGGTTCAGGTGCGGCGCAGGGCAAGAAGCGGGCGCGAGGGGAGGACGAGATCGAGCCGGTGGGCGAGGACGAGGACGGGGCAGGCCTGGACGAGGAGGACGAGGCGCGGTCGCGGCCTGCGAGCCCGGCCAAGGCGCACGGCGCAGCAGCGGCAGCAGGCGAGGGCGGTGACGCGAGCCCGAAGAAGCGGCGCAAGAAGAAGAAGCGCAAGGGCGGCGAGGGTGCGGGCGCGGGAGCAGCAGGCGAGGGTGCGACGGCGCCGCCGCTGCTCAACCTCGCGCCGATCGAGGCGTAGCTCGCGCGCATGGCGGTGCGGCGGGTGCAACGGGCGGGTTATCGCTCTCGAGCGCGTGCGACGAGGGGCGGCGAGCGAGGCGAGCGAGCTGTGGCTGGTCGAGCTGGCGACGAGCTCGCGGTTCCTTCTCTCTATCTTTCTCTCCTTCTCTCGCACGGCCCTCTCGGCGTGGCTCGACGACTGCGCCGCCGCCAGAGGACCTCGAGGTCGTCCGTCTCGTCCGTCGCCGCCTTTCGCAACCGCTCTCTCGCCACGGGAGGTTCGCCGACAGCGGCCTCTGCGTCAGCAAAGGCCACCCGCATCAAGGTTCGCCTCGATCAAGCGTCCGCAGCTCCTCCTGTCCGCCTCTCGCGCCGTCCGTCCGCCGCCGCTTTGGCCGCCGTCCGCCCCGGCCGGCCGGCAAATCCGGCCCGCCGCTCGGTGCGGTTGGGGTGCCGCGCCGAGCGCACGTACGGCGGAAGCTCCGCTGAGGACGACAGGAGACGTCCGCACGGGTCTGTGGCGTCGAGCCGCGGCGCGGCTACAGAGCAGGCGTCTATCGTCGCGCACCTCGCGGGCAGATGCTGCTGCCTCGGCTCGCTTTGCGCTTCTTGCTCGTTCTCTCGCTTCTTCTCGACTCGTCTCTCTCGCCGCAACACCGACGCTCGCCTCGCACCCGCCCCGACCACGATGCACGACAACGCGCTCGTTCCCCTCGTCCCGACCAGCCGACACACGTCGAGCGCTCCTCGGCCGCCCTACTTCCGTCCGCTCGACGACGGCGACACCGTCGACGATGAGCAGACATTCGCTCACGCCGAGGGACGAGCATGTGCGTCCGCTCTCTCTCGTTCCGGCCCTCCTCGAACCGAACACTGACCTTCCCAAACGAATCGCAGCTTCTGACGACCGCGACGACGAGCGATGGGAGCAGGTGCGTCGTCTCGTCGTGCACGACGTCTCGTGCAGGTCCCTGACCGCTCGAACCCACAGATGCCGCAGCTGTCGACGGCCCCTTCGCCCTCGCCGTGGCGGTGGCCTGCCGTCGCCGCGCTCCTCTGCATCGTCGGCCTCATCTTCTACCAGTCGCCCGTCAACGCGCCGAGCACGGTCGTGCGCGTCGACAAGGTGGAACAACCTCAAGAAGGCGGTCCCGCAGTTGAGAAGGCGCGGTACCTCGTCCCCGTCATGGTCGGTGCGTCAACCTCTCTCTCCTCTCGCAGTCTTCGAGATCTGACGCTCGTCCTCGTCGCAGCCGAGCAGGAATCGCGCGCCCAACACCACCTCGTCCAGCTCTCCCGCCTCGCGGCGACGCTCGACCGCACCCTCGTCCTCCCCAACTTGACCACCTCGCGCTTCCGCACCTGCGGCTCGACATCCTTTGCCGACATCTACGACGCGGCCTCGTTCGCTCAGCACACGGCGCCGCCGGGAGCCGCCGAGCCCGTCCTGCAGGGCGATTTTCAGCGCTGGCTCGCCGAGGGGACCGTGCGGCGTACCGCTCGCGCCATCCGCCTCAGCATCGCCAACTCGCCCGAGGAGCGCGCTCTCGAGCTCGGCAAGTTCTACCCGGACACGCCGACGCCGCCGTCGGGCCGAGCGACGTGCCTCGACCAGGCCCTGTTCGACTTTGGCGACCGGGACCGCCTCTTCGCCGTCGAGGAGTGGCACCCGACGAGCGACGCGCTCCTGCGCAGCCTCGAGACGCTCAACGCGCAGGACGACGTCGAGATCCTCCTCGTCGACTGGGACCTGCGCGGGCCCCTCATCGGCGTCGAGGGCGACGAGATCCTCGAGCAGGCGTTCCTGTACGCCGCGCCGTGGCACACGATCGCGGCGGCCGTCTCGAGCGCGCTCGGCGAGGCCGTCGGCGTGCACTGGCGCACCGAGACGGTCCAGTCGTCGAGCCTCGCCGGGTGCGGCGAGGGGCTCGTCGAGGCGCTCGTCCGGCTCAAGGAGCAGAACCGCGCACTCGAGACGGTCTACCTCGCGACCGACTACCCGCTCGAGCTGCTCGCCGGAGCGCCCTCTCGTGCGGGCGAGGTCGTCGACGGCGAGGTCGACGGCGTGGACGACGAGGACGGCTCGACCTGGCACCGAGCGCACTCGGACACGTTCTCCAAGAGCCTCCCCTCGACGCACCACGCCGCCATGTCGCGCTTCCTCGCCTCGTACGCGTCGAACGTCGCACCCGCCGGCGTCACCCTCGCCACGTACCGCTCCATCCTGCCCTCGCACCTCCCTTCCCTCGCCGCCCGCCTCTCCCGCCTCGCCCGAGCGCCGTTCGCCCCCGCCATCGTCTCGCAACTCGTCCTCCAGCGCACGCCCTTCTTCCTCGCCGGCGAGTCGCGGCCCGTCGCGGAGGGCCGGGACCCGGCGCGCGAGGTGTGCGCGAGGAAGAGCAACTGGACGAGGAGGGTCGTCGCCGCGAGGAAGGCGGCGCGACGGGCCGCAAAGGCGAGGGGGGACAGGACACGGACGCAGGTCGTCGGGTTGTGGTCGTCGGACGGGATCGTCTTGTAGATGCGTCGAGGAGGGGCTGTAAAGATGCCGTCGCGAGCGAACGAAAGCGGCGAGGACGACCTTCTCAAACTCGCTCGGGCCTCTCGTGCGTGCGTCCTCGCTCTCTCTCTTCCTGTTTACGAGCGCCGCTGTGCAACATCGAGCGACAGCACGCCGCTCCTTTGCCCTCTCGCCGCGCTCGCGCAGTTTCCGCTCGCGCCTCCTCTCGACCCCGCGTTCTCGGTCCGCCTCGCCCTTTCTTCTCGTTCGTCCTCTCTGCCTCCTCGACCCGCACGATGCACCGCAGGTCGCCTTGTAAGCACAAGCTCTCTCCCTCTCTGTCCAGTGGGGCGCACGCTGACCGGTCTGCGCCCCGCGCAGCGTTCCCGGCGCACGAGGACTCGGAGGAGATGAGCGGCAGCTCTCGACTCGTGCAGCACACGGAGCAGGAGGGGTGGGAGACGGTGCGCCCAGCTTTCGCTGCTCGAGGCGTGGCGGCAAGCTGACCATTCGCCCCTGCAGATGCCGCCGTACGACGCCGGGTCCGACACTCCTCCCTGGCGCTGGCCCGCCGTTGCCGCCCTTCTCTTCCTCTTCCTCCTCTTTGTCTGGGCCCACGGTACCGAGCAGGTCTTTCACGAGCCGGCGATGGACACGGAGAGCTCGGCGGCGCTGTCGGTCGAGTCGGTGTGCGGCGGCGAGCGCAGACGGTGCAGGTTTCTCGTGCCGACCATCATCGGTACGCTCTCATTCCGCTTCTCTTTGCTCTGCCGAGCCCATCCTGACGACACTTTTCACGCAGGCCAGCAAGAATCCCGGGCGCAACACCACCTCGTCCAGCTCTCGCGCCTCGCGACGACCCTCAACCGCACCCTCGTCCTCCCCAGCCTCGCCACCTCGCGCCTCATGACCTGCGGCTCCGCCCCCTTCGACTCGATCTACGACCCAGTCGCCTTCTCCCGTGCGAGCGGCGCCGTCCACCCCGTCCTCCAGGACGACTTTGAGCGCTGGCTTGCAGGCGACGAGCACGACCCGGCGCCGCACAGTGCACGTGCCGTCCGCCTGCGCATCCTGGGCGCGCCCGAGCCGCTCGACTCGACGCACGGCGCGTTCGTGCGGGACGAGACGCTCGGCGGGCAGCCTCGCGCGGCGCTGTGCCTCGACGAGCAGCGGCTCGACTTCGGGCAGCGCGAGCCGCTCGTCGCGGTCGTCGCGCGAGACGAGGCGGGCGGCGAGCTGCTCGAGAGCCTGCGGCAGCTCGACGCGGAGGACGACGTCGAGGTGCTGCTCGTTCACTGGGACCTGCGCGAGCCGCTCCTCGGCCTCGAGAGCGACGAGCTCCTCGAGGCCGCCTTCCGCTACGCCGAGCCGTGGAACGCGCTCGCCGACGCCGTCATCGGCGAGCTCGGCGAGGCAATCGGCGTGCACTGGCGCATCGAGGGCATCGCCGCGGCGCGGCTCGACGAGTGCGGCGAGGGCTTGGTCGAGGCGCTCGTTGGGCTCAAGGAGGGCGACGACGCGCTCAAGAGCGTGTATCTCGCGAGCGACTACCCTCTCGAGCGCTTACGCCAAGCGCCGTCGCACACGACCGCCAACGCCGACGACTCGAGCGCGGGCGAGCCTCCTGTCGTCGACCGTCCCGCACTCGCGCACTCGGACACCCTCTCGGCCCAGCTCAGCCCTGCCCACCACGCCGCCCTGTCGCACTTCCTCTCCTCGTTCGCCTCTCGCGCCGCGCCCGCCGGCCTCGCCCTCACCACGTACCGCTCCCTCCTCCCCGTCCTCCTTCCGACGCTCCCTCCGTCGCTCGCCGCCCTCGCGCAGACGGCGGCCGCCCCCGCCATCGCGTCGCAGCTCGTCCTGCAGCGCACGCAGCGCTTCATCGCGGGCGAGTCGCGTGTGCCCGAGGAGCGGCGGGCGAGGTACACGTGCGCGAGGAGGAGCAACTGGACGAGGCGGGTTGTCGTCGCGCGGGAGAGGGCGCACGAGGGGTTGGAGGAGGAGGGAGAGACATCAGTCGTCGGGTGGTGGTCGACGGACGGCAGGCTCGAGTACTGAGCGGGCGCAGCAAGCCGATATGTTCCTCGGAGTCAGGCGGCGACGAGGAGAGCGAGGCAAGCGGCTAGACGTGGCGCGCTTCTGCGCTCGCCGAGCGCTTCGAGAGATTGCCCCAGAGCGAGTGCACGGTGCACCTTGTGCGCACTCAGCCGCCAAACGCGAGCAAGAGCTCATCTCGCAGGCGAGGAGAGCGGCGAGCGGCGTGGCGTGTCGGCGACGGCACCGGCGGGGTCCGGTGCAGCGCGAGGCTGGTCGCATAGCTACTGAAGACACACTGCAGTAAGAAGCAGTACGCTTGAGCGAGGCGGCGAGGTGTGAGCGAGTTGAGCTCCTCGCTCCTCCTCGTCGCACTCGCTCTCCTCCACAGACCCGCTACAACCAATGGCGTCGACTATCCAGACTCTGAACGCGGCCCTGCCGCCGCTCACCAAGGGCTACACCGCCCCGAGCTTCTCCCCGATCTCTGGTGCGCTCCCCTCGACTCTCTCCTCCTCCTCATCTCGCCCAAAAAGCTCACGGCTCTCTCCTCTCCCCCACCTCGCCCCCGAACTCGTCCCCGACACCCTCAATCTCCTCACACACGCCCATACTCGACCTCTGTGCTCCTCCCGTCCACCTCGGCCGCCGCGACAGCTCCCTCCACCTCGGGCGCCGTCTACCCCGCCGGCCCGGCCTTCCACGCCCACGCCCGCCGCATCCTGAACCAGCGCTCGTTCGCCGACGACGACCGCCACGAGAAGGAGCGTCTCGCCGCCAACGGCAACGGCGAGGTCGTCGAGGAGGACCTCGACGCCGACCTCGGCGGCGAGGAGGAGGACCTCGACCTCCTCGAGCTCGACCCGAAGAAGTGGAAGGTCCGTCGCCGTGGCTTCTTTTCTCGGGCAATGTCGCGCAGGATGCGCGGTGACTGACGCAGCTTGCGCACTCGCCCACAGGAGCAGGACCACTACGCCGTTCTCGGTCTTCAGCACCTCCGCTACAACGCGACGCAGGAGCAGATCAAGAAGGCTCGTGCGTCCAGATCCCTCCTCTTCGGGTCGCTGTCTCTCGCGAAGGAGCGCTGACTCGGGCTCGTCCTCGCAGACCGCCGCAAGGTCCTCCGTCACCACCCGGACAAGAAGGCCAACGCGACCAAGGGCGGCTCGATGGACGACTCGTTTTTCAAGTGCATCGCCAAGGGTGCGTCGTGCATGTCCTCCCGAGCTCGTCCTGTCGCACAGCCACTGACCCTTTGGCCTACTCTTGCACTCGCAGCCATGGAGGTCCTGTCGCACCCGGAGAAGCGCCGCCAGTTCGACTCGGTTGACGAGCAGGTGTCGGACGAGTTCCCGTCGCCGGCCGAGACGACCGCCGACAACTTCTACGAGCTGTGGGCGCCCGTCTTTGCGCGCGAGGGCCGCTTCTCGACCAAGCAGCCGGTGCCCTCCCTCGGCGGCCCCGACTCGACCAAGCAGGAGGTCGAGAGCTTCTACGACTTCTTCTACAACATTGACTCGTGGCGCTCGTTCGAGTACGCCGACAAGGACGTCGCAGAGGGTGCCGACTCGTGCGTCTGCCTCGTTCTCCCTCTCGCCCCTCCCTCTCTCTCGTCGCACGTTCACTGACTCTCGTCCTCCTCCCTTTCCTCCCGTGCACGACACAGGCGTGACGAGAAGCGCCACCAGGAGAAGAAGAACAAGGCCGAGCGCGACCGCAAGAAGAAGGAGGACAACACGCGCCGCCGCACCCTCGTCGACCAGGGCCTCGCCCTCGACCCGCGCATCAAGCAGTTCCGCGCCGCCGAGAAGGCCGCTCGCGAGGCCAAGCGTCGCGGTGGTGCCGGCGTCCCGGCGCAGCTCGACCCGGCCGAGAAGGCCGAGCAGGAGAAGAAGGCCAAGGAGCTCGCAGAGGCCGAGGCGGCTGCTGCCGCGGCCAAGGAGGCTGCCGACAAGGTGCGTCCTCTCCTCTTTACCCTTCTTCTTGCCTCTTATGCCCTCCCCTTGTCCAAGAGCGCCACTGCCGACGAACGCCCGTACTGACCCTTTCCCCTCCCCGTCCCGCCCGCAGGCCGACCGCGAGGTGCAGAAGAAGGCCAAGGCGGCCGCCGCCAAGGAGGTCAAGAAGAACAAGAAGGCCATCTCGAACGCCGTCTCGACGCACAACTACTTCACCGTCGCCGGCACGTCGCCCGCCCCGGCGACGATCGAGGCGTGCTTCGCCGAGCTCGACCTCCTCTTTGCCGCCATGGAGCCAGAGGAGGTTGCCGCGCTTCGTGTCGCCATTGACGGCAAGGGTGCCGACGAGACCAAGGCGGCGCTCGTCGCGGCGGCGCAGAAGGCCGAGCCCAAGGTCGGCGCCGGCAAGTTCAAGGAGCTCGCTTGAGAGACGCAGCCCGTTGTCGCCTTTAGACCACTGCAATTAGAAGAGTCGCAGAGTGTCTTCTCGATGCTAGTCAGCTCGCGAGCGAGAGTGTCTGAAGCGAGAGCGAGAGCGGCTCGAGCCTCGAATCGGCCTTCCCAAGTTGACTTGCGTCGAGCGGCGCGGTGTCCTCGCTTGCAGTCGCTTCTTTCAAAGCTCTCGCGATCTCAGGACACTCTCGAAGACAGGCAGGACACGTGCAGGAGCAGATGCAAGGAGCTTTTTGCAGCGAGCCGTCGCTCGACCTCGTCGACTCGCTACCACGGGCCCCTTGCGAGCGGCACGTGAGGAAAGTGCGCCCTCGTCGCCGCCTCGGCCCTCGCTCTCGCCTCGACGTACTCCTGGCTGAAGATGACGCGGTACACGGCCATCGGCTGGCCTGGCACCTCGAGCTCGAGCGACCACGTGGCGGACTTGTTCGACGGCTTGCCCTCGGCGTCCGCAGCCACGTCTGCGTCGTGCGGCGAGACGAGCGTCCAGATGACGCGCAGACCTTCGGGCCGCTCATAGCCGAGGAGGCGGGTGCGAGCTTCGGGCACACGCTCGAGGGCTTCGGCGTCTGCGCGAGGAACGGAGAGAAGGGTCAAGCCAGGCGCACGAGCGCTCGAGGCGGGAGGAGAGGATTCTCGAGCGTACCGCTGTCGATCTGGTACGGCGCGTTCCTCGCGCCGAACTCGCCGTTGATAAAGCGGGTCTGCCACGTGACGGAGCGGCGCTCGGGCGTGCTCTGCCCAAACCGGGCGTTCTGGCTGTCGTGCGGGAGTGGGACCGGCCCGGCGATGTAGCAGCGAGGGCGCAGGGGGCCGGTACGCTCGTCGAGAGCAGCCGGGTGCGGGATCGAGAAGCGGAGGAACGAGTCCTTCTCGAGCCGCCGAACGACGTGGACGAGCTCGTCGAAGGCGGGCACGACGACGACGGTCGGGTTGTCGTCTGCAGCGTGCCGTGCAAGTGACGTCAGTATGGGCGATGCGGCGAGACGCGCGCGGAGAGAGAGCGCAGGGAGGCGGGCGAAAGGAACGAGAGAGGTCCGAACGCACCGAGCGCTTGGCCGCCGAGGACGAACACCTTGTCGCGCGTGAGCTCGTACGGGTCCATGCCGTCTCGCGCTTGAGGGTGGATGCAGTAGCGCCCGAAAAACGAGCACAGGCGGTTGATGTGGACGGCGAGGTCGAGGCGATTTGCCTGCGGGAAGAGACGCAGGTCGGCCAAGTCAGCTCACGGGCCGCGAGACCGCTGGACAGGGCACACAGGGGGACTCACGAGCTCAACTCCCTGGCGGTAGGTCCTCGCGTCGAAGGCATGCCCGAGCCGCGGCTCGAGACGCTGCATCTCGCCGACGAGCGCGAGTGGGAAGAGGTGGTTGGCCTGCTGCTGCGCGAGATGCTCCGGGGTGGGCATGCTCGCTCGACTCATGGCGAGGAAAAGGTTGTGGTGAGGGCGAGAGCGGGAGAGTGAGAGCGAGGGAGGGCTGTGGCTCGAGAGCGGACCGAGCGGGTCCGGGCGGTTCCTCGACGGACGCGAGCGATCGTCCGGCGCGGCAACAGAAGGCTCTACAGCCGGTGCGAGCCCCCGTGCGTGTTCGCTCCGGCAGTCGCGGTCGGCTCAGCCTCGCTGCCTGCTGTGCTGCGACTCGAGAGCGGAGAGCAGGAGGAGGAGGTGGGGCAAGCGCCCGCGCTTCGAGGTGCGACCTCGCCACGCGCTCGTCCTCGATGAGGCGGGAGGAATGGAACACTCGAGCGCAGTCCAGCTGATGGTGGGCGGCGAGGCGGAGGTGGGTCCGAGTCTCTTGCGCGCGAGGTCGATGGACGAGGACGAGAGGCGGCGGGGGTTGGTTTGAGCGGGTGGGTCGGGCGCAGTAGGCTGAGCATGGCTGGCAGTAGCACAGGCAGTGGCCCAAGAGATCGAGCTCGCGTTTGCCGAGCGAGAGAGAGAGCCGTCTCCCGACCTTGCAGACTGACCGCGCGCCAGGGTGTGTCGCCTCACTCTGCTGCGTGTACAGCTCGACAGCCGCAGAGCTCGACCACCCAGCTCGTGTGCGCGCTCTCGACGCGCGTTCCCCCTCTGCAGGGATGCCCCGCGACGACCGCGACCTCGACCGCCGCCCGGGACCACACCCGCCCCGCCCAGGCGCACAACACGGCGCGGTGGCCAGTTCACGCACCAGGTCCCCGCCTGCGAGGCACCCTGACTCGCCAGAGCTGTACCGCCGCCGCGACCGCCGCTACTCGGACGACTACTCGTCGCGCGACTTGTCGCCGCTCAGAGGCGGCGGCAGGGACTCGCGCTCGGCGAGGGACTGGAGGGATGCTCGTGCGTCCACTCTCTCTCGTAGTAGGCAGGAGCGTGCAGCCAGCCGAGCGGTTCACTGACCTCGAGCCCGACCCTCCCTCTCTCTCAACCTGCATGCACTCGTCCTCGTCGACCTCAGCCCCTGCGCGCGCGCGGCACTACGACGACTACGACGACGACGACGACTACTACTACGACCGCTCTCGCCGCCGCTACTCGCCCGGCCCGTCGCGCCGCCGCTCCCCTTCGCCGTACCGCCGACCTTCACCGCCTCCTCGCCGTCGCTCCCCTTCCCCTCGGCCCTACCGCAACCACGGGCCGTCGCCGCCACGCCGCCGCGAGTACTCGCCGCAGCCCCCGAACGGGCCTTCGACTCACGACCGCCACGACCGCCCGCCTCGCAACCGTCCACCGCCCGAGCCCTCGTCGTCGCGCGACGTGCGGCGGTCGTCCCTCACGTCGACGTCGGCCGGCGCTGCCAGCGACAAGCCGCACGCCAACGGTGCCTCGACTTCGACTCGTCCTGCCGACCTCCCCTCGACCTCGTCTCGACCAGACCCGCCGCCGCCGACGACAGCTCCTCCGGCTCCTCCACCTCGCCCGAAACCTCGTCCTCCTGCGCCCGTCATCAAGGAGCCGCCGTTCTTCTACAAGCCCCTCAAGGCCAAGGACTTCCGCACCGTGTACGACCCGGCCCTCGACCGCAACCCGATCAAGAAGGGCAAGGCGGTCGTGCACCGGTGGGACGGCGAGGGCGTCACGGACGAGCCCAAGGACCCGAGGCGGGCGGCACCCGTCGTCAAGGCCGACGGCAAGAAGGTCAACAAGGTGCAGGTCATGCACAAGGTGGGCGTCATCAGCTACAACGTGCGTCCTCCTCTCTCGCCCTCTCGTTCGAGCGCGAAGCGACCTGACCCCTCCCTCGCGCCGCAGTGGGACCGCAACTCGCTCGGCCCGCCTCCTCCAGCACCGCCGACCGCCATCTTTGTCTCGGGCTTCCCTTCGACGACCGGGAGCGACGCCATCAACGCCCACTTTCGCGCGTTTGGCCAGATCGAGACGCAGGACTTCAAGCACGACCCGCACACGGGCGGCAACCTCGGCCTGTGCTGGATCAAGTTCGTCGACGACATCCCGCACGACGTCACGCCCGACCAGCCGACGCGCGAGCGGTACGAGCGCAAGAAGCGCGAGGGCCGCGTGCAGAACGGCGCCGAGGTGGCGGCCAAGGCGATGCGCGAGGGCAACGGCGCGCGCGTCGGCATGGCCATGCTCCGCAGCACCGAGGGCGTCACCGTCGTCCTCGACCGCGACGGCAAGCTGTGCAACGCGGCGTACAAGGCCGAGCTCGCGCGGCGGCATCCGCCCAAGCCCAAGCCGGCCGCACTGCCTCCTGCCGCCGCCGCCGCCGCCGCCGCGCCCGCTCCTTCCCCTCGTCCTGCGCCAGCCACCGACTCGGCACCGCCTTCCCCCTCGAGCGCGACGCCGACGCTCCCGCCCGTCTCGTCCATCCCTGGCCTCCCCGCCAAGCCCGTCTTCCTCGCCGACAAGCCGCCTTCCCCTCTTCCTCCCGCCGTTCCTCCACCTCCTCCACCCTCGCGCAACCCTCTCCCACCTCAGCAGAGCGCGTTCCGCCCGCCGTCCCTCCCCGTCGCCGCACCTCCCTCGGCGTCACACATCGCCGTCCCCTCGATGGCGATCCCGCCGCTCCCGACCGCCGTGACGAGCGCCAAGCATATCGTCGTCCCGAGCATGGTCGTACCGCCGCTGCCGCCATCCCGGCGCCCGTCGACGGCGCCCGTCCAGCGCGAGCGGGACCGCGACCGCGACAGGGACCGCGACCGCGACGATCGGGACCGGGACCTCGACAAGTGGGGCCGGCCCATCCGCGGTCGTGGACCCCCACGCGAGAGCGCGAGCGGCGCAGGAGGAGGAGGAGGAGGGCGGGCGAGCGGCGGCAAGCGCGGCGACAATATGGCGAGCGCGATCGCGCAGGCCGTCGCCGAGGCCAAGAAGCGGCTCAAGGCGCAGCAGGACGCGCAGGCGAGGGCGAGGAACGGCGAGGAGGACATGGAGATGAGCAGCGCCGACGAGGACGAGGCGCCGGTCGTCGTCGGTGGGGCGGATGAGCGGGCGCCCGGCTCGGGCCACGCGCCGGGGCGCAAGGCCCGCGAGGGCGAGGGAGACGGCGAGGAGAAGGGGACGGACGGGAGCGACGAGGCGGGAGGAGACGACGACGACGAGGACGACGACGACGCCGCGAGCGACTCGACGAGCTCGAAGGACGCGCTCTGGTACCACCACGGCACCGGGCGCCTCGCTCCTCGCCGCATCCTTCCTCGCGGCATCGCCCCTGTCGGCGCCATCGCGTGGCAGGCGAGCAAGAAGGTCCTCGTCGACAAGCTCGTCGACAACGGCCGCCCGTACCTCGTCATCGAGAAGGCGTCGTTCGAGCGGCACCGCCTCGCTCAAGGAGGGCGCATGGCCGTGCCCAACCACGACGAGCTCAAGCGTCACTTCCGCGACTACGAGATCGACCGCGTGCGTCCCTCGCTCTCCCTCTCTGCGCATCTCGCCGTGACCTGACCGTACCTCTCTCTCGCCCGCAGACCTTTGCCGACAAAGACGGCTGGTACATCACGTTCTCGCGCACCGACGACGCCGAGCAGGCGTTCAAGGCGCTCAACGGCCGCAAGTTCGCCGGCGCCGCACTTGATCTCGAGCTGCGCCCTCCCGCCCAATCCCTTCCTCCTCCTCCCGTCTCGCCCTCGAAGAGCGACTCGGCCGCAGCCGCCGCATCGCCATCCGCCCCACGCGGGCCCGCGCCAGCACCCGGCAGTGCCCTCGAGGCGCTCCTTCAGAAGCTGTCGCGCAAGCCCAAGGCGGCAAAGACGAGCGGCTGGACCGACGCCGAGCTCGTCGCCGAGGCGCACGACCTCGTCGTCGGCGAGCTCCTCGTCGCGTTCCGCAACGACCTGCAGGCCCGCGTCGTGCGCGCCAAGGTGCAGGAGCACGTCACGCGGTGGGAGCGCGAGGGCGGGCCGGCAAAGGTGCTCGCACGCCCGGACCCGGCGCTCGCTCCAAAGCAGGAGCACGTCGGTGCGTCGCCCGTCGGCGGCGTCGGCGAGGGGGCGTCGCCCGCCGGCGCGCAGCCGGGCGCCGTCGAGCCTGCGTCCGGCCCGGCTCCAGCGAGGGGCCTCGCGACGCTCTCGTTCGCCAAGCGCAAGGGCGCTCGCGACCGCGACGACGACGTCAAGCCGCCTCGTCGCCGCGGCTCGTCGACAGCGGCGGCGCAGCGCTTCTCGAGCGAGGCGCCGAGCGAGTCGCCCTCGCACGCCGGCGGCAGCGACGGCGAGCAGCGGCGGGTCAAGGGCGTCGCCAAGGCGCACAAGAACGGCGTCGCTCGCGCTGCTGCCAGCGACGAGAGCAGCAGCGACGAGGACGGGCTCGACCGCACCCGCGAGCGCGAGCGCGAGCGCCGCCGCAAGCTCGAGGCGCTCGTCGCCAAGAAGAAGGAGCGCAAGGCGCCGCGCAAGCGTGTCTCGATCGAGTACACGAGCAGCGAGGGCGAGGGCGAGGCGGAGAAGGTGCGCCTCGGCGCCGTCAAGGAGGAGGACGAGCCGGTCCCGATCACCGAGATCTCGACGCCGGCGCGCGACGACGGCAGGGCGAGGCGGGACGACTCGATGGACGTCGACGAGGACGAGCAGGGTCACCGGGTCGTCTCGCCGTCGCTCCACGGCGACTCGGACCACGAGGTCAAGCCGGCCCGCGTCAAGGTCCCGCGCCCCAAGCAGAAGAAGGACAAGGCGCCGCCGCGCATGACCGTCGTCGGGCGTGCCTCGTCGGACCCGTTCGAGGCCGGCGTCGCGGCGGACGACGAGGACCTGTTCTTCCTCAAGCTCGCACTCGAGCGCCTGCGCGTGGGCGAGGACCTGCACCCGACGCCGCCGCCGTCGGACGACGAGTCGAACGCGCCTCGGCACTCGACGGGCGCAGCCCGCACCGAGGGCTTCTACGCGACGACCGTCGAGGAGAAGATGGCCAACCGCCCCGAGACGACCAAGGCCAAGGCGGCCGACGCGTCGGGCACCGCCGCCGCCCAGTCGTCGAGCGTCGCCGTTTCTCGCCTCGCTCGCGCCAACACTCGCGGTCTCGTGCGCGGCATGGAGCTGCACAAGAAGGTGACGGCGACCGACACGGACGTGCTCAAGTTCAACCAGCTCAAGACCCGCAAGAAGCAGCTCACGTTCTCGCGGTCCGGCATCGAGGGCTACGGCCTCTTTGCTCTCGAGTGCGTCCCTCGCTCTCTCTCTCCTGCGTGCCCGCCGAGTCTGACATGTCAGCGCGTGCAGGCACATCCCGGCGGGCGACATGGTCATCGAGTACGTCGGCGAGCTCATCCGCCAGCAAGTCGCCGACCGGCGCGAGAAGGCCTACGAGCGCCAGGGCATCGGCTCGTCGTACCTCTTTCGAGTCGACGAGGACCTCGTCGTTGACGCGACCAAGAAGGGCAATCTCGGGTGCGTCCCTCTTCGTCCTCTTCCCTCGACGACGAGGCCTTATCCTGACCCTCTTGCGCATGCGCAGACGCCTCATCAATCACTGCTGCGCGCCCAACTGCACTGCCCGCATCATCACGATCAACGGCGTCAAGAAGATCGTCATCTACGCCAAGACCAACATCGAGCCCGGCGAGGAGGTCACGTACGGTGCGTCGTCTGCGTCTCTCTGCCTCGTCCTCTTCAGCAGCAGCCTGACTGACACCCGCTCTCGTGCGCAGACTACCACTTCCCGATCGAGGAGGACAACAAGATCCCGTGTCTTTGCGGGTGCGCTCGCTCCCTCGCCCACCTCGACCTCCTCTCGCCGGCATTACTGACTCTTTGAACCTCCCACAGCGCCCCGACCTGCCGCCGCTACCTCAACTAGGCCTCGCGCATCGCCCCTCGTCTGCGCGCCACCCGGCGTCGCCCTGCCGTCCACCCTGCCCAGACTACCCGCCCACGCAGTTCTCCCTATCTCTCCCCATCTCTCGTCCCCTCTCTCTCGTCCTCCGCCTCTCTCGGCATGCATGCCTCTGCAGCTTTGTACCTGTTACGTTCGCCTCGCATATCGTCTCTCTGCATTGCGAGCCTCGTGAGAGAGAACGAGAGCGAGTTTCAGGTTGAGAAGGCCAAATCGGGGTCCGTGCACGATCTTCTCTCCGCTCTAGACAAACGCCCGCACACGTGCCGCACCCCTTGCGCCGACGATGTACCGCGCCTTGGTGAGCGATGCTTCTTCCGAGAGGTCGAGGCGAGAACGGGCGCGCTCGACGGCTTGCCGACTGCGCCGCGAAAAGATGATGTGGCACGAGAGCGTCTCGGTCGCTCGCTCTTGCGCTTGCTGCGTGTAGGCCTCGGCGTTCGTCTCGATCTCGACGTCGAAAAGCCAGGCGACCTCGGTGGCGGGCGTTGCGTCGGGACGGAGCGCGCCGTGGTCGTCAAGCGGCGACTCGTCGGGCGACTCGGCGCACTCGACGATGGTGCCGATCGACGGCTGCGTGTGGACGAGCTGCCAGACGATCCTCGTGCCCCGAGCGGGACGAAGAGAGACGAGGGCGGCGCGGTCCCACTGCTGGCAGGCGGCTGCAAGGGCAGAGGAGGATCGCCGAGTCAGAGGAAACACAACTCTGGCGGCGAGTCGAGTCGTCGAGCTATGCAGAGGCTGGAGAAGAAGACGCACCCGTGTCGATGCAGTACGGAGCGCGGTGGGGCCCGCCGTACGATCCCGCCGCGAACGAGTTGCCCCTCGGCTTGGACTGCTCGGGCCGCTTGTCCTTGACGGCGTCATGCGCGATGAGCGATGGGCCCGCGAGCTTGTACAGCTGCCCGTCGGGCACCTTGCGCTGCGCGTGCGGGATCTGGAACCGCTCGAACGCGCCGTTGGCCCACGTCACCGCGCGCACAATCTCGTCGAAGCTGGCGACGACGATGACGAGAGGGTGATCGGCTGCGTGCGAGGGCCAGAGTCAGTACGTGTGCGACGCTAAGGCGTTCAGAGGTGACGCACGAGTGCCCTTGCCGCGCAGGACGAACACGTCGTCGTCCGAGAGGCGGTACTCGCCGAGGCCCAAGCGCGCCGTTTTCAAGATGAACGCGTCCTGGATCCACGCAGAGCACAGCCGGTTGATGTGGCCGGCGACGTCAAAGTGCTTAACCTGCGCGACGCGGTGTCGGTCAGCACGACGCTGCAGAACGAGAGCAAGGAGGAGGAGACGCACCGCAAGTTGGCCTGACTCGTGCTCCTCGCGGTGTCGCGGCACGAGCTTGGCCAGCTCTCCCGCGAGCGTACCGACCTCGTGCTCGTGCTTTCGGAGACGAGACATCGCAGCTGAAGAGCAGGGAAGGGGAGAGGCGAGCCGAGAAAAGCGAGCAGGAAGCAGTCGTCGACGGCGGACGCACGTTCCTCCTCCGCGGCTTCTCCGTCCAGGAGCGCGATCAGGGGCCACCGACCGGCGATTGAAGTGCTCGAACGCCGAGACGGACGAGCAGAGCGTGCAAGCGAGAGCTGAGAAAGTTCGAGCGAGAGCGACGACGAGAAGCGCAGCGTTCGAGAGCGAGCCTCGCGACAAGGACGACGAGTATGACAAAGATGCTGAGCTCTAAGCCGTCGACGGGCCGTGCTACGCCGCCGCCTCGTCTTCCTCGGCTCCGACCCGCTTGCCCGTGGCCGGCGTCGCCTGCCAGAACGCCCATCCTCCTCCTTTGCTCGACGCCGGCGCCGCGCCTGCCGCCGAATGGACGTCGCCGACGGCCATCTCGGCCTCGTCGAGGTTGCTGCCGAGCTGAAGGCCGAGCTCCTCAATCGAGGGCGGCTTGTCGGGTTTGAGCGCCTTCTTGCGGGACGAGGTCGAGATCGAGTAGTAGGCGACGACGCTCACGACGAACACGGTGATGGCCGACATGACGCGCCCTGCGAGCGAGACGTGACCGAGGTGTGAGTTATGAGAGGGGAGGAGCGAGGCGAGGAGGAAGGGAGGACGCACGAGTACTGATCCACTTGGTCGCCTCGATCTCTGTTCGCGCCTCGCCGAGCAGGATCGTGAACTTGCTGTTGAGGTCCTGCGAGAGGGAACCGAGGGCGTCAGGCAAGGCTCCAAGGCAGGGAAAGCGACCGCGAGAGAGAGGGCGACGCACCATGACCCGCTTGTCGAGCTGCGTCAACTCCTGACTCGTCTCCTCCTTGCGCGCGTTCATCTCGAGCTGCGTGCGCCGGTTGTCAGGATCGAGACTATGCTCGTAGAGAGAGGGTGAGAGCGGGACGCACCTGGATGTCGCTCCCCAACCGCTGCATGTCCTCCTTCATCTTCTGCTCGAGCCCGTCCGTCTCGCGCTGGAGCGACGCCGTCAAGCTCCGAAGCGTGATGCTGTCGTTGCGCGAGCGGACCTGCGACCCAGTCTTGAGCTCGTTGAGTGCCGCCGTGAACAGGTAGGCCTCCTGCGGGACGGGCGCGCTCAGGGTCAGTCGGCGTGCAGGGAGACGAGGGGAAGATAGGGACAGAGGGACGGCGACGCACATTCTCGAGCTCTTGCCGACTGAGGACCTCGCCCTGGGCCTTCTCCTCCTGCTGCAAGAGCAAGTCGCGCGTCGCCTTCATGAGGTCGGTCGCGAGCGGCCTCGGAACGCCCGCGCCCTCGAGGTCGCGCACGAACCGGTGCGTCGAGAACGGGACGCGCGACAGCGGGAGGGCGTGGCGCTCGAGTGGCGGGAGGCCCTCGAGCGGCGCGGTGATGATGAGCTCGCCGACGGTTGCGGCGGGCGAGTCGGGGTTGGACGACGAGGACGAGGTCGAGGACGAGGGGCGCGCCGAGGTCGAGGCCGAGGGCGGGGCAGGTATGACGGGAGGCCCGGCTGCTGCTGCGCCCTCCTGCGAGGCTAGAGGAGCGCTGTCGGTCCCGCCTGCGCCCGACGCCTCGGTAAACTGGAGCCGGTCGCGCGGGCGGAGCCGGCGGGCCGAGGACGGCGCCGAGCCGTGTGCGTCTTGCGGGTCGCCCGACTGGGGCACAGGGCGAGGTTGCGACGTGTGTAGTGCTCGTCGGCGGACTGGAGGGATGGCGCGCGAGGTCGAGGCGAACAGGGATCGGGCCGACATGGGCGGAGAGGTGGGCTGCTGCAGACGGCGCAGAAAGGTCAGGACTGGCTCGTGTGCGTTGTAACAGGTGCCTGCCAGCCCTCTGCAGCCCCTGGACGCACTCCCTCGCCTCTGAGTGACCAGCGAGAGAGCCGGCGACTCGGCCCAGCAGATGACGAAGACGGCCACAAAGCCTCCGGGAGGGCGAGGGGAGGGGCTCACCTTACCGTGATAAGTCTGTCGAGTACGTTATCGAGCGCGCAGGTCCTCCTTGTGCGGCAGGCGGTAGGTGGTGCGAGGGTCGACGCGGCTGGGGACGAGGCGGCGACGAGGCGACGACGGACCGGTGCAGGCGCAAGGGTGCTTGCGGGGGCGTGCGTGCTTCTTGTGGGAGGTGGCTGGAGCAGCACAGGCTCGGGCACAGCGCGAGTACGAGTGTCTGAAGGCCAGCTCTCGAGGTGCCGCCAGGTCTCGAGTTGGGCGAAGCACCTCTCGTCCTTGCGAGCTCTCGAGTAGCCCTGGTCCTGGTCGGCGGCCATCTCGTCGCATTGCACGATGAGCGCAACTCGGGGAGCCACCCTGCCTCACCTCGCCTCGTCCTCCCGCACGGACATCCTCCCTCGACACCGACGTTGCCGAGGCAACAAGGCCGTCCTGCGTGCGTCGACGGACCCGGTGCGACGTATCGTAGACGACCTTGACGTGAGAAGAGGTGCTGTGGGTGGCGCGACCGGTGAGGACGAGGCGCAAGAAAGGGAAAGGCAAGGTCGAGCGCATAGGTCGGGCACTCGACGCTTGGTCGAGGGCGTGGGTCGGGACGAGGTCGAGTCGTCGGTCGAGAGCTTGATAGACGAGCGCTTTGAAGATATCTGTGGACAGGCAGGAGGGAAGGAGGACGTGCGAGGTCAGGGCACGGGTCGCTCGAAGGCAGAGAGGGAGGGCGACGCACTCAGGGTACGGCACAGCACACCTCTCCCACGGTGTTCCCTCACGTCATGAACCCCGTCTCGCCCTCCTCGAACCGACCGTGCGCCTCGCCCATGTCGAATAGCGGCACCTCGTTTCCAGCTCCTGCTCCCCCTCGCGCCGGGCCGCCGCCGCCGACCGCCCCGTCGAGCCCGTCGACCTGCCACCGCTCGGCGTTGAACGCACGGTCCTGCCACGGTTGCGCCGCGTCGTCCTCGAGCCCGACGTTGCGCGCGTCGCTCGCGAGCGCGCGCCCCGCCGACGGTGACGACGTAGCGGCGGCAGCGACCGAGGGCACGGCAAACACGGGCGGGGTGCGGTACTGCCACTCGTCCTTGTCGGCCTCGTCGAGCGAGCGGCGCAGGAAGTCGAGCGCGGCCGTGTGGGCCTCGTCGCGCGCGTGCTGCGTGTTCGGCACGGGGCGGGGGAGGTCCTCGAGGCGGAACCCGGCGGCAGGGGCGGTCGAGGGCGGCGAGGCGCTGAGGAACTCGAGTGCACGCGCTTCGACGTCGGTAAAGGGGGCGCCGGCGAGCGAGTCGGGCGACGAGGTGGACGAGGAGGCCGACGAGAAGGACGCGTCGGGCTCGAGGAGGTCGGGCTCGAGAGAGGCGTTGGGCGAGGGGCGGACCGAGGCTGACGAGAAGTACGACTCGTCGGGAGCGGCGTCCGTGTCGTCCATGGGGCTGGTGTCGAAGGGAGGAGACGGAGGAGGTGCTGGCTGATGAGGACGAGCGGGACGCGAGGGGAGGACGGCGGGGCGCTGGGGGGGCTGCGGGTACTGCTGTGGTCTCTGCGAGAGCTGGGCTGAGCTCTACGAGGGCGTGACACAGTGGGTGCGCGACGTGCTCGGCGTGTGAGGAAGCGAGGCGGTGCTTGCGGCTCTCTCTCGAGGTCCAGCTCGTCGAACAACAGCGAGCGCGACAATCCTGCACTGCAGTGACACGCAGACGAATACGACTGTCATCTAGCTCGCCTCAGACCGGCTTCTCAACCTTGCCCAGCTCGTGGCTCATCCCTCCGTCCGCCTTCTTCCGCTCGCCGACCTCGTCCCGCTCGCCCTCCTCCTCCTCCGTCACCTCCTCGACACCGCTCTCCTTCCCCGCCGCGTCCATCGGGTCCTCGACCACCGCGCCCGCCGCCGGCGTCTGCAGGCCCGGGTTGGCCGTGTACCGGTTCAGGAGCGCTTGCTGCGCGTCGAACTCTTTGCGCAGCGCGAGGAGCTCCTGTAGAGGGGGACCAAGAGCTTCAGTTGAGTATCCCGACGCGAGAGAAAGAGAAAGAGAGAGGCCGGCGCACCTTCTCGAACTTGCGCGCAAAGACCTCGACTGCGAGAGAGAGGAGAGAGGGGGCATGAGCGTTCGGATTCCTCTGCGGGACGAGAGATTGAAAGATGACGGTCGACGCACGGTAGAACGACGCGCCGTTCCAGGCGCTGATAGCGAACAGGGCGACGAGGTACACGCTCGACCAGAACTTCGAGTCGTAGAGCCAGAACAAGGGCGGGATGAGCGTCACGAACGTGTATACGGCTTGGCCGGCCTGCGTGTCGTCACGTGTCGAGGTTCAGCTCGATCCTGAGTGAGGGGGAGAGGGAGAGAAGGGAACGGCGGGACGCACGATGAAGGCGCTCTCGCGCAGCTGCGGCGGGAGCTTGGCGGCGATGCGGCCGATGAGCCGCTTCTTGTCGTTGATCAGGAACGTGAAGCTCGTCGCACGGCCCTCGCGGATCTTGTCGGCGCGCAGCTGGATCACAAAGTGGAAGTACAGGAGCTGCCACACCATGTCTGCGCGCGTGCGGGTCCGAGGTCAGGTTCTGTGCGCAGAAGGGGAGGCGAGAGAGGGAGAAAGGGGGCGCACAGGTCGTCATGCAGATCGTCATGCTGCGCCACGGCTTGAGGTGAGGCAGCTCCTTGAGCGCCGGGTAGCGCTCGAACGCGAGGTCTTGCGGGTAGAAGTGCCTGGAGGTTCACGCTCGTCAATGACCGCGTCCGCGAGCGGGAGGGGAGGCAGGACGCACCGGATGACCGTGAAGACGAAAGGCGGGAAGATGTGGATGGCGAGCGAGATGACCTTGTCGAGCGAGTGGAAGACGAGCGAGTTGCGCCAAGTCGCGATCGCGCTGCGGCGAGAGGGGCAGTCAGTCGCACGTTCCTCACGTCGGGACAGGGCAACAAGAGAGACTCACGATCCGAGACTGCCCAGGGTGAGGCCGTAGCACGCCTCGAACAGGAACGCGCTGCCGGGGAAGACCCAGAGCTGCGCGAGGTGCGGAAAGAGGGGTCAGTGAGGCTCTGGATCAGAGGGAAACAAGCGGACGCACATAGAGGAGGGCGAGGACATTGACGAAGTAGCACAAGTCGAAAAGGAAGCTGTCGGCGCGACGAGGAGAGGTCAGGTCCGGGGTCTCGAGGAGGGGAGGAAGGGAGGACGAAAGGGGGCGACGCACTAGTGGTACAGCTTGCGCTTGTAGGTGAACACGCGATAAGGCAGGTAGAAAAGCATCTGGAGCGAGTACCACTCGGCGAGCCACGTCGGGTGGAACCCGAGGAGGAGCGCCGAGAAGAGGACGTTCATGACGCCGCACAGGAACGAGATCTGCGTGTGCATGTGCGAGAGTCAGCTCACGCTCTCATCGCTCAAGAACCCGTAGGGAGGAAGGGAAAGGGGGCGAGGACGCACCTTGTCGCGAAGGCGGACGGTCTTCCTGCGGGTCGGGCAAGAGAGAGTCAGTCACCGCTCGCGCCGACTCGTCTCGAGCCCAGTCCTGAAGAGAAAAGGGGACGCACTCTTCCTCCCACTTGACGACGAGCTTCTGGACGCTGTCGCGCATGCGGGTGCGCACCTCGCGGTACTTGCGCTCGAGGCGCTCGCGGTCCTTCTGGCTCAGGACCTTGCGCTCGCCGGCGACGCCCGCCTCGCGGAACTCGCCGCCGCCGGTTGCCGCGCGAGAGAAGCCGAGGCCCTCGCCGAGGTCGAAGGCGGGCACGCTCGGGAGGGGCGGCACCTTGAACGTGTCGCGGCCCTTCTGCTTGGCCTCGTCGAGGAGGCGGTCGGCCTTCTCGCGCCAGGTGACGCTCTTGCGGCGGAGGGGCCGGGTCCACACCTCGAGGTGGGCGTCGAGGACGTTGAGGAAGTCGAGGAGCGACAGGCCCGAGAAGAGCGGGTCGTCGTCGTGGATCTCGAACCGGGGCGACCCGGTGCCGGACGAGGTCGAGTCGCCCGAGCCGGTCGAGCGGCGCGACAGGGTTGGCGGGAACGGCGGTGTGCCCGTTGGCGAGGGCGGGGACGAGTCGTCGGGTGTGGCCGAGCTGAACGTCGAGGACGAGGCGAGGGGGCCGTCACCGGCCGGATGCGAGGTCGCGACGGTGCGGCGGCGCGAGAGGCTCTCGCTCGCCGGGTCGGGTGGTGCAGCGGCGGTCGCGCCTGGCATGCTCGATTGCGAGGTGCGGTCGAGGTGGAGTCGGGCGGGTGCACGTGTGGGAGAGGGCGCAGTCAGGCGGCTCGCTCGGGGACGTCTGCGGCAGGCGGGCGGCTGACGGTGCAGTGAGAGTGCTGTCTGCTGTACTCGGCAGCTCGCAGAGACGCAAGCGCGGGTGTGGGACGAGAGAGCCAGCTCGCCGTCATCATCTCTCGACCTGGCGGCTGTAGGTCTCGCAACGGCCACAGTCGACTCGGCTGACAGCTGCACAGGCTCTACGATAGTGTCGGCCACCGCACGAGCTTGTCTACAGAGCCGCGAGCGGTGCTCGTCCTCGTCGCGGAAGCCCGCCAGCGGCGTTACCGAGGGGAGGCGATGTAGAGGGCAACGACCTTCCGTTCTCGGCGAGCGGGGTCGATGAAAGGTCTGGACCGAAACGCCTGCGCGGTCGACCTTCTCGCTCGACAGTCCCTCCTCCTCCCTCTCTCCCTCCTCACCCTCCCCTCTGGTCCAAGAGCTCGCCAGCATGTCCGCCACTGTCGCTACTCCCACCTCTGTCGACGTCCGTGCGTCGCCCGTCTCTCTTGCCCTCGTCGCGCGCCCTCAATCGCGTTTCCCAGCCACCCCCGCTCACCTCTCGCCTCTCTCTCGCAGTCATCATCGGCGCTGGCCCGACGTGCGCACCGCCACTACGCGTCTACCCGTCTCAGCCACCTCACTGACGCGCCGCATCCCTCGCAGTGGTCTCGGTGCCGCCAAGCGCCTCAACCAGCTCGTGAGCTCCGGATCTCCCAATCCTCCCCGCGCCACGCACTCTCCCTGACCCCGTGTTGCCTCCCTGTGCCCTCGCCATTCCGCAGAAGCACTCGAACTTCCTCGTCGTCGATGCCCAGGCCGAGGCCGGTGGCCTCGCGTCGACCGATGTCACCCCGGAGGGCTTCCTGTTCGATGTCGGCGGGTCCGTCCTCTCCCTCGGCCTCTTTCTGCGCGTGCGACCCCCCGAGCAACTCGTACTGACTCTCTCGCCGTCGTCACGCAGTCACGTCATCTTCTCGCATTACCTGTGCGTCGCTCGTCCTCGCCGACGGCCACCACGTGCGCGACCTCGAGCTCACCTTGCGCGTGCGCCCACAGCTACTTCGATGACTGCATCAACGAGGCGCTCCCCAAGCCCGACGACTGGTACGAGCACGAGCGCGTCTCGTACGTCCGCTCCAAGGGCGCGTGGGTCCCCTACCCGTACCAGGTGCGCCCTCGCTCTCTCCTTCGCGGTCCAGCCCGTACCGCGCCTGACACGCTCCCTTGCGGTCCGCAGAACAACATCACGATGCTGCCCGTCGAGGAGCAGGTCAAGTGCATCGAGGGCATGATTGACGCCGCCGAGGAGCGCGCTCGTGCCTCGACCAAGCCCAAGAACTTTGACGAGTGGATCGTCCGCATGATGGGTGCGTCGCCTGCCTCTTTCCCTCTTCGTGAGTGTCGCGACCTGACAGCGTGCGCCTCCTGCAGGTACCGGCCTCGCCGACCTCTTCATGCGCCCGTACAACTTCAAGGTCTGGGCCACGCCGACGACCGAGGTGCGCCCTCTCTCCCTCTCTCTCGCTCTCAGGTTGGACGAGGACTGACGCACGTTGTTTCCTCACCCGCAGATGCAGTGCGAGTGGCTCGGTGAGCGTGTCGCGGCGCCGTCGCTCAAGCACGTCGTGTCGAACGTGCTCAACAAGAAGGTGGCCGGCAACTGGGGCCCGAACGCGACGTTCCGGTTCCCGGCCCGCGACGGCACCGGCGGCATCTGGAAGGCGGTCGCCAAGACGCTGCCGCAGGACCGGTTCAAGTTCGGCCAGTCGGTTCAGCGCATCGACGCGACCAACAAGGTCGCCCACCTGTCGGACGGCTCGTCGATCGCGTACCGCTCGATGATCTCGACCATGCCGCTCGACCAGATCACCGAGATGACGGACGAGGCGGCCAACCTGCGCGACGTGTCGCGCGGCCTCGTCTACTCGTCGACCCACGTCATCGGCGTCGGCATCCGCGGCGTCCTCCCGCCGCGCATCGGCGACAAGTGCTGGCTCTACTTCCCCGAGGACGACTGCCCGTTCTACCGCGCGACCGTCTTCTCCAACTACTCGCCGTACAACTGCCCCCAGGAGGACGTCAAGCTGCGCACGCTCCAGACGGCCGACCCGGCCCTGTCGGCCCAGGTCGACACCGAGACCGAGCGCGCCGGCCCGTACTGGTCGCTCATGCTCGAGGTGTCGCAGTCGACCCAGAAGCCCGTCGACGAGGCCAAGCTCCTCGCCGACTCGATCCAGGGCCTCGTCAACACGGGCCTGTGCTCGCCCGACGACGAGATCGTGTCGACCTACCACCGCAAGTTCCACCACGGCTACCCGACCCCGTCGCTCGTCCGCGACGGCCAGCTCAAGCAGCTCCTGCCCGAGCTCCGCGACAAGTACGCCATCTGGTCGCGCGGTCGCTTCGGCTCCTACAAGTACGAGGTCGCCAACCAGGACCACTCGTTCATGGTGCGTCTCACGTCTCTCTCTCTCTCTCCTTCTGCGTGGTCGAGCGCGTCGTCGTCCACGATTTGGCGCCGCTCGAACCCCCTTCTCGGCCTTCTCAACCGGTCTGACTTTCCCTTTTTTTCCTGCAACAGGTCGGCGTCGAGGCGGTCGACAACGTGCTCTTTGGCGCTCCTGAGTGCACGCTCGAGTCGCCGGATGTGCGTCCCTCTTCCTCCCTGCCTCGCCCGCTCGGTCGACGCACGCACTGACCCTCTCTCGCCCCCCTCTTTCTCCTTCTCTCGCAGTGGGTCAACGGCCGCCGCAACACCGAGCGTCGCCTTTAAGCGTGTCCTCTACCCTCGTCGTCCTCTCTCCCTCCTCCCCTCGTCCCCTTCCCTCATGCTGTGCTGTCCCCACTTCTCTATCTCCCTCGTCCTCTCCTAGCGGTCCCTTTCATTGTGTGTTCCCTGCATCCGGGCAATTAGATTTCCTTTCCCTTTCCTTCCCTTCCCTTCGTTGTCGTTGTCCCCGAAAGCGAGAGCGAGAGGGCGAGCGAGAGCGTGAGCGAGCGAGGAGCAGGCACTCAAGGGCGCTCTCGACGCAGGATTCGGTTGGGGCTCTCGCTCTGACTCTGTAGGTCGCTGTCGCAGAGAGGGCACGCGAGCCTCGTCGTCTGAATCGGCGGCGCCGCAGCCGCTCGGTCCTCCTCAACTTGCTCGGCTCGAGAACGCTCGAGCCTCTCTCGCTCTCTCGCTTGGACGCGCGCACTGTGGGTGAACGACAAGAAGGGCTCGTTGGTACAGGCGAGGAGAAGGGGAGGAAAGGGCGGCAAGCTACGAGGGAGAGCTAGAGATCGAGGCAGGGAGTGCGAGATGAGTCGCTACGGCAGGAGGGGTTGCGGATCGAGAGAGGAGGAACTAGGGTGACGGGCATATGAGGAAAGGAGGGGGTGCGGCCTGAGGGTGGAACCTCGAGGAGGGCCGAGGCGAGGGGAGAGGAGAAGAGGGAGGGGAAGGGGGGACGACAGACGGACGGACGGAAGCACGACGACGACGACGACGAAGGAGAAAGGCGAGGGGTCGAGCCGGCGCAGGGTGGTATCGGGCGAGTATGTAGAGGGTGCGCGGCGACGACGAGGCGGGAGAGGGGCGAGAGGGCACGGGCGATAAGACAGGGGCGACGACCAACGACGACGATCGCGATCGCGCTCAGTCGAGGTGCAGCCTCATCTGCTCGAGCGGGATCGGCTCAAAGTTGTTGATGTCGATGCCGCGGCTGAGGAGCTCCTGCTCGGCGTGCGGCGGCACGAGCTGGCGGATCAGGTCGGGCCGGCACGACAGCTCCTCGCGGTTGAAGTCGAACAGGGGCGGCAGGTCCTTGCCGGTCGGCATCTTGGCGTCGGGCGTCTTGAGGTCGTTGAAGAAGGGGTGGCACATGGCCTCGATGGCCGTGAGGCGCGCGGACGGCGTGTACTCGAGGAGCTTCGAGATGAGGTCGATCGCCTCGGGCGGCGTGCGCGGGCGGAACACCTTGACGAACGGATGCGGCTGCGTGACAGTCGACGACGAGGGTAGAGGAGGGGGAGAGGGAGAGAGGGAGAGGGCGAGTCAGTGAGGCTCAATCGGGAGGAGGTTCGAGGACGACGACGACGAGGGAGGGAGGGAACGGACCTTGATCTGGGGGAACTTGTGCTCCATGTAGTTGGGGTTCATCGTCTTGATCTGCTCGCGCGTGGGCGTGCCGAGCACCTTGATGATCTCGACGAGCTGGTCGATGCCCGACTCTCCCGGGAACAAGGGCTGGCCGAGCATGAGCTCCGCCATGACGCACCCGGCGCTCCACACGTCGATGTTGGTCGTGTAGTTGGTCGCGCCAAAGATGAGCTCGGGCGCGCGATAGTACCGCGAGCAGATGTACGACACGTTGGGCTCGCCCTCGATCAGGATCTTGGCCGAGCCAAAGTCGCACAGCTTGAGGATGCCCGACGGCGGATTGAGGAGCAGGTTCTGCGGCTTGATGTCGCGGTGGCAGACTGTGGGCCGAGGGGCAAAGGGTGAGCCTCGGCGGAGAGAGAGAGAGGGAGGAGGGAGGGGGACGTACTGCCGACCGAGTGGATGTAGGCGAGCGAGCGCAGGAGCTGGTACATGTAGAGCTTGATGTAGGCCATGGGCATCGTCTGCTTGAGCTTGGCGTAGTGGCGCGACGCGCGGTACACCGTCTCGGGAACGTACTCGAGCACGAGGTTGAGGTAGACCTCGTCCTTTTTCGGCTGCGTGGCATGCGAGCGGGTCAGTCGGCTGCTCCCTGGACGACGACGAGGAAGTGGACGCACCTTGTCGCCGTTCGAGTAGAAGAAGGCGCGCAGGTTGACGACGTTCGGGTGCTTGACGAGGCGCATGATCTGGAGCTCGCGGTTCTGCGGGCGCGCTCGACGTTGTCAGGGGACCGCCCGCTCGGGACGAGACGAGAGAGCGTGGGCGCACCTTGAAGCGCTTGTCCTGGAGGACCTTTTTGATGGCGACATCGTCGTCGCCCTCGTTGTCGGGTCCGAGCGAGCCCGGGACGAGCTTGGCCTGGAAGACGACGCCGAACGAGCCGTTGCCGACCACCTTGCTCGAGAAGTAGCTGAGCTCGCACTGGTCGCCGGTGCGGCCGTGCGAGGCGATCACCTTGACGACCTTGGTGCTGTCGTCGGCTGTGGGCGGGCGCATCGATGAGGCGACGGGAGGGGGAGGGGCGGCATCCCGATGGGGCGACGATGGCGCGGACGGGACGGGGGACGAGGTCGGGGTCGCGACAGGGTGTGCGAATGCGGTCGGGCGCGAGCGAAAGCGCAGGAGGCGCGAGTTGGACCGAGGTCGCCGGTGGAGCGGGAGGTGGTCGTGCACGTGCGGGAGGGCGGACGACGCGAGCGTTGGCGACGCGGGGCGGGACCACGAGACGGGCGAGAGGGGGCCGACGTAGTCGACGAGGAGGGACAGGGGGAGGAACGGGTGGGGCGCAGGAGGTGGGGCGGTCGGGTTGAGCGAGAGCGGGGCGTCGAGGGGAGGGAGGAGAGAGTACATCGTCAGGGCTGGGCGTCTCGAGGGCGGGGTGCAGGATTGCGGTGTGGCCGAGTGCTACGCGAGCATGGACGGCTACGTCGCGCGACTGCTCGTGGCCGTCGAGCGGCAGTGGACGAGAGGGACGGAGGCGAAGAGACGTCGGTTTGCCCTCGGGGCTCGTTCCCGGCGAATCCGGCCCCTCGACCTCGCTCGACTCGGCCTCTGTGTGCCCGTGCGCGTGCCCTGGGTCCTCCATCCTGCTCAACACAGCCCTGCGCACCCTTGCCGGCCGCACACCGAGACGGGCGACGCGAGTGTATGCTCACTGAGCGCCGTCTCGTGATCGTCCCTCCCCCGCCCCACGGCTGCAGCGAGCCCTGGCCCGCCTCGCCCGCCCTCTGCGACACGAGCACCGACCGAGACGCACACACATAGAGAGAACGGGGACGCACACATCAACGCTGGACGCTCGAGAGCTGGTGGTGACGAGGGACGAGTGGGCGAGTGGGGGGAGGAGAGGCAGGCGACGGAGGTGCTCTGTCGAGGGTCGGCGTCGGGCGGGTGCGGCTGGCGGTGTGACGGGGTTGCTGAGCCGGCGAGTGTGGTGCGCGTTGGTGCCCTAGAGGTGACGAGGGGCAGTACGGGAAGCTGGGTGGGAGCGAAGAGGCTGCGCGCTCGTCTCGGCGACAGGGGAGGGGAGTGACAGGCCACCCGTCAGCTCTGCGGCTTGCCTGTACAGCCAAACAGACGCCAGTCCAGCTCACCTCGAGGTCTGTCTTGACGGCTCTGTGCAAGAGGACGACGGCGAGCCCGCAACCCCGTCCAACTCTACCCCCCTCCTCGTCCCTCCACCTCTCGGCCTTACTTCCCCCTCTTCGACCTGTCTCTCGCTTTCCCGTGACCGCAAAGCGGCCAGCTCTAGACTCGCCTCGTCCCTCGACCCCCCACTCGTCCCTCGTCGAGACACCCTTGTCGTCGATCGTCTCGCTCGCCTTGTTCTCTCTCTTCCCCTCCTGCGTCCCTCCCCCTCCTTGACGAGGTCGAGCTCCTTCAAGTTGCGCTCGTGCGGATCGCCGCACCGTCCGCACCGGCGAACGGGCCTGTGCGCTTCGCTCAGCCGCCCCGGCTCGCGTTCGACGTCGCCGCCCGTCGCCTCCAGCTCTGGCGACCGAGTTGCGGGGCGCTGGTTCAGCCGCAACGCGCCTCCTGTCCGCCTCGGTTACGTCTCGCGGTCCGTCGGCGACGCTGCGGTCCGGGGCGGGGCGAGCGTCGTTCGTCCGCCTCAGCCGCTGCCCGGCTCGCGCACCTGCTGCTCGCGCTCCTCGCTTCTCACTTTCGAGCAAGAGCGGCCTGCTACAAGCTCTCGTCGACCGCCACCGCGCTCATGCCGGTCGACGACACCGCTTTGTCCTTCACATCGAGCCTCGTCCTCAACCCGCCCTCGTCGCGCCTCTCTGTCCCGCCCGACGTCCTGCACGCCCTGCGCGCCTACCGCATCGCTGTCCTGCGCTCTCTCGGGCCTTCGAGCGAAGCCGAGTCGATCTGGGCCGAGCTGGGCCGGGCGCGGCTCGTTGAGCGAGAGGGGAGGGTGCCAGTTTGGGTGCGCCCGAGCGAGGTGATGATCATGGCGGCGAGGCGGATACAGAGTGGGGTGCTCGGCGCACGCCAAGCGTATACGGCGAAGCAGCTCGTGCGTCCCTCGCCCTTCTCTCTGGGCGTCGAAGCGGTCGGAGCGCTGACCTCGTCCTCACCCTCGACAGCAACGAGACGCAGATCTCGTGCAAGCGCCCATCGTGCGTCCTCGCCTTCCCTTCCAGGTCACCCGGTACTGACGATCTCGCTGCAGGACACGGCGAGGCGCGCACTCGGACTCGACGCGACCTCTTCCTCGATGATCCGCTCTCGCGAGCGACCCTCACCTTCTCCCACCCCGCCCACCTCTCCGCACACGCCCCTCTCCCGCCGCTCAGCAAGCCCCATCCGCTCTCCCATCCGCGTGCGGGCCCCCTCGACCGTCACCCGCTTCTACGCCGCCCTCTTCGACCACCCCGTCGCGCCTCCCGACACCCGCACCCCGCCGACCGTCTCGCGCGCGTACGCCGCGCTGCGGGCCGCCGCGCACAAGGCGGTCACGCCCGACGTGTGGGACGAGATGTGCAGCATGCGCAGGGGCGACGAGTCGTGCGCCAAGGTGGCGCTCGGGGCGCTCGCGGCGGCCAAGGACGCGGTCGTTGGACGGCCGCCCGGGCGCAGCATTGACGCAAGGGTGCAGCAGATTGTGCGTCTCGCTCTCTCCAATCTCTCTCTTCTCGCATCTTGGCCGGCGAGGAGCATGACTGACGCTGGCGTTCGGCGCTCGCAGAAATCCGCCGAGAACACGATCATCAACGAGCTCGTTGTGCGTCCTTGCCCTCTCCCTGCCAGCGAACATTGACGTCAACTGGCTAATTTTGACATGCCGACATCGCAGAGCGACGCACTCGACGCCTTGAAGCGGGACGAGTCGAGGACGAGGAGGCGGTCTGGGCGGTCCGAGCGGCGAGAGGGGTTTTAGTCGGACGAGCGGGTGCAACGCGGGCGGTGACGGCCGTCAAGCTGTGCAGAGCGAGATTCTGCTGCTGCTGAGAGTGTCTGGCAACGCTTTTGCGCCGTCCGTCAACGAGAAACTCGCCCGCTTCTCCCGGACCCTCAACTTGAGAAGGTCGAACGGCCGTCGCCGCGTCCTCTCGCCGCGGCTCCTCAGACGTGCGTACGTCTTCAGCGAGCGTCTGAAGCCCTCAGGAGATCGATGCGCGCCACGCTACCGAGCAGACCGCGGACATTCCGTCTGCACCGCCCGCTCCGCGAGCTTGCTCTCCCCGGCTCTCTGCAGCTTTCGACATCTCGTGCACCGTCGACATGGCCTGGAACAGCTACACCGCCCGCACGTTCATCGAGGATCTCGTCCTCCAGCCGCCCGTTCTCAGGTCGGGCGGTTCGGGCGAGCTGTCAAACACGCTCGAGCTCGCTCTGCGCCAGTACCGCATGTCGGTGCTCGAGGCGTTCGGCCCCGTCGAGTCGCAGCAGGAGCTCGTGTGGGACCGCATGCGCTCGCAGGAGTACAATCCGCGCGGTACGAGGGCGAGCGGAATGAGGTTGGCGGTCGCGGCGGCCAAGCGGATCCAGGACGGCGTCGAGCACGGTCACGAGTACGCCGCAAAGGAGCTGGTGCGTCCCGTCTCCCTTCGACGAGCCTGCAGGACGAGGAGCACTGACGTGCACGGACCCACAGCGCCGCGACGCCGAGCAGATCCTGGCCCTCGTCGTGCGTCTCTCGCACTCTTTCTCGCTCTGGACGACACGTGCCGACCTTGAGTCCTTCTGCGCAGCGACGGGCGAGCCCGGCCGTCGTCGAGCGCTCGCCGTCGACCTCAGACGGTTGCGTCGGTCGTCCTCTCCTCCAGCTCGTCGACATGGGCTGACTCGTGCCGGTCTCTCTCCTCGCGCAGACAGCAAGGACGCCTCGCCAGCGTGGCTCGCACAGGCGTCGGAAAGCCTCGCCGAGTTCCGCCAGATCCTCGCAGAGCCAGAGCGTGCGCCGGGCGAGGTCCCGCCGCTCGAGGTGGCGGCCGCGTGGCGGGACCTGGTTGCGTGCGCCTCACGCGACGTCGTCCTGTCAGTCTGGACGCAGATGGAGCAGATCAAGTACGGCAACGCGACGCTCGCGAGCCTGGTGCGAGCGTGGGCCGTCGTCGCGCACAAGGCGTGCGTTGCGAGCATGCACGGCGGCGACGCAGCGGCGTCGGCGCTGCAGATCGTGCGTCTCTCTCTCTCTCTCGTCTCCCGCGCCCGGGCCTGCCGACGCAGCACTGACGAGCTATCGCCGAGCAGGACGCCGCCAAGCAGGTGATCCAGGAGCTCGTCGTGCGCCCCATCTCGTCCTCCTCGTGCCAGCGCGGGACAGACGTCTGACCTTGGCCTCGAACGTCGCGCAGGACACTGGGCGAGCCAAGCGAGGCTTGCCTCGGTTGTACCCGTCGACGCGGCCGCTCGCCGAGCGTCGGCAGAGGTGAGGTCGGTCGAGAGGGAACGCGAGCGTGTAGCCCGAGCGAGCGCAGGACGAGGGGGCTGCAAGCGAGCGTCGAGACGACTGCATTGCACAGATGTGCGACCCGAGAAGAACGGCGGGCGCGAGCTGCTTGTGTGACGAGACGGAAAGAAGGTGGGGAAGACGAGGCGAGGAGGAGCTCGGGGAGGGACTGGGTGCCCCGCTCGGAGGCGCACAAGGAGCAGGAGATGCCGAGCAGGCCTGGCGTGTAGCAGCACGCTCGGCAGGCGTCGTGGTGGAAGCGAGGGACGAGATGCCGAGCCGGCCGCGGCGGCCCTCGTCCTCGCTCTTCACTCGCTCGCACCGGGCACAGCTTGAGTGCACCAGTACTGCCAGCCATGCCCTCGCAACGCACCCTCCAGCTCGACCAGTTCCGCCCGTCCTTCTCCGCCGACGAGCTCGACTCGCTCCACCAGTCCATCGCCTCTGCTCGCCTCCCCGCCGAGACGTACGCCTCCAAGCAGCCCAAGTACGGCGTGCAGCATGCCTGGATCAAGCACGCCCTCGCCTACTGGCAGGACAGCTTCAGCTGGTGAGCACTCTCCCCTCTCGTCCTCCTCCTCCCCCACACGCCGACTTCGGCTGACGTCGTTCGCCTCGCAGGAACAACTACGAGGACAGGATCAACGCCGTCGACCACTTCATGACGACCGTCGAGGACGACGGCCACAGCTACAAGGTCCACTTCCTCCTGCACGAGTCGGACGACCCAGACGCCATCCCGCTTCTGCTCCTTCACGGCTGGCCCGGCAGCGCGTTCGAGTTCGTCGAGGTCATCAAGCTCCTCCGCGACAGCAAGAGCCCGTCTTTTGTGCGTCGAGCCGGCCCGCACCCTGTCCTCTCCCTCTCTCTCGCACGAGCTGACCCACTTCCTCACCCGCAGCACCTCATTGCGCCGATGGAGCCCGGCTACGGCTGGTCGAGCCCTCCTCCTCTCGACCGAGGGTTCGGCATGTACGACTGCGCGCGCCTCATGGACAAGCTCATGACCGGCCTCGGGTTCAACGACGGGTACGCCGTCCAGGGCGGCGACATTGGCTCGGGGCTCGCGCGCATCCTCGCCCTCAAGCACAACGCCAAGGCCATCAACGTCAACTAGTGCGTCCCTGATCTCTCTCGGTCGAGACTGCGACCTGGACACGCGCCTATCCCAAGTTTCGCCTGTCGCGCAGCCTGCCCGCCGTCGCGCCGCCCGACGACGCGCCCGAGCGCCACCGGCTCAAGCCGCACGAGGAGAAGGCGCTCGAGCGCAGCGAGACGTTCCAGACGACCGGGCGAGGGTACGCCATCGAGCAGGCGACGCGGCCTGGCACGATCGGCATCGTCGTCGGGAGCTCGCCCGTCGCACTTTTGGCCTGGCGTGCGTCCCGCTCTCTCCTCTCTCTTCCACGTTCTCGAGGGTCCATACTGACGATCCCTTTCCTCGCGCCGCAGTCGGCGAGAAGTACGTTGAGTGGACCGACGACGACCTGCCGCTCGACGACCTCCTCGGCATCGCCACCTTCTGGTGGCTGCGCGACTCGTACCCGTCGTCGATCTGGGCCTACGCCGAGATGCAGAAGACGGGCATCTCGGCGCTGCACAACGACCCGCAGCACCGCCTCGACAAGCCGCTCGGCTTCTCGTCGTTCGCCAAGGAGATCAGCTCGACGCCCGAGGCGTGGGCTGGCAGGAACGCCAACCTCCAGTGGTACCGCTATCACGACAAGGTCCGCCCTCTTTCTCTCGCCCTCTCATCCCCTCTCTCGCCCTCTCTCGCCCTCTCTCGCCCCGCATCGCCTCGACGACGTCATCCTTGACCTCCCGCCCTTTCCACCCTGCAGGGAGGCCACTTTGCCGCCGCCGAGCGCCCGCAAGAGTTCGCCAAGGACATGCAGGACTGCTTTGCGGCGATCTACCCTCACCCTCGAGCGTAGCGAAACGAGCGATGTAACACGAGCGAGCGGTTCGTGCGAGCGCCGGATTCGTGAGAGCGACCGTTCGAGAGACGCCTTTCTGCCGGCTCGTTGCGCGTCGAGCTCTTTCTCTGCGCCTCCTTGAGCGAGTGCTGAGCGCGTGAGAGAGGGTGCGGACGGTTGCGGACAGCGCAGAGCTCCTCGTCCTCTTTCGTAGTCTCGCCGCTCGAGCTCTCGTCGACAACGTCCTCATCTCTCTCGGCTCACGCGCACAGAACCGTCGACAGACAGATCGACAGATGCGGCAAAGTTGCAGTGTGGCACGGCTGCGACCAAGGAGGAAGGGGCGGATCTAGAACGTGCCGAGCGATGCAAACTGCCCGAGGGCCGTGCGGGAGTTCCACGAAAAGGTCGGGTCGGCGTACCTGCGCGCAGGGCGACAGACAGAGTGTCAGTGTCGCTGGGTTGGGAAGAGAGGGACAGAGGAGCGAGAGGGGAGCGTACTCGGGGCCCTCGAGGACGGCGAGGTCGAACTTGTCGTCGAGGTCGGGCTGGTCCTGCGAACTGCGGTCGGCGACGTCTACATGTCAGTCCGACGCCATCGTAAGAGAGACAGAGGAAGAAAGAGAGAGAGAGACAGAGAGAGACAGGCCGTGACGCACAGGCTATACTCGCCCTCCCACGCGAGCGACTCCTCGTCGCCGGCTCCTCCTCCTCCTCGGCCGAACAAGCTTCCGACACCGTCTCCCCCGCCAGCTCCCCCACCGAGCACTGCCGCCGGATCGACGAACCCTCCCTCGTGCCCGTCGAGCTCCGCCTCGGCCGCCACGAGCGGGTCGACCCCGGCCCGCTCGGCCCTCTCGAGCGTGCGCCCGACCTGCCCGATTAAGTCGTCGAAGGCCATCGCGCGCTCGTGGGCGCTCGCCGTACCGTCCTTGCGGCGCTCGTACGCGCGCAGCAAGAGGCGGAACGCGGCGAGCGAGGACGACGCGACGGTGCGGACGGCGGCGATGCGCGACGAGGTGTGTTTTGTGAGGTAGGGGAGCGTCGACGTGATGAGGGCGAGGTCGTCGTCGTCCTGCTGGGTCGGACGAGGCGTGACGAGCGAGGGAGAGGCGGAAGAGGAGGGCGAGGCGGACGGCGAGGGGTGCGCGATCGAGTGGAAGAGCGACGTAAAGAGGGCGACGACGGCCATCTGGACCGTCAAGAGCTGGAAGCCCTGCTTGAGCATCGGGGCTGTTGCACACGGAGAGAGAAAGTCAGTACGAGGCGGCTCGTCGGGCAGGACCAAGTCGCTCAAGGGAAGAAGGGCGAGGTCGAGGCGACGCACCCGAGTTGAGCGACACCTGGCACTGCAGGATGCTCCTCGCGCTCGCGAGCGCCTTTGCCGTGCTCTCGGCGTAGCGCGCGCTCGTCCACCCCCTGCCCAGCCACGGCCGGTGCAGCCGCAGGATGCGCGACTGGACACTCTGGACGGCCATGTTGCGCCGCCACAGGCTCGTCAGGGGCTCGCCGAGCGGCGGGATGTAGCCCTCGGCGAGCTCGGTCGGGAGCGAGTCGAGGATGGCGCTGCAAGAGGGGCATGGGCAGGTCGAGGAGGTCAGTCGCCAATCTTCTCACTCGCTGCCGACGAGACACGCAGAGAGCGAGGGCGCACCGGTAGTTGGCGTCGATGGCGGCGACCGCCTCGTAGCTGAACGTCTCCTTGCCCTCCATCATGACCTTGAACTTGCGCTGCTCGAGCGCGAGGCGAAACTTGACGAGCTGCGGGCGATGAGAGATGCGCATGAGCGACCTCGCAAACGACGGGAGAGAGAGGGGACGTACGTCGAGCGAGACGTCGGTGGCCTGGTGGACAGGGCGAGGTGCGACGACGCTTGTCGGCGACAGGTCGGCGTCGTTGTAGTTGCCGGGAAGGGCGGACGTCACTGCGGGTCGACGGCGGCTCGTCAGGTTCGTGCGCTCTGGAGCGACGCAGAGGAGGGAACGAGAGACGCACCGAGATGCGGCGGCAGGCTCGTCTTGATGCGGAGCGACGTGTAGTCGAGGAAGAGGAGCGTTGCGAGCATGCGGAGCGCCATCTCGCGCTTGAGCGAGTTGACGCCTGGCGGCAGGCCCGAGTACAGCTCGTCGTCGTCGGCGAGGACGGGCATCTTGTGCGGGTCGTCGCCGAGCGCGTGCAGGCCCATCGACTGGGCCATGCGGAGCGCGGCGCCGATGTACGTCTGGTGGCGCTCGGCCGACGCGCGGTTGCCGGCAAAGAGGAAGAACGGCGCAAAGAGGACGATGGCCTGCAGGGTGCGGAACCGGGGCTTGCCGGTCCAGTCGCCGCACTCGAGGGCGCTCTGCGCGCACTCGAAGTACCGCCACGGTAGCGACTCGAGGTCGGCCGCCGAGATCGACATGAGCGGCGTCGAGACGGGCGCCGACAGCGAGTTGACCGACAACGACAGGGTCATGGCGAGGCAGGCGACCCACAGCGGGTCGATCTCGGCGAGGCGACCCTCGGCGCGCAGGATGCAGAACGCGTCGTACTCGGCCTCGAACGTCGGCTTGTGGTGCACTGCGCGACCAGGGTTCGAGTCGGTCACGTTCGAGAGGACGAGTACGAGACGAGGAAGAGGGGACGCACAGTGCCAGGCCCAGTCGACGCGGTCAAAATAGTTGCGCAGCATCCAGTCGATCTCGGACTTGCGCTGCGGCAGGTTGGCGAAGATGTCGAGGAGGACGCGTTGCCGACGAGGGTCGATCGATGGGACGAGGAGCGACGCCATGGCGCGCGAGGGCAGGTCGTAGTGGGCCTCCTCGAGAGAGGGACGAGGAGGTTCGAGCGGGACGGGAAGGAAGGCCGCCGTGGGTGCGGGCGGTTGGTGCGTCGGTGGCAGCGGCAGGTTCGAGGGAAGAGGTGGAGGTACAGGTAGGACGGGGCGTTCTTGCGAGACGCGCGGCGTCGACGACTGGCGCGTCGTCTTGGTCCGGCTGCGGGACGACATGCGGGTCGCCGTGTGCTGCATCATCGCTGTAGGGGGAGGGCTCGATGGGTCAGTTCGACGCACAGTAGAGGTACGAGGGAAAGGAGCGACGCACCGAGTTCTTCGAGTACGAGCGCGGCGTCCTCGACGTTCTCGCCGTCCGACTCTCGCTCGTCGTCGTCCTCGTCCTCGTCCTCCTCCTCCATGGCCGACTCGACTTTGGCCGGTACTGGAGCGGGTACTGGTCGGGGCGGAACGGGCAGGACGGGCATGTCGAGGGCGATCTCGTGGTAGACGTCGGGTGCGAGGCGCTGCAGGACGGCCTCGAGGATGGCGACGCGCTGCTTGAGCTGCTCGTGCTCGACGGCGAGGGCGAACGGTTGACTGCGCGCATTGCTCGTGAGGTTAGCTGGGTCACGGGGAGGGAAAGAGAGTGAGAGGAAGAGGAAGTACGGAGGCGGTTCGACCTTGGGCTGCTCCCAGCGGCACGTGCCCTGCTCGCCGCGCTTGATGCAGGCCTCGCACGGGAGCTTGCGGTCGCACTTGATCTTGCGCTTCTTGCACGCGCTGCACGACAGGGCGGCGCGGTTGCGCTTGCGCTTGACCTTGACCGGTGCCGGGGAAGCCTGCGTTGGACGGGAGGTCAGGCGGGCGGGATGTGGGACGGTCAAGGGGAGAGAGGTGCGCACATCTGGATCGGTGGCGTCGACGTCTGCCGTGGCGCTGCGGGACCTTTTGGCCGACGGAGGAGCAGCAGCGCGACTGAGCGCTGGGTGGTGGGTCGAGGGGCCGGCGAGAGGCGGCGGTTCGGGGAGCGAGCTCGAGCCGTGCATGGCTGCGCTCGTGCTGGAGCGACAGGGGCCGGCGGTGTGAGCCAAGTTGAGCGAGAGAGTGCGGTGGCCGTCGTCGGGCGGACTTCGGCGCAAATGTCTCTCGCCGCGCTCTCTGCTCTCGCAAGCCGGCCAAACTGCTTGCTGGGACCGGGGAAACCTACTGCAGCACACGAGCACCACGCAGACACACACAGAGGCGGAGAGAAAAAGGGTGGATGGAGCTGACGCTGGCGGCGCGGGGCAGCCTTTGGTCCTCCTCCTCGCTCCCCCTCGTCGACCGCGATCCTCCGCACGACCACCTCGGCCTGCCCCTTGCACCTGCACCCACCCGCGCCGCGACCCACCACAGCGCGATCCTCTCTCGGTGAGCTCTCCTGCCCTCTTCTTCGTCTCGCTCGCCGAGTGATCGCACTCGGCCTCGTCCCACCTCTCCCTCCCTCGCGCACCCAGGACCCCGCTCACCACCTCAGGTCCTCCCACAGAGCCGACCCGCACACCCGGACCCGCCTCCCTTCGCCATGGCGTCCTCCCCCTCGTACCTCCTCCCGCGCACCAGCCAAGACGAGCTGCCCGCGGCGCTCGACCAGGCCCTCACCGACGTCGAGAACCAGTTCGACACCCCGACCGACCTCCTCAAGCAGATCACCGACCGCATGCTGTGGGAGTTCAACAAGGGCCTCGCAGGAGCCCCGACCGACGACGAGTCGTTCATGTCCGTCCCCCTCTCGCGCTCCCTTTCTCACTCGACCAGCCCCCGACACTGACTGACCCTCGCACGCACACAGGCCCATGATCCCGTCGTACCTCCAGCAGGTCCCGCACGGCACCGAGAAGGGCACCTACCTCGCCCTCGACCTCGGCGGCACCAACCTGCGCGTGTGCGAGGTCGAGCTCCTCGGCGACAGCAAGTGGCGCATGAAGCAGCAGAAGTACAAGGTCTCCGAGGCCCTCAAGGTCGGCGAGGTCACGGCCCTGTTCGACTACATCGCCGGCTCGGTCGACCACTTCCTGACCGAGATTGGCACGTCGGCGAGCGAGGACGAGAAGCTCCACCTCGGCTTCACCTTTTCGTTCCCTGTTCAGCAGACGGCCATCGCGGCGGGTACCCTCATGAGCTGGACCAAGGTGCGCCCCCCTTCTCCCTCCCTCGTCTCGTCCTGCGCGAGAGCTCACCCTTGTCCCGCACCGGCAGGGCTTCGAGTGCAAGAACGCGATCGGCAAGGACGTCGTCCAGCTCCTGCAGGACGCCCTCGACCGCAAGCACATCCACGTGCGCTGCAGCGCCCTCGTCAACGACACGTGCGGGACCCTCATGGCGGCCGCGTACGAGCGCGGCGACTGCCTGTGCGGCGGCATCTTCGGCACGGGCACCAACGGCGCCTACGTCGAGGACATTGACCGCCTCACCAAGATGGGCTTCCAGGCCGACGAGCTCGAGGCCAACAAGCGCCACGGCCTCGACAAGATGGTCGTCAACACCGAGTGGGGCGCGTTCGACAACGAGGTGCGCCCTCTCCCTCCCTCTCTCTCGGCGCAGCCTCCCTCGACGAGCAGCAGACTGACCCTCTCTGCCGTCCGACTCGCAGCGGACCGTCCTCCCGTTCACCGTCTTCGACAGCCGCGTGGACCGCATCTCGATCAACCCGCGCAAGCAGGCGTACGAGAAGGTGCGGCCTCTCTCTCCTTTTCTCTCTCGTCGACCGTACACGTACTGACTGAGCTCCTTGCGCCCTTTTCGCAGATGATCTCGGGCATGTGTGCGTCCCTGCTCGACCTTCTCAACTCGTCCTATCCCTCGCCATGCGCCTCTGACCCTCGTTCCCCTCACACAGACCTCGGTGAGGTGACGCGCAACGTCCTCCTGCACCTCGTCGACTCGCAGGTCCTGTTCAAGGGCTACTCGACGCGCGCGCTCAACGCCCACTACGGCCTCGACACGGCCCTCATGTCGGCGCTCGAGGCGCCGTTCGTGCCCAACTCGACCGAGTCGGGCGACCCGCTCGCCGCCGTGCGCGACGTCCTCACGTCGTCGCTCGGCCTCGCGCCCGCACTCGTCGCCGACGCCGACTGCTCGGCCGCCGCGCGCGTGTCCGAGGTCGTCGGCACCCGTGGCTGCCGCCTCGCCGCGTGCGCCATCGCCGCGACCGTGCGCCAGACGGAGCAGACGACCCAGGGCCAGGAGAAGGAGCTCGTGTTTGGCCTCGACGGCTCGCTCGTCGAGTTCTACCCGCGCTTCGAGCAGCGCGTGCGCGACGCGCTCGTCGAGATCCTCGGCGCCGACCAGGCCAAGAAGGTCAAGATTGCGCTCGCCAAGGACGGCAGCGGCGTCGGTGCGGCGCTGTGCGCCCAGGCGGCGGCCGCCATGGAGAGCAAGGGCGCGACGACGGTGCGCAAGGACTAGAGCGCGGTGCACGAGCAGGTGCAGGAGCAGGGGGGACGTCGTCGTTGCCTGTATGGTCAGTCGCATTGTACAGAATACTCTCTCGGGCGCGACTTGTCTGCGCCGGCGAGATGGCGAGAGAGTAAGACAGCCGAGCAGAGACGACGAAGCGCGGGCCGGCGGACCAGGGGCGAAGGACCAACGGCTTCAGCGAGCGAACCTGCTCCCTTGAGAGCTCGTCTCGAGGTCGTCCGCTCCAAAGCTGGAGCACTGCGCCCGCTCGCGAGAGGAAGCCGCGTCGTCCTCGACTTGGGAAGGTCGGTCGGTTCGCTCTCTTCCTCTTCCTGCTTCCCTCGCACAGCTTGTCGGGTGCACTGGATACGTTCCTGAGTCGATGGCACAGGCTTGCGGCTCGCAAAGAATGGAAATATCGAGTCGTACCGAGCCAAATCGACAGCTTGCGCTCGTGGCTCGAGCCTCCTCCTTTGCCGGACCGCCAGCTGCCCGCGCCCCTGCACACGCTTCTCTCGCCCCGGCCGAGCGACGGCGCTTCGCTCCACATGTCAGGGCGTGCACGACCGCGAGGAAAGAAGGAGCTCGACGAGGGAGATAGGGAACCCCGCTCACGAGGCTTTTCTTTCCGGTCCAGCCGCGGCCGGTTTGCGGACGTCAGACGATCGGTGTTTTGCTTGCACGTGCAGGCTCGCACCTCGCGTTCGTAGCGCTTCAAGGTTCGAGCAGCGGGAGCAGGACGAGCGCTTTGACCCTCTGTAGCTGCGAACCTGCCTGCAGGCTTCCTCTAGAGCGGGTCCCTTGCACCGCACGGTCGAGGTGGACGAGGGGAGCGTGCTCTTGGCGTTGTGCTTCTCCTGAACGACGGACGCCGGCTCACGGACCCGCCAAAGTCGGCACGGAGCGGCTCGAGACTGGCAGCCGAGCTTTTGCTCTTCCTCGTCGTCCTCTCGCCCGCCGTTCGTCCGTTCGAGCGTGCTGCCGAGCGCAAGCACCTGCATCGTTACCAAAAGGCAACGTCCGCCCACCCTCCAGCTTTTCCCACCCTTGAGTCGAGCGCGGCCACTCTCTTCCTCCTTCCCACCACTCCGACTCGCCACCACCCCTCGCCGCGCGCCACTCGCCGAGCCGCCCCGACAGCAAGATGCGCCGCTTCCTCGCCACGGCGGCCCCACCTCGTCGCCCTATCTCGCCGGCCACCACCGCGAGGTTCCTCTCGTCGCGCTCGTCCGGCTCGACCCGACCGGCCGCCTACCCGCTCGCCCCGAGCACGCCCGCCCAGCACCAGCTGCAGCACACCCGCACCCTCGCGACCGGTCTCTCGCAGACCTCGACCCCGGTTCCCTCCTCGAGCGTCTTCGCCGCGACCGATGACCTCCTCCGGCGGCACGTCGGGCCCCAGCCGGCCTCAGTCGACAAGATGCTCCACGCCCTCGGCTACGAGTCGCTCGACGCGTTCGTCGACGACTGCGTGCCGCGCGAGATCCGGCTTGCCGAGGACGCCATCGCCGACGAGGGCGCCGACGGCATCCGCGCCCTGAGCGAGAGCGAGCTCCTGCGCCGCGCCAAGGACATCGGGCGCAAGAACACGGTCGCAAAGAACTTTATCGGCCTCGGGTACCACCAGGCGGTGCGTCCTCGTCCTCCTTTCCCCCTTTCCCCCCACCCTCGCCTCGACCTCTCTCCTCCCAGCCGGCTCGCCCTTACTGCCGGCTCGCGGTACACAGAGCTGACCATGTACCTCGTCCCTACTCGCAGGTCCTACCGCAGGTCATCCTCCGCAACATGCTCGAGAACCACAGCTGGTTCTCCCAGTACTCGCCTTACCAGGCCGAGATCTCGCAGGGTGAGCAGCGCCGCCTGTTTCTCGCCGACTCGAGGGCATCAACTGATCTCCTCCATGCACACACAGGCCGCCTCGAGTCGCTCATCAACTTTCAGTCGCTCACGACCTCGCTCACCGGCCTCGACATCGCCAACGCGTCGCTCCTGGACGAGGGCACGGCGGCCGCCGAGGGCATGGTCATGGCCTTTGGCCAACTTCGCGAGAAGCGCAAGACCATCTTTGTCGACCGCAGCGTCCTTCCGCAGACGGTCGCCGTCCTGAGGACGCGCGCCGAGCCGTTCGGGATCAAGGTCGTCGTCGGCAACGTCCGCAAGCTCATCTCGGACGAGTCGGGCGACAAGGAGCAGCACAAGGACCTCATCGGCGTTCTCGTCCAGGTGCGCTCGTCTTCCCTCCCTCTCTTTCGCGCGCCGAGCCGGAACCGAGAGACGGGCGACCGACTCTACTTCCTCCCCTCGCGCAGTACCCGAACCTGCGAGGCGACATCGCCGACTGGGAGGGCGTCGCCAAGCGCACACACGACCTCGGCGGCTTCGTCCTGTGCGCGACCGACTTCCTCGCCCTCACCGCCATCAAGCCGCCCGGCGAGTGGGGCGCCGACATCGCGTTCGGCAACGCCGCCCGCTTCGGCGTCCCGCTCGGCTACGGTGGGCCGCACGCCGCCTTCTTCGCCTGCAAGGACGCCCTCAAGCGCCGCATGCCCGGCCGCCTGATCGGCCTGTCCAAGGACGCCGACGGCCGCCCGGCGTACCGCCTCGCGCTCCAGACGCGCGAGCAGCACATTCGTCGCGACAAGGCGACGAGCAACATCTGCACGGCCCAGGTGCGTCCTCGCCTTTCTCCTCAATCTCGCCGTTTCTCTGTCGAGCAGCTCACTGACCCTCCCTCGAGTGACCTCTCGCAGGCCCTTCTCGCCAACATCTCGGCCATGTACGCCGTCTACCACGGCCCCGAGGGCCTGCGCCAGATCGCCGAGAAGGTGCACGGCCTGACGCGAGTCGTTGCCGCCGTCGTCGGCAAGCTCGGCCACAAGGTCGTCAACGAGTCGTTCTTCGGCGACCTGTCGATCCGCCTGTCGGGCACCGCCGCGAGCGTCGTCCACGAGGCGGCAGCAGAGCGCAACGTCAACCTGCGCCGCATTGACGACAACCACGTCGCCGTCTCGTTCGACGAGTCGCACGGCCTCGAGGACATCGTCGACCTTGTCAACGTCTTCGTCGCGATCCAGACGAACGCCAACCGGCCCGGGCGCGCGTCCGAGTACACCGCCGAGTCGCTCGTCGCGTTCGCCGAGAGCATCGGCGTCCAGGCGCCGCGTCCTCTCGGCGCGAGCACCGGCGTGCGCTCGACCGGGCGCGACATCCCGCCGATCGACTCGCCCGCCATCCCCAAGCACCTCGCGCGCACGACGCCCTTCCTCACCCAGTCGGTCTGGAACTCGCACCACAGCGAGACCGACATCCTGCGGTACATGCACCACCTCCAGAGCAAGGACTTGTCGCTCGTGCACGCGCCCATGTGCGTCCTCCTCTTCTTCCTCCCCATCCTCTTCCCTGCGGCGCCTCATTGAATCTCTCGCGTCTTCGCAGTCCTCTCGGCTCGTGCACGATGAAGCTCAACTCGACGACGTCGCTCACGCCGTTCACTTGGGACGAGTACGCCAAGATCCACCCGTTCGCCCCTGTCGACCAGGCCGCCGGCTACAAGGAGATGACCGACGTGCGTCCCCTCTTTCCCTTCAAGTCCTTGCGTCGACGTTGACTGACCCAGTCGCGACGTCCACAGGAGCTCGCCCACGACCTGTCGAAGCTCACCGGCCTCCCCGGGTGCTCGCTCCAGCCCAACTCGGGCGCGCAGGGCGAGTACGCCGGCCTGTCGGTCATTCGCGCCTACCACCTCTCGCGCGGCAACGGCCACCGCAATGTGTGCCTCGTCCCGGCCTCGGCGCACGGCACCAACCCGGCGTCGGCCGTCATGGCCGGCATGCGCGTCGTGCCCGTCAAGAACCTCGCGTCGGGCTACCTCGACCTGGCCGACCTCAAGGCCAAGGCCGAGAAGCACAAGGACGACCTCGCCGCGTTCATGGTCACGTACCCGTCGACGTTCGGCGTCTTCGAGGGCGGGATCGAGGAGGCGTGCGAGGTCATCCACTCGCACGGCGGCCAGGTCTACCTTGACGGTGCGTCTCGCTCTCTCTTTCTCTCCGTTCGACGAGCAGGGGACAAGCATTGACAACTCGGTACGATCCCCTCGCAGGCGCCAACTTCAACGCCATGATCGGGCTCACGTCGCCGGGCAAGGTCGGCGCCGACGTGTGCCACCTCAACCTCGTGCGTCCCTCCCTTTCCTCTCGACGCGTCGTCCCCTCCCCGACTCGACACTCACGCTCTGCGTCCCTCTCCCGTGCAGCACAAGACGTTCGGCATCCCGCACGGCGGCGGCGGTCCCGGCATGGGCCCCATCTGCGTCGCCGAGCAGCTCATCCCGTTCCTCCCGGGCCACCCGCTCGTCCCGACTGGCGGCAAGGAGGCGATCGGCCCCGTCTCGGCGGCGCCGTTCGGCAGCACGAGCATCCTGTCGATCTCGTGGGCCTACATCCGCATGCTCGGCGCGCACGGCCTCAAGTACTCGACCAAGCTCGCCCTGCTCAACGCCAACTACGCCATGCACCGCCTCCAGGAGCACTACCGCGTGAAGTTCGTCAACGACAAGGGCCGGTGCGCCCACGAGTTCATCATCGACCTCGCCGAGTTTGACGAGAAGGCCGGCATCAAGATCATGGACGTCGCCAAGCGCCTGCAGGACTACGGCATCCACCCGCCGACGTGCTCGTGGCCCATCTCGACCGCCATGCTCGTGCGTCCCTGCCTACCTCCTCCTCGTTCTCGACGACTACGAGCGCGAGACTGACCTTTTCCCCCTCCCTCGCCCGTTCGCGCAGATTGAGCCGACCGAGTCCGAGGGCCTGCGCGACATCGACGCCTTCTGCGACGCCATGATCAAGATTCGCCACGAGATTGACGAGATCGCCGACGGCAAGCAGCCTCGCGGCAACAACACGATCACCAACGCGCCGCACACGCAGCAGGTCGTCATCTCGTCCGAGTGGGACCGGTCCGTCCTCTCCCTCCTTATCTTTCTCTCGTCGTCGTCGCAGCAGCGTCGCTCATTCCTCCTTGCGCACCTGCAGCCCCTACACTCGCGAGCAGGCGGCGTACCCGCTCCCGCACCTCCGTCACCGCAAGTTCTGGCCGAGCGTGAGCCGCGTCGACGACAAGCACGGCGACATGAACCTCGTCTGCGAGTGCGGCACCGTCGACGAGTACGCCTCGGAGCCGGCATAGGCGGTCCTGGGCGTGCAGCACCGGCCCTCGCTCCCTCCTTCCTCTTTCCCTCCCTCGTACCTTGCACCCTCTCGCGCCTCGTTACTACCCTATACCGCCACCGCCCATCCCGTCTCCCCACCAGCTCGCTGTCGTTCCTCTCCCTCTCTAGTCTCTCCCTCGCCCTCTCCTTTGTTGCGCCTTCTGTTCGTCTCGTTCTTCTCGGCAGTGCTCTGGGTTGTACGAATCTCAACATCGCAGGCGAAAGCCACCCTTGCAATCCTTCAACTCGTTTGCAGACCCTCTTTGGCCCGTTCGCAGTTCGCAGAGAGAGGGAGCGAGAGACTCGAGTGAGCCAGAGCCGCGAATCGCCGGCGAGGATGGTGCAGCAGGAGAAGTGGACGACGACAGCTCGTGCAGCCTCGCCGAGCGCCCCGTGCTTGCTCTGGTGCGCCTCAGCAGCATCCCTGAGGACCTTCCCGGCCAGTACTGACCCGTCTGCCCTTTTCCCTCGCCTCGCTCGCCTCCTGCGTCTCCCCACCTCGACGTCTCGCTCGCCCACCTCGCCACAGCTCTCGACCTGCACCGCTGTACCTCTCAGCCGCTCAAGACACTCGTACAGCATGACCGTCAGCCACCACAGCCACTCGGGCGAGTTCTGCTGTCACGCCAAGGGCACTCTCGCCGAGGTCGTTGATGAGGCGATTCGGCAAGGGTTCTCGACGTTCGGCCTGTCTGAGCACGTTCCACGGTACCACGAGTCACACATGTACCCGGAGGAGGTGCGTCCCGCCCCCTTCGAGCTCTCTGCGGCGAGCCTGTCCTCACCTCGTCCTCCTCGCCCCTCCTTGCAGTCGCACCTCTCGCCCGCCGACCTCGCCGACACCTTCGACGCCTACCTCGTCGAGGCGCATCGACTCAAGAAGCAGCACGCGGGCAAGATCGACCTCCTCGTCGGCCTCGAGAGCGAGTACATCGACGACGCCGGCCTCGACGAGCTCGCGGCCCTCATCGAGCGCAAGGGCACGGCGATCGAGTACGTCGTCGGGAGCGTGCACCACTGCGACGAGCTCCCGATCGACTTCGACAAGGCGCGCTTCGACGACTGCGTGCAGCGGCAGTCGGCGGCGAGCGAGGAGGACCGCCTCGTCCAGCTCTTCTCGACCTATTTCGACAACCAGCACACGCTTCTCAAGCGCCTCGAGCCCGAGGTCGTGGGCCACTTCGACCTGTGTCGCCTGTACTACCCTGACGTCGACTTTCGCGCGTTCGCCGACGTCTGGGCCCGGATTGAGCGCAACGTCGAGCTCGCCGTCTCGTACGGCGCCCTGTTCGAGGTCAACGCGTCGGCTTTCCGCAAAGGGTGGAGCACAGCGTATCCTGGTACCGAGGTCTTCGATGTGCGCCCACTCTCTCTCTCTTTGTCTCCCTCGCTGCAGCGTCACCGTGTCCACGTCCTGACCTCCCTCTCGCGCAGCTCATCCTCGCCAAGGGCGGCCGGTTCACTCTCTCGGACGACTCGCACGGCCCACAAGCTGTCGGGCTTCACTACGACCGCGCGTACGCCTACTTGCGCGAGCGCGACGTGCAAGAGCTTTGGCGGCTCGTGCCGGCGAGCGAGGGCGACAAGGTCAAGCGGGGCGTTCGGGCCGAGAAGATCGAGGGCGGGCCATGGCTCGACGCTTGGCCGCAGCTGCTCGCGTCGACGACGAGGCGGGACGAGGCGGGACGAGATGGCACGAGAACGGACTGAATTGCACAGAGACTGAGTGCGCGCGTTCGCGCAGCTAGACAAGCGAGACGAGGAGAGGAGGTATGGTGCGAGAGGGAAAGCGGTATCGTCGACAGAGAGGTGTACACAAAAAGCGAGAGGGAAGATGCGTCGCTCAGCCGAAAGGCGCCTCCCTGACGAGGGTCGAGAGCGAGTCCCAGGTCGCAAGCTCGATCTGCAGAGGGCTCGAGCGCTCAGGACGGCTCGGGGCGAGTGAAAAGAGAGAGGCGACGCACCCCCTTCCTCCTCGCCATGGCGCTCTGGTCGCTCTGGATGTCGTCGACGACGACGACGAACCGGCGCCAGGTCGTCGCGTACTTGAAGCGCGTGTGGACGATGTGGGCGAGGATCTCGTCGAACTCCTTGGCTGCGAGGGCGACAGAGTGAGCGACAGTACGTGACAGAGAGGGAGAGAGAAGAGCGGGCGCACCGGCGTCGACCTTGGGGACCGTCGCAGGCCAGGTCGCAAAGGGCGCGAGGAGGGTCGCCTTTTCCGTCCCGGCAAAGGCCGACGAGAGCGGCAGCTGGTCGCGGTCGATGATCTCGACCTTCGTGTTGGCGAGGCGCTCGACGATTGGCGATGACGAGCTGCGGAAAGGCAGAGAGTCAGGGCGAGACGAGGATGGGAGGAGAATCGGCTTGAACGCACTTGTAGGGCGAGCGCGAGCACGCGACGGTCGACGGGTGGACGAACACCTGGCACGTGCGGGCATAGACGTCGCGGACCGACGAGCAGAAGCGCTCGTACGCGGCGGCGTGGCGAAGCGTCGTGAGCGTCGGGACGACGAGGTAGCCTGCGCGAGCTTCGAGGTCAGGGCCCGCGTCGCTCGTCGAGTCGAAAGGGCGGCAGGGACGCACCGGCACGAAAGATCTCCTCGACGGGTTGGCCGGCACCGAACCGGAAGTACTCGACCGAGTGCGTCGGCAGGTTGACGAGCTCCGAGTACAGCGGCTCGAGCTGGGCGAACGAGTCGTTGCGGTGGACGAAGACGGCGTGGACGCCCTCGAGGCGCTCGGGAGTGACGGCGCCCATCGACATGAGGAGGTAGCCGAGCGCGAGCCCCTCGCCGACCATCTTGTCGTCGTGGTTGGTGAAGAGGATCGCGACGCCCTTGCTGCTCGGGGAAGGCGGCATCAGTACCTGCTCTGGCTCCTCGACCACACCTCGAGAGAAAAGGGGCGCACCTCTTGAGGCGACGCACGAGAGCCGCATCGATCGGGATGGCCTCGGCGCAGGCGACAGGGAGCGCCTCGCGCTCGAACCGCGAGTCGGCGGCGCACCACGACGTCTTGCGCAAGCGCGCCTCCATCTCGCCGAGGCGCCGTGCGAGGTCCGCCTTTGCCGCCTCGGCCTCCTTTGCGGCCGCGGCCGGGTCCACGGCGGCGGCGCCGTCCTCGGCGGGCGCGCCGACGCTGCTCGGCGAGGCGACACGAGGCGCTGCCGGCGCCGGCGCCGGTGCGGGCGCGGCAGGCTCCGCCACGACAGGCGTAGGAGCGACATGTGGCGCAGTGACGACAGGTGGAGGCGCTGATGCGCGAGCTGCGACTTGCACGGGGGCCTGCCGCATCGCCGACGGCGCAGGCTGGACCTGGCTCGTGCCAGAGGCGGCTGTCGGGCCCTCGGGCTTGCTCGCGAAGCGCACGCGACTGGCGGGAGCGGGCTCGTCGACGAAAGAGGAGGCGACAGGGGAGAGCGCAGGAGGGGATGGTGCGCCGGCAGCGACGGGCGTGGCGCCGCTCGTCTTCTTGATCGACATGGCCTTGAGCATGTTGATCGTCGCGTACGGGCCCTGGATCGTCGACGACATCTTGCGGGCCTGCGGCTTGACGGGGCCGAGCTCGGGCGACGGGCGCGACTCGGTCAAAGGGGCCGAGGTCGGGACGACGCGTTTTGGCGATGCAGGCGCAGCAGGACCGGGCGAGGCGCAAGCGGCCGCCTCGATGGCGCTCGGGGCAGATGTTGCGGACGGGGCTGACGCCTTGCCGTTGACCCAGTCGGGGTCGGCCGTCGGGAACTTGGTCGGCGCGAGCTCGGCGGCGGCCCTCGCGCTTTTCGGCAGGCGCTTGGGCGACGCGTCTTCCTCGGCGCTCGAGTCGGAGCTGCGTCGAGAAGGCTAGGAATCAGTGTGCGGCTGCCGAGGCGAGAGGTGGACAGTGCGACGCACGTGATGACGGGGTTGCGACCCTTCTTGAGCTTCTTGTTCGACGACGACGGCTGAGGGAGAGGTGACAGTGAGCGCTCCGCTTCTCCGAGCGACGACAATGAGATAGGGAGAGAGGACGCACCGTGTCGTCCACAGGGCGCTTCTTGGTCGCCGAACGGGCTCCCGCCGGGCTCTTGCTCGTCGACGCGACCGGGTCGTGCGCGCGAATCTTCTGCGCCGCCTTCTTCTCGGCCTTCTTCTCCCAATTCTCGGCCACGTCCGACTCGGCTCGACGAGGAACGGGCTGCTTCTCTGCGAGGCGACAAGACCGAGTGAGCTTTGCGTGGAGCGAACAGGCGAACGTAGTAGAGGAACGGCGACGCACCGCGCACTTTGGCCTGCTTGGCCTTGGCCCGCCGTTGGTCGAACTCGAGGAGGCTCGTCGCGCCGCTCGTGTTGCTGTCGCCCGCAGACGGCTGGCGGGTGAGCTCTTTGTCGGCGACGGGCGAGCCGGCGTTCTTCTTCTTCAAGGCCGCCTTCTCGGCGATCTGGCGCTGGACCTCGGCCTGCTTGCGCTCGTATTCCTCGACGAGCTCGAGACAGCCGGACAGGTTCTGCGGGTACGCGAGAGGCTGGTCAGCTCGCACGGTCGAGAGCCAGAAAGAGACGGTGCGAAGAGGGCCACGGCGACGCACTTCTATGGGCTCCCAGGTCTTCTCGTGCTCGCCGTACCCTTTCCACTTGACGAAGTAGCTGTGGGAAAGGGTCACAGAGTCAGGCAGTGAGCCCCGGGGCTGACGGCGGTCGATGCGAGAGAAGGATGCGAGGGGGACGCACCGCTTGGCGTTGGCCTGCTCGTCGAAGCGAGACGCGCGCACGGCCTCGACCTCGTACACGTCCTCGGGATCTTGCGCGTCGTCGCCCGAGCTGCTTGAGCCGCTGTCGAGGTCGACGAGGGCGTTGGCCGGCTGAGGGTTGTGCGCGCGCAGTTGCGGCTCGGGGGAGCGCATGTCGAGTGTGCGATTGCGCAGAGGGTGCGTGTTGTAGTAGCTGCAGGCGCTCCAGCCAGCCGGTGGCTCGCTCAGAGCTGTGCGTGCAGCGAGGTTGAGGGAAGGCGAGGTGGGGGATTTCGCTCGCCCCCCGCTCTCTCCAACTACGCACTCGCCCCGCTCCTGTGCATGGCTGAGCTCAAGCACAGCTACGAGCCATGCCCTGCGCGGTCTTTGCCGCGCGGCGCGAGGCCTGGCGGGTCGTCCTCACTCTCCTCCTGCGCTTCATCTGCTCTCGCTCGTTGCTCGCTCGGTACGGTACTTGGGGGACGCTCGAGGGTGCCGCGATGCTTGAGACAGGTCTGCGCTCTGCTACGGCAGCGTCGCTGCTCGTCTCGTGCGGCGTAGCTGCCCGGTCGGCCTCGCTTCGTCTCCCGGCCCTCTCGTCGGACAGCCTCTCGCCAAGTACGCCTCCTCGCCGCAGCTGGATCCCTTAGCTTCGGCGTACCGAGTACCGAGGCTTGCACGGCGCCCTTGACGAGGGCTTGAGCTGGCACCTGCTGTCGCAGCCGTCCTCGCAGGCTGCTCGACCCGCCGCCTCGTCTGCTGCTCTTCCGCTCGCTGCACGTCTCGCGACGACGTGCGCTTTCCTTACGATGCGGCCGCTCGAGCGCCTTGACGCCCGGCTTGGCTCGGCTCGGGCGAACGTCGTGCGCTGCATGCCCGACCTTTTCCTCCTCGCTCAGGTCCGCCGCCGTCCCTGCCGCATGGCTCGTCACGGCGCGTGCTGTCGAGTCGCGAGGGCGTCGAGTCTCAGCCTGCTCACGCTGCTCGGCCTTTGCCAGCAACGCGCAAATCTCGGCGGCGAGCCAGGGTTTCGTCTTCCTCCCCCTGATCGCTCTCGCGCTTTGTCCTTTCCGCCTTTGACCTGGGCGTGTCGCCACGGGAGCAGCGTGAACGCTGTCGAGCGAGTCGAGAGCTGTCGGTGCGCACTTGCCTGAGCGTGCGCTTGCGACCCACGGTTTCCGGCAAGGGCTCGGCGACCTGTGGAGGCCCGTGCGAGCGCTAGCGACAGGCGACGACGACGGGCAAGCACGACGAGGCGACTTGTTCCGCGGGCACCTGCCTGGCCCCTTCTCTCGCTCGCCGTCGAGCGCCCTCGTCCGTGCCGGAATGAAGGCTCAAGCCTGTCTCGACCGTGCGCCAGGTCCCAGGAACGAGGACGCGAGGAGCGGCGGATCCTCACGTCCGAGTCGCTCTTAAACATGCTTGCCGAGGCTCAGCCAGAAACAGCATCTCTCACCGCCTCGCCGTCTCGTCGCTGGCGTCGTTGGCACCGGCACAGCATCGAGTGAGGCCACCGACGAGCGAGAGGAACGTGCGCAGCTTCGGCGGCGTCGCTCGCGCGCATCCTGGTCGGGCGCTCGAACTTCTTTCTCGGCGCCGCAGCAGCTGCAGAAGAGAGCGGCGACGTCGGCGGCGTGCCGCAGCTTCGCTCCAGAGGAGCGTCCGACAAGCAGGCCCGTGCGTCCCGGCACAGAGTGGAGGAAGCGCTACTCGCGCCGGCGCATTCAAGCCTTCACTGGTCACTGGCCGAGGACAGCTCGTGTCCGAGGCGGATGACACGGAGGAGGAGGCGCCGAACACGCTCGAGGGGAAGAGGGAAGAGTGGGTGCAAACTGCGCTTGTCGTCGCGCCCGCGGATCGCAATCTGCATGCCGGCCCTGACGGATCGCCTCGACCGTTGAGCGTTTTCCCGTCGGTTCCGGCGGACAAAGTTGCGCAAGGTTCGAGAATGAAGTGACGATCGACGAGTTGCGGACCTCGGCTCGCGAACGACGTGCGTATGTGCTCCCGCTTTGCATTTGTCGGCCAGCCTCCCCCCTCGCTGGCCGGCCGCGACCGCGGCGGCGCTTTAGTAACGCAGGAGCGCTCTCGGTGCACTGCGCAGGCGAGACCGCGAAGGTGGGAGAGACCATGGCGCGCGAGGGCTCGCAGGCTAAGGCGACGTCCAGGCCCTCTGTGTCGCTGCAACTCAAGCCTGGTGTGGAAACGGGCGCGGCGCACGCTCGGCAAAGGCACAGGTCTGCTGTTTAGCGCGAGCGCCGGCAGTCGGCGCGACGTTTTTGTCGTCGGTGCTCGGGCCCCCAGCGGCGCCAAGTTGCAAATTACCGATCCGCCCTTGCCCCGCGCCACGCTAGCGAAGCGCCCTGTCTTCGCCGAGGAGAACATTGCCCTTCCGACGACGCCTCCGCTTTCATTGAGCGCGAGCAAAGGCGCGCCCTCTCCCTCCCCTCCTCCTCCCCCATCCTCCTCCAACCGCTCTCGACACAGCACCGCAGCCCGCCTCGCCCGACGGCCAAGGCCCGGCGTCTGCGTGACGCAGCACTGCTTCTCGTCGGCGACCCCTGCACTCCCCGCAACACCGCGAGCTAGCCTCGTCCGCGTTCGCCCACCCCGACCCCGACGCTCGACCTCGCTCCGCGTCGCCCACCTCTCGCCTGCACCTGTCGCTCGACACGTCTCGCACAAGCTCGACAGCGGCCATGGGTGGCGAGCTGCCTCGTTCTGGCCGTGCGTCGCGTCGTTCTTCCTCGCCGCCCTCTTTAGCGCCGGACTGACCTCGCCGAGTCGGCCGACTCTTCCCTGTGGGCGCGCAGACTCGTACTTTGGCACCGTCTCGTCGGCTCAAGAAGCGCACGCGATCCTCGAGGCGTGCAAGCATGGCGTGCGTCCTCTTCCTCTTGCTCTGGCGGAGCGAGCGGTCCTGACCTGGTTGAACCTCGCGCAGCTCCTTCCACGAGTCACTCGCCGCTTGACCGATGACGAGTGCGTCCCCCTCTCCCTCTCTCACTCTCTCGAGAGGACACTGACCCGCCGCGTGTGCAGGCGTTTGCGGTTCGTGCGCGCTGGAGCCGTCTTTGTGTGGGAGGAGGAGGAGGCTGGCATCCGCCGGTGGACCGACCACATTAAGTGGAGCCGTGTGTCCCTCGCCCTCGCCACTCTTTCACACTCTCTCACCGGCGAGCTGACACGCCGTCCATCCCACAGCGTCGCGAGTTTCGGGCGCCTTCTTGACCTATACCGAGGTTCCGCCTCGAGGCGACGACACGCTCGTCAAGCAGTCGTTCTCGTCGGTCGACGGCAGCGGGACCAAGATGCACCTCATCGCCTACACGAGCAAGTCGACCGCCGTCACCTCGGTCCTCCCGTGCGCCGCGCAAGACCCCCTCATCCAGCACATGCTCGCCCAGCGCACCTCGGCCGGCCGGGATCCTCGCGACCGCCCCTTCCCGCCGTCGGCAATAGCGGCACCTCCTCCCTCTCGACCGCCCGACCCGTCGCACGCCCTGCCGACCCCGCCGTACGGCTCGGCGCCGCCGACCGCCGACCCGAACCGCATGCACCTCCAGCGCTCGTCGATGAGCTTCCAGAGCCCGGGCACACGGCCGCAGACGGCCTCGTCGAGCGACGAATCGCGGCCGCAGACGTCAGCGTCCGAGCCGCGACAAGGCGCGGCCAAGGACCCGCACATGCGTCACGCACCCGGCCTGTCCCTCTCGTACCCGTCGCTCCTGCACCCGGCCGTGACGTCGGTCGCGCCCACGACGTCCCCTCTCCCCCTCACGCCGACTTTCCCGCCGCCGCCGCCCTCGGCGCACGGCTCGCCCCGCCTGTGGCCGTTCGCCTACGACCTGCCGCGGCAGGACTATCCGCCGCGCTCGGCGTCGCACCCGCGCTCTGCGGCGCACCGCCCGTCGCCTCGCCTGTCGCACAGCCCGCCGTCCGTCACGGCGTCGAGCTGGGGCGCTCCTTCGACCGCCGACTCGTCGTCGGCCACGACCGCCTCGCCGTTCGACACCCAGCCTCGGCACCTCCCGCCGCTCGAGCTGCGGTCGCCAGGACACCTCGCGACGGGCAGCGACCTGTCGTCGCACCACGACGCCCACGGGCAGCGTCGAGCGCTGTCAGATGGCGACCAGTGGTTCCCGCCGCGGCAGCACGGCCGAGGCGCAGAGGACGAGCGCCAGTTGCGGCTTCTCGGGCGGTCTTTCTAGCCTCCTCTCCCCTCGCATCACCCACGCACAGCATCACCCTGTCGTTCCATACCCTCTACTTTACCCCTCGCCCTCTCGCTTCCTTTCGCCGGCGCCTTCCCGCACGGCCCGCCTTCCCCCTTCTCCTTGTTGTTCCGAAACGTCTCGAAACGCCTGTAGCACTCTCTTTACTCTCCCCTGACGAGGCGCATAGCCTTTGCAATCACGCTTCCTCGAGCATGAGCAGGTGCGAGCGCGAGAGGAAGCGAGAGAGCCACTGCGGCGAGAAGAGAGAGCGTCTGCGAGCTGCGCCTCTCTCGCGAGCTCTCGAGCCCGGGCCCGACCCACCTCGGTATGTACTGCGAGGCGCTCACTCGCTCGAACGGGCGAGAATGCTCTGCCACGCTGTTCAGAGAGCTGCGCCGTCGCCTCGGACAAAGCGCCGAGCGGAGCAGCATCACGATCAGAGGCACGGACCCCGCAGTCTGTCCCTTGCCCGCTCGACGCTCCTCCTCCTTGAAGGGGTCGAACGGCACCGTGGCTTGCGCCCGCCGAGACGTCCGTCAAGTCCGTCACGAGCTGGCGCCCTTCCGCTGTTTTCCGTTCCGACGCAGCTCTCAAGAGAAGGGGACGAGGAGAGGGAGAACGAACAAAGCGCCCTCGTTTCAGACAGGTGTACAGCCGGCGCGCCCTCGCTACATCCTCCTCACTGCGCCTCAGCAGCTGCCGCCGCCGCCGGCACCTCGTGCAGGTAGAGGCCGAGCGTGACGCTGCCCTTGATGAAGTTGTCCTTGTCGAGCTTCTCGTTCGTCTGCGGGACGCGAGAGGACGCGCACGAGGTGCACGAGGGGTCAGTTGGGCACGATGAGGGATCCCGCCGACGCGCGGAAGCCCTGCTGCGAGAGCAAGAGGGCCGCTCTGGTCGCTCCGAGGGTGGCGAGGAAGGAGGGGGACACACAGAGTGAGCGCCGTCGTCGCCGCTGCAGGGACACGGGCAAGGAAATGTCAGTCACTGCGAGAGAGAGAAAGAACGAGAGCCGGTCGAGAGAGGGGGACGCACCGACCCACTGCGAGTCGGAGGAAGAGATCGAGTTTGGGAAGGTCAGTTCCGGACGACGACGACGACGACGACGAGGACAAGAGAGAGGGGCACGAGACGCACTCGGCAGGAGCATGACGTTCTTGTTGAGGGCCTCGGCAAAGGTGAGCGTGACTGCGAACGCGAGAGAGGGTCAGTCGTCGGACTTCTCGACGAGGAGCGAGTGGAACGAGGCGCACTCGGGATCGAGCCTGCGCAACGGGCGAGAGATGTCAGTCGATGCTCGCGACGATGAAGAACCCGTAGACCTCGTGGCTCGTGCGGGAAAGAGAAGGGAGAAGGGACGCACCACCTTCACGAGTAAAGTCGGGCGTCTTGCCCCACACTTTCTCGGTCGCCGCGGTCGCCGCCTTGAAGTTCCAGTGCTCGACTGCGTGAGGGGGAGCGGACCGTGAGTGAGGGCACGAGGCGAGAGGGAGAGCGAGAGACGCACTCGACGTGACCCAGGGCTTGCCGCCGTGCAGCATCTCGACCTTGAGCGTGTTCTTCGAGTTGAGCTTGGCGAACTCGTCCTGCGGTATCGAGGCGAGATGAGCGGCGCTCGACGACGAGAGAGGGCGAAGAGAGGAGGGCGCACCTTGAGGTACTTCTCGACGAGCTTGCCGACCTCTTCGGGCTCGAGGTCCGGCACGAGGCGGATCGAGAACTTGCCTGTGCAGCTCGACAGGTCAATGTGGACGGTTCGAGCCAGTCGAGCAGAGAGAGAAAGAGGAGGACGGACCCTTAACCGATGCAGGAATGACCGTCTTGGCGCCCGGCGTGCTGAACGCGCCCTCGATGCCGTGGATGCTCAGGCTCGGGTAGCGCATGCGGGCCATGAGCGCCTCGGCCTTGTCGTCACTGATGATGACCTTGCCGCCGATGGCGCTCTCGAGGTCGGCGAGGGTGATGTCGATGACCTCGTACAGCTTGCGCTCCTCGGCCGTGAGCGGCGCGACCTTCTCGTTGATGCCCGGGATGAGGATCTCGCCTTGCGGCGTGACGAGCTTGCTGAACAGGGCGAACAGGTCCGTCATCGGCTCGTGCACGACGGCGCCAAAGACGCCGCTGTGCAAGTCGGCGCCGGGGCCCGAGATCGAGCACGAAAAGTAGCTCAACCCTCGGAGCCCGTAAGTCAGGCATGGGGAGGACGTGCCCAACCAGTAGTTGTCTGCGTCCGGGAGTCACCAAAAAAGGTCAGGACGCGCGCGCCAGGCCGCGACGAGAGGAAAGAGGACGGACCCGAGATGCAGACGGCGTCGACGTCGGCAAACTCGCCCTTGGCCTCCTTGATGACGAGCTCCTCGAGACCCTCCGAGCCAGACTCCTCCATGCCCTCGAAGCAGAACTTGAGGTTGACGGGGAGGTCCGTGCCCGTCTCCTTGTGCGCCTGGATGACGTTGAGCCAGCCGAGGATCGGACCCTTGTCGTCCGACGAGCCACGGCCGTACAGGCGGTCCGTGTCCTTGTCGTGCGTGAGCTTGAACGGCTCGTGCTTCCAGCCGTCGGACAGGAGGGCGGGCTGGACGTCGTAGTGGCCGTAGAGGAGGATGGTGCGCTTCTTCGGGTCCTTGCCGAGCGAGCCGATGAGGACAGGCGGGAGGTCGAGCGTCTGGCCCTCGAGCTCTTGCGGGCCCATCGGGATGGAGCGGATCCTGCGAAGGACGGAATAAGGTTAGCCGAGGTGGCCATGCGGTGGGGCGAGGAGGGAGAGGGGGAGGAGGGCTCACTCGGCTCCGAGCTTGACGAGCTCATCGTTGAGCCACTGGCCCATACGGTGGACATGAGGACTGCGGGCAGGTGGACGGGCAGGTCAGTTGGCGTCGTCGTCGCCGGCGGGTTGATGAAGACGAGGACGACGGGGGCGCACCGGTAAGAAGCGTCTCCAGAGACCGAGGGAATCTCGACAGCCTCCCTGAGGCGCTGAATGAGCGCGTCCTGGTTGTCCTCGATCCAGCGAGCAAAGGGAAGCCTGCGAGATGGCGACGAGGAGTTGGAGGAGACGGGGCAATTGGTGAGCGACCGCGCACGACGTGCTGGACCTCGGCGGGCAGGCGAGCTCGAGTCCTTGCACCGCCAGGGAAGTGTGCGCGTAAAGCTGGACTCACTCGACAGCCATGATGAGTGATGTGGGGAACGAACGACGAGCGAGTCGACGAGGGGCAGGCGGCCAGCTCTCCCAGCGACGGCTCTCTGGGCCGCACAAGGGCGCGATCCGCTTTGCATGGTACTCTGAGCGAGCGAGGGGCGGCAGAGCGCGATCGGCCGCGACACGGCGAAGCTCTCCTCCTCGTCGAGAAGCGCTCGCCGGACCGCTCGAATGCTATGGAACGACAACAATGCAGGATACTGTCTACTGAGAGCTCGCCGACTGGCTGCTGACGCGCTCGAAGTACTCCTGCGGCCGCACGAGGGAGTGTCAGGACCTTGCGCAACGACGGGCTCGAGCACGACGAAGAGGGAGAAGGCGAGAGACGCACCTTGGCCCTCTCACCCAGGTCCATCAGGCGCTTGAGCGACGGCGAGCCGCCGAGGCGCTTGCCCGCTTCGATGACCGTGTCGAGCGGGAGCGCGAAGAAGCGCCGGAGCGTCTCCTCCTGGCTGTCGGTGACGGCGGGAGCAGGTGCGGGGGCGACGGCGGCGGCGACGGGTGTAGGGACAGGCTGGCTGTTCTCGATGATGACGCTCGAGTCGGTCGAGGGGGTGGGAGAGGCTGCGGCAGGGAAGCAAGGTCAGGAGGAGGCAAGCGATCGAAGAGGGTGGAAGAGGGACGCACCCGACTCGGTCGGCGCCTTGCTCCTCGAGCGCGTCGTGGCACCCTTGCGCTTCTTCTTCGAGCCGCCTGCGGGTGCGGCTGCGCCGGCGTCGACAGGAGGTGCGCTGCGCTTCTTCGAGACGGGCTTGGTCTCGACGACGACGGACTCGACGCGCGAAGAGCGGGTTCGCCGAGCCGGGACCTTGCGCTTGTTCTGGGTCGGCGAGGGGCCTGCATGAGGGGTCTTGCGTCAGTCGAGGGACGCAGGAGGAGAAAGAGAGAGAGTGGGCGCACCTTTGTTGGGCGGCGTCTCGTCGTCGTCGGTCGCGGCTATGACCTCGTCCTCGACACGTTGGCGCTTGCCGCCCTTCTTGGCCGACTCGACAGTGCTGCTGCTGCTGCCCTCGACGCCGACGACCTCGAGCTCGGTCGCCTCGCTCGTCAGGGCGGCGAACGACTCCCTCGCTCGCTGCACCTCGACCTCCTTGGGTGTCTCGTCGACGACCTGGGTGTCCTGCTCGTGTTGGACGGGCGCGCCGAGTGATGGCGACGGGCCACGCCGGCCACGGACGGACGAGCCGGGGGTGAAGGACGACTCGGCGGCGCCAGAGCTGTACGAGGCCGACTCGGCGGGTAGGCGCGACTGGTCGGCGTCGTAGCCTCGCCCAGAGAGGTCGACGACGGTCGTGGCGGTCGTGCGAGTCACTGTCAAAGGGAGAGGATGTCAGAAGGCGACTCGTCGACGGCCGACTTGACTGAGGGAGGGTAACGACGCACGACGAGGATGAGACGGAGCGACTTGAGCCGCCCTCGGCGCGCCCGTTATCGACGCCTGACCCTGCGGGGCCGTCTCTTGCGTGTCGCCGAGACCGGGAACGAGGAAGCCCGCCGAGACGGCGCGCATGATCGAGAGGAGGTCGACCATAGCCTCGGGGATGTCGAGGTCCTCGGCGGCGCGGCCGTACGTCGCCTTCCAGAACGTGTCGAACGAGAGGATCGGGCGGTGCATCGGGTGGAGGTGCGACTGCTGGGCGAGCGAGGCGCCGAGGAACGCCTGCGAGTCGGGCTCATCGAGGGCGAGCGACAGGGCCTGGGCGCGCGCGAGCGAGGGGGCGAGGATGATGGTGAAGTGGCGGAGCGATTGCGACGTCGGCTGCACGCTGCGGCCGAGCACGTGCAGGACGCGGTCGTACAGCGAGGGGAACTGCGAGGAGAGGGGTCGATCGAGGTGTCAGGGTCGGCCCGGCGTGCGTGCGCGAGGAAGGCGAAATAGGGACGCACCGCCTCGTCGGAAGCCACCTCGAGCAGGCGAGCGATGAGGACGAGGTTGACGTGCGCGTCGCCCTCTTTCGAGAGAATGTGCTCGACGGCGTGCTCCGACAGGGCGAGGATGTTGTCCTGGACCTCGACGCCGAGGTCGGCGCTGGCAGACGCGAGCAGGGTGACGAGATGAAGGTCGCTGTGGACGGGGCAGAGGGTCAGGACTTGGGCGGAGGACGACGGGAGGGTGCGAGGGACGAGGAATGAGGGACGCACGAGGTGATGTCGGACGGGGCGGTCACGAGCGTCGCGAGATGGAAGCTCAGGGCGTTTGACGCAGGTCCATCGTGCCAGACGAGATGGTTGAAGGCGTGCGCGAGATTATGCCACCTCGCCTCGATGGTCGCGAGGGAGCTGCCCGGGTTGGTGCTGCGTGAGGCTCGAGCGAGTCAGTGCTACGGTCCAGAGCCGCAGAGAGACGAGGCTGGGACGCACTCGGCACGATTGCGCAGGAGACGGACCACCGTCTCGAGCTGAAGGGTCGACACGTCTTGGGCTTGCGCCTGCTCGAGCTCCGTCGTCCACGCCGACACTGCGATGAACGAGGAAGTCTGTCAGGCCGGTCCCGCACGGCAAGGAGGACCGAGAATACTCACCAAACATGGCGCTGTAGGCTTGAGCCGGTTCCGAGCCGCCGAGCCACGCCCCAGTCGCGACCGCGAGCGCCTCCTTCTCGCCGACGAGCACGCTCTTGACCTCGCGCACGACGCCGTCCTCGACGAGAGCGAACGCGACGGCCCACAGCTTGACGACGGTGTCGGCATGTCGAGAGGCGGGCGTCGACTGCTTGACGAGCCAGGCGAGGGCCGTGCGCAGGCTTGATGGGGCCGAGACGAGCGACAGGAGGAGCGAGCGCCAGGTGTCGGCGATGGCGACCTGCGGCGAGAAGGATGTAGCGTGAGTCAGTGAGGGAGGCTGAGGAGGCGAGTGGGAAAGAGGAAGAGGAGGCGCACCTGGACGATGGACGAGACCTGCTCCTGGGCCGGCAAGCACGCCTCAAAGAGCTCGAGGACCTTGTCGACGCGTGTCGTGACCCACGACCGGCCCCAGCCGGGTACGTGCTGCGGCTGCAGAGCACGGTCGAGCGCGCTCGCGACAAAGAGCGCCTGCTTGCCCTTGGACAGGCTCGCGAGCTGGCCGTCGAGGAAGGCCGTGTTGACGAGCTTGTCGAGCGTGGCCGAGCGGTCCTCGTCGGTACGAGGTCGGACGATGCTGCTGAGGAGCTGCCATCCGAGGACGGCGGTGCCACGCGAGACAGGCGGCGACGAGGTCGCGAGCGGGAGGTACCGGCTGAAGAGCTCCTTGGCGACAAAGTCAAACTGCTCGAGCTTACGCGACGACGTCGGCGGGTCGATGTCGGCGGCAGGGTTGCGCTTGGGCGAGTGGCCGTGCAGGATGTGGACCGTCGCGCCGAACGTGATGGCCGTCATGACGAGCGTGAGGGCGCGCGCCTGGTCCTTGCGCTCCTTGCGCCTGGCCTCGTCGACCTCGTCGTCGGCGTGCTTGAGCCACACCTCCTGGCGCGACTTGAGGATCGACGTGAAGACGTAGAACGGCCGACGGTCTTGGGCGCGCAGGACCCACGACTTGGTGCTCGGGCTCGCGGCGCTGCAGAAGGCGTAGGCGAGGTGCGACCACACGAGGGTCGACAGGACGAGCAGGTTCGAGTCCGACTGGGCCTGCGTGTCGTTGATCGGGCGGATCCAGGGGCCGACGCCGACCTGCATCCTCGGCGATGCGCCCTCCCTCGCCACCGTCTTCTGCTCGAGGCGGCGGAACGACGAGCGCATCAGGGGCGGCAGGACGGCGAGGAGCGACATGATGCCGAAGCGTGCGGCGAGTGAAGGCTCGTCGCCCTCGGGGCCTGGCTGCTGCGCCGAGTCGAGCTGCTTGCTGAGGAGGTCGAGCCAGGTCTTGACCTCGGGGTCGACGTGCGGCTCGGGCAGGATCGAGTTGAACAGGGCCTGTGGGCGTGGTGCATCGTCAGTACGCGCGGTCACGACGAGAGAGGACGAGGAAGACGAGGGAGAGAGGGCGGACGGACCTGGAGCTCCTCGCCCATCTTCTCTGCGACCACCTGCCGCTCGACCTCCCACTTGGCGTCCTCCTCGCTCTTGTCGCCCTCGAGCTCGATCGTCAACGCCCTCACGACGCCGCCGAGGAGCTTGACCGTGCGGTCGCGCACGCTCGTGCCCTTCTTGGGCCCGTCCCACAGGCCGCGCCACGCCGCCGGGAGCCACGCGCGCCACGCGTCGTCGGCGAGCATGCGGCGCGCGAGTGCGGCACGCGGCACGAGGACCGAGAGCGCCGAGAGCGACTCGCCGAGGATGAAGCGGTGTCGGTCGATGCGCGTCGGGAGCGACAGGGTCGTGGCGAGCGAGGGAAGGATCGTCGACGTGAGGAGGGGCTCGAGGATCGCTGTCGGGAGCTGGATGTTGCGGAGGAAGAAGGGGACGAAGGGGAGCAGGTTCTGCTGGACGAGGGCGTACAGCGACGGCGAGAGCGGGATCGAGGCGACGAGGCGGACGAGGTTCGACAGGGTGTCGTCTGCGTACGACGAGGGTCAGTCCTGCGGCCAATGCCTCACGAAAAGAGAGAGGGAGATGTGGGGCGGACCGTCAAAGAGGGCCACGATGCGACCGTCGCGCAGCATGGCCGCGAGGCACTTGACCGCCGCCTGCGCCGCGCCCATCTCGTCCCTCAGCCTGCGCATCTGCTCCTCGCTCAAGCTCCGCTTCGCCCCGCCCTGCGACGCTGTCCCTCCCGCACTGCCCTCGAGCGGCGGCGACGGCGTCGCGCCGAGCTCGCCGTCGTCGCCGGCGCTGCCCGCCGACCCGAGCGGCGACGAGCTCCTGCTCGACGTGAGCCCAGCGCTCGCGCCCGCCAGGAGCGGCGCAGGCGACGGCTGCGCGTCAACCCACGCGGCGAACGTCGTCACGTTGCCGAGGTCGCGCGTGACGGCGCGGACGAGGACCGTCCCGAGCGTGCGCAGCGGCTCGAGCGTCTTGTCGGCGTTGGCGAGCTCGGCGGGAAGGCGGAAGGCGGCGTGCGTCAGGAAGACGTACGCCTGCTCGACGTCGGAGAGGAGGGTCGGGGCGGCGAAGCGGCGGCGCGACGAGGGGCCCGAGGCGTCGTCCTCGACGGGTGGCGCGTCGGGGTGCGGGCGAGGCGGGAGGGACGGCGCGGCGCCGTCGTACGGCGCAGTCGAGAGAGGCGGGAAGGCGGCGCTCGGGCGGAGCGACGCGCGCAGGACGAGGAGCGGCGAGCGAAAGTGGACCGGGTCGTCGGCCTCGAGGTCGTACACGATGCGCTTGCCGTCGTCGGCGCCGCCGGCGCCATTGCCGAGCGTCGCAGCAGACGACGACGAGGCGGGTGCGGCCGACGAGCCCGCGTTGAGCCGCCGGCGCCGCTGCTGGTCCTCGTCGTCCTCGTCTCGCCCGCCTCCTGCTCCTCCACCGACCCGAGACCCGCTCGCGGCCGCGCTCGCCCTGCTCGGCCTCGAGCCGCCCCGTGCTGCACCTGCAGGCGCCGCTGCCCGGCTCGGCGCGCTGCCCCTCGCGCGCCCCTTGCCCTTGCCGCTCGCGCCCGCACCCGCGCGGGGCCGCCGTCCTGCCCTCGCCCTGCGCCTGCGCCTGCGCGACGGCCCTGCCCCTCGCCGCCGCGACGGCGATGGCCTTGCGCTCCGATTCCCAGCTCGCGACGTGCTTGCGGCCGCGCGCATTGCGCCGGTTGGCCTCCTTCTCGGAGCCGAGCGGGAGGAGCGCGCCCGGGGTGCGCGGGCGGGGCTTGAGGATCGAGCGCAGGGCTGCAGGCGGGAACGCGGTGCTGAGGTTGAGGGTCGGGCGCTCGGAGCGAGAGGGAGAGGGGAGCGGTGAGGAGGACGAGAGCGCGAGGAGGGCCGCGCCGGGCGACGAGGGGAACGGCGCGAGGCCGTCGCCGACGGCTGCTGCCGCTGCGAGGGCCGGCGACCCGAGCGAGGACGACGACGCGCGCGGGATGAGGAGCGACTGGACGGCGTCGCTCTCCGTCTCCGAGTCGGTCGCGTCGCCCTCGGCAGCGGCCGCAGCAGCAGCAGCCGCGAGCGCGTGCGCAGGCGCGAGCCGCCCCACCGACGCCGACGACGGGGTCGGCACCGTGAACGGGCGGAACGGCGGCGGGCGTGGCGGCGAGCGCGGCGCGGCGCTGCTCACGCGCAGGGCTGACGAGCGCGTCGGGGCGGCCGGTGCGGGCGACGACGAGCTCGTGGGCGGGGTCGCGCTCCTCGAGCTCGCCGGGTCGAGGTCGAACAGGGGCGAATCGCACGTCGTCGGGCTCCACGAGGACGAGGACGACGCGGCGTCGCGCGCCGAGAGGAACAGCGGGTTGTTCGAGTAGATGCCGCTCGGGCGCCTGCGCTTGCCCGCGCGGCGCTCGTCGTCCTGGTCGGCGCCCTCGCTCGCGTCGTGCCCGCCGAGCGCGACCCAGACGCGCTTGTGCCGCGGCTCAGAGTGCAGGCTCGGGAGCGGCGTCGGCGAGAAGGTGACGCGCCGCTTGCGGAGCGAGTCGGTCCTCCTCGACCCGGACGCGGATGCGGTGGCCGACGACGACGACGAGGAGGAGGACAGGACGAGGCGTGGCGAGGGTGCGAGTCCCGAGGGCGCGTTCTCCTTGCCCCTCGTCGTCGACAGGGTCGAGCCGGTGAGGGACGACGCGCCGAGGAGGGTGAAGGTGGGCTTGACGGCGTGCGACGCGGGCAGGCGGTGCGCAAAGTCGAAAGAGGAGCCTGCTGCTGCCGCCCCGGCACCCGCGCCCTTGCCCTGGTGGTGCGAGGGTTGCTGGTGCGGGAGGTGCTGGCGCGAGATGAAGGGGTCGCCGTCGGCCATGGCGCGGCGGCGGGCGGGCGTGTGTCGAGGCGCGGCGGGTGTGGGTGGTGTCGGTGGTGAGGGTGGTACACGTGCACAGCCGAGCAGAGTCGAGCGAGAGTGAGGAAAGGCGAGAGCGAGCCCGGCTCTCCTCCTCGCGAGCGCGTCCGAGTCGCGTCCCGCGCGCGAAACACCCGCCCTCTCGTACCGCACCGCAGGCCTCGCCATGCATGCGTTAGAGCTCTCTGACTCTTTCGTTCACTCGCACGATGCCCACAGGAACGGCTTGGTACTGCAAATATATCTCCGTCTCGCTCGAGGCTGAGGTCCGTCACCTCGCGCTGCTTTACTTCTGCTGGCCCAGCGGCCCTCGGTGGTTGATCGTCGCGCTCGCCTGTGCTGCACGCAGGGTCCGAGACGAGTCAGTACGGGCTTCGAGGTCGGCCACGGCAGAGAGGGAGGGAGGGAAGGCGGTGAGGAGCACGCACCGGTCGGGAACACGAGCACGTCGGCGACGTTGACGTGCTCGGGCCTGCTCGCGGCCCAAACAATCTCCTCGGCAATGTCCGCCGCGACGAGGGGCTGCAGGCCGTCGTACACGGCCGTCGCCGCGTCGCGGTCGCCTCGGAAGCGCGTGACCGAGAACTCGGTCTCGACCATGCCCCTGCGCGACGTGGGCGTCCTCGTCAAGCTCGTGCCCGCACAGGGACCTCGTGCGGGATGAGAGAGAGGGAAGAGAGAGTGGGACGCACGGGCAGATCTGGGACACGCGGATGTTCCACCCGACGAGCTCGCGCAGGAGCGAGCCGTTGAACGCGTCGACGGCGTGCTTGGTCGCCGTGTAGATCGAGCCACCGGCGTACGGCTCCTTGCCAGCGATCGAGCCGAGGTTGATGACGCTGTGGGTGCGGCAAGTCAGGACTCGGGCGACGAGGGCGACGAGGAGGGGACAGAAGAGAACGAGGACGCACTGGCCGCTGTTGCGCGCCTTGAACTCGCGCACGAAGAGCTGCGTGAGCGTGATGAGGCCGAGAACGTTGGTGTTGAACATGGCTGTGGGCGGGAGACGGTCGAGGGGGCGAATAAGAGGTCAGTGCGCGACCTCGTCAAGCTTCGTCGGCGGGCAGAGACGCCGCTCGGCGGGCGAGAGGGTGGACGCACTGTCGACCTCGTCCTCGTTGATCTCGCCGACGACCTCCTTGCCGTAGACGAGGCCAGCCTGCGTGCGCAAGTGAGGTTAGTCGCGGTCGTCGTTGGCGGCTCGAGAGCGAGAGAACGGAGGGGCGCACGTTGTTGACGAGGACGTCGACCTTTTTAAGGTCGTCGGGGATCCTGTCGAGGAGGCCTTTGATGGCGGTGCGGTCCTGCATGTCGAGGGTGAGGGTGACAAACTTGCCGCCCTTGCCCGTGCCGCCCTCGCGGTGAGCCTGGGTTGCGGCTGCGGCGACCTCGTCGAGTTGAGCTTGGCGGCGAGCGGTGAGGATGAGGTTGGAGCCGGCGCGGGCAAAGAGGATGGCCTGGCAAGAGGGCGAGGTGGGGGAGGAGGAGAGGGGGTGAGCTTGCGGGGGCGCGCTGTGAGGAGGGAGGGGAAGGGGGGTGCGCACGGTTGCTGCGCCGATGCCGCCGGAAGCGCCAGTCTGTCAAGCAGGGAGGGAGAGAGGTGAGGGACCGATGCGGGGCACCTCGACGACGAGGAGGAGGAGGACGAGGGACGGACGATGAGGACGGTCTTGCCGGCGAGGCGGGATGGGTTGAAGACACCAGCCATGGCGCAGTGCAGTAGCAAGAGTCGCTAGGAGAGTGAGAGGGAGAGAGCCGCCGGTTCACCGCCGAGCACGCCGACGGCCACAAGTCGCACGCCAGCCCAACTTCGCTCAACTGCCACCACCGCAACTGTGCACTGCCTGCCATGCTCAGATCTACCGCCACTGCAGCAACACGCCCGGCCCGCCACACCGCAACCCGCGCTTTCGCCTCGTCGTCGCACCTCCTCACTCACCCGACCAACCCTCTCGACCCGCTCCCCGCCAACCCAACTCGCTCAGCTGCACCGCCAACCGCCGCACCCCTACCTCAGCAGCCACACCCTTCAGGTGCGCCCATCCCGCCCCTCGGTCGAGCCGACACCGACCGACGACTGACCCCGTCTCCCTCTTCATCTCTCCCTCGCCTCTCGCGCCTCGCCATCGCCCGCAACTCGCTCTCGACCCCCCGCCGTGCAGCCTCGACCTCGAGCGAGACGACCCACTTTGGCTTCCGCAATGTCCCCGAGCAGCAGAAGGAGTCCCTCGGTGCGCCACACCCCCTCTCCCTGTGCTCGCCCTCGGCCTTCGCACTCGAGATCGCTCACCTCGTCTCTCCCGCCCTCGACAGTCCGCGGCGTCTTTTCGTCCGTCGCCTCGTCGTACGACGTCATGAACGACGCCATGTCGTTCGGCATCCACCGCCTGTGGAAGGACCACTACGTCTCCAAGCTCGACCCGCACGGCGGCCTCAAGTGCCTCGACGTTGCCGGCGGCACGGGCGACATTGCCATGCGCATCCTCGACCACGCCAGGACAAAGTACGGCGACCGCGACCTGAGCGTCGCCATGCTCGACATCAACCCCGAGATGCTCGAGGAGGGCAAGAAGCGCTTCGCCAAGACCATGTACCACGCCAGTGCGTCCTCCCTCCCTCTCGAGCCTCGCACACAGAGCCTGACCTCGCTCGTCACACCCGCCCGCCAGCCCCGCAGATCTCGTTCCACCTCGGCAACGCCGAGCACCTCGACGGCTTCGCCGACAACTCGCTCGACCTGTACACGATCGCGTTCGGCCTGCGCAACTGCACCCACCCGGAGCGCGTCCTCGCCGAGGCGTACCGCGTCCTCAAGCCCGGCGGCGTCTTCTCGTGCCTCGAGTTCTCGCACGTCGAGAACCCGGTCCTCGCAAAGTGCGTCTCGCGCGCTCTCTCTCTTCCTCGAGGGTGGTTGAGAGAGCTCTGCGACTGACGGGTTTCACGCGCACAGGGCGTACAACCTGTGGTCGTTCCAGGTCATCCCGCCCTTGGGCCACATCCTCGCCGCCGACCGCGACTCGTACCAGGTGCGCCCTCGCTCTCGCCTTTTCCGCCCACCTCCCTCCCTCCCCTCCCTCCCCTCCCTCCCCCTCAGATCTCCCACCTCTCGTCGCTCTCGCGTCGAGCTCGTCTCCTCGTGGCCCTCGCACGCGGCAGCTCGCTGACCTTCCCTCCTTCCTCTTCCCCCGCTCTCTTCCCCTCCTCCTCCTCCTCCCACCTCCTCTCCCCCTCCCCGTCCTTCCCCTGACCCTCAAACCTCCCTCGTACCCACCCTCGCCCCGCCGCAGTACCTCGTCGAGTCGATCGAGCGCTGGAAGAAGCCGCACGAGTTCTCTCAGGCCATCCGCGACGCCGGCTTCGTCACGCCCGACGGCGAGGGCCACGAGCCGCTCACGTTCAACATTGCCGCGATCCACACGGGCGTCAAGGTTTAGAGCGCGAGGGAGGTCGGGGCGGGCGGGCGGCGACGGCGGCGAGGGTGGGCCGGCTCGAGGGTTGGGAGGAGGGGAGAGGAGGGGGTTCTGTTGTACTGGCGTCGTCTGCTCGCAGCTCGTTCGACTCGCACAGGTCTTTCTTCCGCCCCCAGAGAGCGTCGAGGGCCAGCTCGAGGCCAAGCTCCGAGCTCGCAGCGTGAGCGAGTCGAGCTTCCCGAGCGCACGCACAACGGCGTCCTCTCTCTCAGCCACAGTCTCTGCAGAGCCGCTCGCCTCGTCGACTGACAGTCACCGTGCACCCGTGCCGGCCCTCAAGCGCCTGTGAGCGAGCCGAGGACGACAGCTGGCAGTTTCGGACACGGGGCGCGGGGCCGGCCAATCACAGACGACCGACGGCAAGCCGACTACGTCGAGTCGCCAGGTGGCTCCTCCTCCTGCGCCCTGCAGCGCTCGGTGCGGAGCTCTGCTGCATCAGGGCGACTTGCAGGGCGAAGGTGAGACGAGGCGCAGGAGAGCGCGCCGCTGGAGAGATTCGAGAGAGCCTGTGCAGCAAGTGCGAGGGTGCAAAGGACAGCTCGCCTGCGTGCTCCTTTTGTGCTCGCGGTGCTGCCGAGACCTGTCATACAGCACTCTGCGCTCGACTCGAGCCGCTCCGTCACGAGGAGGGAGCGAAAGACAGGAAGAGACCGCAGCTCGAGCACGCTCCCGCAAGCCAGAGTCTCCCGTTTCGCCGTCGCTCTGCTCGTTGGGCAAAAGCTTACGAGGACTCGTGAACCGCAGCAAAAGAAGAGGGTTGGCGCGCGGCGCGGCCGGGGTGCAACTGGTAATTCGAGTTGCATGCCGGGGGCGTGGCGACGCTCAAGCGTCATTCTTTACAGCCCGGTATCGTGCCCCAATTTCTCAAGGTAATCCCGCAGCTGATGTTGGGAGAGGGGCCGATGAACCCAGGGTGTTCGACAAAGGAAAGGCCTACTTTGCAAAAAGACGCCACACGCATTCGGTTCACCTTGCGCCGGACCTCTCTCTCGCACCTCGACACGCTTTGACTTGGGAAGGCCGCCATCGTCTCGAGCATATTCTGCCGCAGGCCTGGGTGCCCAACACGACCCCCTGCGAGCGAGACGGCGAGCGAGGAGAGAGAAAAAGAGGTGCGAGAGGACAGCGCGCGTGCCGGCTCCGCCACTTCCCCACACTCGGCGCTCCTTCGAACGTCTCGTCGTATTGCTACAGAGCTCGGCTCTGTTCACACAGCAGCCCTGCCTGGACCTCGCTACTTCGAGAGGCTTGGCGAGCAAGGACTGAACGAACAGAGGAACGACTCGTTCTCGAGAGAGAGAGAGGAAGAGAGGCTCGCTGCCTGCTCGAGCTGTGCTGCCAAATCTGCTGGTGCGCTACCGGGACTCGCTCCAGAGCTAGTACGAGTACAATTCGAGAGATCAGGACCCTGCGCTTTGGACGTTCGACGCGACACGAGGACACAGTCGAGGCCAAAGTCCCGCACCTCGTCCTTGCTTGACGCGTTCGCTCTCCTTGCTCGGCTCCTCAGGCTCGACGTACAGTATCGTGCAGCAGAGAGGAGCCCAAGATGGGTGTGTTGTCGACGGGCTGGAAAGGCGAGAGCCGGAAGCACTCAGGGGGGTCCGAGCGGGCCTTCTCAAGTTGGAGGCTGCCAAGGAGAACTCGCTCACCTCTCGCAACTTAGCGTTCCCGCTCTATCGAGTACTCGCTCGAGACGTGCACTTGAATAGAAGGACGTCTCTGCCGCGAGCTGCGCAGTCTCGACGAACGAGGAGAGGCTCGGCGTCACCTCTCACAAGTTGCTCTCGCGCTCTCTCTCTCTCGCTCTCTCTCTCACGCTCTCTCTCTCACTCTCTCTTGCTCGCCTCTCGTCGGGCGCAGACGAGATTTGGGTACGACTCGGGAAGTTTCAGTCGAGAAAACGACGGAGGGAGGGCATGTACAGGAAAAGCGAGGCGACGAAGGGAGAAGGGGCGAGGGGGTAGAGAGAGGGGGGCGCGATAATTACGGGTAACGACTAGGCGCGACGAGGAGGCGCAGCGACGACGACGAGGGGATGAGGTTGGCGACGGCTAGTGGTACACGGTCGACGACGACGACGACGGCGACAACGACGGCGGCGGGACGCAGAGGAGCCAGTGAAGGACTCGTCTACGACGCACTCGTCGTCGCGGCGCTCGTGGCCGGCGCAGCCTCGGCGCCGAAAGCCGCCGAGTCGGTCTCGCCCGAGTTGGTGGCCGGGGTCGAGGTCGACGACGACGAGACCGGGTTGCCGAGGACGGGCGGCGTGCCCTTGGCCTCGGTCGTCAAGGCCTGCTTCTCGGGCGCCGACGTGCCGGAGCCGACGTAGGCCGGGAGCGTCTCGGCCTTGAAGAAGCCCGACGTCTCCTCGGCGGGGCCGGCGTCGGCGCCTGCGCCGACCGACGACGAGCCAGCCTCGGTCGAGGTAAAGGCCGTGCCGAGAGCGGGCGTCTGGGCGGCCGAGCGGGCGTGAGCCAGCTCGTCGTCGGACGCGTACTCCTCCTCGGACGACCCGCCGCCCTCCTCCGAGTCCTCATCGTCGTCGCGGACCGAGCGGTGGACCGACGAGTGGTCCTGCTGGGCGAGACCGCCGCCGACGAAAGCGGGCGAGCGCGTCTCGCCGGCGCCCTCCTCCTCGCGCGCGTTGGCCTCGGCCTGCTCGCGCTCGATGCGCTCAGCCTCGTCGGCGTCGACGAGACGGGCGCCCGGGACGGCGGCGACGGCAGCGGCAGTGCGCTCCGTCTCCTCGGTGGGCGGCGCGTAGCCGACCGACGCGACGGCGGTGCCGACCGGGTCGGTGACGAGCTTCTTGCCCGACGACGTGCGCTCGACCTTGGTGTCGCGCGAGAGCTGGTCGAGCGTCTCGAACCACGACAGGAGCTCGGCGCGAGTGCGGAAGCGGAACGTGTACGCGATCTGGATGGCAGAGAGAGCGTAAGTGAACGATACGAGGATGAGAAAGGAAAGGGGGCAGGGACGCACCTCCTTGCCGCCGAACCTGAGCGTGTCCTTGACGCGCGACTCGAAACTGGACTTTACCGCGCGGTTGCCGCTAACGTGCAACTTGTGCGAGCGATCTTTCTCCTTGGACGGTGCCGAGAGGCTACACTCTGGCAGGAAGAGAGAGAAGCCCGGGGCCGACGTCTCCTGGGCGTTCCTGCGGACGGCGACGGCGAGTGCGAGGGGTAGACGGCGACGGAAGGCGTCGTGATTGAGTGAGGAGAGAGTAGGGTAAGGGAGGAAGGGAAGGACAGGGATAGAGTCAGTCAGCGCCCGAGGGACAAAGGACGGGGTGGGAGGACGACGGCGACGTACGACGACTTGCGCTCGTGGAGGTAGCCCGACGGCGTGAGGACGTAGTACGACTCGGTGTACTTCTTGCTGAACCGCTTCTTGCGCTCGATGAAGCCCTCCTTGAGGACGGTGGTCGAGGCGTGGTTCATGCCAGGGAACGAGATGGCCTCGATCGAGCGAAGCGGCGTGTTCGGGTCGATGAGGGTCGTGTCGTCGCGCGACGTGTAGAACTCCCACTCGTGCGTCGGCTCGACACGCTGGAGCGCAGTCGCGATCTTCTCCTGGAGCTCGGCGACCTCCTTGGCGTGGGTGAGCTGCGCCTCGTTGTAGAGCTTGGCGGCCGACTGGATCGACTTGGACACGGTCTCCTCGAACTGCGGCTGCTGCTGCTGGAAGCGGATGAGGGCGGCCTGGAGGTCGTCTGCGGGAAGGTGAGGGAGGGAGGGGAGACGAGGTCAGTTCCCGAGCACGACGAGCCGAGTCGAGGGAGGAGAGAGACGGTGCGACTCACTCTCCTTGTGGACCTGCTTCTTGAGCTGGTTCTCGACAATGTGGTGCGACAGGTACGGGTCCTTCTGCGGGAGCATTTGCGTCGAGGAGTTCTCGAACGTGTCGATGCCGTTCTGGAGCTCGAGGAGGTCACGCTTCGACTTCTCGCGCTGCGGAAGCACGACAAAGGTCGTCAGGACTGCACATTGGGGAAAGGGGAAAGGGAGAGAGTGGGGCGCACCTCCTTCTCGACGTCGTCGGCGAGGACGGACGCCTCCTTCTCGACGGCGGCGATGTGCTGCTTGATCTCGGAGCGGACGCCCTCGAGGTCGCGGATGACGGTGTGCTCGATCGTCGACGCAAAGTTGCCGTGGCGCTCCGACAGGAGCTTGGTGTTGTCGCGCACGTCGTACAGGACGGCCTGCCAGCCGTCGGGCGAGAAGGCGTGGCCCTCGTGGAACGGGACCTGGATCGTGTCCATCAGGGCTGTGGTGGCCTTGCACTGCGCATGCTCGATGTCGGCGAGGCCCTGTTTGCGCGAGAGAGGAAAAGGAAAGGTGGGGGGGGGGTTGACAGGGTGAGCGGGGGGATCGACACGGCGACGACACTGGACCGGCTCGTTGCTCGCACGACGGCGACCGTGGGGCGTCGTTGCGACAGCTCGTAGGTGCGAGAGACGAGCAGACGACCGGCCTCGAGACAAGAGGGGGCCTTCGTCACCGAGGACGGCCGCAAGCGGCAGGCGAGGAGTGGGGGGCTTCGGCGAGCGAGAGGGCGAGGGCTCACCTTGTAGTAGTGGAGGAGCGACTTGGTGATGTGCTTCCACTGCTGGAGGCGGTCGACGATCTCGTGGTCGGTGCTGCAGCGCGGTTCGAGGTCAGGGTGAGGAGCGAGGGGGGAGGGGGAAGAGCAATGACGACGGACCGGATGGCGCCGTCGGCGAGGGGCTGGTGGCCGCGCGTGGGCTTTGCGACGCGGATGCTCTTGTGAGCGAGGAGGTTGGACATGGTGCGGGAGAGAGGCTTCTTGCGCGCTCTGTGAGGGAGAGGGTGGTGGAGGGGAAACAGAGCCCCGAGACGCGCGAGGCGGGCGAGGGCGAGCCTCCTCGTCCAGCTGCACTTCGGCCACCCCGGCGGGATCGGCGCAGCCGTCCAATTCTCCGATGACGTCGAGTTCGACCCGTTCGAGGCCAGCCTCCGCAACGCGCCAACAAACAGCCCGTGCCTGGCCTCGCGCGAGTCTGCGGATCAGCCTCAGCGCGCACGCGCAGCCAGCTGCCAGTCTCGAGAGAGGTTCTTCCGGGCCTGCACCGCCATCGGTTTAGCGTCGTGGGCAGGCTACTCTAAGCGAGCAGATCTCTCTCGAGTCGCGTCTCGTCGTTCGTCCAACAGCAGCGGCATAGAGTCGACCAAAGAAAGGACGAGCAGGCACGCGCGCCAGCTGCGCAGCCTCGTTGTCGAAAGCCCGGTCACGCTGCAGCTCGTGCTCCAAGCTGCGACAGTGATAGCAAGCCCGCGCTCTGAGGGAAGGCGGCCGTGGCGAGCGGACGACGGCGAGGATCGGCACGGACCGCTCGACCAGCCGCGCTCAGCCGGTGAGCAGCTCGAGGTGGCGCTGCCCGCACACAGACCGAAGCAGTGCGTCGCTCATGACGAGCGGTCGGCACGAGAGCCTCGCTCACACGCCGGGCGCGGCGAGAAGGCGAGAGCCAACCAGCCATCTCGACGCGTCGAGTTGCTCGACGGCCAGCGACGGCCAGCGCGCATGACGACAGTGCGTGCGCCGAGGCAGAGCAGCGACATGGGCCCGTAGAACGACTTGCCGAGAGACGCGCCTCGGCCGGGCAGAGCTGGCCAAAGGAAGAACTGTCGAGAAGCAGCGGCGAGAGCAGGTCGAGAAGTGCGTCCTCGTGTCGAGCTGAGTCGCGCCGCCCGCTCCGAGATAGGCCCCAAAGAAGGTGTGGGCATCGCCTGAAAGCCTGGGCAACGCTCACAAGGCGTGCTGGCGGGCCCTGACTCGCCTCGAGAGCGCGCATCTTGGTGGCCAGGTTGGCCGGCGAGGACGAGGCGGCGTGGAGCGGCACACGGGAGAGCCCAGCCCAGAGAGATATGGCTCAGCGCTGAGCGGGTCTGAGCTGCGCAGGAGCTGATGGCGCGAGCTGGCGAGGGACGAAGCGATGAGGACGACGACGACCGAGGGGTCTCGCTCGCACGCTCCACCCTCGGCACCACTTGAGCACCCCGCCAGCTCGTGGCCGCTCTTGCACAACTCGTACCACCCCGAGAAAGCCGGTCCCGCCACCAACGAGCCGCAACAAGGGCCTGTCGCCGCCATGGTCGGCCGGATCGCGACGTGGGGCCTCGTGTCGACGGCGCTCGCCCTGGGCACGGTCCTGAGTGCCTTCAGGCAGAGGAGCAACTTCTACTCGGCCGCCGTATACCTGTCCAAGAGCAACGCGTGCATGATGGTGCGCCCCTCGTCCTCTTCCTCGAGGTGGACCCTCTCGCCTCGGGTGGCAGCTCACTCCCCCTCGCTCGCACGCGCAGATTCTGTGGAACCAGGCCCTGTTCCACACCGTTCTCTTCGGCAAGGTCCTCCAGGCCATCTTCTTCGGCGAGCTCCGCCTCGTCGAGGTCGAGGTGCGCACCGCCCCCCTCGCCTCTCCTCCTTCTGCCCGAGCACCAACCTAACCCTGCCCCCTCGCCTGCAGCGCCTGCAAGAGCGAGGCTGGTTCGCCATCACCGAGACGCTCCTCGCCCTCACCATCTTCCGCGACGACTTTGACAGCTCGTTCGTCGTCCTGTTCGTCTCGCTCCTGTTCCTCAAGGTCTTTCACTGGCTCGCAGCAGATCGGGTCGAGGCGGTGCGTCCTGCCTTTCCCTCTTCGGTTCCACGATGGGTCGATCTGACCCTCGTCTCTCGAGCAGATGGAGCAAGCGGCGCAAGTTTCGCGACTCGCCCACCTGCGCATGGTCGGCCTCCTGTCGCTCCTCTTGCTCGCCGACGTCGGCTTCATCTTCAACGCGGCCGACTCGATCATGGTCGACGGCCCGACCGTCATGATCATGTTTGCCTCAGAGGTGCGTCCCTCGCTTCTCTGAGTCCTGCAGAAGGAAATCGAAACCGACTCTCTCTCTCCTCGTCGCGCAGTACCTCATCCTCGTCGCGACCGCTTTGGCGACCGGCGCCAAGTACATCATCAACTGCGTCGACATGCGTCGTGACACGCCGTGGGAGGACAAGAGCGTCTACATCTTCTACGTCGAGCTCGCTGCCGGTCCGTCTTCTCCCTTCGCCGTCCTCCTTGTTCTCGATCGTCCCTGAATCGGCTGCTTCCCTTGACTCGCAGACTTCTTCAAGCTGTTGACGTACCTCGTCTTCTTCGGCCTCATCCTGTCGTTCTACGGCCTCCCGCTCAACATCCTGCGCGACGTCTACATCACGCTGCGGTCCTTCATCCTCAAGGTGCGCGACCTGCGCCGGTACCGCCAGGCGACCCGCAACATGGACGAGCTGTACCCCGACGCGACGAGCGACGAGATGGCCGCCATGACGGACCGCACTTGCATCATCTGCCGCGAGGACATGGAATACCGCCCAGCGCCAGGTGCGGCAGCCCGAGCAGCCGAGGCCGATGCTGCGGGCGCCGTCGCTCAAGGGGCCGAGGGTCAACCTGCGCCGGCGCCGGTACCGCCGCCGAGAGCAGGCCCGAACGACACGCCCAAGAAGCTGCCGTGCTCGCACGTGTTCCACTTCCACTGCCTGCGCAGCTGGCTCGAGCGTCAGCAGAGCTGCCCGACCTGGTGCGTCCATCTTCCTCGCCCTCGTCTCTCTCTCGCCGTCCTTCTCGAGACTGACTTTCTTCCTTGACGAGCAGTCGCCGACCCGTCCTCCCGCAAGAGCAGCCTCCCGCGACACCGCCTCGGCCCGGCGCCGCAGCTCTGCCCGGCGCGCCCAACGTCAACCTCGAAGAAGCCGCGATGCGCCAAGCGCAGGTCAACATCGCCCGCAACCTCGGCCGCGAGGCGTTCGGCGCCCTGTTTCCCGACGTGCCCTTCCCGGCCGAGGCCGCCCCGCCCGGCGCCGCACCTCCTGCGCCTGCCGATCCCGCCGCGAGGCTCGCGCAGCCCCCTACGGCGGCGCAGGCGCAGGCCAACGCGGCGACGGCGCCCCCTGCGACGCCTGGCCCTGCCGGCGCCGGCGCTGGTCCCGCTCCCTCGACCGGCGCCGCCCCGGCCCTCTCGCCGCCTGCGCCGACCGCCGCTCCCGGCTCGACCGCCGCCGCGGGCGACAACCCGCTCGCCCACTTCTCCCTCCCTTGCCTCACCGTCCCCGCCACCGGCGAGGCGGGCTTGTACCACCGCCCGCCGACTTTCGCCTACCCCCCTCCTCCCCACGCTCCCGGCGTCACCGCGCCGTACGCCAACATTGCCTACGGCGCGTACCCGCACTTTGCCGGCGCGCAAGCGCACGCGCCCGGGCCGGTCGGCGCGGCGGGCGAGAGGCGCGCGGGCATGAACGTCGAGGAGAGGGTCGAGTTCCTCAGGAAGCGGTGGGGCGGCGCAGCCGGCGCGCCCGGGACGAGCGCGAGCACGAGCGCCGAGGGTGCGACGAGCACGAGCGAGCAGGGCGGGGAGAAACCGGGCGAGGAAGGCCGGGAGGACGAGGCGGTCAAGGTGGACAAGGGCAAGGGCAAGGCGGTCGAGCCTGCCGCGGCGGCCGAGGGCAGCAGCGTCCTCAAGGAGGAAGAGGAGGACGACGCGACGCTGTCGCCTCGCGCTGCGGCGCTGCGCGCTGCCGAGTGTCGTGCGGGCAAGCCGAGCCCGGCGTCGGCGCCCGTCGTCGCCGCGTCCACCTCGACCTCGGCTCAACGTGGCTCGTCCAGCTCCGCGACCAGTTCCCTCGACGTTGGCACTGCACCGGCTACGGCAACGTCGACCACCGCCCTCCCCATCCCGCGCCTGATCCCTCTCTTCGATCCCGCCAACCCGTCGCCCTCTCTCGCCGACTATCCCTCTCTCCTCCCACGCTCGAGCGGCACCTCCTCGCTCGACGCACGCCCGCTCCTCCCCGCCATGGAGCAGCTGTCCGAGGCCGAGCAGCTCGCGCGTCGCGGTGTCGAGGAGCGCCTCAGGCTGCTCGTCGGGTTCCAGGAGCGCATCGAGGGCCTCGTCGGCGAGATGAGGGCTGCACTCGACACTGCGCCGCTCGACGGCCGTGCGGGGACGAGTGTCGAGAAGACGGTGGCGGTCGGGCATGACGAGGAGGGAGGACTGGCCGAGGAGGCTCGTGCGCAGTCGGAGGAGGAGCGCAGGGAGTAGCTCGTCGCGCGCATGCACAACTCGCAGATCGTTCTTTCATGCCTCTCTCGCGAGCTCTCGTTGTCGCAAGAGAGAGAGGTGTACGTGAGAATGCGAGTGTCTGTGTAAGGGAAAGCTACGAGATCTGCAACATGACGAGAAAATGCACATCGTCCTCGTCCTCGTTCTCGTTCTGGCTCGTCCTCCTCGTGTCCTGCTCCTGGTCCATCGAAAGCCCATTCAGCTCGAGAAGTCCTCGACGACGAGCGAGACCTGGCCCCTCGGGTCGCCCTTGGCGACCCTCTTCAGGTCGATCCTGCTCGCGACGAGGTTGCGGACGATCGAGTTGAGGCTGGACGGCCCGCAGCACGCGACGCACGTCTTGCCCGTCGAGCGCTCGACCTCGTCGTCGAGGATGGCCTTGAGGCGCGGGTAGCCCGTCTTGGCCAGCTCGGCGACCGCCTCGAGGTCGTCCTGCTCCTGCGGCGTCACGTCGAGCAGGCCGCCCTCGAGGTCGTCGCGAGCCGTCGACGGCGAGGCACCTGTACGAGCACCTGCGCCGTCAAGCCCGTCGAGCGCGCCGACGTGGCTGCTGCGCCGGCTCGAGGCCGACACGCCCGGGCGCTGAGCCGCCTTGACGAGGTTGTGACGGCTGGCGCCGGCGTCGCCGCCGCCGAGCGTCTGCGCCTCGTCGTCGAAGCCGTACGTCGAGCCGTAGTCGAACGAGTCGGCGCGACGGCCCTGACCGAGGTCGCCGTACGAGAGGGCCGACGGCGGACGAGCGTAGTCGCCGTACGGCGACGACGAGGACGGCGCCGGCTTCGAGTCGGCCTCGCGGTGGTCGAGCGGGAGCGCCTCGAAGCTCGGGTCGTGCGGGAGGACGACCGGCGCCGCCGACGTCGCCGGGAAGGCGTACTCGGGCGTGTCGCCGCCGGCTCGCTGCGGGCGGCGGAGCGTCCCACCCTGCCCGCGACGGGACAAGGCGCGACGGAGCTTGCCCTGCTTCTTGAGCTCGGCCGAGACGTTGGCCTCGCCCGGCGAGCGGTAGTCGTCCTCGCCGTCGAACAGGACGAGGTCGGTGACCGACTCGATCTCGCCGTCGTACTCGTCCGGGAGGGCCGGCTGGCTCGGGCGACGAGCGAACGACGCACAGGGCGACGACGACGGGGTACCGCCCTCGGCGTCGCTGTCGCTCCAGTCGCTGAGCTCGCTCGCGATGCTGCCGCGACCGCGTGGGCCCGAGCGCTCGCCACGGGCGAACGGCGCCGACGGCGGCGCGAGCTCGTCGTCGGGCACCGACGAGTACGGCTTGTGCGACGTGCGAGGACGACGAGGCGCCTTGGGCGCGTCGTGCGTGACGAACAGGTCGACCTGGAGCTGGGCCGAGTCGCACATCTCGATGCAGCGGCGCAGGGTCGAGGCGACCCAGGACAGGTGGGCTGTGGCGGTGCAGGAACGTCAGTACGGTGCGATCGAGTATACGCGACGCGAGAAAGAGGTGGAAGGAGGAAGAGGACGAACCGTACTCGCGCATGATCCACACGAACCGGACCCTGGTCCCCCTCCACCGCTTGTCGCCGGCCCTCTGCGCCTCGACGAGTCGCGTGCACGCGTTCTCGAGGACCGAGATGCCGAACGAGATGCCCGTTCCGCCGCACACGATCATGAGGCTCTCGAACGCGCCCCAGTTAGCCCTGCCTGCCGAGCCCATGGGCCAGCTGACGAGCGCCCGGAGCGTCGTCGCCTCGTGCTCGTGCTGCGCCCGCCGACGCTGCGCCGCGACGTGGTCCCACAGCGCGCGCGAGAAGCCCTTCTGCGCGCGGACGAGGAGGACGACCTCGCTGCCCTTGGCCTTCTTGCCCTTCGAGGCCGCCGAGCTCGCTCGCGGGTCCACGCCGGCGATCGTGTACGGGTGGCTCTCGAGCGCACGGACGCCCGGGACGTACAGGAGGACGTGCTGGCCGGGCGCCCATCGCAGGGCGTGCGGGACGTGGAGCGACAGGCGGACCGTGCGGCCCGGCAGGAGCTGCGCGGTCGCGAAGCCGGGCGGGGCGAGGCGTTGCTGGCGCTCGGGCGATGCCGGGTGGGCGTAGAGCGTCGGCGAAGAGGGGGCGACCGACGGGGCATAGGGCGCGGCGAGCTGGGGCGAGGCGAAGCCCGACGGCGGGTACTGCGTCGAGTCGGCGGCCGCGCTCGGGATGGCGAACGGCTGCTCGAGGGCATAATCGCCGCTCTTCTCGGCAAAGCTGCCGCCGTTGCTCGACCGAGTGCGGGTCGAGTTGCGCGAGGGCCGGAACCAGATGCCCTCGAGGATGCCGTTCAGGTACAGGAGGGCGGCGAAGCGGAAGGCGCGCTCGGCGCCCCACCACGCCAGGGCGGCGATCGGCCAATACATGAGCGGCTGCAGGCGAGAGAGGAGAAGGCAGGAGAGTCAATGACGGGTCGGGCCAAAGAGGGACTGAGGAGGGGAAGACGCACTTGGTGGTGGACGATGGCGGTCACGAGGACGCCGATGACGAGGACGATGTGCGACCAGTAGAACATCTCGTAGAACCTCTTGCGGAGCGGCTTGAACGACAGGGCCGTGAGGAACGTAAGAAGGAACCAGCACTGCGGGTCGGGTCGGTCGGTCAGTCCTGCTGCTCTGCCACCGGCCTCGAGAGAAAGGGGAACGAGAGACGCACGACGACGCCGCACACGAAGCGGTACCACCCGAATGCGGGAACGAGGACCATGCGGCCGAACGGGTCGCGATCTTGCGTGAGCTGCCACATCCACCCGATGGCGTGCCCAGTCGAGAAGAGCCAGACGACGCGACCTGTGCGGCATGAAGCTCGTCAGTGACACGCTCATCGGCGCGGACCGAGAGAGAGGGAAAGAGGGGGCGCACCGGACCAGCGATGAAGGATGGCCGTCTGCGGGCGTGGGACGAGCGGGTCAGTCGACTCGACGGCGAGGAGGGGGGAGGTGGACGAGGGAGAGAGGCGCACCTTGTCGAAGTGGTAGTTGGTCAAGAACGGCGTCGCCCAGATGTTGAACGGCCACTGCGCGCAGAGGGGGTGGTGAGCTCGTGTCGCTCGAGTGCGAGAGGAGGGGGACGAGCGCACCTGCTTGAGGGCGAGCGTGACGACGAGCGGCAGCATGGCGTACGAGATGAGGCCGAGACGTGCTGCGGCGGTCCACGCATTGGCCTTGATGTTGACGTTCGACGCCGCGAGGAGCGGGTCGTTGAAAGGAGCCTGCGGAAGGAGGACTCGTGAGCAAGGGCGTTCAGGGGCGCTCGACGAGACAGGGAAAGATGGGACGCACCCAGCCGTTCGGGTTGTTGACGCCGCGCTTGAAGCGGTAGTTCGACTTTGGCGGCCCGCTGCTGCCGGAGAAGCCGCACTCGCCGCCGAACGTGCACGCCGTGGGCTGTCCTCGGGCGAGCGAGAGGGTCAGGGGGGCGCTCGCGCACGCGCAAGGAGGGAAAGGAAGGCGAGGACGCACCTTGATGTAGTCGTCGCCGAGGAAGCTGGCGAGGATGGCGACGACGATGAGGGTCGCGACCGCGATCATCTGGGCGACGGTCGGGCTCGCCCACACGACCTTTTTCCTGCCCGGGCCCTTTGCCGCCTCGCCCTTCTCGGCCGCCGCACCGCCCGCGCCGACGCGCCGGGTCCACGTGATGCGCCGGATCGACCACTTGCGGAACCAGGCGCCGAGCGCGCTGCCGCCCGTGCGCGTCGACGAGCCCGACAGGTGGTACGCGAGCGACCACAGGGCGAGGATGCCCATGATGGCAAACCACAGGATGTAGGCGTAGCGCCACGTCGGCTTGGACAACGTGTGCGCGTCGATGTAGGGCCGCGTGAAGTACTGGAGGAGCGACGACGAGTCGACGCCGCCGGTCGCGTCGGCGACGAGGGCCGACGACGTGGCCGTTCCTGCGCCCGTCTTGGGGCCGGCCTGCGACGCAAAGCTGAGCGAGGCTTTGGCCGTCGTCGTGGCGGCGGCGGCCGCGGTCGTGCGTGCGCCGGGCGGGACGTAGGCCACCGTGGCTATGACAGCGCTCGACATCTTATGGCGGCACTAGAAGAAGGGTCTGCGATGGCGGGAAGCGAGTCGGCTTGTGCAACGAGGCAAGGAGAGAGAGGGAGGAGGGGCGCACCTTGCGGAGGAGAAGAGGGAAGAGGTTCGAGGAGCGCCTGGGTGGGGCTCGAGGTAAGCGCGCGGCCTTGAGGTGCGAGGAGAGTGTAGAGCGCACCTGGACGAAGCACGTGCGCTATAGAGCCGGCGCGATGCTGAAGGATAGGCCGGAAGGGTCGAGGTGGTCGAGGCGATGAGACGACAGGCGACAGGCGGCTCTGGCGGGCGCTTGCGCGCGTACAGGTCCTTGCGGGGCTACTTGTAAAGCTGCTGGCGGAACTGGGCGGGTCCTTGTCGAGGTGGGCTCGTGTTGAGATGGTCGGCGCTGCTGAAGGTGGCTCGACGGCGATGAAGGCAATGCAGGCAGCTGGCGCGGCTGCTGAGTCGGCGGGCGGCTCGTTGGTCGTACAGCAGAGTACTTCCGTGCACGAGCAGGTGCGCGGCGAGCGGTGGTGGCTCGTGAGAGGCGGACGGAGCGACTCGCAGCACAGCCGCGTGAAGGTGGTTGCTTGAGCTCCGCCGCCGAGCTTCGCCCGCGCTCGTACATGCGTCCCAAGTAGTGAGAGAGGCTTTGTGCAGGGACACGGTCCCCCAGTCGACACGACGGGAAATTGCGACCACGAGCCGCTCTCTCTCTCTCTCGCTCAGGCCGCTCTCGCTCCTCGACCGCCTCGACGCACCGAGAAAGACGACTGCATTACGGTCCTCCTGTGAGGGCCGAGAGAAAGAGAGAGATAGACCGCCTGACCCGCTCACCTCCGCCGCAAGAACCCCCAAGGCTCGACGCGCCCACCCGCGCTCGACGACAAGTCGTCGAACCAGCTCGGGAGCCAGCTCGAGCTCGAGTCGGAGGCGACGATGGGAGCGGGCAGGCTGCCTGTCGAGCCGGTCGCGACGGGCGACGAGGTCGGGCCGAGAGGGGTCGTCGACGAGGACGCGCCGTCGTCGTACTCGGGCGACGCCTGCGCTGCCTCGCTCGCGGTCGTCGACGTCGCCGCCGACTCGCGCCGAGCCGTCGAGCTGCCCGACCCGCCCGACGCGCTCACCCCGCCCTTCTCGCCCTCCTCCCCTTCCTCGCCCCCGCTCCCCTCGTTCGCGCCCGCAACGGCGCGACAAAAGTCGTACCACCCACCGCCCCACGTCTGATACACGTCGACGTCGTCAATCTTGGCGTCGGTGATGAAGATGCTGCCGAGCGCGGGCGCGCCGAGGGCGGCGACGGTCGAGGTGTAGGACGCGAGGGAAAAGTCGTGCAGCATGATGGCGGCTTGCGGGAGGAGGGACCGAGGTGGGAGGAGAGAGTCGCTGTGGGAGAACGGCGAGGGACTCAGTTCGCGTCGAGAGAGGGAAAGGGGAGAGAGGGACGCACGAGTAGTCGGCAAAGGCGCTCTCGTACGCGACGACGACGTTGGCCATGGCGTAGTAGGCGTCGCCCACCGTCGTACCAGGGTTGAAGACGACCTGCTCGCGAGGAAGAAACTATCAGTCGGTCGCGGAAGGGACAGAGAGAGGAAGAGAAAGACGAGGACGCACGGTGCCCTCCTGCCCAAACGCCTCTCTCGCGCCCTCTGCATGCCCTCGATACAGCTCCTCGTTGCCCTCACCACCCTCGACCTCGTCAAAAAAGACCCCATCGAGCTTGGCCGTGCCCAGTCCCCCCTCGACCTCGATCCCGTCCCACCCGGCGTACTCGTCGACGTCGCGCCTCACCTCGTCCGCGCCGCGTTCGCCGTACCCGGTGCGGACGTACCCGACGAGGGTCGAGCCGGGGAGGAGCGCGCGCAGCTTGGGGACGCACGCGAGCGCCGCGTTGGTCGGGTCCGACAGTGGGCCCGAGTCCGGGTTGAGGATGAGGACAAAGTCGAGCGTCGGGTTTTGCGAGCTGCGGCGGGACGGCAAGGGGTCAGGGTGGCTCGAGGGCTGAAAAGAGAGAGAGAGAGAGGACGAACGCGGCAGTCTGCAGCTCGGGCCAGCAGTCCTCGCTGTACTCGTACAGCGGCAAGAGGACCGAGGTCTTGGCCGCCACGAGGGGCATGAGCGCGACGGCAAGCGCGACGCAGCTCTGTGCGAGCATGACGCGAGGAAAGCAAGGCGAGGGTGAAGAAGAGAAGAGGCGGCGACGGCAAGAGACGGACGAGCCACGGGCGCCGGAAAGTCCGACACCGACAGCCGCACGGCGAGGACGAGGGGCGTGCGCTCGAGTTTCAGAGTTTCTGCGTCGACGCAAGAGAGTCAGTCTTCTACGTGCTACTCGAGAGACCGCGAGGGAGAGAGAGAGAGAGAGAGAGAGAGAGAGGGCGGACGCACCCAAGTTCTACGACGCCCGCTCAGGCGTCCCCCTCGCTCCCGCTCGCGCCTCCCCTCCGCCTGCGCCCGTGCCGATGCCGCCCCCACCGATGGCGCCTCCCGTGCCCTCCCTCGCCGCCGCCGTGGTGCGCCCGGAACCCGTGCTTGTCCGGCTCGGGGTCCTCGGTGAGCAGAATGTGGGTGCGCGCGCCGACGAGCGCGAGCGCGAGGCCGGCGGCCTGCGAGGCGGCGGCGAGCTGCGGCAGGCGAGGGCGAGTCGAGCGTGTCAGTGAGGGACTCGGAAGAGGCGAGAGACGACGAGGAGGAGGAGAGGGACGCACAGCGACGAGGGTCGGGAACAGGACGGGAAAGGTCGCCTTTTCCTCGGACGCGCCGAGGCAGAAGGTGACGTTGATGGCGAGCGAGCCCGTCCAGACGTACTGCGTGAGCGTTGGCGGTCGTCAGTCACGCGCGGCCTGTCCATCGAGCGAGGGGGAGAGAGGGGGACGCACGCAGAGCGGGAGGACGAGGTCCCAGTGCTTGGTGGTCCCGACGTGGAGCTCGATGAGGGCGACCGACACGGCGATGAAGAGGCCCTCGACGAGCGAGATGGCGACGGCGACGCCCCACACGGCTGCGCGCGGCGCGAGGCAAAGGTCAGGCGAGGTGCGGCAAGGAGGAGGGCAGGAGAGAGAGAGGGCAGGAGAGAGGGGGCGCACCTGCCGGGTTGCCAAAGTGCTCGTACACCCTGCGCAGGCACCATTGCGACGACACAGGTCAGCTCCCTTGCGCGAAAGCTCAAAGGGCCCAACCGGAAGGCGGGAAAGGCGGCGACGCACATGAGGCCGGCAAGCGCAAAGTCGAGGACGGCGACGGCGGCGGTCCCGACGAGAAAGGCCGTCTCGTGACGGAAGCGCAGGTTGTCGCGTGGGTCGAAGCGCGGCGAGGCGGTTTGGGCGGCGTCGGCGTCGTCGGGCGGAGGAGGAGAGGCGGCGTCGTCGTCGGCCGAGTCGCCTACGCCGTCGGTGCTGTCGCGGCGGTGGCGGCCCATTGCGGTCGTCGGCTTCGAGAGCGCCCGAGGTGCGAGGGAGGAGGAAAGGGCGGGTGTTGACGCCGAGGAGGACGAGGTGGACCGGCGCGTCCGCGGACGGACCCGCCGCCGAGCTGCCCGCAGTCCGAGCTGAGCGTGGCTCAGGGCTGGCGCTGCTCGACGACGACAAAGGCGACGAGGTGGTCGTTGTCGTGCGAGATGCTGAGGTGCATGGCGAGGTGGGCGAGGTGCGGGTCGACGAAGGACGAGTCGGTGGCCCAGGCGAGGGCGGGTTTGGGCGAGCGTGCTGGTTTCGAGACGGCGAGGTCCTTCCAGGTAGGTTTGCAGTGCGGGTACAGGGCCTTGTAGGCGGCCTCCTTGGCAGCCCAGCTGTGCGTGTCGGGGGTGAGAGTGAGGTCAGGTTGAGGGGCGGAAGTGGGGGAGAGGGAGGGAGGAGGAGGGGGACGGACCGCAGGGCGAGGTAGTGATGCTGTTGGTCGAGGGTGTGGGCCGTGTGGGTGTAGTGGTCGAGCTCTTGGGTGCTCAGGATGCGGGATGCGAGTTTGAGCGGGGTGCGGCGAGAGCAGAGGGAGCGCACGCGGGCGAGGTGCACCAGGTCGACGCCGACGCCGACGAGCATGCGGGCGTGGTGGGTGCTTGGTGCAGCTGTACTGGGAGCAGCAGTCGAGCACACTCGGGGGCACGGTGAGCGAGAGAGAGAGAGAGCGGGCCTCGTCGTCGTCGGTCAACTGAGTTCACTGCTGCTCGTACCTCTCGCTGTGAGCCAGCTGCCAGCCATGACCAAGTACGCCACCCTGCCCGACATTGTGCGTCCCTCCCACTCTCCGTCCCCCCTCGCTCTCGCGTCGCCCTTGCTCACCCCTCGTCCTCCTCCTCCACGCAGGACACCTCGGGCGCAGACGTGTTTGAAACGCCCGACGTCCCACAGGAGCACTCTCGCTCGGTCCGTCTACCTCTCTCGAGCCCCCTCTCGACCCACCCACCGCTCACACTCGAACCTGCAGCGCGACTCGGACTCGGACGACGACCTCGCCCTCCTCGCCCGCTCAAACTCGCCCACCGCACTCCGCCGCACCGCTCCAGCAACCTCGCACCAGCCTCAAGTCAACACCGACATCGACGCAGACCGCCTCGACGCCACAGAGGCCCGCCGTCGCTTTGGCGACGCCACGAGGGCGAGGCTCGACCGCCAGCAACTGCGCGGTCCGTCCCCTCTCTCTTCCTCGTCCTCTCCCCTCCGCCTTCTCACACTCGATCCCCTCACTCCCCGCAGACGACGCCGCCGCGCGCCGCCCGTCCCGCCGCGTCCTCCCGCCCGCGCGCGAGTACGTCGCCCACGCGCCGTCGTCCCTGACAGGCGACGAGACGCCCCTCGAGCGCCTGCGCCGCCTGCGCAGAGAGGTTGCCGAGCTCGAGGAGGACGTCGAGCGCGAGCGCGACGAGGCTGGCGCCGGCGCAGAGTCAGGCTCGGGTGCACGAGGAGCAGGAGCAGGAGCAGGAGCGAGCGAGGGCGCCGAGGGCTCGTCGGCCGCCGGCGATGGAGCAGTGGCAGGAGCGGGCGCCACCGAGGCCAAGGACGGTCCCTCACCGCCATCGCAGGCCAAGAAGGACTCGCGCGCCGTCTCGCCCGCCGTCCTCCTCCAGCAGCTCCACCTCCTCCGGGGCGACCTCGCCGGCGTCGCCGGCGCGCTCGAGGGCCCTCGCGCGACAGCGACGGCCGAGGGCGCGCAGGGTGCAGCGGGCGGGCTCGCGGCGCGTGCGAGCGAGTCGGCGGGCTTGCTCGCGCGGCTCGGTGCGCCGGCGCCGGCGGCGTCGGGCGCGGGTCCGGCGGGCGAGCAGCAAGGCGCTGCGCCGGCGGGGGCGGCGGGCGACAAGGCGAAGGCGAGTGGACGGGGCGACATGGGCGAGGGCGCGCTCGAGCGGCGGGTCGCAGAGCTCGAGTTGGCGCTCGGCGCGAGCGGCGCAGACGTGTCCGAGGTGCGCTCTCTCTCTCCCTCTGCCCCTCTCCCTCTCTTATACTCCCACCAACGTACCTCACTGACCTTTCTCTCCCTCCCTCACACAGTCCTCGCCGCACCCCGCCCCTCTCCTCCCTACCCTCTCCCGCCTCGAGCACCTCGTGACGCTCCTCACCCAGCCGCGCCACCTCGACAGCATCTCGCGCCGCGTAAAGGTCCTCGTCCAGGACCTCGAGCGCATCCACGACTCGCGCCGCAAGCTCGGCGACTCGAGGCCGCTCAACGTCGCGCTCCAGGGCGGCATGACGCTCGCGACCGGCGGCGGCACGGGCGCACCGTCGTCCTCGTCGACCGCGGCGGCATCGGGTGGATCGGCAGCCCCGGCAGCCAACGCCGGCGCGCCCCAGCTCCCGCCCGACGCCGCCCAGCAGCTCTCGTCGCTCGCGGCGCTCCTGCCGCGCATCGATCCGCTCCTCCCCCTCGCGCCGCGCCTCCTGTCGCGCCTGCGCTCCCTCTCGGCGCTGCACGCGCGCGCCGCCGCGTTCGGCGACGAGCTCGGTGCCACGCGCGACGAGGTGCGCCGCCTCGCCGAGGCAGACCAGGGACTGGGCGAGGTGCTCAGGGGCTTGGAGGGCAGCGTTGAGGGGAACGAGGAGCGCACGAGGGCCAACTTGGAGAGCGTCGAGAGGAGGGTCGAGGACGTCGTGAGGAGGCTCGACGCCCTGTCGGCGCCGGGCAAGGCGGCGGCGTGAGCGGACGAGGAGCCATCCTCTCTCTCTCTTGCTTCTCCGAGGTCGATGCAACGATGCGCCGGTCGCGTCGCTCTCTCCTGCCCGTTCGCGTTGACGTGCAGAGAGCGAATGACTCTCGAGAGACCTCAGAAAGAGAGAGCGAGTCGTGTACAATGCGAGGGACAGCGAGAACTGCAAGGGCGAGCACAGCTACGAGGACCGTCTATCCACACGTCTCCTGCCTCGTCTACGCCTGCGCCTGCGCCTGCACCTGCTCGACGCCGTCGCGAGCCGCCGCCTCCTCGGCCGGGAACGCCCTCGCCTTGAGCTGGCGGTAATCGGCGACCCACCTGTCGTGCTCGGCGTCGCCCGTCCGGAGCCCGTCGACGTCGCGCAGCTTCTGGATGCGGTGCCGCACGAGGAGCATGCGCGCCTGGAGCACCTGGCGCTCCTTGCGACGCATGGCCGGCGTGCGCTTGAGCGCGTCGCGCCGGCCGAGCGACGGGTCGGCGAGGCGCTGCCGGCGCACCGAGAGCGACGACTGGCGCGCGTGCAGCACCTTCCACGCGCTGATGATGCGCGAGTCGGCCTTGACGCTCGACAGCGTCAGGCGCAGCTGGTCGAGGTGGTACGCGACGAGCGCGAGCTCGCGCTTGAGCTCGGCGACGCTCTGCGCCTCGGCGCGCGCTCCTCCTGCTCCCGCCTGCGCCGAGCCGTCCTCGGCGGCACCGTCGACGCCGACGCCGACGCCAGGCACCTCGAGCGCCTCGAGGACGCCCTGGATGCGCGCCATGTGCGACTCCATGAGCTGGAGGATGCGCTTGGTGCGGCGCCGGAGCCACCACGCCGTCGACGAGTCGTACTGCGTCTTGGCGCGGTGCGCGACGTGCGCGATGAGCGTCGACGGGACGACGTACGGCTTGGCCGGCGCCGAGGGCGCCGGCGTCAGGTGCGCGCCGTACTGCGACACGAGCGACACCGAGTGCGGGATCGAGCTGGTCGAGGTGGGCGTGCTCGTAGCCGAGGCGGTCGAGGTGGAGGATGACGAGCCATTGAGGGGTAGGGACGACGTGTCGAGAGGGAGGGACGAGGCGGCGTCGAAGGAGGGTGCGGGCGCCGAGCCGTTCGCGGCGGCGGCGTCGACGGCGTCGACGGCGTTCGTGGCGGCAACATCGACCACGTCGCCGTCGAGGGAAGATGCAGGCGCGCAGTCGGCGGCGGGCGAGGCGTCGAGCGGCGAGACGGTGTTGTGAGGAGCCTCGCTCGAGGTCAAGACGGCGTCTGCGGACGGGCGATTCGTCAGAGGACCGGCCGAGAGTGCGAGAATGACGAGGAAAGAGACAGGGAGAGACAGGACGCACCGTCGACCCAGTCGTCCTGCGCCTCGACGATCCCGACCGCGTCCTCGATCTCGCGCAGCCGCAAGTCGGCGTCGCCGCTCCACCGCATGAACAGGAGGTCGAAGTAGTGACGAGCGACGTGGGCATTCTCGAGCCGGCTCGCCGTCTGGATGAGGATCGTGAACGCCCTCGTGCCGATGAGGTGGGCGTCGGCCTCGGACGTCGGCGGCGCGAGCGGCTGGCGGCCTTCGGTCGAGGTCGGCGTAAAGAAGTCGCTCGTCGGGCGCGCCGGCTGGTCGAACGTCTCGAAGACGGCGATCATGCCGGGGAGGTCGTCCTTGTCGGCGAGCGACTCGAGGATCCAGCACACCTCGCTCTCGCCGATGGTGCGCAACTGGGCGCGCTCGGCGGTCGACGCGTCGAACAGGGCGCCGGGGAGGGCGATGTCGAAGCCGTACAGCTTCTTGAACGCGCGCGCGAACAGGGCGTGGTCGCCCGCCTTGACGACGAGGCCGAAGAAGGGCTCGAGGGCCGCGTCGACGCCGCGCCGTGCGGCCGCCGAGGACGACGCCGCGAGCCCGTCGATGTCGAGGAACAGCATCTCGGCTGCCTTGAGCGCGAGCGGCTTGGCGACAGCGCGCTCGACTGCCCGACCGGCGGCGCGACCGTGGAGCTCTGTCCACCCGACGAGCGCCTCGAACGCCTTGGTGCAGTCGGCCGGCTGCGGGCGGTCGCCCGACGCGACGAGGGCGTCCCACGCGCGCACGACCCCGGGCGCATAGCGCAGGGCGTGGAACTGGCGCAGGATGGCCGAGTGCTCGCCGCGCGTGACGGGGACGCCGGCTTGGCGCAGGCGCAGGCGGACGAGGTCGACCTTGGTCTGGTAGGCGCGCGCGGCGGCCGTCACGTTCTGGACGGTGCGGTGCTTGGGCGCGCGAAGGTACAGGGCGGGGAGGATCTTGACGAGGGCGTCGTGGTGCAGGTCGAGGATGCGGCCGTCGTAGTCGAGCTGGGTGAACAGGTCCCAGGTGCGGTTCGGGTCCGGGTACTGGCGCTTGAGCTCTTGCACGAGGTCGGCCGCTGCGCCCGTGAGCTGCGCTGGTGGTGCGGGCGTGGGCGTGGACGGGTTTGGCGACGACGAGGATGAAGACGAGGGGAAGAGGAGCGAGGTCCACCGCCCGCCGCTCTTGGCGACCGGCGCTGTGCCGTGTTGTGCGCCAGTGCTCTTGTCGACGGCGGTGGTGCTGTCGGCCTCGAGCTGGACGGCGTGGGCGAGGCCTCGGCGGCACCCGGGGCAGCTGCTCGACGGCGGCCGTGCTGCTGCTGCTGCGACGAGCTGCGACGTGGACGCGACGGGCTGCTGCTCGGCCCACTGCAGGCCTTGGCGTGCGAGCCTGCGGACGGCCATGCTAGCTGTAGCGCTGAGCGACGGTGCGGTGAGGTTCCGAGGCGAGCGCACCAACTTTCCTCGCGACTGAAACCCCCGAACTGCTCTCGAGCGGGGCCGGGCGTTGCACGCGGCACAGTGCAATTGCTACAGCAGCACGAGCATAACAAGGATTGTCCGAGCCGGCCTCGAATTTGCGAAGCCCTCTCGTCGAGAGGGAACGAGCGCTCGCGTCCAGCTCGCCGACAGCTCTGGCGCAAGGTGCAGCAGCAAGCCGCCGCTCGTGAGCCGGGGCATCTCTCGGCGACGCTCTCGAGTCGAGCTGGGCGCCACCGCGTTGCAGAGCCGTGCGCAGGTCGAGTTCAACATGCGAAATGAGTTGCAGCCCTCCCATGCGCCCTTCCTCCCTCCCGGCGCTCCCCTTTTGATTGCTCCTCGTCTTCGAGAGAGCTGTGTCTATGCTGCGGCGGTGGCGACGAGCGGCAGGGATGCCGTGCTCGGTCGAGCTGGCCCGGGTCCGAGAGAGCGCTCAGACGACGAGCCTGTGGGAGGGGAAGGTCGTCAGTGCTGCTCGACGTTCACCTGAACAATCAGGACCAGCTCGTCGCCACGGGGCGGCAGCGAGCCGGCCCATACGGACAGAGAGGGTAGACGAGAGAGAGAGAGTGCTCGACGCACTTGGGCTCCTTGGTGAGCGTCGGGTGCAGGCTCGTGTGGGCCGGGATGTCCTCGACGCGGTGGTACTTGTTGAGGTTCTTGTGGAGCGTGATCTGGAAGCACGACGCGCCGCCCTGGCGCGACGTGATAACGGACGACGCGAGGAAGTAGAGCCACGTCTGCGAAGGGTCCAGGTCGAGGTGAGCGCTCGGTCCTCCTCTCGAAAGACGCTCAGGCGCTGGGGGGGAGGTAGAGAGAGGAAAGGAGGACGCACGCGGTACCACTTCTCGCCGTACGTCGCCTTGACCTTGTCCTCGTTCTTGATCCAGTTCTCGTACCAGCGGTGGAGCGTCGCCGAGTCTGTGTGCGCGCTCGCCGCAAGTCAGCTCGGCCCAGAGAGGAGCACGAGGGAGAGAGAGGGAGAAGAGGACGCACAGTGGACGCCGATGACGTCGACGTTGGTGACCTCGAAGCCGACGCCCTCGAGCCGGCCAATGACCCAGTTGAGCGCGCACGAGGCGTCGGCGCCCGGGAAGACGTACTTGTTCATGAAGAGGCCCCTGGAGACGTGCACATGGTTAGTGCGAGGCCGAGGGAGACGAGAGGGACGGCGAGGAGGGAGAGAGGGACGCACCAGATGAGGTCCTCGTACTGCCACGAGGGACGGATGCCGGCGACCTGGAAGACGAGGATGCCGTCGTCCTCGAGGAGGTTGTAGACGTCGGCGAGGAACGTGTTGTAGCGACGGATGCCGACGTGCTGCGCGCCGGGAAGCAAGGCGAGTGTCAGTCTCGCGCTCGACCTCGTCGAGAGGCACCTCGTCGACAGTGCGAGGTCTCGGGACGCACCTCGGCCATCTCGAGCGAGACGATCTTGTCGAACTTTTGGGATTTGTCGAGGTTGCGGAAGTCGGTGCGGAGGATGCGCGCCTTGGCGGCGTCGACGCCGTTGTCGGCGATGCGCTTGGTGCCAAACTCGGCCTGGTTCTTGCTGAGCGTGACGCCCGTCGCGTCGCAGTCAAAGTTCTTGGCGGCGTACGTGACGAGGGTGCCCCACCCGCAGCCAATGTCGAGCAGGCGGTCGGTCGGCTTGAGCTGGAGCTTGTGGCACACGACGGCGAGCTTGTTGTCCTGGAGCTCCTCGAGCGTCTCCTTGCGGTCGATGTCGCTGATGACGCCCGACGTGTAGATCATGCGAGGGCCGAGGAACCTGCGCAAGGGAGAGCGAGGGTCAGTCGGGCGGCGCTCGACAAGGTCCGGGAGACGCTGGCTCGCGCTCGAGACGGGAGACGCACCACTCGTGGAAGTCGTCGCCGCGGTCGTAGTGGTCGGTGACCTGCTCCTCGTCCTGGCCGGCCGAGTGGAAGATGACGTCCGGAATGAGCTTGGTGAGGACGTAGCGCATGAGCTCGACCGTCATCGGGAACGACATCCAGTCGTGGCGCCACTCGAGGAGCTCGAGCATGTCGCCTGCAGGGACACGTTCGAGTCTGTCAGACACGCGTGCGGGGCAGGAGGAGGAGGTCAGGACGGACCCTTGATGTCGATCTTGCCGGCAAAGTAGCTGTCGTAGAAGACCTGCATCGGGATCTTCTTCTGGCCCGAGTACTGCTCCTTGAGAGCCGGGTCGGTGATGGTGATGTAGTGCTCGAGGTCGTTGCCCGGGAAGATGCCCTCGTCGCGCACGCGCACGTTGGCGCGGCTCATGAGCATCCAGTAGCAGATGGTGGTCGGGACGCCCGTAACGACGAGGAGGAGGACGTAGGCGGTGCGGAACGAGACAAAGGGGACAAAGCGGCTCAGGACGTAGGGGACGAAGAGGACGACGGCGGCGAGCTGGAGGTTGGAGAAGGTGCCGTTGCCGTCGACGGGGAAGGGGGCGTTGGCGATGGCGGCGCGGCTCGTCACCTTGAGGCCGACCTTGGGGTCGTACTTGGCGGCCCTGCGAGCGTGTAAGGGTACGAGTGAGCGAGGTGCGCGGGCTGGGCGACACGCGCCGCCGCGAGATGAGGGGGGAGGGGGAGAGGCGCGGCGGCGGTGGAGGAGGGGCCGGGGGTGTGCCGGGGGACAGGAGAGGTGGCCGGACGCACATGGTGGAGGTGGTCTGCACTGCTGGGGTTAGGTGCGCGGCGACGAGGAGGGACGAGAGGAGCGTGTCGGCGCGTCGTCGACCTTGGCGGATCTCCGCGGACCTTTCTCAACTTCTCACTCGCTCTCCTCGCTCCACTCCACAGGGCACAGCTGCCTCAGAGCACCGTCGCACACGCTCAGCGCACCTCGACACACCGCCTCGACCTCGTCACAGCCCACCAGCCACCCTCCTCGCCTCCTCGTCCTCTCTTCACCGCCTCCCTCGAGCTCTCTCCGTCGGCGCACCTCCACCATGGCCTCGCCTGTCGCATCCACCTCGACTGCACCCGCAACCGCACCAGCGCCATCGGCGGCCGACCAGGCAAAGGCCAACGTCTTTGTCCAGTCCGAGAACTACGACGGCACCCGCATCCAGGGCCCCGACTTCAACCACGAGCACTCGCTCCAGCAGCTCCTCGACAGCTACCAGCGCATCGGCTTCCAGGCAAACGGCCTCGCCCGCGCCATCGAGCTCATCGACAAGATGGTGCGCCCCGACCTCGTCCTCCTCCCCCTACTCGAGGTGCACTCGCTCACCTCGCCTTGTCGCCTCCCTCGCAGCGCAACTGGCGCCTCTCGGACGAGCCCATCAACCCGGACCTCCAGACCGAGGAGCTCGACCCGCAAGTGCGCGCCGCGACAAAGTGCTCCATCTTCCTCGGCTACACGTCCAACCTCGTCTCGTCCGGCCTGCGCGACATCATCCGGTTCCTCGTCCAGCACCGCTACGTGTCGTGCCTCGTCACGACCGCCGGCGGTATCGAGGAGGACCTCATCAAGTGCCTCGGCCCGACGTTCCTCGCCCCGCGAGGCGACTTTAACCACGACGGCGCCAACCTGCGCCGCCGCGGCCTGAACCGCATCGGCAACCTCCTCGTCCCCAACGACAACTACTGCAAGTTCGAGGACTGGGTCATGCCCATCCTCGACCAGATGGTCGTCGAGCAGGAGAAGGACGGCGACGCCAAGGTGCGGTGGACCCCGAGCAAGGTCATCGACCGCCTCGGCAAGGAGATCAACGACGAGAGCTCGATCCTGTACTGGTGCCACAAGGTGCGCCCTCTTTCCTCGTCCAGCCAGACTGCGCCAGCTCGTCAAGTTCGTGTCACTAACGTTCCTCGTCCCCGCTCGCAGAACCAGATCCCCGTCTTCTGCCCGGCCTTGACAGACGGCTCGCTCGGCGACATGATGTACTTCCACACCTGTGCGTCCTCGTCGTCCTCTCTCTTCTCTCTCGGTCGCAGCCTTACCGACGACGCTTTGACCGCTCGCCCGCAGACAAGTCCGAGCCGCCGCTCTCGGTCGACATTGTCGGCGACATCCGCCGGCTCAACGACCTGTCGATCAAGAGCAAGAAGGCGGGCATGATCATCCTCGGCGGCGGCGTCTGCAAGCACCAGATCGCCAACTCGATGCTCTTCGTGCGTCCCTCTCTCTCTCCCTCTCACTCTGCCGGCTACTGACGAGCCCTGTCTCAATACTCGTGCAGCGCAACGGCGCCGATTTCAGCGTCTACATCAACACGGGCCAAGAGTTTGACGGGTCCGACTCGGGCGCGCGCCCGGACGAGGCCGTCTCGTGGGGCAAGATCCGCATCGACGGCGAGAGCGTAAAGGTGTACGCCGACGCGACCCTCGTCTTCCCGCTCGTCGTCGCTGGGACGTGGGGCAAGGCGCACTGGGAGGCGCAGGCGGCGGCAGGGCGAGGAGCAGGGGCAGGAGCGGGCGCGGGCGAGAAGCAGCAGGAGGAGGCCCGGGCGTAGAACCGCTCGCGAGGGACGAGGGCGTACAACAGACGTATGCATTGACTAGACTCTGCACCCGCAACTACTCTATCCTCGTCTCCTCGTGCGTCTCGACCGCTCAGCCCCGCTCGGACCGCCTCCTCGCTCCCGCCCTGCCTCTCCTCGCTTCTCGACGCCGGCTCTAGTCGCCCCGCTCGCTCGCCGCCGAGTAGACCGACCCAGGCCGGTTGTACACGGTGAACTCGCGGATCTGCTCGAGTTGGGGCCGCGTGCCGTGGAAGAGCTCGTCGCCCTCGACGGGGAGGAAGCCCTCGAGCTTGGTCGTCGACTTGGTGAGGCTGAGCGCCGACGCCTTGCCGCTGTGCCGCTTGAGAATGCCGATGACGCGGTCGAGCGAGATGTAGTCTGCGATGGCGCGGGAGGGAGAGTCAGGGTCGTCGTCGAGAGAAAGAGCAGAGGAGCAGAGAAGGAGAGGAGGTGCAGGACGCACCGGTCAAGGCCCGCCTCGGCTGCACCTGCAGAGCATGCTTGGCGTCGAGGCTCGCGTCGAGCACGGCCGAGTGCGCGCCCTCGGACAGCGTGACGCGCACCGACAACTCCTTCTGCTCGCCCTTCATGCGCTCGTACACCTCGAACCTGCGGACGACGAGCGGTCAGGGTTCGGTCGCGACTGTCGGGAGGTAGAGAGAGTGAGACGCACGAGATGTAGGACATGTAGTCGAGCTCGGGGACGTGCGGCATGACGATGGGCAGGTCCGAGAGCGTGACGAGGTTGACGAGCGTGTGGCTGCGAGGGAACGTGCTCATCAGTGAGATGACTTTACGAGAGAGAGAAGAAAGAGAGAGAGAGGAGGGACGCACATGTGCGACTCCTTGGTGAAGTAGAAGTTGGCGCTCGGGTTCTCGACCTGCTTCGTCTCCTCGAGGTTGCGCACAATCTGCTCGAGCAGGGGCAGGCTCGTCAAGAGCCCGATGATCTCCTTCTCCGATCGCTCGATGCCGTACTCCTGCGGCGCGACTGTCAAGGGCGCGAGGAACACGTCAATACGGGATCGGCTCGAGAAGGGGCAGGGCGGAAGGGGACGCACTGAGGTCGAACAGGAGCTTGGCGCGCTTGTACAGCTCGCGCAGCTGCTTCGGCGGGCCCGCCTGGCGAGCCGAGCCCTCGGACCCTGCGCGGCCGTCGGTCGAGGACGGGCGGCTGCCGTTCAGGGTGAAGATGGTCTCGAGGAACGTGCGGCTGCGAGGGCGAGAGGCTGTCAGTTCTGCCTTGTGAGGGGCTTGAGAGAGGGCAAAAGAGAGACTGAGAGACGCACTTGTGCAGCGAGTCGTACTTGAGCGAGTCGTACAGCTCCGAGACGCGCGACGGGTCGAACTTCTCGAGGCTGACGTCGCACCAGTCGGCAAAGAGGCCCTCCCACCGCTCTGCAGGGCGTCCCTCCGAGTCAGTGTCGTCCTCGCAGGGTGCAGGAGTCGAGGAACGAGGGTGGACGCACCGCGGAACAGGTACGGGTACTCGCCGCAGCACCACCTCGGCTGAATCTTCTCGACGGCGAGCGTGCCCCAGTTGTCGTTCATGATCTTGCGCAGGCTGCCCATGAGCTCGATCGTCTCCTTGACGACCTGCGGGACGTGGGACGAGTCAGTTGAGCTCGACAAGGGTGGAGGGGGAAGAGGTAGAAGAGGGGGGGCACCTCGAACGGGTCCTTGTCGGCGTGCCACGCGAACTCGGGGCGGACGTGCAGGCCCGGGCGGCACAGCGTCTTGAGCTTCTTCTTGACCTTCTCCATCTCGTCCTTGGCCGCGTTCGAGTCGTCGAGGAGGTCCTTGCGGATGATGAGCTGATGCGTCGTCTGCTGGTCGCCCGACGGTCGCTCGCGCTCGTCGAGGAAGGCACTGCGACACGAGTCGAGGGTCAGGGACGGACTCGACGAGACTGCTGATGGGAGAGGACGCACGTCGTGAAGATCTCGGCGGTCGCGACAACTCGGCGCCTGTGCGAGGCAAGGTGGGTGAGCTCGTTCGTCAGGCGTTTGCGCCGACCGAGTTAAAGGAGGGACGCACTCAGACGATGTGTACACGTTGGTGTGGTCGAGCAAGGTCTTGTTCATGATCGTGTAGTCTGCGAGAGGGCAAGAGGGAGGTCAGGCCGACGATCCGCAGTGAACGAGGGAACGAGCGCGACGCACCTTTGCGCATGTTCTCGGCGATGTCGCGAGCCTGGTACCGTGCCGCGTGGGTGAACTGGTCGCGAGAAAGAGGGAGGGTGAGGGCGGGTCAGGGTGGCTCGTTCCGGCGGGCGACAGAGAGAAGAGGCGCGAGCGCACCTCGCCGCCCCACTTGACGACGACCGACAGCTGCTCGCACGTCTCGCCGTCAAAGACGGGCTTGAGCTGCGCCTTGGTGCCCGTCGTGCCCTTCTTCTTGTCGATGATCTTGCGCAGCTGCTCGCAGATGTCGAGGTCGGCGCCGGGGAGGATGGCCGCCTGCTCGGCCGCGTCGGCGATGTACTGCAGCTGCTCCGGGTCGCGCAGGATAATCTCGGTCGTGCGACCCTGGAGGAGGGTGAGGAAGGGCGCGGTCCAGGCGTCCTTGCCCTTGAACTTGAACTTGAGCTTGCCTGGACGAGAGCGCGAGGACGAGTCAGTACAGGTGCGACTGCCGCGAGAGAGACCGGGAAAGGCAGACGCACACTTGGGCGTGCGATCGCCGTGCCGGGCGACGCAGATCGTGCTCTTGAGCGTCCACGACTTCTCGCGAGGCTTGTCGGGCTGGACGGCGACGGGCTTGGGGAGCGACGGCATCTTGCGCAGGCAGAAGTTGGTCAAGATCTCGGCGCACTTGTCGCTGTACGCGGTACGAGAGTCAGTCATCAGAGGCGAAGGAGCCGCAGAGAGAGAAAGGGAGCGAGAGGACGCACTAGTAGAAGTCGTTGCCCTTGACGAACGACCAGCCGTTGACGTCGATCACGTAGCTCTTGCCGCCGGCGCGCAACATGTCGAAGCCGCAGATGTTCTGCTTGAACGCGATCGAGATGTCGCGGGCCATCTTCTTCTCGGCGTCGCTCAACTGGCAGATGAACCGGATCTCCTTGCCCTCGGTGTTGCGCCGGACGATGCCGTCGACGACAGGCGACTTGCGCGTCTCGGCGTGCACAAAGTTGGGGCCGAGCGTGTACACCTTGATGTCCTCGGCGTTCTCGACGTCGACAAACTGCTCGTAGATGTAGCTCGCGTCGGTGCGCGGCATCGTCATGTTGGGCTCGTGCGCCGACGACTGGTTGCCGACCTGTACGAGGAGGTGAATGTCAGGATCGAGCTCGCGAGAAAGAGGCGCGCTGAGAGTGCGAGAGAGAGAGAGAGAGGGCGCACCTTGCGGAAGAGCCTGCGAGCGCCGCCTCCCTTGGCCTTGGGGAAGTAGATGTTGACGTTGTGGTTCTCGCCGCTGACGGGCTTCTCGACGAAGGGCTTGACCATCTTCTTGCCGTCGATGACGATCGTGTCGTCCTCCTCGAGCGCAAAGTCGCTCGTCGGGCGCGGCTTGTCGACGCGCACGCCGAGGCTCTGCTGGATCTGGTCGGCGATGGCCTTGTCGAGCTGCGGGCCGCCGTCGCGGTTGCACTCGAGGCGTGCCGGGGTCGGGACGCCGATCTTGTCGAGGATCTGGAGGACGACGCGGCGGTCCCAGAAGATCTTCTGTAGCGGCAGGTCGTTGACGCACACGGGCTTGCGCAGGTCGACGTAGGCGACTGCGAGAACGGTCCGAGGCGCATCAGGACAGGTTCTCAGAAGTGTTGGCGTAGAGGCAGGAGGGCGTACTGGCTTTGTCGATCGGGAACCCGTCCGAGTAGAACGAGATGAGGAAGTCGCACACGGGCCAGTTCTCGATGTCTGCACGTCGTGGTCGGCTTGTCAGAGACGCGCTCGACGGTCCAGGCCCAGAGAGACGTTCGACGCACCCTCGTCGAGGATGACTTTGTCGCCAAAGACGGTGATCTCGAACTTGCCCGTCGCGAGGAGGCGCGACAGGATGTTGCGCATCGGCCGGGAGCGCGCCTTGCGGTCCATGGCGGCGACACCTGCGCGCAGTGAGCAGCTTGTCAGTGTACCGGCCTCGGATCCGTCTGCAAGGCGTGGCCGCGGCGGGAGAGGTCGTCTCGAGGAGGTCCGCTGGTGAGGGAGGAGGGGAGGCAAAGACAGAGGGTGGCAGGGTAGGACGGCGGGCGATTGAGACGTACCGAGGCGCATCAAGGGCTCTGCCGGGGTCGACGGCTGGGTCGAACCGGGCGTCGACGACATGGTGTTGGAGGACGAGCGCCGATCGCGATGAGGCGGAGAGGGGAGGTGAGGAGGGAGCGGCGGCTGGTTCTGTTGCTCGCCGGTGGCTGCGAGGAGCTGGTCTAGCCTGCACTGCCTGGCGGTAGAGGCTCGCGCGGCGAGAGGAACGGTGGAGGAGCTCGTCCGAGTTCCTCTCACTCTCCCCACGTGGGCCCGCTCCTCTCACACTCGCTGTGAGCCTGCGCCAGCCACCGAGCCTGCTCCCCTGAGCCCAGCCAGAGCGCAGCGGCACCAGCACGCATCGCCCCGGGCCGTCGAGGCGTCATGCTCGCCATCCTCTCGCTCGCCGTCGTCGGCAAGCACGGCAACCCTCTCTTCGTCGGCTCGTACAGCAACAGGAGCGGCGGCCAGTCCGACCTCAAGTGGCACTATGCGGCTCACACCGCCCTCGACTACTTTGACGAGCGAGGTCCGTCCCCCCTCTCCTCGCCTCCTCTTCTTCGACTCTCTCGATGCGGCTCGCTGACTCTTGCCTCGTCTGAAGAACTGCCGCAGGCCAAGACGACCGAGAGCTACCTGGGCTTGCTGTACGCGATGGAGGACTATGCCGTGTGAGTCGGGCGCCCACCCCCCTCTTGTTCCCCCGCCTCCAGCACCAGGCCACCCCGCTGACCCTCGCCGTGTCCTCTGCAGCTACGGCTACCAGACCAACACGCGCGTCAAGTTTATCCTCGCCCTGTCCCTGGCAGACGCCGTCATCCGCGACGTCGACGTCAAGACCGTGCGTCCTCCGCTCGCCGTCCTTCCTCCCGCCTCTTCGTCGTCCTGACGTTCTCTCTCTCGACGCCGCAGATCTTTCGCGCCATGCACAATGCCTACATCTCCTACCTGTCGAACCCGTTCACCTCGCCCGCGAACGACAACCCCGCCGTCCCGGCGCCGCCCATACGCAGTCTCAAGTTTGAGAAGGCCATGTCCGCCATCGCTGGACGTACGTCGCCCGAGGCCGGTGAGCCCTGAGGCCGTCGAGGCGCACGAGTCGAGGACCCGCAGTACGCCGTACCGTGTTGTAACACCAAGTTCGCCCGCCGTCGTCGCGCCTGTCGAGCCCTGGTCCGGCATCGGCCGTTCTCGCTTCTGCCTCTCTCGCCGCCTCTTTCCCGCCCCTCGTGCCCCTTCATCCCTTGTCATCATCGCGTCTTACTCGTCGTCCCGCCCTGCCGCTCGAGTCCCGCAAGGAGGGAGCGCAGGAGGCCTCGGCAACCGCGCTTCCTCGTTGGCCCCACGGGCTCGAGCAGCTGCGGCTTAGCTGCGGACGCGACATCGAGCTCCCGCGCCGCACAGTGACAAGCCCTCGCGAGGACGCAGAGGCGCTTGACAGATACGCGGCGCACATTCTCTTGACTCGGCTCGCTCGCGACGTCGTCGCGCTCGACGATGCGCTCGAGCCTCCTTCTTGGCTTCTTCCGGCCTCGCGACCCGCCCTCGCTTCTTTCGGCGTCTCCTGTCCCCGTCGGCGGCCTCGTCGCGGAGCAGGCCCCGCGCGAGCGCCTCTCCGCGACGCTCGCTTCCTCTTTCTCCCCCTCTCTTTGCCTCCTCCTCCTCCTCCTCCAACGTCCTGTCTCCCATCCCATCCTTCCCCTGACCCTCACGCTCCCTCGTACCCGCCCTCGCCCCGTCGCAGTACCTCGTCGAGTCGATCGAGCGCTGGAAGAAGCCGCACGAGTTCTCTCAGGCCATCCGCGACGCCGGCTTCGTCACGCCCGACGGCGACGGCCACGAGCCGCTCATGTTCAACATTGCCGCGATCTACACGGGCGCCAAGGTTCAGAGCGAGGGAGGTCGGGGCGGGCGGCGATGGCGGCGAGGGTGGGTCGGCTCGAGGGTTGGGAGAAGGGGAGAGGAGGGGGTTCTGTTGTACTGGCGTCGTCTGCTCGCAACTCGTTCGACTCGCACAGGTCTTTCTTCCGCCCCCAGAGAACGACGAGGGCCAGCTCGAGGGCCGTACTCTGAGCCTGGAGCGCGAGCGAGTCCAAGCCTCACGGGCGCACGCACAACGAGCCTCCTCTCTCTCAGTCACAGTGTCTGCATAGTGGCTCGCCTCGTCGACTGAGAGCCACCGTGCGCCTGGCCCGGCTCTCAAGCGCCTGTGAGCGAGCCGAGGACGACAGCTGGCAGTTTCGGCCACGGGGCGCGGGACCGACCAATCAGAGGCGACCGACGGCAAGCCGACTACGTCGAGTCGGATCTGGCTGCGCCTGCAGGCGCTCGTCACTACGCTCTGCCTGCCTGTTGAGCCTCTCGAGAGACTCGTGAGGGCTCTCGGTGGGCTGGGATCGAGCGGCGCAGCGGCGCACGAGCGCGAAGCGAGTCGAGCGGTCGGCCCTCCTGCTCGACGTCGTTTCGCGCTGAGCGACGTCGCGCCTGCGTTGCGATCACGGCTCTTAGCTTGGTCGTCTTCGGCCAGCTTGAAGGAGACGTACGGACGCTGTTTCGGCAGTGGGTCAGGTCAATTCCCGCCCGGCGACGCCGCGGACTCTGCCCGGCCCCTCTTCTCGCGATTTTGCGGTCCTTGGCTCTCGAGCTCCACCTCTGCTCGCTCGACGCAAGCGACACTCGGACAGCGTCTTCGTCCTTTCCTCGTCGAGATGTCGTCGATCGTTCCTGCTCGCATCAGTTCCGCGAGAGGGCTGTTGGTCGCCAAGGAGGCGATCCGCACCGGTCTACCACCTTTCGTGCTCGAGCAACACCTTCAAGAGCACCTCATCGGAACCAATGTCGTGCGTCTCTCATTCTTAACCCCTCGAACGAGAGTGCCGACGTGCCCTCCCTTACAACCAGGCCGTCTACTTCCACCTTCCCGCCGTCATCGAGTCGTTCTGCAACTTCTTCCGGGCAGCAGGCTACGTTGGCCCGGACAGCTGGTACGACGAGCACGGTACCGAGCGAGCGCCGTACCATCTGGACAAGGGCGAGTGCACGGTCGTCAAAGGCGCAGGAACTGGTTCGTCCGCTCGAAAATCTCTCTCTCTCGCTCGCTCGACGCCTCGAGCCAGCCGTATAGACCTGACCCTTCTTTCCGCAGCCGATCACCCGTTCGTCGTCGTCACCAGATCGTACGACGAGCGCGTTCGCGCCGTCGACATCGACTACGCCTTCTCGCGGTTCCAGATCGCCCACCCGCAGCGCAAGTTCCCCAACACGCACGACATGTACATGCTCGCCGGCCCTGCCCTCATCCTGCATGACAAGGCTCGCGACAACCGGAACCCGACGCCGACCATGACTGCGTTCAACGCGACGAACCGCGGGACTGAACCGCTCACGATCGATAGCCGTGCGCACCCTTTCCTCCCCTCTCTCATCCTCAAACTCTTCGGAACTCTCCCCTGACACTCGTGAGCTCGCCCTGCAGGTCACCTTGGCACGCCCGGGCTCTGCAGCGAGCCCGACGTGTCGATCTTGCCCGCCGGCTTCAACGCGCACACGATGCGCGTCGTCTGGACCTTCCTCCGCCCCGACCCGTCCGCCCTCCCGCTCCAAAGCATCGTCGCCGACGAGCACGGGACGCACCACCTGTGGGACCAGCCCGGTGTTGCCTCGCCGTCGGGGTTCCTCCCGACGGGCTGGGGGCCGGCGGTCGAGGTGACGTGGGCCCTGAGCATCGAGATGTTCGACCACATCGTCGACGCCGTCGCTCGTCAGGAGGCCCACTTCCACATCGTCTTCAGCTCGAAGCACGCCGAGACGGTCGCCGAGGTGCGCCGGCTCCTCGGGCAGTCGGCGCCGAGCTCGCTCGGCAAGGCGCCTTTCGTCGCGACACAGCGAGGAGCCGAGCGTGTGCAGACTCTGCGGCGAGGGTCGACGGCGTAGAGGGAGAGCTCGGAGCCGCGGTGGGCGTTCGATACTGCGCATCTTCCTCCTCGCCCGACCTCGTCCTCTGTAGCGCCCTTTCCCTCTCTCTCCCGCCGCATAGGCCTGAATCTCATCCCTCGTCTCCCTCGCGTGAACTTGCGAGCTTCTCGCCACCTGGACTGCTTTGCGAGAAGAAAGCTTTGCGCGAGTCGACCTTCTCAAGTTGAGTCGAGGCGTTGGCTCGCCCTTTCTGGCCGCTCTCGCTTGCCCGTCGTGCCCGCTCTCGCTCTCACAGCCTGAGAGGGACGATTGAGGACGGCAACTTGTGCAAGAATAGTCTACGCAAGGTGAAATGCGAGCCTCTGTCCACCGACCGGTCGCTGCGGCCCGCCGCGACGACCCCTCGCGTCCTCCCTCGCCCTCTCGCCGCACCCTCACGCGCTGTACCGAGCGACGTCCTTGCAGAACGCGAGCCAGTTGGCGCCAAAGCGCTTGTAGACGTCCTCCTTGTCGAGCGAGACGTCGGTGATGAAGACGGCGGCGGCGCGCGGCACGATCTGGCGGACGGTGGCCGCGAGGGCGGTCGAGGCGTTGCCCGTGTACGTGTGGAGCATGATGGCCGACTTGGGCACGAGGGCGGACGAGGGGAGCGAGGCGGTGCTGCGCGAGAAGAAAGAGAGGGAGAGGGAGAGGTCCGGGCGTCAGTACGTCGCGACGGCGAGAGAAGGAGCGGACCGAGTGCGACGCACCCCTTCCACTCGTTGGCGTACGTCTCGAACGAGACGACGATGTCGGCGTACTTGTAGAAGTTGGCGCTGACGACCGTGCCCGGGTTGAACACGACCTGCGTGTGGCCGGCTCGTCAGGAAAGGGGGCACGACGACAGGAACGACGAGGAGAAACCTGACGACGCACCGTGCTCTTGCCCTTGGAGCCGAAAGCTGCCCTCACGGCGTTGGCGTAGCCCGAGTAGAGCGCGAGGTTGGTCTTGGTCGGGTCCCACGCCGCCTCGTCAAAGAAGATGCCGTCGAGCTTGGCGGTCGAGCCGGCCTTGTCGACCTTGATCGAGCTCCACTTCTTGTACGTCGCGACGTCGGCTTTGACGGCGGCGGCGGCGCGGTCGCCGTAGCCGGTCGGGACGTAGCCGATGAAGGTCGAGGTCGGGAGCAGCTTGCGCAGGCGAGGGACGCAGTACATGGACGGGTCGGTCGGGTCGGTGACGGGCCCCGAGTTAGGGTTGAAGATGAGGATGAACTCGAGGGACGGGTTCTCGGCGCTGTGACGGCGGAAAGGGAGGGGAGGGAAGGCGCGAGGGCAAAAGTCAGAATCGGGCTCGTCTTCGAAGAGGGGAAAGGGAGGGGGACGCACGCTGCCTGCTGAAGCTCTGGCCAGCAGTCCTCGCTCCACTCGTAGAGAGGGAGGATGACCTTGGTGGCCGACGCGACGGCGGCCGCAGCGGCGACGACGAGGAGGCTCAGGCGCATGATCGGGTCGAGGTGAGGGAACGAGGGACCAGGGACGAGGGAAGGGAGAGGGAAGGATGGACGAGGGAAGAGAGAGGTGAGAGGTGCGTGGCTGCGGAACAGGAGGGTGTCAGGCTTGGCGTGGTCCGTTCAAGAGAGAGGGAAGCGAACGAACTGGTCCGTTTGGGCCGTCAATTGCCGGTCGTCGGGCGTTGAAGTTGTGCGCGCCCGATCGTCTGGGCCGGCTGCAGTGGCTGCGCAACGAGAGGCGCTGTCAGCACGCGCGTTCTCCTGCGAGCGGACGACAGACGGTCGACCGCGAGGAGCGAGGACGACGGGGGCGCACCTCGAGGGAGCGACGAGGCGGGACTTGAGGTGGATGGTGCACGGTTGGGCGTGTAGATGTGGGCACACTGCAGCGTGGGGCAGGTGACGAGCAGCTTCGAGCGACGAGGTGAGAGCGGTGAATGGACGCCGGATGCGGTCCAGTTGTGCGATCGGCCTCGTCCGGCGTCCCCCCCTCTTCCTCGTCGACCACGGCCTCCTGCTGGCTCTGCTGCAGCACACACCGGCCCCCAGCCTTGTCAGGCAACCGCCCACCCGACTCGCCACTGCCCGCGCCCCGCGCTCGACCACCACACCCGACCTCGTCCTCATCACCTCGCGATCGCCTCCACGCTCCACCACGGTGCGCCGACCATCTCTCCAGTCTTTCTCTGTGCCCCAGCTGACCTCGCAAACGCCTTGCACTCCTCTCCTCCCTCGACAGAACCTCTGCCGCCTCCCTGGCTCCGCCTCCTCCTCCTCCTCCCTCGCCCGCTCGACACCTCCCTCGCCCGCGCCCCCGCCCACTTGCGCCATCGATGCCTCTGCGGCTGCTCGGCCTCAGCTTTCACGCCGTCGTCCGCCAACCTCGGAATCGCGCTCCCTCTGCTCGCGCCCACCGCTCGCGCCGACTCGCGTGCGAGCGAGGCAGCACGCACAAGCTCACGCACGCACCTACTCGAAGCGGGCCCCTGTCCGTCCGCTTGCTCGGCCGGCGGGGCGGCGGGTTCCTCTCACTGCGCTCGTCCGCCCGCGGACTTTCCGGCCTCGGCGATGGCTCGCGGGCCCTTTGCAGCTCGCCCTCGCTGCGAGCTTCTTTTCCTCGCTGCATCTTGCTGCACAGCTCTCGCGTCAAGATGAGTCGCGTACTCGCCGACTTGAACGAGGGGCCGCAGCGCCGTCCGCTCGGCCACCCTGGTCCTCGCGGTGCGTCGCATCCTCCTTGCGATTTCTCAACTCAGCGACTGACACCCTCCTCGCGTCGCAGAACCTCGCATTTTTCTCCTGCCCGACAATCTCAAGTTCCTCAACAAGCGCGAGCCACTCGAGCCCGCGCTCAACCCGCCGAAGAGACGGCTCCCTTCCATGATCCCTGGTGCGTCGGCCCGCCCTCTCGTCGCGAGCCTCTCTTCTGCAGGAGACTGAAGCACCTGGCCCACAGCTATCGACGAGCCCGAGCCGAACCGCGACCGCTTGAGCTGTACGTCCTCTCGCCCTCGTCGAGAAACCTGCTCGAGCACGATCCTGACACGCTTTGCCCGTCCAGCCGCACGCGCGCAACACCTCATTGCGCAGCGGGGCATGAGCGCAATTGGCCTGTCGAGCCTGCACGGCGACGCCAACGAGGACCTGTCTCGAGCGGTGCGTCCCTCTCTCCTCCTCTTTCCCTCCTCCCTCTCGTCCTTGGCCCGTCTCTCTTTAGCAACGCTGACTCCTTGTCCTCTCGACAGTTTGCAGCTATGCATGGGCACGTCATCATCGCTCGCTTCCGCGAGTGGTTCGTCCATCAGGTCCTGCCGCCTCCCCTCCGCCAGAACGCCTGGCACCTGCCAGCGCACCAGCCCGGTCGGCCGATGATCTTCCGGCCCGATACCGGTGATGGAACGTCGGCCAACCCGCTCAAGATCGTGTGCCCCGCGGTCCGCGTGCCCGTCCTGTCGTCGCCGCTCGGCTGGGTCGCGACAGCCGACGGAGCACGCGGGATCGCGACGCTCGCCGGGCCGACGCTCGTGCCCATCAAAGGCGTTCGCGGACCCGAGTACACGCACGCGGCGCTACTGTGGAGCAACGGCCAGCTGGGCAGCCAGGGCGAGCCGGCGCCGTTCGTGCTCGATTCGAGGTCCCGTGCGTCAGACGCTCGTTCCCCTTCTCCCTTCCTCCCTTTCCGCAAGCCCCACCCTGACCCGCCTCTCCCGCACCCCGCAGCAAACCTCCCTGAAGGTGCCGGCGCCTACCTCGCCGCCGGCGCACCCGCCGTGTTGTGGCGCGCGCTCGTGTCGCCAAGGACCGTCATCGCCTCCTGCCGCAGCGCTCCCCCTCGCTCGACCACCTACTGCCTCCAAATCTTCCACGGCGCCAGACCGCCGACACACGTCCACGTCGAGTTCGACTCGGCTTTCGACGCGGCCCTTCACGGAACGGGCCTCGAGGTGCGCAGCGAGGCCGCGAGGTGCGCGCCCGTGCCGCGAGGGTCCGACAAGGCGACGGTTTTCAGGCGTCGCGGTGGGCAGTAGAGCGGGCGTGCAACGATGTACTGTGCAGCTGTCCAGCGGCGAGTCGGCGAGAGCAAGGCGCGCTCGACGAGAGAGAGGCTCGGACCTCGTCCTCCTTTCCGAGACGGCCGCTCGGCTCTTTCTGCTCAGCGCTTTCTGCGCAGCTCATGAGCGAGATGCCGACACCCCGTGCACGAGAGAGAGAGAGCGTGGCTTTGCTTGTGACGCCGCAACTCGAGACGGGCCTCTCGAACGCTCAGGCCTGTTCGACCGTCTTGCGAGCTGCCCTCTCGTGCTCGCTTTCCGTACCCTTGCGCACCTCTCGCGATGGCGAGGAAGAGAGAAGGAAGAAGAGAGCATACAACAACAACGAGCTACACCTCGTCACGGCCCTCGTCCCGCACGGGCCCGCTCGACTCAGCGCAAGACGACGCCCTGGCCCCGGACGGCCAAGTAGGCCTGGATGACGGCCGGCTGGAACGTGCGCAGGACGTCGTACACCTCGGGGTTGTGGTACCGGAGCGTCGACTTGGGGTCGGTGTACTTGGCCTGCGAGAGCGAGGACGGGCGCGTCGAGGGAGGAGGGAAGGAGAGAGGGAAGACGAGCAGCGTCAGTCACGGACGACAGACGGCGTGTCGCGAGAGGCTCGAGGCTGTCGACGAGGTGACCCTTGACGAGTCCCGACCGAGGGTCGGCGCGAGGCGAGGGAGGAGGGAGGAAGCGACGCACCTCGAGGCCGGTCACGTCGCAGTAGCGCTTCTGCGGCAGCAAGCTCGGCGGCGCCTCAATAGACGCGTCTGCTCGACGTGAGGGAAGTCAGTCGACGTGGCTCGAGGAAGCCTGAGAGGGACGAGGAAAGAGAGGGACGCACAGCTGATGACCTCCTGGAACGCGTCCTGCAGCCTCCTCTCGGTCTCTGCCGCTCTCGCAATGTCCGCCTCTGTCGGCTCCCTCGCCGCAGCCGTCCCCTCGCCCTGCATGTCGGCGTCCTGCGCGGGCGTGGGTGCGGGCCCGAGGTCCTCGTCGATGCTGGCGAGGACGCGCAGCTTGCGGTCCTCAAGGAGGCGGTCGACGCGCTCGCGCTCGAGGGCGAGGATCTGCTTGAGCGACTTGTTGCGCTTGCCCTGGCCGGCGCCCTGGCCCGGGCGCGAGTAGTTGGGGTTGCGGAAGGGTCGGGGCGCGTCGGCGAAGTTGAACTCGTCGGCGGTGTACTGCGGGGACAGCGAGGGGGTCAGCGCGTGCACACAGTGCAGCTCGAGCTGCACGGGTGGACCATGCATGCTCGGGCGAGGCGAGAGGGCGGGACTGACGGGCTGAGAGGGCGAGGGTTCGACGCTGTAGCGAGGAGTCGGGGCCCTGTTGCGGCGTGCGGGCAGGTGTGAGCTTGGCTCTGTGAGTAGACTGAGAGGGAGCAGGGATTCACATGGCTGGCAGTATGGGAGAAGGAGGAGCAGTCGTCGTCGTCGTCGCCGTCCTCATCTCGCTCCACCCACAATGGACTCGCTCGCCGACGAGCTCGACCAAGTGCGGCACAGGGCCCGAGCTGCTCACGAGGGCAACCTGAGCCACGTCGAGGCCATCCTCGCCCGCCTCGAGCACGCGCGAGCCCACCTCGCCTCGCCCCCACCACCACCATCCACCGACTCGCCTCGAGACGGCCCTGCGCCCCTCGAACCGACACACGGCTCGAGCCTCGGAGACGACCTCCTCCCGCTCAGCTCGTTCCTCAAGACGACAAACGCCCAGAGCGCTCAGCTACACAAGGACTGGGCAGCCGCCATCTCGCGCCTCGCCAAATCCGCCGACAAGGTACGCCCTACGCCTCCCTACAGACTCACACGACCGCCACTGACTCGTGCGTCCCCCTCGCAGCGCTTTGGGCCGCCGCCGCCGCCCCTCTTCCCTCCTCCTCCTCGACCTCCCCCACCTGCGTCGCTCCACCCGCAACTCGCCGCCCTCGCACCCGACCCTGCAGCAGCAGCAGCAGCCGCTTCGACCTCGTCGGCATCCCTCGACCTCGACGACCCGACCCCGTTCTCGTCACCCGACGTCGCCGTCGCCCTCAACCAGACCATCGCGACCCACCTCGCCCGCCTCGGCGCCTTCGACGCCCTCTCGACCTTCCTCACCGAGTCCGGCACCCCCACACCGCCCGAGCTCACCGACGCCCTCCTCGCCCAGCTGCGCGAGCTCCACGCCATCCTGGCCGAGCTGCGCGACGGCACGTGCACCCGCGCCCTCGACTGGGTCGACCGACGCGGCCCCGACGCCGACCCGGGGCACGAGCTCGAGTACGCCCTGCGCCGCGAGGAGTTCATCCGCATCGTCCTCGCCGGCTCATCGAGCGACGCGGCGGCAGCTGCGGCGACGGCGGCGGCAGCACGAGGAGGCGCCTCGGACGCGATGGAGACCGACACGGCGTCGACGTCGGCCCCGGGCCCGAGCGAGCCTCGTCTCGGCTCCCTCGCCCGGCGCAAGTCGTCCCTCGCGTCCCTGCCCGGCGGTCAGGGCGACCCGTCGAGCGCGCACTCGCCGCCGCCGCCGCCTCACGTCCGCGCCGCGCTCGACTACGGCGGCCGCCACTTCCGCCGCCTCATGACGCCCGCCCGCGCGCACGACATCTGCGCCCTCCTCACCTGCCCCCTGTACCTCCCGCTCGAGCGCCTCGTCGCGTCGCCGTACGGCGCCCTGTTCCTCCCCGAGGCGCGCGCCCGGTCAACGAGCGCGCTCGCCGCCAAGTTCGCGACGGCGTTCCTCGAGGGCTGCGGCCTCCCGAGCGAGAGCCCGCTCACCGTCGTGACGGACGTCGGCGGTGGAGGAGCGCTCGCCAAGATCATGAAGGTGCGCGCCGTCATGAAGGAGAAGCGGACCGAGTGGAGCGCGGTCGGGGAATTGCCTGTGCGTCGCCAGTTCACCTTTCCTCTCAGCCTGAGCCCATCAGGATGCGCTCGCGCACACCTGCTTGTCTCTGCGGCAGAGACGCCGGGACTGACGACCCTTGCACGCACCCTTCCCCTTTCGCCCTCGTCTGCAGGTCGAGATCCCGCTCCCCCTCCCGTACCGGTTCCACTCGATCTTTGCGTGCCCCGTCTCGAAGGAGCAGAGCTCGGCGCAGAACCCGCCCATGCTGCTCCCGTGCGGCCACGTCATCGCTCGTGAGAGCCTCCAAAGGCTCGCGAGGGGAACCCCGTGCGTCGCGCTCGTTCCTCTCTCTCTCCCTCTCTCTATCGTGCTCCCCCTGCTCGACTATGGTCGAGTAGAGTGGAGTGGCACGCATGGTCGGTTGTAGCGACGTCCACTGACCTCTCTCGTCCCTCCCTCCTCTCGCCCGCCCGCAGCACCCTCAAGTGCCCGTACTGCCCTGTTGTCTCGCACATGAGCGCCTGTGTGCGCGTGCACTTCTGAGCTCCTCCCCTCCCTACCCCTTCCCCTCCGTACACTTGCAACGATGTTGTCTTCCTTCCCTCGTTCCGCTCGATCGTCCCTCAGAGAGGCTCGACCGCCGTCCAGCCCTCGACACCATCAACGAGGTGCGTCCCCTCTCTCTTTACTCCTCACTCGAGGCGCGACAGGCGACTGACTGAGTCGCTCGCTCGCCCGCAGACGTTCGTCGCCGCGCTCGCACCTCTCGCTCGAGCGTCCGCTCCCCTCTCCTCATCGCCCGCACTCTCGCCGCTTTCCGTCGTACGCCCGCCCCTCGTCGCCCGTCACGCTACGGAAAGTCCTCGGCCGACCGTGCTCGCCGAGGGCGATCGTCTCGTCGCTCGACCGCGCCTTTCCGGCCTTTCCGGCCTTTCCGCCCTTGCTCTCCCTCGCTCGTTCTCCTCGACAAGATGGAGGAGGACCTCGCCCATGCGCCGCGGTGCTCGATGTCGAAGGTCGGCCAGATCGGCGTGTGGGTCGTGCAAGGCTTCGACGCCGCGTGCGAGGCGCACCAGGCCGTCGCGCCCGACAGTGGCGAGAGGAGTTATGCGCTCACTGGTGCGTCGCCCTGTCCTCCCTTGACTCTCTTGCTCTCGAGGCACAGTCAGTGACTGACCTTCGCCCTCGTCGACAGGGTTGGCGGCGGCGTGCGAGCTCATGAACGACATGAAGTGCGAGTCCACCCGACTCGCGCGCAAGGTCCTCGTTCCGTCGCACTACCTGAGGTCCGCCCACCTCTCACACGCCGCCTCAGTCGACCCGATAACTGACCATGTCGTCGATACGCAGCGTGTCCATCATGCCCGTCGTCTTTGACGAGGTCGATGACCAGCAAGTCGTCGAACTCGAGCGGGCCGATCGACGAGCACTCTCGCATGTCGCGGTGAGCACCCAGGCTTTTCGTATCGCCTCGTGCATGTGACTGACCTGGATCGACGCAGCACATCACCTCGGCCGGCGGCAGGCTCATGTTCGTCAGCGACCCGAGCGCTCGAGCGCAAGTCGCCTCTCTCCCTGCGAGGGCATCCGGCCTCCACCCTGACGCTCCTTCTATCCACAGGCATCAAGAGTCTGTCGTGGACTACGAGATCCAGGTCGACACGGACAAAGCCCTCGTCGCGCCCAGGCGCACCCACGTCGACAAGTTCTTTTGGCAAACCTCGTCCTCGGGCGGCGCGAGCTTCCTTCCCCTCGTCTCGACCGGCCCCTACATCCTCCTCACGAGCGTCCTCAAGCTTCGCGACGCCGCTGCGCACCGCCTCGCCAACCCGCACGCCGCCCACGTCCACGACAAGGTCGTTGTCGCTGAGGTCCTCGCTCTCGCGCTCCTCGCCGACATCTCCAAGGCCGAACCGACGCACGCTCAAGGCGTCAACGAGTCGTCATGGATCGCTTTCGCCGACGCAGCACCCGGCGCCGACATCGTCGCGGCAAGGGCCTTTGTCGAGCAGGGCGCACTCGGCACCGACGTCGCGCGCGAGGTCGCGCAGTGGTGCAAGGAGCACGCACGACCTGACGACCACTCGGGCAGCCCTGTCGCCGCCAAGTCGATCAAGCATGCGCTCGACTGGGTCAAGCAAGTCCTGCAGGTGCGCCGCACGGTCCCTCTCCCCTCTTTCTCTCGCCCTCTCCCTCGCCGACACGGGCGTTCGACTGACTCGCACGCCCATGTCCCTCCACAGAGCGCACCCGGCATCCATGGGCAGGGCAGGTACAACCCGCCGCCGGCCGTCGAGCGCCGTTCGCTCGGCGAGGCGTCGCGCGCACGCTTTGTCCCCGAGGCTCGCCGCCTCGCGTCGGGCTTTTGAGCGAGGACAGCTGTAGCGCATCTTTGCATTCTCTTTATCGTCTGCGCGGTCGTGGATCGTACGAGAGCGAGGTCTGCGAGAACAGCGGGGAGCTCGACAAGTGCGCTTCGTCCGCGAGACGTTCGCCGTCATCTCGCGGCCCCGCTGCACACGCTCGCGTGCTGCCCGTGGCATGCACCTGCGGCTCTCTCTCTCGACAAGCTTTGCGCTCGCGGTGACTTCTCGAGCGCGACAACGAGCGCAAAGAAGTGAACGAGCGTTGACTGCCCGCCCGCTCGGACCCTGCCGCCACGCCTCGCTTCGCCGCACCTGCGTCGGCGGTCGTCGCTTCTCGGACGGGAGCGGAACACCTCGTACGCGAGTCAAGAGCGAGTCCGAGGGAGAGGTGAGGCGCGTCGGAGCCAAGTTTGGCTTTCGGCCGCGGACGGAAGTACTCGAGATGGCGCCAGAGCTGCCCCTCGCACTTCTCTCGCTCGCACCACACACCTGCTGCATGCTCGCACGCCACACCTGCAGCTCCCGCCTCGCATCCAGCCGCACCCGCCTAGCTCTCGTGCCTCGCCTCCTCGTCACCCCGACCCCACTCCTGTACCTCGGCACTCGTCTAGCTCGACCGTCAAGCTCCGCCAGTGCAGCACCGATGGCTCAGCAGCACAAGGACCACAAGGACTTTGCGACCAGCAACTTCTCCAAGTCAGGTGCGCTCCCTCTCCCTCCCTCCTCCCTCTCGGCCGACGGACCGCGAGGTGCTCGTCGTCCTGGCGCCGTAGCCCCGCGCTCGCATCCCGCGACCGCAAGTTGACCACAAAAGACCCTGCATCAGGTGCCTCGGGCCTGTACGACCGCGCTCGTCCGACCTATCCTGCCCAAGCACACGCCCAGATCCTCGACCTCCTCCCACCCTCGCCTCAAGGCGCACACGTCGTCGAGCTCGGTTCCGGCACCGGCCTGTTCACGCGTGGCTTCCTTCAAGCCGCGCTTGAGCGCGAGAAGAACGAGGGCGGCAAGAGGGTCGCGAGGTTGACGGCGGTCGAGCCGAGCGAGGGCATGCGGGCCGGGTTTGACAAGGGTCTCGAGAAGGAGGGGCTTCTCAAGAGCGGGATACAGGTGAGCTGTGTCGATGGAGCGTTCGACAAGGTCCCGGTCGGCGACGGCGAGGCGGATTTGGTGCGTCAAAGCTCCCTTCTCTCCTTTTCCTCCTCCCTTCTGTCACCTTTCTTACGCGCACTTGAGCCCCGCAGGTCGTCATTGCGCAGGTGAGCCCCCTCATCTCTCCTCGACCCGTCGCACGAGCCTGACTCTCTGTCTCTCCACGCGCAGGCCTGGCACTGGACGGGTACCTCGCAGACGAGCGCCGTCCGCGAGATCGGGCGCATCCTCAAGCCCGGCGGCGCATGGTGCCTCATCTGGAACCTCGAGGACCGCAACGTCGGCTGGGTCGCAGGGCTGCGCGACGCGTACGAGCAGTTCGAGAGCGGTACGTCTCGCTTTCCCTCTCTCGATCCTGCGACCGGGCCAAGAGACTCACATTACGGCCCTCTTGCAGACACGCCGCAGTACCGACACGGCCTCTGGAAGAAGATGTACGCCGAGCAGGACTATCACGACCTGTTCACCGAGCCGTCGCACGCCAAGTGTGCGTCCTTGCCGTCCCTCCCCCTCCCTTTCTCTTTCTCTCTTGCTCTCGCTCTGACCTTCTCTCGCTCTCCCACAGTCCATCGCGCCCTCCCGACGACCGAGGCTCTCGCCGTCGACCGCGTCTTCAGCAAGAGCTACATCACGGCGCTCACCGACTCGGAGCGCTCGGACCTCGAGCAGCGCTTGCGCGAGACGATTCGGCGTGGCGAGGGCCGCGAGTGGATCGACGAGGAGCAGGGCATCTTTGCCTACCCGTACGAGACGGATCTGTTCGTCGCGAGGCGGAAGTGAGGGAGGAGGAGGAGTGACGGGCACGTTCGAGGAGGGAGACGGGCGAGCACGAAGGCGACGATGATCGTAGAAAAAGCTGCAGTGCGAGATCTATCTGTCTACAACAACCGAGAGAGCCTCGTCTAGCGCAACTCCTTGACGAGCTCCTTGAGACGCTCGTACTCTGGCTCGTCCTCGAAAGCGCTCCGAGTCCGGCCGAGGAACGTCCTGACGAGGCTCCTCGCCTGGAACTTCCAGTCGGGCGCGACGAGGCCCGACCCGTCCTTGCGCTCCTTGTCGCCATAGTTCTCGAGCATGCTGACGAGCGAGTCGACCTGCTCGGCCGCGTCGACGAACTTGGCCCGGTCGTGCTCGACCGTCGAGTCGGTGACGACGCCGGCGCGGTACGCCTTGAGGTGGGCGTCGAGCGCGGCGGCGTAGTCGCCCTGCCACAGGGCGAGGCGGGCGTGGGCGCGGAAGATGCGAGGCGAGTCGTTGATGCGAGGGAGGATGGTCGTCTCGACGAGGTGGGCGACGGGGCGGTACAGGCCCTTGCCAAAGTTGGGGTTGACGCTCACCTCGCCGCCACCGTTTGCCGACGAGGCCGTCGTGCCGTCGTCGTCGTGACCGCGCGTGACGGCGTCGACGAGCTTCTCGAGGACCTCGAGGTCGACGGCGTTCTCACCGTCCTTGTCGATGCGCATGCGGACCATGCGCTCGAGGGCCCGGCACGCCTCGCTCAGCTCGCCGACGTCCATCGAGACGACCATGTAGTTGTACCACAGGCGCCACGAGTCGTACGAGTACTTGATGGCCTGGCGCAGGCACTGGAACGCGGCCCGCTTGCGCGAGAACGGGAGCGTGACGACGGGTGCCGCACCGTCCTCCTCGCCGGGAGCGACGACAGCCGCAGGCGCAGACGGGTCGGCGGCGACGACGTCCGGGACCGTCGGCGCCTCGTCGAGCTCCTCGTCCCACTCGGCGGCGGCACCGCCGGCGGCGACCTCGCGCGTGTCGCCCTCGAGCTCGCCGCGCCGCAGGTGGCAGCTCGCGAGGTTGCTCCAGCTCTCCGAGTCCTCGCCGTCGAGGCCGACGCACCGGCCGAACGCGTCCTGGGCGCCGGCCCAGTCCTCGAGGCGCATCGAGGCGCACCCGAGGAGGAACCAGGTCCTCGGGAACAGCGGGTTGATGCCGAGCGCGAGGCGCAGCGCGACCTTGACCTTGTCGTACTCGCCCGCCGTGAAGTAGACGGCGCCGAGGCTGCGCTGGGCGCGCGACGACGTGTGGCCGCTCACCTCCCACGCGCGCTCGTAGTGCTCGGGCTTGCGCTCGAGCTCGCCGAGGGTGCACCACAGCTTGGCCTCGCGCTTCTCGCCGCCGCGGAACGTGCGCGCACCGGCGCCCTTGCGGTCGTGCATGACGGCGTCGCTCTCGCTCTTGGCGCCCTCGAGCAGGTCCCGGATGACCTGGACGCCGCGGTCGGGCCGCTCGAGCGTCATCCAGCACCGAGCGACCTCGTCCCACATCTCGAGGCGGGTGAAGATGTCGAGCGCCGACTTGACGACGCCGAGCGACGTGTACCGGACGGCGAGCTCGCGCTCCATCTCCCACGCCGGCGGGAGGTTGAGCGCGTGGAACTGGGCGAGGCGCTCTCGCGCGGCGGCGACGTCGGCGTCCTTGACGGCGGACGAGATGGCGCTGATCTCGGTCGGCGAGCCGTCCTTGAGCTGGTCGACGAGGGCTTGCATCTGGAGGACGCCGCGCTCGACGGTGCGGGACCGGCCCGCCTCGCCTCGGCACCGCAGGAGGAGCGCCATGCTGTGCACCGACCAGTTCTGCGGGTCGTCGAGGACGCGAGCGACGAACGCGCTGATCTGGGACGACGACAGGACGTCGGCCGACAGGTGCATGAGGGCGGTCGGCGCGGGCAGGGTCGCGAGCGACAGCGACAGGAGGACGGCCTGCGAGAACGGCGAGATCGACGGCTGCTCGGACGGGTCGAGGCTACCGAGCGCCGCCGGGTCGGCGTCGTCGCCTGCTGCGGCCGGCGCTGCTGGTGCCGCCTGGCCCTCGCCCGTCGAGGACGCGGTGAACGCCGTCTTCTCGAGGAGCGTGTCGTCGTTGAGGTTGAGCACCTCGGGCACGACCGCCTTGCCCGCCTCGCCGTCGCTCGCCGCCTCGTTGGCCCTGGCCTCGCTCGCTCGCGCCGCCGCCGACGCCGCGCTCGTCTCGTCGCGGGCGAGGACGACGAGCTGCGTCTTCTCGTCGACCTGCCACTTGGTGCGCTTGCCCATGCGGCCCGTCAACTCCCACTCGAGCTTGACCTCGTCGGCGGCCTGCTGCGCGAGGTCGCTCGCCTCCTTCTGGGCGCGGCTGTGCGGGCTCGCGCGCGAGAGGAGCGTCGCGAGGAGCGACAGCGACAGGGTCGTCGTCGCGCGGTCGGCGCCGTGCGGGAGGGCGAGGCGCAGGGCCGAGGCGGACGAGGCGATGTAGGCGGGCAGGGGAACGGGCTCGTCGAGGATCTTGAGCCACATGATGCCGGCGCGCAGGCGCCACGTCGCGAGCGACGGGAGGCGGGTTGCCCATTGCGGGCCGTACGGCTCGTTCGAGTTGGCGGCGGCGGACGAGGTCGAGGCGGTGGAGGACGAGGACGAGGCAAAGGGGGAGGGGACGAGGCCGAGGAGCTGGAGGGCGAGGTAGAGGAACGGCGTCTGCTTCGACAGGTGGTAGACGGGCTCGCCGCCGAGTGCGAGCTGGTCGATGGCGAGGTCGTTGAGCTCCTGCTCGGTCGCGGGCGGCTCGAGCTGCTTGACCTGGTCGGGGTCGAAGAGGGCGAGAGGCGCGAGGGGGAGGGACGGGCCGGTCCAGTTGACCTGGGCGTAGGCGTGCAGGGCCGATACGGCGAGTGCGAGGAGGTCCTCCTGCTTGGCCTGGTCGTCGTCGCCGATGTTGTCGCTCGACAGGCGCACTCCCGCCTCGAGCCGGCCGCTGACCTGGTTGCGCTCGAGGTGGAAGACGGCGTGGGCGAGGGGCGACGTCAAGGCCGGCTCGGGCACGGCACTGCACGCTGCCTGGACGACAGGCGACGCTCGCTCGGGGGCGGAAGCGAGGTGGAGCAGGGCGCTCTCGACCGGGGACAGCTCCACTCGGGGAGAGGGCGACATGTGTGCTGCGCGCGCCGCTCAAGGGGTCAGCGTGGTCCTTGAAGAGCTGTGAGAGTTTTCGGGCGCACCTGGAGCTGGGCTCTTGCAGTTGTGACAGAGAGCGATGAAGTTGAGCTCCCGCCTCCGGACTTTGCGAAGCTGACTGACCTCCGCCGAGTCTCGCCTTTCTTCGACCGTGTGTGGACAAGCACGAGAGAGAGGGAGAGAACGATCGTTCCACTGCAGCTGCTACACACGCAAGAAAAGTCCCGCCAACACGCAGATACCGCCTCTAGACAATCCTCGAACCGGACCCGCGCACCGACCCTCTTTTACTGCGTCCCTTCCGGCAACCGCGCGCTCGCCGTCTCGCCCTCGGTCTCGGTACCGCCAATCGATGCCCTCGGCGTAGGCGGCAGCAGCGCCTCGCGCTCACCCTCGGGCCCGCCGAGCTGCGCGCGACGCTCGCGCCCGAGCTGGTGAATGGCGTCGAGCATGGCGTTGCGCGTGCGCTCGATCAGGGCCGTGATGTCTTCGTGCGACGACGTGACGCCCTCGGTCGAGATCGGGTCGAGCACTGTGTGCGTGCGGCTCGAGGTCAGGTTCTGCCGCTCGCGTCAACGAGGAGGAGGACGAGGAGAGAGTGGACGCACCCCGCACGACGATCTCGCCCGCGTTGAAGCGCCTGGCCTTCGAGTAGTAGATGTGGGCGTAGTTCTCGCACACGATGGGCACGATGGGGAGGCCGGCCTGGACGGCGAGGTGGAACGCGCCCTTCTTGAACGGGAGGAGCGACGGCGCCGCCGACGCCGAGCGAGTGCCCTCGGGGAAGATGAAGAGCGACAGCTGTGTGCGGCTGTGAGTCAGCTGACGAGTCCTCGCAGGCGGCGGAGGAAGAGAGAGAGAGAGAGAGAGAGAGAGAGGGGGGCGCACCTCGCGCCGCTTCATCTCCTTTGCGACCTGGTCGAACACGCGGATGGCGTCCTCGCGCTTGACGCGGTTGACAAAGATGGCCTTTGCGAGCGTCATGAACTGGCCGAGGATGGGCACCCACTGCAGCTCGCGCTTGGCCATGATGGTCGTCCGGGGCGGGAAGATGGCGCCGAGGTCTGCGAGGGAGGTCACAGCCGGATCAGCTTCGCACCGGGGTACTGGCTGAGGAAAGAGAGGGCACAGGGGCGCACACAGGAGGTCGAGCATGGTCTGGTGGTTGCCGACGAGGACGGCCGGGTGGGTCGTCTCGAGCTTGTCGGCGCCCTCGACGCGGAACTTGACGCCGAGGAGGGGCGCGGTCGTGTACTTGAGGAACCGTGCGACGAGCCACTGGATGTCCTCGCGGCGGCCGAGGACGGCCATGACAAGGGACGACGCGACGCCAAACGCAGAGGCGCTCGCCGAGCCGACGAGGAAGGTGACGAGCTTGGCGTAGTACCGCACGGGCGAGAAGACGCGGGCGAGGATCATGGCGGGCAGGAGGGCCCCGACGGCGAGGGTCGGGACGAGGGTCGCGGGCGACGAGGTGAGGGCGGAGGACGAGGAGGGCGAGAGCATGAGCCACGCCAGGACGAGGACGATGAGCAACCCTGGGACGAGGCCTGCCAGCATCGACCGCAGACTGGTAGGCGAGGTCCTGCTTGCTCGCTGAGCGGCTGAGGCGGAGACCGGGCTGATGAAGGCAGAGGGTCGAAGTGCTCGCCCGAGGAGGGGAAACGGCCGGCAACCTCGCTTGAGAGCGGTTCTCTCTCTCTCTCGAGCCTCTCGTTCGTTGCTGCCACACTCGACGAGCCAACGGGTGCTCGAATTTCCAGGCGGGCCGGGCGAATGAGGCGACATCGGCGAGCTAAGAGGTTGCAAAGCGGGGGACACAGAGAGGGGCACGACGCAGAGAACTGTACAAAGCCAACGAGGGCAGGGACTAGGGGCGAAAGGCAAGATCCCAGAAAGGGCGAAAGGGGAGGGGAAAGGAGGTGGAAGCGCCGCCGCCGCCGCCGCCAAGGGCGAGCGAGGAGGGAAGGGCAAGGGGAATACAACACGGACCGGCCCCTCCTGCGCCACCCCTGGGCCACCACCGCCCGCACGCGGACGACACACGCGTGCACCGCCGAGCGCGGCGAGCGCCGAGCTCACCCGCACGCCATCTCGGCGTCCTCGACCGCGCCCGGACCCGCTCCTGCTCCCGCCGGCGACGACGACGCCGCATCTCGTCGACCTCGCTCGTCCTCGCGGCCCTTGGCGCGCTCGCGCTCCGCCTCGGCGTGCTGCGGGTGCGCATCGCCGGGCGCCGCCGCCGCCGCTGTCGGCGCAGGTGCAGGTGCTGCGGCCGCCGTCGTCGCCGCCGCTGCTGCTGCCGAAGCCGGCCTGGGCGTGCTCGTCCCGCTCGGGCCTGCGAGCGCGGGCGACGACGCACCCGGGGCGACCTGCGCCAACGAGCTGCGCCGCCGGTCGGCCGTGCGGTATAGGCCGTGGCGCATGATGTACCGGATGACGACGGTCGGGATGAGGTACTTGACGCTCATACCCTTGCGGATGAAGAGGCGGACCTTTGTCGACGACACGTCGTTGCGCACCGTCTGCTCGACCATGTGGATGTTGTGGCGGTACAGGGCGAGCGGCGAGCGCGAGTGGACCGACGACGACGAGAAGATGGTCTGGTCGAGCTCCGACTCGGACCGCTCGATGATGTACAGGCCGTAGATGCCGAGGATGTGGTGCAGCTGCGCGCGAGAAGGGCCGTCAGTCCTGCTTGGGAGAGGGAGAGAGAGAGAGGGAGAGAGAGGGGGAGAGAGGGGACGCACGTCCTTCTCGGCCCAGACGCCCGGCTCGGACATGGTGAGGATGAGGTCGCTGCCGGCGAGGAGCATGATGCGGACACGGCGCTTCTCGGTGCGGCGCTCGCCCGTGCGCGGGTCGACGACGACGACGTCGGCGCCGCCGCGGACCGTGTTGAGCTCGTGGTCAAAGTGGTCGAGGACCTGGGCCGTCGGAAGGTAGCGCGGCTGGCGCGCCTCCCACGGGTCGACCATGAGCCAGTCACTCGTGTCGTCGACGGCCTGGTCGCACATGGCGACGCGGTGCTTGGCCGACGCGAGGCCGAGCTTGCGGTAGCGGTCGTTGACGGGCGACAGGTAGCCGCCGATGACGTGGAACTGGGTGTTGAACGTCGCGTCGTCGCGGGCCATCTCGAACAGGCGCAGGTGGAGGAACGTGACGGGCGAGTAGCTGCCGCACGCGACCAGGACGAGCGGCGTCTTGTCGCTCCCGGCTGTGGACACGAGCGAGTCAGTCCGGTGCTCGTGCGAGTCGGGGTGTGCAGTGCGCTGGCGGTAGAGCGACTCGGCGAGGCGAGGGCGGGGACCGTCTCCACCTCTGGCCCTCGCCTCGGCAAGTTGAGGGGGGCGATGGCGCGATCTCGGGCAGGGAGACGAGAGACGCACCGTCGAGTTGGCCGAGGCGGTGCGTAGGGAAGGCGTAGGGCCCGTCCATGGCGGCGTGCGCCTGCTAGGCGAGTGGTCGAGGCGAGATAGTCGCCGAGAGATGAGGGCGGACGACGAGGGAGCGGAGGGCCGAGCCCGAGGCGAGGGAGCGCAGGCGGTGCGGTGGGCCGTCGAGGGCGGAGCTCGAGTGCGGGAAGTGCCCAAGGTGCAGTCGCAGGTGCAGCGGGCGAGGGTGGTGGTGGTCGGTGCTGAGTCGAGCTGGCGAGCCCGAGGGCGAGATGTGAGCTGCGCGCTGGTCGAGGGGAGGTGTGAGGCGAAACTTGGGCGAAACGCCAGTGCGATTGCCCGACTCGGCGCGCGACTTGTGTTCCAAGCCGACGACAGCTCGCTCGCTCTCGCCCGCCCTCGCTCACTCGCCAACTGCCTCACGCCGGCACCATGGGCGGCTTGCTCTCCGACGATACCCACCCTCAGCCTTCACCACCGACCCTCGCCATGCCCGCACCGCCCGCCGTCGACCCGGCCGCCGCGCCCCTCGTCGTCAAGGTCGTCCCCCAGGAGCACTCTGCGTCGCGCCGCCTCCCGCAAGAGCTCGTGTCGCTCATCCTCGAGTACACCGAGGACTGGGAACTCGCCCACGCCCTCGGCGTCCGCACCGCCCTCCCCGAACCCGCCCCGTGGCAAGAGTTCGCAACCCCGCTCGACCGCGCCATCCTCCGCGCCGCCACCACCGCCTCGCTCGTCCCCGTCGAGTACGCCCGACTCGCCGAGGGGCACAAGACGCTCACCCAGTTCGGCGCGAGGGTCATGCTCCGCCTCAGCCTCGTCGACGTCCTCGACTACTTCCTGCGCGAGGACGAGCACCAGCTCCGCGTCCAGTGCCAGGACCTCCTCCCCGTCGTCGCGAGCGCCTGGGGCCGCCTCGACGTCCTCGAATGGGCCAAGAACTCGCGCTTCGGCCTGTCGCCCTCGCCAAAGACGACCGCTGAGGCCATCGACGAGGCGTCCCGTCACGGTCAAGTCCAGAGTGCGTCCCTCTGCGTCTCCTTCCTCTCCCTCTTGCGTATCCTGACAGCGACACTCTCTCCCGCAGTGCTCGACTTCTGGCTCGAGTCCGGCGTCCCTCTTCGTGCGTCCTCGCCGTCCCTGCCCCTCCTCGTCGTCGACCGCGACTGACCTTCTCGCACGACCCGCCGCAGATTACTCGGACGCGGCGCTCCTCTCGGCCACGTTCAAGCGTCAGATCGGCTCGCTCGAGTGGTGGAAGAACAGCGCACTCCCGCTCAAGATCGGCAACGTCGTGCGTCCCCTTCTCCCTCCCTCTTCCTCGAACGTGCCCCGGCCGACCCACGTGCGCATTTTCCTCCGCAGCTCGACTTTGCCTCGATGGAGGGCTCGACCGGTGCGTCTCTCATTCTCTTTCGAGCGTATCAGAAGGACCCAATTGACGTTCTTCTCGCCCTCGCAGTGTGCCTCGACTGGTGGGCGGCGTCGGGCCTCCCCGTGCGCTACTCCAAGGTCGCCCTGCACCACATCTCCAAGACGGGCAACATTGCGCTCCTCGACTGGTGGCGCGCGCACGCCAACCGGTTCGCGCTCGCGTACGACAAGGAGGTGCTCGTCGTCGCGACCCAGTTTGGCCAGGTCGCCGCGCTCGAGTGGTGGGCCGCGAGCGGGCTCGACATCGAGTACCGCTTCTTCGAGGTCGAGGAGGCGCTCGAGGACAGCGTCGCCAACAAGGAGGAGACGCAGAAGTGGTGGGAGCGCCGCGGGTACGACAACAACCTGTCGACCAACGCGTGGATGAAGGTCCGCAACCTTAACGACCGCGCCTCGCCCGTCTGAGGCTCTCTCTCTCTCGTACATAGCGCACTATCTCTCATACCCTGTCTCTACTCGTTCATCGCCCACCTCTCCCTTTGTCGTACCCCTTCTTCCCCTCCCTTGTTGCTCGGTCCCCCTCTCTCCCCTCGTCTGTCTCTCCCTCCTCCTCTTGTTCCTCTCGACTCTCTCACTCTGTCATCTCGCAACGTCGGTGTCTTTCATTTCATCGAGCGCGCGAGGCAGAGAGCTCGAGAATAAGTTGCTCGAAAGTGTCTGTCTACCTCCGCCTCGCTCCCACGCCTCGTCCTCGCCCTCTCGCTCAGACCTGCGCGTACCTCCCGCGCTCCGCCTCAGACCCTGCCGCTCCACCTGCGCCGAGTGCTGGCGTCGACCGCGCCGAGCGCCTCGCCGCCCTGCGCGCCTCGTACGCCGCCTGCGCCTCGCCCTCGTCGTCTGACGACTGCTCCTCGCTCGACGACGACAGGTCGCTGCTGTCGTCGCCTGCCCTCGCCCGCTCCTTGGCGTCGGCCGAGCGGGACGACCGCTCGCCGCCGAGGTCGGCGTCGAACAGAACGCCTCGCTCGTCGTCGTCCGGCTCGGCGTACCGCCCGCCGTCGCCGCCGCCGCCGTCACGGTCCGGGTCGTGCAGCGACACGGCGATGAGCGGCACGCCTCGCTCGCGGCGGTCGTGCTCGTCGCCCTTGCCGTCGTCGACGGGCGTCCACCGCGCGAGCTGGGCCCAGTCGCGCCGCGAGGGCCACGTCGGCCGCAGCGCCTTGGCGAGCGAGTGCAGCGAGTGGCCCGCCGCGCCGGCGGGAGCGCTCATCGACGCGGCGGGCGAGGGCACGGCGGCCCACTGCGCCATCGACATGCTCGGAGCATAGGGGGTCGGCGCGGCGGCGGCCATGGCGGACGGGGCGACGTTGTCGAACGTCTCGTTGAAGTGCACGTCAAAGTGCCAGCTGTGTATGCGGGCGAGAGAGAGATACAGAGAGAGGGGAAAAGGGAGAGAGGGGAGGAGAGAGTCAGTCGCCGAGGATGCGGAGAGACGGCAAGGGGACCGAGCGGGCGCACACAACGAGAATGACACAGAGGCGGTCTGCGAGGGCGTCGAGGCACGGTCAGGGACGCTCTGAAGGTGTCCCGAAGCTCGCAAAGGGCTCGATGGGGGGGGAGGAGGAGGGAGTGAGACTCACAGACGCCGAAAGCTCCGAAGAAGACGCAGCTCGCAATCGTCACGCTCTTGCGCACGCAGTCGCCGCCGTCGTCGCCGCTGCACGCAAGGATCCTCGTCAGTCTGGCGAGGTCGGGAGAGAAGACAGGCGAAAGGAGAACGCACCACAGGCTGTCGAACCCCAACCGACTGACCATGAGCCTGAACCACCACGAGTCGGCGACGATGCTCGCGAAGCCAAAGATCGCCCACAGGCCGAACGACAGACTCTTGGACGTAAGGCGGAGCGAGTGCCAGGTGAGGAGCGACTGGGCGGCGAACAAGGCGTGGCAGACCATGGCGAGGATTTTGATGGCCTTGGTGAAGGTCGACGGGTTGTGCCACGGCGACGGGCCGCGAAACTGCCAGGCGTAGATGAAGGTCCCGAATCTGTGGGTCGAGCGAGCTCAGTGATCTGACGTCGGGGACGCGGGAGAGGAGGACGACGAGGAGAGAGGTGGACGCACGAGGCGCAGACCATGCCGACGAGGACGAGGACATGGGTCACAAAGCGGCTGCGCAGGAAGAAGCCCATGCTGGCGCAGCGTCGCACGAGCAGCGCAGAGCAAGAAAGAGCGCAGAGAGCTGAGAGCTCGGCGGACGAGGAGCACGCCGACGGACAGGCGGTCCGCGACGTCCGCGGACGGTCCGGCCAGCTCGAGCCTCTATGCCTGGGAGCCGGAACCGCCGAGGCACGCCCCGCTAGCGTCAGCTGACCGGCGGCCGTCTCGTGCAGCGGGGAGCGCTGATGAGGGAGGACGAGGAGGGAGGGAGGGGCAGGACGAGGGCGAGCCCGCTCTCCGTGGGGCTGCTTCGGAGGCAAGCTTGCACGCACAGCACGGTGTGCACACATCGAGCAGCAGCTAGAGAGGTCGAGCGGAAGCGTGGCCTCGTCTCGTCTTCGTCGTCGTTGGTCGTTCGCTCTTCCCCACTCGCTCGCCATGTTGCTCCTTCCCGCCGGGGCTGCCTTGCTCGCAGCAGGAGCGGCACATGCTGCCGCCCAGGACACGTGGGCCGTCCCGCCCAACCTGCACTACGCCCAGGACGCCTCGTGGAGGGGAGTCGACGCAGACGGCACCGTTCGCGGCTTTGACGTCTCGGGACACTCGTGCGTCCACCTCTGTGCCCCTCCAGAGCAGCACAACTGACCCTCTCGACCGTGCAGGACCGTCATCCCCGGCGTCCACGACTTCATCCGCCTCGTCCCCGTTCGTCCTCCCCCTCCCCCTCGTCTCGGGTCGACCTCCTCACTCGACCTCGTCCCGCTAACGAGCTGCGCATGGTCCACAGGGCACCCCTCTCGCACACGGCGCCATCTTCTCGCGCCAACCGCTCAAGGCCAAGGAGTGGATCGCCGAGATCGCGTTCCGCGTACACGGTCCGCCTGCGACCGGCCTCGCCGAGATGGACGAGAACGGTCACCAAAAGCGCCTGCACAAGGGCGGTCGAGGACTGGCATTCTGGGCGACCAAGGTGCGCCCCAGCCTCCTGCGCCTCGCCGAGGACGTCGCACGACGACGAGACCTGACCCTGTTCCTCGTTCACGCAGTCGGGCCTGCCGGGACCCGCCACCATCTCGTCCGATCCCTCTGTCAAGGTCTCGCCACCACCTCCTGCTGTTCCCGAAACTCGCAGCTCGACCGACGCCGACGTGTCGCTGTTCGGCGGCCGCACCTCGTTCGACGGCCTCGGCGTCATCTTCGACAGCGCGCCGACCGCGCCCGTCTGGCGGCGCAGCGACCCGCGCAACCTGATCGGCGACGCCGAGCACGAGACGTGGGGCGTCGGCGCGACGGGCGTCGTGAGCGGCGTCATCGACGACGCGACGCAGAAGTGGCTCGACTCGGAGCGAGGGTCGGGCCCCGAGGGCGAGGAGGAGGCCGCGTACCTCGACAAGGCGTTCGGCGAGTGCGAGGCGGCGTTCCGCAACGCCCAGGGCTTGCTGTGGGCGAGGATCGCCCACTTTAACCACACGGTCAGAGTGCGTCCACCTCTCGCGAGCCGTCTTCTCCTGCCCCTCCTCGTACTCGTTCCTGATGCCTTTCGCCTTCCCTCGCAGGTCGACCTCGACCTGAGCCCGCACACGACGCTCGCCAAGGCCGGTCGTCATTACGAGGTGTGTCGTCTGGCCGCTCCATCCTCGAGCAGCGCCAAGTTGCTCACTCTACCTCTTTTCCCTTCTCGCAGCACAACTGCTTCAGCCTCGAGGGCGTCACGCTTCCTGTCGGGACTTTTGTCGGCATCTCGGGCCTCGCGAGCGGCAACACCGAGCCTGACGTGGTCGACGTCTACGCCGTGCGTCCGCCTCTCTCCCTCTCTCTCGCGAACCCGACCTTGACGAGTCTCTCACCTGCAGATGGACGTCTTCGAGATTCTTCCGAACGGCGTGCGTCCCCCTCTCTCCTCTCTCCCCTCGTCGGCGACGTGCGCTAACGTCTCGAGCCCTGCAGGACGCCGATGCCGCTCACCCGGTCGTCACGGACGAGCCGGTCGAGGAGGTGCTCGCCGAACCGCTCGAGGGCACGTCGTCCGAGGCGGTACGTCCACTTTCCTCCTCTCTGTCCGCTCATGACGACCGAGCACGCCCTGACGAGCGCCCTTGCTCGACCGCAGGTCCCCATCCTCACGCACGAGATCTTCGTGTGCGTCCCCTTCTCTCCCACATCTCTCCCGTCTTCACGCGTCCCCTCCTCTCCCACATCTCTCCCGTCTTCACTGCGTTTGGGAAAGCTGACACGCTCGTCGTCGTCGCTGCAGCTCGCAAGCCCGCATGGTCGAGGCCATCGACGACCTCGCCCGCAAGGTCGAGAGCGTGCAAAACGTCGTGAGCGACCTCGCTCGTCGCGGCAGCGTGAACCCGTTCGCCGGTATCGTGCCGCTAACGTCGCAGGTTGGCGGCCAGGGCTCGGCGGACGCTGCGTGAGCCCTTTGTCCTCCCCCTCTCGAGCGCTCGAGCCCCGGATCGTCCCTGTACTGATTCGCCTTTTCCGTCGCCGCAGCTCTTCCGCCCACCTCGCCTCTCTCGACGCTCGCCTCTCGACTATCCTGTCGACCCTCCAGTCGCGCGACGCCTCGTCGCAGCCCGGCGGCCTCGACGTGCACGACGCCCTCGTGCGCATCCAGCAGCTGTCGGACCAGGTCCTGCTCGAGGTCCAGTCGGTCGCGCACAAGCTCGACCAGTCGTCGACCCAGTCGAGCGCGAGCAGCAGCGTCCTGCAGGCCAAGACGGGCGAGCTCGTCAACCTCGCGCGACAGGCCGAGGAGCGCGCGCTCGAGCTCGCGACCAAGGGCGACTGGTCCAAGTGGCTCTGGATGGTGGGCGGCGTCGGCGCAGGCTTTGCGTTGACGCGGTGGAAGGACAGCAGGAAGAGGGACGACGTGTGGGACGAGAGGAAGTTCCTGTGAGCTCGGCGGCGCCGCTCGCGCTGTTCGAGGACGGCTCGAGGCGCTCTCGGTCCGCGAGGGCAGGTGCAACTCGCGCAGTTGCTTCATGCCAGTTCGAGCGAGAGCCTGCGGGAGCCTGCGAGAGCCTGCGAGAGCGTGTAGCCAGATACTTAGCTCAACGCGAGGGGCAGCGAGAGCTCGAGCAAGGAACCGCTCTCGACTCGAGGGAGCAGCGGCGAAGGTGTCGAGACCTTCTCGCGGATGGCAGGTCGCTCTGAGCGCTCTGCTCTGGCAGCTCGCGGAGCGCAAGCTGGCGCAAGAGATGCGCCGGCGACGCCACGGCTCGAGCGACCTTCTCAAGGAGCTCGATCGTACGTGCAGATGCGGCGAGATCGAGATTGACAAACGGGCGGAAGCCGCGGTACAAAGAGAAGCCGCTCAGCCGGATCGATCCGGTACTGTACGAGCGCCGGCGCGCCTCCACCTCCTCCTCCCTCTCCAAGAACTTCTCGCTGCCGATGCTTGGACCGTTCCAGGCGGTGTGGGCGCTTGCCCGGGCGAGTCTCGACGCTCGCGGCCCGTGCCACGGTGCCTACCGCCTCTCGCGCGGCCCTCGGCTGGTCGTGCGAGGCGGCGAAAGTCGCGGGTTCGTCGGGAACTCGCTCGACGAGCGGCCTGCACTCAGAGCGCACGCACGGGCTCGCAGCCGCAATCGAGCCTAGCGTCGCGTCCGGGAGCGTACGGCGGGTCGCTGCTCGTGTCCGTGATCGTCAGGGCCTTGCCTCTGCGGCTCGGTCACCCGCTGCGCGTCGGGCTCGTCTTGGTTTCTTGGCTTTTTGTCGCAGGACCCTCTCGCCACCACCGCGTTGTCGCTCGACGGGACTGCTTGGGCAAGTCTCGTCACGAGCTTCCGTCGACCGAGCCGGCGAGGGAGGCCGTCGCCCGCCGTCGCAGGTGACCCCACGCTCGAGGTCCCGCCAAGCGCACGAGCCGGCGAGCCTTTCAGCTTGCTTGGAGCACCGTGGAGGACCCCTCGTTTCCTCCGCTCTGTGCCCGCTTGAACCAGCCCCGCTTCCCTCCTCTTCTTCACCTCGCTTCACGCGCACTCGCCTTTCTCGCCTTTTCGCCCTACTACCGCACCCGCGAGAGCAGCTGCAGCCATGCCGCTCGCCGCTACCGACGACGTCAACGCCATCGAGGCGCCGGTGACGTTCAAGGCCTACCTCATGTGCGCCCTGACCTCTTTCCTCGCCGTCGGCTCGAGCGCGAAGCTGACCTTCTTCTGCTCGCCTACAGGTGCGCCTTTGCCTCGTTCGGAGGTATCTTCTTCGGCTACGACTCGGGATACATCAACGGTGTCCTTGGGTCGCGCGAGTTCATCACGGCCATCCAGGGCGCCGACGCCGACGAGATCTCGGAGTCCAACACGTCGCTCATCGTCTCGATTCTCTCGGCCGGTACTTTCTTTGTACGTCTCTGCCTGCCTCTCGTATCTCTGCCGAGTGCGCGCCGGAGACCGCCGACCCGCACGCCGAGCAAGAACTGACCGCAGCCTCGTCGACTCGCAGGGCGCCCTCATTGCCGGTGACCTCGCCGACCGCTTCGGTCGTCGCTGGACCATCATCAGCGGATGCGGTATCTACATCGCTGGCGTTGTTGTCCAGTGCGTCCCGGCCGCGTTCCTCGATTTTTCGCCGTCTCGAAAACTGACCTTCCCAAACGCACTTTCGCAGGATGTTCGCCGCCAGGTGCGTCGCTGCGCATGTGCCCAGTCTCTTCGTCCTGTCACTGACGAACCTTGCGCCGACAGTGCCCTCGCAACGATCGTAATGGGCAGGCTCCTCGCTGGATTCGGCGTGGGATTCGTCTCGGCCATTATCATCCTGTACATGGTGCGTCCGGATTCGCAGCTCCGAGGAGCGTTCTTCCCTCCCCTCACCGCCCTCGTGGTGCACCACCCGCTCCGCCACGCTCTCTCGTGACCCTCGAACGCCGTCCTGACTCTCCCTCCCCCTCAGTCCGAGATCTGCCCACGCAAAATTCGCGGCGCCCTCGTCTCGGGTTACCAGTTCGCGATCACGATCGGATTAATGCTTGCAGCCATAATTAACAACTTCACGAGCGATTTGGAGGGGGGAGGAGCGAGTTACCGCATCCCTATCGGCATCCAGTGCGTTCTTTTTCGCTCTAAGTCTCTGAACTCTTTCGTCGAGCCGCGAGCACGTGTACTGACCCTGCCTGGACCCCTCGCAGGTTCGCTTGGGGCCTCATCCTCGGCATCGGCCTCTTCTTCCTCCCCGACTCGCCGCGTTACTTCGTCAAGCGCGGCAAGCTCGACAAAGCGCGCGACGTCCTCGTTCGCCTGCGCGGTCAGCCCGCCGACTCGAAGCTTGTCGAGGTCGAGCTCGCCGAGATTGTCGCCAACGCAGAGGCCGAGGCTCGTGCGATGCCGACCGACACCTGGTTCGGCAGTTGGGCGGCGTGCTTCAGCGGTAGCGTGTTCGACTCGAGCAGCAACCTTCGCCGCACGATCCTCGGCACGTCGCTCCAGATGATGCAGCAGTGGACCGGCGTCAACTTCATGTGCGCACAGACCTTCTCTCGCGACCTTCTCAAGCGGGGCCTCCTCGCCGACCTCTCGCCTCGTCCCACAGTTTCTACTACTCGACGCCCTTCCTCCAGTCGACTGGCGCCATCGACGACGCGTTCCTCACCTCGATGATCTTCACCATCGTCAACGTGTGCTCGACGCCGATCTCGTTCTACACGGTCGAGAAGTTCGGCCGTCGTCCTCTCCGTGCGTCCTGTTCGCCTCGAGTCTCCTCGACCGTGTCACTGACCCTCGTTCGAGAGGTTCGCAGTCATCTGGGGCGCGTGCGGCATGATGATCTGCCAGTTCCTCACGGCCATCATCGGCGTGACCGTCGGCTTCAACAAGGTGAGCGCCCGGCGCCTCACTCTCCTGGCTCTCTGTCGCCTGGCTCTCTCTCGGACTCGTTCTGACATCTTGCCCTGCAGACGTTCGTCAACGCGGCCGGCGAGACCCTCGCCACCAACGTGAGCGCCGTCAACGCTCAGGTGCGTCCCTCTCTCTCTGTCTCTGCCGGTACCGCCCAGACTAAACCGTCCTTCTTCTTCAGGTCGCCTTCATCGCCATCTTCATCTTCTTCTTCGCGTCGACCTGGGGCCCTGGCGCCTGGGTCCTCATCGGCGAGATCTTCCCGCTCCCGATCCGCTCGCGCGGCGTCGCCCTTTCGACGGCGTCGAACTGGCTCTGGAACACCATCATCGCCGTCATCACGCCGTACATGGTCGGCTCCAGTGCGTCCACAGCTCCCTCGCAGCTCGCCGTCTCTTCGCACGCGCCCTCGTCGTCGCCGCACGCGAATCGAGCTCCCTCGCAGCAGCGCACGGACCTCTTGACCTGACCGTTCTCTCGCTTCTGCAGACCGCGGCAACCTTCGTTCGAGCGTCTTCTTCGTCTGGGGCGGCCTGTGCTCGTGCGCGTTCGTCTACGCCTACTTCCTCGTGCCCGAGACCAAGGGCCTCTCGCTCGAGCAGGTCGACCAGCTCTTTGTGAGTCGCATTCCTCGCTCTCTCTTTTCTGTCGAGCTCAGTTACTGACACACACTCGTCGTACGCAGGCCGAGACGACTCCTCGCAAGTCTGTGCGTCCTCCCTCCCTCGGCTCCCGGACCTCTCGTCTCCTCAAACTCGACAGCTGACCCTGCTTTCCCTCTCGCAGTCCCGTTGGCGCCCGACCAGGACCTACGCTGCCGAGAAGCGCGAGCAGTATCCGTCGCACGACGGGAGCGGCGACAACTTTGCCGACCCGAGCGCGCCCAAGGGAAAGTACGGCAACGAGGGCGAGGTCTCGCACCTCGCTTGAGCGCGCTTGAGCGCGCTTGAGCGCTCCTCCTCCCTCCACCTTCCTCCATCTCATCGTTCCCGTGCTCGTGCACATACATGTACAATCTGGGCTTTCCTCCTTTGCTCTCCTCTCGAGTATTTGAGCCGCCTCGCCAGCAACGCAGTTTTCCCTCTCCGTCGTCCGGATGGCCTGGCTCTCGAGAGGTTCAGAGAGCACGTTCGACGAGAGATACAGATGCCCGAAGCTGGGCGTGGCAGGTGCTCGCCGTGCACGGTCCCTCGCGTGTGCGGGCGAGAATGACAAAATGGCGTGCGCTCGCTCGTCGAGAACATCAACTGCGCCGTCCACAGAGGCCGGCGCATCTTCTCTTATTCGCGATGGACTCGAGCACATGTACAGAGAGACCTCGCGAGAGCGGTCGAGTCTGCGGAAGGAGCAGCTCTCGCCTCGCCGACCTCGAACTTGAGAAGGAAGCCGAGGAGGCCAGCTCGCGCTCTACACGACAAAGTAGCTCGGGAAACGCGCTCGATTGCACCTCAGACGTCTCCTCGTTCGATCTGGCGGGCGCAGGAGGCCGTAACCCCGCTAGATCAAGAGATAGCGTTTGAGCGAGGGTGCGCAGGGTCCCCCTGTCTCGAGTAGGTGGCCGGGCGCACTGGCGCTCCGCAGGGGTGCGCACCGTGCGAGCGGCTCACCAGAAGGCGCCCGCTGCCCTCAGGGGCACGAGAGGGCGGGCGCGGCCTCGTAAAGACGCGACCTCGACGGCTCGGCTCGCTCGGCCGCCGGGACGAGTGCGACGACAATGCGGGCGACTTGAGCAGCCTGGGCTCGCTCTCGGAGCACAAGATAGCTCGTGTGACTGGAGCGGCGGCGCCTGGGGCCAGCCGGACAGCGCGAAAAGAAGCTTCCGAGTCCGAGAAGGGGCGAGGGTGCCATCGAGGGCTCGACTAAGCTGCGGTGCGAGGTCGAGAGGGTCAGTACGCGGCTCAGGCAGGAGACTGGGTTCGTACGAATGTACTGGAGGCGAGGAGGAGAGCGAGAGGGACGCACAAGGAGCTAGATGTGCCCGCTCGAGGCCGACCGCCAGTGCTCGCCCCGCCCAGATGACCGTCAGGCCGTCCTGCGCAGCCGTGCGACCTGCGGGAGGATTGAGATAGGTCAGTGCCGCGTCGTCGAGGCGTTGCACGAGTCCTGCGAGTGAGAGGGAAAGGCGCAGAGGGTGGCAAACACGGGGAGGAGAGGACGAGGGGGACGCACCAGCACTCCGGGTCCCGCACAGCGCAGCCGCCCTGCTCTGCCCGCTCATTAACCCCCCTGTAGCCCTCTCAAAGCACGTCCACCGGTCCACGGGTTGTCGTCGCGTGTCGAGAACGGTCGGCCGGCGCGAGTCGCTGATGAGGACGCGGCGCGGTCTGCGCTGCCGGGAAGCGCTCACGACGGTGCGGGTGCTGCTCGTTGCTGTTGATAAGATGCGTGAGAACGCAGACGAGGTAGCAGCTAGGCGACCCAGTCCTGAGGGCGCGAGTGAGCGGACGAGAGGCGGAGCAAGCAGCCACCGTCCTCCCCGCTCGTCGTCCACTCCAGCTCGTCGAGACCAGCAGCAGCCATGTCGCTCGAAGACTACGACGACCTCGACTTTGACGACCCGCGCTTCCTCCAGCTCGCCGCCACTCAAGCACCTCCCGCCGAGCTCTCGTACGCCCAGAAGCGCAAGCGTGCCCTCATCCGCTCCGAGGACAAAGGCCGCACCAAGAGCCGCAAGCAGCACGAGGACGACACGCGCGCACAAGGACTCGCCACCAACCTCATCTACCAGGCTCAGCAGGACGGCCACGACTCGAAAGCCCTCCACATGATGAAGTCCGTCCCCGCTCTCTGCGCCCGCCTCAGCTCTCTCGAGCGTGAGCTGACCCGTGTTCCACCCTCGCAGGTCGATGGGCTACAAGCCGGGCGACGCGCTCGGCCGTCAAGCTGGCGACGAGCCGGCACCTTCGACCTCGACCTCGACCTCCAGCTCGGCGGGCCCGAGTGCCGCCGGGCCCTCTCGCGGCGGGCTCGGCTTTGCGCGAGCATCCTTCGCACCTGTCGGCGGGGCTGCGAGTGTTGGAGCCGAGAGCTCACCGGCGCCCGCACCCGCACCTCAAGCCCGGACCGAGCCGATCCGCTTCGAAATGCGAGCAGGTGCGCTCACTTTCCCCTCTGCGAGCGTCTCGACCACCTCGATGACTGACCTCAGTCTCTGTCTGCAGCTCGCACCGGTCTCGGCGTCCCGCAAGCCTCGCGCCTCAAGCCCTACCTCTCGATCCCGTCCTCGTCCAGCGGCGGTACCTCGACCGCCACCAACGCCGACCCGTCAACCCTGCCCGACCTCGCCGGGTACCTGTCGCACCTCAAGTCGTCGGTCGACGTGCGTCGCGCACACGGCATCCTGCGTGCCCTGCGCCGCACGTGCGAGGAGCTCGACCGCCGCGCGGGCGAGACCGAGAGCTACATGTGGCGCGACCCGGACGAGGAGGAGCGCGAGGCCGACAAGAAGCGGCGCAGGAAGGTGTTTGACCGCATCGACCAGGAGTTGGAGAGTGACGAGGAGAAGGGGGCCGTGTTCGGCGAGTCGAAGAGCGGGACCGAGGGCAGGGGCGAGCTCGCTTACGAGCGAGGGACGAGCGGCGTCGTCGTCGAGCTCGAGGGGGACGACGACGACGACGACGACGAGCAGGAGAAGGAGCGGGCTGAAGAAGCCGAGGAGAAGGTCGCTCGCGAGCGAAGAACCGCCGCGCAGGCCAAGCAGGACGAGGAGGACGAGGCGGCCGAGTGGTTCGAGATGGATGTGCGTCCTCCTCTCGCTCTCTCTTTCTCTTCCGAGTCCTTGTGTCGACCGCACTGACCTCGTGCTCGCGCCCCGGAACAGGTCCGCTCTCGCCTCGCGCTCATGCTCACGTACCTGCGCAACAAGTACCAGTGCGTGCCTTCCTCTCCCTCGTACTCTTTCACAGCCAGCTCACGATCCTCCCTCTTCGTCCGCAGCTACTGCTTCTGGTGCGGGACGCAGTACAACGACGAGAAGGACCTCGAGGAGAACTGCCCGGGCACGGAGGAGGACGACCACTGAGTTTGTGCAACTCGAGCGGATTCTCTCGCCCTGCTCTTTCCTCGACAGCCTGAGAGAGAGAGCAAAGTGCGATAGTTGCATTGCGAGAGCAGCGAGAGAGAGATTCCCTCGCGCCATGACGCCGTTCTACTCGTCCTCGCCGAGCCCAGCCATGCGCCGCAGCTCGCCCCAGTCTGCCGCCTTCTCGCACATCTTGCGGAACACGCCGTCCTTGTTGCGCATGAGCGTCGCCGGCGAGTCGTACTCGACGACACTGCCCTGGTCGAGGACGAGGACGAGGTCGTAGTCGGCGATAGTCCGTCTGCGAGAACGACGAGAGGATCAGTTGGCGGTCGAGAGGCAAGAAAAGGGGAAGCTCGAGGACGCACAGACGATGGCTGCGAGGGCGAACGAGAGAGTCAGTAGGGATCGGGAAGAGGGAAGGTGGCTCGGGACGCACGCGATGGTCAAGACGAGCGACTCGGAGAATTCCTCGCGGATGGTGCGCTGAATCTGCGAGAGAGGCACGAGGTGAGCTCGGTGCTCGAGGCGATGAACTTGAGAGAGGCGGGCGCACCTTGGCGTCCGTCTCAAAGTCGACGGAGGCGGTCGCCTCGTCCATGACGATGATGCGGCTCTTGCGAAGGAGAGCGCGTGCGAGGGCGAGCAGTTGTCGCTGTCCAGCCTGCGCACGAGGATGATGCGAGTCAGGTTCTGCTGCTCGAAGATACGCGGCGAGGCAGGAAAGGGAGCAGCCGACGCACCGAGAAGTTGTTGCCGCCCGGGCTCACTTGGCTGTCGAGCGTGACGCTCATGCGGCCCGAGCCGACCTGCTGCGACGCGAGCCCGGTCGAGACGGCGACGGCGGTGCTGTCCTCGCTCGTCGTCTGCGTCGTCGCGCTGTCGGCGAGCGCCGTCGTCGGGTCGCCAGCGACGCCCTTGCCGGTCGCGGCCGTGAGGATGCGGCCGTCGCCAGGCTCGGCGGCTGTCGGCGCCGGGTCGCCCGTCGTCATGCGCGTAGGGGAAGGCGCTCGAGAAGGCACGGTCGAGGTAGGCGCAGTCGGGGCCGCCGAGGTATTGATGAGCCCGACGCGGTCGAGGACCTCGAGACAGGCGCCGTCGGTGTGCTGGCCGAACGGGTCGAGGTTGGAGCGGACGGTGCCCGAGAAGAGAACTGGTCGTGGGACGGAGAGAGTCAGGCAAGGCTAGGTCTCTGAGCGGATTCGAGGAGGGACGGACCGGCTTCTTGCGGAATGAGGGTCACGGCCGAGCGCAGGTCGTTGAGGCCGATCGTCGTAATGTCGATGCCGTCGATGCTGAGAGGGCCGAGGGAGCGAGTCAGTGAATGTGGAACAGAGAGAGGTCGAGGCGCGAGGACGCACATGATTTTGCCGCTCGACGGGTCCGTGAACCGAAGGAGGCTCGTCGCGAGCGTCGACTTGCCGCTGCCCGTCCTGCCGCACAAGCCGACCTTGCTCCTCGGCGGAATGTCGAACGAGACGTCCTTGACGACCGGCGGAAGGTCGGGCGCGTACGAGAGGACGAGGTTTTCGACCGAGATGCCGCCGACGCTCGAGGGCCAGGTCGCCGGCGGGCGCGTGCCCGGGATGACCTGCGGCGGCTCTTGCGGCGTCTTCAGGAGCTCGGTGATGCGCTCGACGGCGTTGAGGTCGACCTCGAGGGCGGACCACCACCTGCACAGCCAGTAGATGCTCTGGACGAGCCCTTGCGCGCTCGTGATCGCGAGGGCGGCGACGCCTGGCGACAGGCCCGTGAACAGGGCGAGGTAGATCGTCGTCGTGACGGCGACGGCGCCGAGGCAGTCGAACCGCCACAGGAGGTACCGGTTGCTCATCGCGCTCGAGTACGCGACGGCCTGCATGCGGTCGACCGAGTCCCACAGGCCCTTGAGGAAGCGACGCCTGCAAGGAAGAGGTCGAGGACGTCAGTTTCGTGACAGGCTGCGGGCGGGCGGGAGGGGAAGAAGAGGGAGGACAGCCGAGACGCACTCTCCGCCGAACGCTCGGACCGTGACGATGCCCTGAAGCGTCTCGCCGAACTTGGAGAAGATGGGCGAACGCGCGTTGCTCTCGAGTCGGCGCAGGTCGCGCGACGTCTTGACGAACATGAGGGCGTAGTAGGTGTACAGCCAGACGATGAGGATGGCCGGCGGGATGAAGCGCGGCGAGACGATGACGACGACGCCGACGTTGATGATGAAGCTGCGCGGTATGAGAGGAAGAGTCAGGGACTCGCACTTTGGACATGTGAGAGGCAGAAGGGGACGCACCTGAACGCGTGCGTGAGCGTGATACGGACCTGGTCTGTGAGCGAGCCGTCGATGATGGGGAAGTCGGTCGCGTAACGGTTGAGGATGCGGCCGCTCGGCGTCGTGTCAAAGTACCGGAACGGCGCATAGACGACCCGGATGAGGCTCGACTTGAAGAGGGAGCGCGCCGCCTTGAACGAGCCGTGGAATGCCGCGAGAATGCCGATGACCGTGATGGCGAGGTTCAGGAGACCTGCGGGACGGCGACGAAGTGAGCCACGATCGTCGAGGAGAGGCGGAGAGAGAGAGAGATGGGACGCACAGATGACCGTGTAGCCGATGATCCAGAACGAGACGTCGTCGGACGCTGACGGCGGCGAGGGCACGTGCGGGAGCGCATAGGCTTGAGCGTCGACGGCGGACAGGGCGATCTGGCCTTGGGCCGGCATGATGAAGCGCATGAAGAGCGAGTCGGACACGCGGTACTGCAGCCGAGGACGAGGGCGTCAAGGACCGCTCGATGATCGAGAGAGAGGGGGAGAGAGAGGGAGAGGGGGACGCACACTCTCGCCCCACCAGCGGAAGAAGGCGCGGTCGGCGACTCGCCCCGCACGCCCGACGAACAGGAGGGCGACCATGAACACCCACGTGTAGTAGCCGGCCGACTTGAGGTACAGGTTGTAGACGCTGAGCTTGACGCGCCCCGTCGCGCGCTTCTCCTCGACGATGAGCTTGCCCGAGCGCTTCGACGCCGCCGCCGGCTCGCTGCCAGGTACAGGCGTAGATGCTCCAGGCGTCGCGCCGGCTGACGAGGCGGGCCCGACCGCGGCGAGAGCGGCGGCGTGCTCGGCCTCGTGCGGGTCCTTCGAGTCGACCTTGCCGTTCTGGACGAGCTTCTGCGCCTCGTCGTCGGCCTGCTCGGCGTCTTCTGCTGCATCGTCGTCCTCGATGAGCTCGGTCGTGAGCTCGTTGTTGTCGAGCTCGTCCACAGGACCCTTGAGCGTGACGCGGCCCTCGGACAGGCGGACGACGTAGTCGGCCGAGCTCAGGCACAGCGAGATGTGGTGCGTGATGAGGAGCTGTGGAAGAGAGCGAGAGTCAGAGAGAACCCTGACTGAGGAACATCGAGAGAGCGAGAGTGCGACGGACGACGGTGCGGTGCTCGAGGAGGGGCCCACGCAGGCACTTGCGGAAGAGGTGGCGCGCCGTGTGCGAGTCGACAGCCGAGAGCGGGTCGTCGAGGAGGACGGTCTGTAGAAGCGGAAAGACGTGAGCATCGAGGAGGAGGACCCGACTTGGGCGCGTCGAGAAGGGGACGGACCTTGGCGCGCGAGTAGACGGCGCGAGCAAGGGCGACACGAGCTGCACGGTGAACGAGTCAGTGAGGGCACGTCACGACGCGGGAAGAAGCAGGGACGTACCTTTTTGGCCGCCGCTGAGCGAGATGCCGCGCTCGCCGATCTCTGCCAGGGGAGGGAAGGTGGCCGTCAGTTTACGGTCGAGAGAGAGTCAGGCTCGAGGACGCACCGGTCTCGTCACCGCCGTCGAACATCTCGAGGTCGGCCTGCAGAGCGCACGCCTCGATGACCTGGTCGTAGCGCTCTTGCTCGTACGGCGAGCCGAACAGGATGTTCTGCGATGCGGCGACAGGCGATGGTCAGTGCTGCGGCGGTGGCAGAGGAGGACACGTAGCGCGACGCACGTTGCGGATCGAGTCGTGCTGGAGCCAGGGAAGCTGCGCGGCGTAGGCGACGCCGTCGTACAGGCCGGTCGACGAGTCGAGGTCCGAGCCGGCCGAGCCCTTGCGGAGGTGGACGACGCCCGAGACACAGGTCATCTCTGCGGCAACGAGGAGCACGTATCAGTAAAACGAAGAACGAGATCGCGAGGGGAGGAGGAGGGGACGCACCGCCGAGGAGCGCGAGGAAGAGCGACGTCTTGCCCGACCCGGTCGGCCCGCACACGAGCGAGAGCTTGCCCTCGGGGAAGCGCACGTCGATGTCGGCGAGCTCGAACTTGCGCTCGATGTCGACGCCTGCACCGGCTGCTGCGGGAGCTGGAGCTGCCGGCGGCGCCTCGGCCGAGTCCTTCTCGTGGTACTTGAACGTGCCGCTCGAGATGCCGACCTGGACGCTGTCGTCGGTCGAGGACGAGGGCGCAGCCGTGTCGGAGCGGAGCGACGAGACCCACGGGTCGACCTCGTCGTCCTGGAAGAACTGCTCGAGGCGTTGAATCGAGACCCAGGCTGTCGACGCGAGGCAAGGTGAGCCCGGCCTGCATCCTCTGAACGCGAGGGAGAGAGGGACGCACTCTGCAGGAGCTGGGTGATGGACGTCGGCAACATGGTCATGGGCGAGCGGACCATGCCGAACAAGGCGAGGGCGGTAAAGGCGACCGGGACCGTGAGCTGCTGGTGCGCGACGAGGGTGAAGCAGGCGATCGAGACGATCATGACCTGCAGGTGCGACACTCGACGTCGTCAGGACGGTCGTGACGCGGCGACCGACAGGCGTCGAGGGAGGGAAGGCGGGCGACGAGAAGCGGATGATGGGACGCACGAGGTCGGGCGAGAAGTTCCACAGCGCGTTGATGGCGAGGTTGTTCATCCGCGTCTTGAGGAGCCAGTCGAGCTCGGTCTTGCGCGCCGCAAAGACCCTGCCGAGCCAGCTCTCCTCGTCGCCCGAGTACTTGATGAACCGGATGGCCTGGAACAGCTCGTTGAGGATCTCCATGCGCGCGTCGCGCGACGCGAGCATCTTGCGGTGGATGCGCAGGCGACGCTTGACGAGGACGTGGTTGATCGGGAGCGCGAGCGCCATGACGCCGAGGCCGACGAGGCAAGTCCAGCCGAGGATCTGCAGGCAAGGGACGACGAGGTCAGGACCAGGCGCGCTCGTCGAGCCGGTCACCGTCGACGCGAGAGCTCGCCGAGGTAGAGAGAGAGAATGCGGGCGCGCACCTGGTACAGGAAAGTGATGGCGATGGCGAGCTCGAACGGGGCGCCAAAGATGGACGACAGGCTCATGAGCTGGTTCGAGATCTTGTTGACGTCGCCCGCCATGAGGCTGACGATCTTGCCCGTGCTCGTCGTCCCTCGCGCCTCGGGGATGGCCTTCTTGCCCTTGACGCCGCCCTTGCCCTTTGTCGACGCCGCCGCCGCCGCCGCCGACGCGTCCTTCTTCTTCTTCGGCGCCGCCTCGTCCTTGCCCGTCGCGCCACTCGCATCGCGCCGCTTGAGCGCCTTCTCGTACACCTCGCTCATGAGGGCCGTCCTGGCGCGCGTGATGGCCCGGCGCTCGTGCCACAGCTGCTGCAGGTCGACCTCGGCGCGGCTCACCTGGGCGACGAACGCGAGGAGGGCGTAGATGTAGGCGCTCTGGCGCAGGGTCGGGTCGTACGGGGCACCCGGGGCGGGAGGCGTGAGGGCCTCGAGGATCTGCTTGAGGAAGAAGGGCGAGGCGTACGACAGGAAGGACGACGTGAGGCCGAGAGTGAGCGACAGGATGAGGTCGAGCGAGTTGTTGTAGAAGACGCGGCCGATGATGCGGGTCGACCTGAGGAGAAGAGATGTGTGTCAGGACGAGGGCGAGGCAGAGGCAGATGAGAAAGAGTCGAGGACGCACTTGAGGGCCTGCGCGTCCTGCTTGACGCCCCACGACTGCATGGTCGGCGGCAACTTCCACACATCGCGGTACCCGAGCTGGTGCTTCTTGCCCTTGTTGATGAGCGCCTCGACCCACGAGAAGACGATCCACGAGCCGAGGGTGACGGCGCGCTCGGGCGACTCGAGGACGATCTGGTCCTTGGCGTCGTCGGGCAGGTCGTCGGCGGCGACAGCCGAGTATGCCGCAGTCGTGTCGGAGGCGATGGGCGAGGGCGAGAGCGGCATCGACAGGGTCGTGAAGAGGAGGGTCGCGATGGCGAGCGACTGGACGACGGTGAGGGCAATGTCGCGCTTGAAGATGGCCGGGTAGTGGAGCGCGAGGTGAATGATGTGGAGGATGAGGAAGGCGAGCTGGAAGAGGTAGAAGGAGAAGTGGAGCATCGGGGCGGGTGCGAGGAGGTCGGCGGGTGTCTGTCGCCGCGGAACGAGGAGGAGGGACGAGATGACCTGCGCGCGCGAGTGGATGACAGGTGAGCGGCGCTGTCGACGCGGTCGACTCGTGACGAAGTAGGACGACGCACCCAGTTCAGGGCAATGCCGGCGAGAGCCACCACCGCCCACCACTCGTCGTCGCCGCCAGCCCTGCTCCTGCCGACCCGGACAGCGGCCCAGACGGCGGCCGTCGTCCACACGACCGCCTCGGCGAGCCCGACGCCGAGCAGAAGCCACACCTTGTCGTCTCGCCGAGTGCGCTCTGCGCTGTCGCCGGCGAGCGCGTGCGCGTGCGTGTCCTCGCCGCCAACGCCGCCGGCGGGTGCCGTTACGAGCGAGACGAGGTGCTGGTGCCAGGGCTTGGGGAGGACGAGTCGGACAGTTGGAGGGACGACGAGGCAGAGCGCGAGCACGCTCAGCGGTGCGATGGCGGCGCAGGCGAGCAATGAACTCGTCTCGAGGTCCTGCGAGCGATCGAGGACGAGAGAGGGAGACGATGGCTCGGTCAGGGCTGTGCTGGACTCGCGGCCGGCCGAGTGGAGCTCACCAGTAAGACCTGGCCCATCTTGAAGCGCTCGCGAGAGGTCGAGGGAGCGGTACGAGGAGCGAGAGGGCACCGCCTCCACCAAGCGATGAAGCAACTCGCAGCTCGCGCTCTCGCTTAAAGAGAGCACACGCAGCTCAGCAGGCTCTCTGCCGCTCGATGCACACCGGCACCCGCCAACGCGCCGCGTCCTCACACTCCACGCCCGCCCTCCTCTCGCCGGGCTCCTCGCGGCGACTCGGCTCGCTCGGCAGCTCGCTCGACGAGGCGCACTGCAGCGCAGCGCTTGTCGGCGATTGAGGCGAGTGCAGACCGAGTCGCACGGCGCACCACATGCCGCTCGGCACCTTCGCCGAGCGCTATCTGCTCCTTCCCCTCCTCAACTGCTCGCGTTCGCGCAGGCGCCCTCGCGGCGACTCGCCGGCCCCGGTGCCCATCGCTGTGCATTGGGCTCGTCTTGGTGTCGAGCGGTCTCGGAGCCGCTCTTCCGCCGCCGCGAGTGCACGGCCTGGTCGGCCGCCTCTCTTCTCCCCCTCCCTCTTCCTCTCCCTCCTCCCCCTCGCCTGCTATCCTGCCGCTGGTCGCGCAGTCGCCTTGCTTCTCAACATGCACGTCCTCGCCTACCTCCTCGCCGTCGCGCTTGCTGCCGCCTCGCTGGCCCAAGCCGGCCACGCCAACCCGGCTCGTCTCGACCGTCGCGCGACCTCGGCCGCCCAGCCCTGGGCGCAGTGCGGCGGACGCGACTTCAAGGGTGCCACGACATGTGTCAAGGGCTGTTCGTGCGTCAAGGCGAACGAGTTCTACAGCCAGTGCGTGGCGGCGACCTCGTCGAGCAAGGTCTCGTCAACGAAGGCAGCCACGACGACCGCCTCGGCCGTCGCTACGTCCATGGCGCTCTCCATGACGACCACGACGGCGACCTCGAAGGCGACGACCAAGAGCGCGAGCACCAAGTCGTCGGCTGCTCCGGCCCAGGCGAGCTCGGCGCCCGTCTCGTCGAGCAAGGGCCCGAGCGGGTACGCGTCGCTTAACGGTGCGCCTCTCTTTCCCTTTCTCCTTCTCAGCGACTCTTTGTCGGACACTGATACTCTCGTTCTGCAGGTGGCACGACTGGCGGCGCCGGTGGCTCGTCAACGACCGTCTCGGACCTCGCCTCCCTGCGCAACGCGGTCAAGGGTTCGCAGACTCTTCCTCTTCCCCTCTCGGGCTCCAGATCGAGCACGACTGACCTCGAATTCATGCAGGCGACTCGGCCGCAATCATCTACATCTCGGGCGTCATCAAGGGCGACGGCGAGACGATCAAGGTACGCTCCTCCTCCTCCTCCTCTTTCTCCCTCCCTTCCCCGCCTGACCTCCTCCCTCTCTTCCAGGTTGGCTCGAACAAGTCGATTCTGTCGAAGAACGGCGGCGGCAAGGATGGCCTGACCGGCGGCGGTGCGTCCTGTGTCCTCTTCCTCGCGGTTGTCCTTCCTCGCGCTCGCCGGCGAGCTCACCTCGAGCCACATGCAGGTTTCCTCGTCAAGGAGGCCAAGAACGTCATCATCCGCGGTCTCGCAATGCCCAAGTCGCCTGCGCCGACCGACCTCGTCGGAATTCAGGTGCGTCCTCGCACCTTCTTGAGAGGGTCTGTGCGCAGAGAGCTCACCTTTGTGCGCCTTCTGCAGGAGTCGACGAACGTTTGGGTCGACCACTGTACCTTTACCTCGTCGCTCGACGTCGACAAGGACTTCTACGGTGCGTCTGACGGTCCCTTTCTCCCTCGAGCCGCAAGCCTGACCGTCCCTCACGCGCTCGCAGACGGCCAGCTCGACATCACGCACGCCGCCGACTTCGTCACCGTGTCGCACAACATATTCCAGCAGGCCTGGAAGACCTCGTACGTGCGCTCGCTCTCGTACCTGTCGAACGAGCCTGACTCGCAAATGGCGCGCGCAGCTTGGTCGGCCACTCGGACAACAACGGCGCCGAGAATAAGGGTCACCTTCGCGTCACGTACCATGGCAACCACTTCTTCGACGTCAACTCGCGTGTTCCGTCCCTGCGCTTCGTGCGTCGTCTGCCCTCTCGATCCTCGTCGGCCGGTCCGTCCGTCCGTGCGAGTCTGACTCGCGCCATCTTTCCTTCAGGGTACCGGCCACATCTTCAACAACTACTACGAGAGCGTCCTTGGCTCGGGCATCAACGCCCGCAAGAGTGCCCAGGTGCTCGTCGAGTCGAACTACTTCAAGGTGCGCCCGTTCCTCCTCCTCGTCGTCTCGGCATCGGTGCGACGACTGACTGTTCGTCCCCTTACAGGATGTCGAGAACCCGATCGAGACGACGCTCAAGGACGGTTACGCCGCGGTCAACGCCGACAACATCTACGAGTCGTCCGACGTACGTCCCTCTCGCTCTTCCTCAAGGCCCTTCCACCTCGGCACAAGCCTGACGCTCACGCCCTCGCACCTTGCAGGCTCCCGACCTCAAGAATGTCGGCTCGCTTTCCCCCTCGTCGCTCGGCTATACCTATGCGCTCGAGCGGGGCGCGAACGTCGTGCGTCTCGCTCCCCTCTCCTCCCAAACGCGCCCTCTCGATCTCGCCTGACTCTTCTCGATTCCTGCAGCCCTCTTTCGTCGTCTCGAATGCCGGGGCGGCCAAGTACTCGGCATGAGCGCCTCCTCGTCGCGCACTCGTCCCTTCCGAACGGGCTGGCCCACCCTCTCCCTCTCGCGATGCCCACTCTTTCTGGTTCCCTACAGCTGTCGTCGAGTACACCTTGCAACGACGAGCCTCTTTCTGTCCAAGCTGCGAGGCTGCATCGACGAGAGGAGAGGCGGCTCGAAAAGGAGGGGTCCGAGAGCGGCCTTCTCAAGTTGACGAGAGAGCGCTTCGCAACCCGGAGAGCGCTCTCGTGCATCGACGGCTTGCTGTGACGAACGCTCGGCCCGCTCTCTCTCTTGCATGCGCTCTCATCTCTCGGGGCAAAGTGTCCGAGGCAAGTCGAGTCTAGAAAAACGCTCTCGCCGAAACCCTGGTCGTCGCTGCAAGCTGTCTACTGGTTGCCCGACGCCCGGCGCTGCGGCTCGGTGGCGACGAGCCGTTCGGCCCTCTCCTGAGCCCGCCGCATGGCTGGTAGCCATCCCTGGCTGAAGTGGACGCGCCAGACCGAGTAAGGCTTGAGGTAGAGGTCGAGCTCGAGCTGCCACGTCACGGTCTGCACGGGCCGGCTGTTGCTTTGGACGCGCCCGAGGTCGGCCCGAGGGGCGAGAAAGTCCCAGGTTACTCGGCTCCCGGACTGCGGGTTCGAGTCGGCCGGCGAGATGCCGAGAAGCTCGCGACGGCGAGCTGGGCCGCCCGTACGGGTCCGAAAGAAGTCGGCATCTGCTCGGGGCGGCGGGCGCGAAATGCGTCAGAGAAGCTCGCTTCCGAAACATGCCAGAGAGAGAGAGAGAGAGGAAAGAGGGGCGAGAGGAGGACGAGCGACGGACCCGTGTCGAGCTGGAAACGACCAGCGCCAAGCTCGCCGCCGATGAACCGCCGGGCCATCGTCAAAAAGCTGATTGAGGCGTCGCCAACGTGGGTGTCGTGGGCCATGGGCGCAGGTCCGGCGAGAGACGCCGTCATGTTGACAAAGTCGAGCAGGTCCGGGTACGCAGATTTCGCCGGGATCTGGAAGTGCGGCGGGCGCTCGCCTTGACGAACGAGGTGCACCTTGTGGTCGAAAGAAGGGACGACGACGATTCCAGGGCTGTCGGCTGCAGGAGGTAGGGCTGTCAGCGGTCCGTGCGTGCTGACACGTGTCGGCGCTCAGGAAGGACGACGTGGGACGCACCCGTGCCGAGGCCCTGCAAGAAGTACACCTGGTCGGCCGTGATGTTGTAGGTGGCGAGCAGTTTGCGAGCCTGCGGCGGGACGCAGTACTCGCCCCAGAACCCGCAGAGGCGGTTGACGAACCCGGCGAGGTCGACCTCGTACGCCTGCAATGCTCGACAGAGGTGGTGAGCGGGGCTTTCCTAGGCTGCGAGTCAGGGAGATGGGACGTACGAGTGCTTGACCGGCGCCCTGCTCTGCGCGATGCGTCGCAGGGAGACCAAGGTCGACGAGCTCCTCGTCGAGCGCGCGCAGGTAGTGCGCGTCACGCCGTTGCTCGAGCGTGAGCTGGGCAGGCGGCATTGTTATTCGCAGCGGCAGCGACAGCAGGAAGGCGACGAGCGTCAAGGGCAAAGAGGAACCTTGGCGGCCTCGTAACGACCGAGCAGCGAGGACGACGCCGCGGACGAGCCGGTCCGAGGTGCGAGCGGCGTCCAGGAGGGGACGCAGCCCGCCGAGGCGCGAGACAAACGCAGGCTGACCAAGTCCGAGGCGGACCGTGGTTCCTCGGCGATTGGGAGGCGGCCGGAAGACGGGCGAAAAGCGAGGGCCCGAGCGAGGGACAATCGCGGCACTCTCGCTCGCCTCGCACGTTCTCAAAGGCCCGCACGCGCAGTGAACTAAATATTACTGCTGATAAGCGTCCGGGCGCGCCAGCGCTCCGGGACTCGAGGCCAAGCTATAGTGAGAGAGAGAGAGCGAGGGAGGGTCTACGAAAGAGAGAGGGCAATGCGGTGCGAGGAATAACGAGTGGGGGGGAGAAGCGAGAAGGGGAGGGGCTGCGACGGTCGCTCAGGCGTGCACCGAGACGGAGCCCATCTCGTAGACGTCCTTGTTGTGCTCGCCGCTGCTCTTCGTGCCGTAGTCGTCGAATGTCGGCGGGACCGACAGGTCGACGTCTGCGAGGGCAAGCGCGAGTCAGTGAGGGCTCGAGGCGTGCGGGACGACGAGGCAGGGAGGGACAGGAGGAAGGAAAGAGGACCAGGAGGAAGAGGACGCACCCTCGGCAGAAACGGCCTCGGCGAGGAGCGTGGCGTGGTGCGGGAACGCAACGTTCAGGCCCCAGTAGACGAGGATGGCGGGCAAGTAGCCAGTCTGCGCGCAGGAAGCTCGAGTTAGTGCGAGATCTCGGCGAGGTTGGCGAGGGAGGGAGGGTGTCGCCGAGAAAGGTGACGAGGAGGACGAGGACGAGAGGAGAGAAAGGCCGTGACGCACGATGAAGCCGGGCGCGTACCACCACGCGATGTTGCCGATATAGACGTCCGGGTTGATGGCGTTGATGAGGCCGGGCAGGTTGGGCGTGATCGTGAGGACGAGGGTCGCCGCCGCGCGCCAGTTGACGCCGGCCGAGTAGCGGTAGATGCCGCGAGGGTCGTACAGCTCGGGCACGTGGTACGCCGTGCGCTTGACGAGGAAGTAGTCGCTCGTGAGGAGGCCGGCGAACGGGCCGAGGAAGATGGCGTAGCCCGAGACGAACGTGAGGAAGGTGCCGCTCGAGGCGAGGATCTTCCACGGCGCGACGGCCCAGCCACCGAGGACGGCCGTGATGATCTGGCCACGCGTGAGGTTGATGTAGCGCGGGCACATCGAGACGAGGTCGTTGGCCGACGAGATCGAGCTGCGGGCGCGCGAGGACGAGGTCAGTGCCAGGTCGACGGCGACGACTGGGGACGGCTCGAAACTCACTTGGCGGTGATGTTGGCGGCGACACTGTGCGGGAAGAATGAATGTCAGTCGCTGTACGAGTGCGAGGGAAAGAGATGTCCGAGGGGATGAGGGCCCAGAAGAGGTGCCGAGAGGCGAGAGGGAGGGAGGGAGGGTAGGGGGCCAAAACGAGGTGGCAGAAAGAAGAGAGAGAGAGAGAGCGAGACGCACCCGGCGAGCATCCACGCGAGCGCGGCGAAAGCCGTCGCGGCCCTCGAGTTCCAGCGGTCCATGATGTCGAACGGCGACCACATGGCGTCCTCGATGGCGAGACCATAGACAGGGATCGACGCCGACGCCGCGAGGATGCCGCAGATGGTGACGAACAGGGCCGAGAGCGGGATGGCGAGCGCCTGCGACCACTGGGCGCGCGACGTCTTCGAGTACCGCGTAAAGTCGGACGAGTTGACCGACAACGTCGCCCAGTTGCCCTGGAGCGCCGCGAACCCGATGAGCCACGCCTGGCTGAAGCCCTTGCCCGTGACCGAGTTGGGCTGGTCGAACAGGGGACCGCCGCCGCCGGCCGAGTGCACGAGGGCGCCCATGGTCGCGAGCATCGTGACGGGGACGACGACCGTCTTGAGGAGGAACGCCCAACGGAGTTGGTTCGGGTTGAGGAAGAAGAACGGGAGCTGGACGAGCCAGAACAAGAAGTACGACGTCATGTCGCGCGTCGAGATGCCGGCCGACTCGGGGAGCGAGTTGGGGATGGTCGAGTACGAGGGCCAGATGGCTCGGAGGAACTGGGTCATCGCGAGGCCACCGTTGTACTGGCGAGGTCGAGGGAGGTCGCGAGACGGGCGTGGGAGGGAGGAAGGGGGAAAGGGAAGGAGGGAGGCGAAAGGGAGGGTCAGTGCACGCTCGCGGAGAGAACGCGCTTGAGAGGGAGGGGGACGCACGGTCTCGACGCCGAACCAGATGAGCGACAGGAAGGCACGCGAGACGACGGCGAAGTACGACAGGTAGTAGCCCATCGACGCGCGAGCGGCGACGGGAAACGGGATGCGGAGCTTGGCGCCAATCATGCCGTTGAGTACGATGGGGACGGCGATGACGCAGTTGCCGAGGACGACGATACCTGCAAGAGGGCCGCGTCGAGTGTGAGCGCGCAGGCCTCGCAAGTAGGGGCGCTTCTCGAGTATCGAGGAGGAGGGAGAGGGAGCTGACCGATGGCGTTGCCGACGCTGAGGCCGAGCGGGATCAGGCTCGCGCCCGTCTGCCAGAAGGCCGGGTCGAGAGACGCGGCGACCCAGAACGAGAACTGCAGGAGGAGGACTGAGTGAGCTTCGCGGACCTGCCAGGGCACGACCCCCCTCGCCTTGCGGGCGTGAGGGAGGGAGAGAGACAGAGAGAGGAGGGGACGCACCCAAGTGCCGTAGCCCCACGTGCGCTGCGCCGGGTCGGTGGTAGGGTCGAGGTCGGCGTTGGTGTAGACGTCCTCGGGCGCGAGCGACGAGGCCTGGCGCGGGAGCTTCCACGAGAAGGGCTGGCGCGCCTCGCCCTCGTCGCCCTGGTTGGTGCGGCGATTGAACAGGCCCATGCTAGTTGTGCGCGTCGTACGAGTGCTGGCCGAGACGAACGGCGAGCGGCGGGAGGGAGGAGGAGGAGGAGGTGCCGGCTGAGGAGGCGGTGAAGACGAGGGCGAGGCGGCACAAGGGAGAGAGGCGAGGGCGTGTCGAGGGTCGTGGCTGGTCGTTCGAGGATCAAGCTCTGCGGCCCCAGAGCAGGCAGGGCGACGAGGAAGGGACAGGAGGAGAGGTTCGAGGGAGAGGTCAGTCGATGAAAGCGCGAGCGCGACCGGATCCGGGCGACGAGAGGTGAATGGGTTGGACGCACCAGGCCGGTTACACCGCACTCAATCGTACAAGCGTGCGCTGTCGGTGGTCGTTGCGGGCGAGAGCGACGGCGGTTGAAGGCGGTTGTCGAGCTCGAAGGCGAGGGGGGCGACGAGGCCGACGCGGTGGGCTCACGCTGGACAGGGGACGAGCACGTTTGGAAGGGCCCGCTTGGCCATGCACCTTGCTAGCCTCGATTCGCCGCGCGAGAAGCTTTCGGGCGGGACCCGGGGGACGCGGGGGAGAGCGAAGGACAAAGGGCGTCTCAGCTTTCTCGCTGCTCGCGCACGAGCCTGCGCCTTTCAATCAAGCTCGTTAGCGCTTGCTCGACCCTCCCCGCCCCGCGCGGTCGGAAGAGAGCGAGCATCGGGAGGGACCGTGCGCCAGATCTCGCGAGCGCGCCGCCGCCGTCGTCGACGACGTTCATCTCGCCGTGCCAGCATGCTGC